AAAAATATCTCAACATAATATAAAATGGATCGCAAATTATAAATAAAAACCCAAAAAAAATGCAAAAAATGCATGAAATTTTGAAATATATTCATAAAATGTTTATAACTCTCTGAAAAATTAACTTATTTTAATTCTGTAAACACTAGCTGATACTCAATTAAATTGTTTATAAAATAACGCAATAACCAATCATTTATCTCCAAAACCCAAAAAGTTATCGCGATTTTTCCAAACACATAACTAACTAATATTTTCAACCTAGTAAAAATAGCTTATCAAACATCGCGTACATATTAGCCATAGCCATCTTAAGTAGTTAACATTGAAATGAAAAAAGTATACGGAGCGTATCCTGCGTGATTGAGCATTGTGTTGAAGTGTGCCTTTTAATTATGAGCGCGATTAATTAGAATTTCGCTTTCACGCCATGCCAGCAACAACAAACACGGCGCGCAATCGGCCCGATTTTGTTTAATCACATATCCAAATACCGAATGCGAAATCCCGAAACAAAAATAGGTAGGTTATATCGCACACACGTTTGATGTTTTTACGAGGCTTCGGAAACCTGTCGTGCATCGTGGAGACACCTAAACTCTTTTTTAACTCGCGCCGCGATCGAATTATAAACACACAAAGACCGGCCCGATGGGAATACATCCGCCCTGGACCTTTGTGCGCACTCCAGGGAGCCGGCGGATTCTAGCCCTCGACACAAGTTCAACACAAATATACCAATAGGGTAGGAAGAGGGGGACTTATCTAGACTAGCGCGGAGACAAAATGTGTTGCGAAAACCCCCCGAGACCCGTGCTAAAAAATATCGTATATAGGATATTCGATTCAAGACCAAGATGAAGATGATACGAATGAATCTGTCCTTGAAAATAATGTGTAATTGTGTTTGTAGTTGCACATGCGCGTCCCGCGGGAATTTCATTGTCGCAGGGGTTGAACACAATTAATCACACCCCTGTAATACTCGCTGGCGCGCAGGAGTGAATTTAGTGTTTTGTAAATTAGCTCAAAATACACGAGGAGTGTGAGGTGTAAAGTTGTGTGTCCGCCCCCCGCGGCGGCGGCGCGCTGGACGCCCCGCCGGGCCGACAAAAGGACCTCGAGGCGCACCGTGGCGCTCGCGTGGAGGCGAAGAAACTCGCGATGCCGCGCGGTCGGGGCGCCATTACCGCCGCATGCGGTCGCCGCAATCAGAAACACATCACACACGCCGAAGAACAACCGAACGAAATGCAAAAATATAAATAATCTTAACTCAACTCCAACCAAGGGTAGTAGGTAGGTACACAAATATGTGATAATTTCCGGGGTTGGATGTTGTATCGATATGCTTCGTCGCCGGCGACAACTAATTAACCACCGAGTGACAAACGATGTGATTTGTCACCGGGATAAGTATCATGTGACAAACACGTGTAGAGACACATTGGTATTTTAATTTAGTTGTCAACATGTTGTGAATTGGAATGGGAATGACTTCGTTTTTGGTTATGTTATGTGATTTTGATTTATAATCGATTTATGCTTCGCTAATTCGTTGGTTGTGACATGTGCGCGGCGTGTCACCCCTGTGTGTGTTTCGCGAACATGTGCGGATGTCCCGTGGCGTGTCCCAGCGTGACTCTTAGGGTAGGTTAAGTCAGTTTATCGGCGCGCTTAACTCGTCCAGCCCTCTTCCTGTCCGGAATGTGCACGTAACCCGTAATTACGCGTTGGATTTTTATTAATTTTTAGATTACAACCCATCGAGGGTAGGTCCTGATGGTATTCATTCATAATTTTGTACGAAAGTTTTTGGTTTTTGATACCTGGTGTGGTGATGGTGCTTTCTCCGCAATTACTGTGGCTAGATGGCTGCTGTTGTCGATGGTAATAATCGGAAATGTTTAAGTGCGCGCGCGGTGTGCGTATCGGCAACATTTGGACATCGCGGACGTGCTCGCGAGAAGAGCACGTCCCCGACCGCCGACCGGACACACCCCAAGTCATTACCGCCGATGATTTACCGACCTATAATTATTGCTATTATAATAAATGTTTATCGGGAAGCAACTATCATCCCCAAGGTTGAAAAAATTCAAACATGATAAAATTATCTCACACATGACCACATACAGGGTGATACAATGTAGAAATTACCGAAAATGCACAAATTTGTCTTAAAAAAACCACAATTATTCAAATTTTGCTTCCAAAAAAGAAGAAAAAAAAGTTAAACTCAACTCTGACGTCATTTCCCACATCATGAGACACAAATATTAAGTTAGGTTAAGTTCTGGTACTCATAGGCAACCCACTTAACACAAAAATCCTATTTTTCTATTAATTATGATTCCATCACACCCTCCTATTGTTAATGAAGTATTATTAAGTGCTAATTACTTAATTAATCCATGCGCACTAGAATTATTTTATAATTCATTCATTCATTCATCCAACTCGACAGGATATGCAAATGATGCGTCCCGCATACATGTGTACACCACACACATTAAAACCAAAGCTAAGAAGATTTAAAGAAAATAAATGTCTCTTTATAAACTGCGATTGAGTAAACTGTAAACATGTGCGTTACGCGTAATTAAATCACCATCAATTAACCGCACACACACACACAGCAACTGAAAATATGCATTACTTACATGATTAAACGCGACTTGCGATATTATTTGATATTATTATAAATAGTGAGGTTATGTTACGGATATTCATCATCATTAACAAGCGCGTTGTAGTTGGCTGGCCGGTACGCCGCATAACGACCGAAAAAAGCAATTAAATTAAGACTTTCGAGGGCCTCCCGAAATAATTAAATTTAAAAATTTCAAAACAAAGCCCGTGTGGAAGACGCATCCTAATTACCATAATAATTAAAGGGGGGCCACGGCAGTTTTCATTCAACTTTCACAGTCATACCTATGGATGGTACCTATTCAAATTTTTCTGCTTCGTTTTTTCGTTCTGGCGTGGTTGTTAATTTTTGTTCCCATGTTATCGCCGGTGTGATCTTTCGGTGTGCCTATTGGCATGTGGGCAATGTGGGCAGCCACCACTAGGGCTTCATTCATTTTTCACGTGGCTGCGAGCCGCGAGCCGCGATGGAGGCGCGTTTTATGTAGATGTAGATAATGACGAAGAGGAACAACAAGAGCCGAGAACTTGTTCTTCGGCTACCACATAATGATTGCTTCGTGCAACGACGGCCACTGTACAACAACAACAAGAGATGCGAGGAGCAGTGTACAATAGGAGTACCATCAAGTCAAAAGTGCAAGATTTTCAGCCCAAGGCGCACAGAAAAGTATTTGCTATGTGACGTCAAAGTTGAGTAAAGAAAATGGGAAAAATTGACGAAAATGACGGAATGTGACGTCAGAATTGAGTAAAATCCGAGAAGAAGTTTAACGAGGATGTTCCCTGAGTATTTATGTGTTGTATGACGTCACTATTGAGTTAGAAAATGTAGAAAAACGTAAATTAATACAAAAAATAAAAAAATAATAAAATAATACTTGTCAAAGTTGAGTTGTTGATTCCACATGAATTTTATGTTCCATAAATAGTTAATTTTTGGGCAATAAAATCAATCATCGCGTGATATAAACAAAAGTTGATGATTTCCGTTCAATTAAAGGCTGGCTCGCGTAGTTTCCGCGTGTTTTGGTTTATTTGGTAAAGTGTGTGGCGCGCGTCTTGAGACGCATCTCGAGCGTAACAGATTTTTTGGTCGCCGCCGACCGCCGACGTGTCATCAACTCGTAAACGCCGAGCGATTCGTCACTTTCGTTTCAATTACTACGCCACATTTATTATAATTATACCCAAGACAACACAAAACGCAAAATATGACAACTGCCTGTATTTCGGGTGCGTGCGACGACTATTTCGCGATCGAGTGCTCACCCCTTGATGTCACGCGGGGGTGGCCAGGATAACATGTGATTAGTTACGCCAATTTTTATGTTGTCTTGCGATTTATTGTGGACGTAGGTTGGGTTTTTTGAGTTAAGTCACTTGCGCATGCACATTCCTGCGGCGTCGTAAAATCTCGCGCAAAGGCAACTTAAAACAAGCGAAGCATTCAAACACGCCAGGAATGCGCGCGCTTGGTGTGATGAATGTGTCTGACTTGACTTAAGTCAGAAATGACATTTACATAAAAATAACAAGATAAGCCCGCTTCCAAAAAGTGACTTAAGTAATCGCATAACCAGGTAGAGGGTTACAAGTTGGCTTAACTGAAATCCAGCTTAACTCGTTAGTTAGCTACCCTGTGGGTGGGTGGTGGTTGGGCTCCGATGCCGACAAGCAAATGCGACGTGAAATTAGCTCGTAATCGAAGCGCGAGTGTTGAAATGTTGGCGCTGATCAATCAAAAAGGCGCAAGAATTATGAACGTGACTACCTTCTCGCACTTGGGGGGTGATCCAGGAAGGTGTCGCGCGTAACTAATCACCAATAGCGAATACTGCGTCTCATTTGCGCAGAACAATTGAATTGGAAGACCCACCACTATGGTCACACCGACATTCAACACCCATGGCCCAAGGAATGCGTTTGTTTCAAATCGGGATCGGCGGGTACACGACCTGGGAGGGCAAATCGTAGAAATTCGTATTTTTCTACTCCTGCATTCACCTGTTTGCGGGGCGCGCTGGTTTTTCGCTACCCCTTGTTGTGTTTTATGAAATGCCGAGCTTCTGCTTGGGCTTCTGGCGAGCACACGAAGATAAGCATCGCCCCGATGGCTACCAGAAGCTATTCCGGTGGGCGTGACATCACCATCAAGCTCACGGATTGGCGCGAGTTGGATCGGCGCGTTGTTTTCTGGGCGGCAGTGGGGACGATCGATGGGCACTCACACACAACCGATGGTTGTATATACGTATGGGTTTGTAGGTGTGGGTTTGAGAAGGACGAGGAGGAAGGCAAATGTGCCGGGGACCCTCCTCTGGCCTCCGGCTCGTGAGACGGGACGGGCAGTCGCAATCCAAGCACCGTCGCACGCGCACGCCGGACCACGTCATTTTTTCCCATTGCTATACACTACCCTGGATAAGATAAGATCAGCGAACGTGAACAGAGTGGCTATTGCAAAGTGTCGCGAGTGTTTTAACAGACTGTGGACTCTTTTCGATTGTTCTTGGAATAGTGTTGGAGGTACGCGTTCGCGTCTTAAAGCTGGCGGCCTTTTTGGAGAACGGGCCAGCCTGCCAGCCAGTCGGGGCCCTCACGCTGCGGGCCGGATTAGCCCATGTGCCCCTCGGGCCCAATTCGGCGTATATTCAACATTCGGCACACAACATAGGTAAAAATTATTTGCGCATGTTTTAAACTCCGATATCTTGCAAAGTAAAAGTCATAGGGTTATGAACAAGGCATCAGAAGAAAGACGATTAAATTGGCTTTCAGATAAAGTATTCCCCAAAAGAATAGTTTATAGGGTGTTTAAATTATGATAATTCAAAGATTTTGTAGTTTTTTTTGGGAGAAAAATTGACAAAACTACAAAAACATTAAATATCTTTATAAAATATTCTCTAAAACTATTCAAGTTGTATATAAAATTAAAGCTAAGAAAATTCTCTTTAATTTAGTAGTAGACCCAAAGAAATTACTTTAAAAACAAATAAATTACAAGCAAATGAAATTGCTCAATATTTTTTGCTATAAAATTCAACACCTAAAATTTAAATTAAACTCAATTTAAGCATTGATACTCCCAAAAACCCTATCAAAACTATACACGTAATGAAAGCTAATTAAATAATCTATCATCTGATGCTTTGTTGATGATCCTAACATTAAAATTGTGCCCGCTACACGCGTCCAAACCGAATGCAAATTTGTCCCGTCCGATATCTTGCCGTCGGCTGCCGCTGGAAACTGTTGCTCTCTCGCGTCATGACTTAAGTACCACGCTGTATTCGTGGCTAAACCAGTTTGTAAGCTAGCCGCTCTTATGCACTCATCGACCTTCCAAATCCGAGATTTGAGCGCATGCGTGTAATTTGTTTGTTGCATCTGCTTTGGTTTAATAAAGATGTGTCCCTGGGTCGTTAGCGCGCATTTTCGTAGATGGTAAATGCGGCGTGATAGCGAAAAACAAAAGCGTCGCGGAATACATGCGTGTCGGCCGCCGCCGTTCGCGATTTGCGCCGCCATTGTTCGATCGCACTTGAAGCGTGCGTTAATTGCGTCACGCGTCGCGAATTTAACGGCCGCCGCATTATGAGTTTACAATATCCCGGCGGGATTAAATTTTCCGAAACTCGCGAAAAGATGCACGCGAAATTGCAAGATTTATTACGCTAGGGAGGCGGCGGCGTTTAGCGCAGCAAATATTCAAAGCACCAGACGACTCCGGTGCGGTTAAAAATTCATCGCGGCCCGCGGGGGCAAAGCTTGTGCCTTTTTTTTTTCTTTTGGGAAAATAATTAATCATTGTCATGCGCATGCGCGTCGCGGTCATTTTTCATCCGTCTTCGGGTATGATTGCCTTGAGCGAATCAAGTTCACTAAATTATAGTTGTCCGTCAAGGGTGTGATTAAATGGTAGCCGCGGCCGATGTCGTTCGAGGGCATTTTCCACCCAGCGCCTTCTGTTTAATAATATCTGTGGATTGTTGGTGGGTTGCAGGTCGGTGCGAGCCAGCCGCCGGTATGCTGATATCGTGCGCCGGCTGCGAGAAGCCCATCCTGGACAAGTTCCTGCTGAACGTCCTGGAGCGGACGTGGCACAACGACTGCGTGCGCTGCTTCGACTGTCATTCGATGCTCACGGACAAGTGCTTCACGAGAGAGGGAAAACTATTCTGCAGGACTGACTTTTTCAGGTAATTATATCCAAATTTAATTTGCAATATCTTCCAAAGTAAAAATCCCAGGATAACCAGCAAAACATACTTTAAAAGATGCTTAAATTGACTGTCTTTTGGTAGGTATTTGAATATTGTAATGTTTAAGGTGTTAAAGTTATAGGTTTTCCAAAGAAAAATGTTAATTTATCGGTGATAATTTGTATGATTACAAAATACACTAATTATCAGTAGGAAGTTATACTTTAAATAAGATAAAAAATATATAAAATAAAAGGGGAGAAAATTTCCTATCAAATAGTTGTAATCCTCAAGAAATTGCATAATTATTGATTGATTTATCGACTAATTAAAGTGCATAACAAGCGCGCACATCTGGCTTCTACTATATGTAATTGTAAATATTCACAGTTTACTTTAAACTCCTAAATATCTCAAGAAATATTTATCCGAGGATAATCGACAAAACATACCATGAAAGCTGATTAAATTGGCTTTCTTTTAGTCTTTAGTAGAATATTTCATTATATAGGGTACTAAAGTAATAAGCATGCAAAGATGAATCTTAATTTATTGAAGGAATATTTGCATAATTAGAAAAAACACTAATTATCTCTAATAAATGCCACTTTAAATGAAATAAAAGTTATATAAAATGAAAGCTTAAAAAATTTGCTATAAAATGATTTTAGGTCTGAGAATATTAGACAATTATTGATTAATTTAGAGACTAATTAAAATGCATAACATTTAGTGATGTTAAACACTCAACATTCGTAATTGCAAGAGGTCATACTACATTTCAAACAGAAATATCTCTTAAAGTAAAAGTCTGAAGATAACGAGTAAAACACGCTAAGAAAGATACTTAAATTGGCTTTCTTTTACACTTTATCCGAATATTCTCATGTACAGGGTCGCCAAGTTATAAGCTTTCAAAGAAAATAAAAATTTTAATAAGTAAAAATATGCAGCATCTTAAAAATTCTAATTATCTTAATGAAGCATAATTTCAATCTTGATAAAAATTATATCAAACAAAACCTGAGAAAATTTCCTACAAAATGAGTATATTCTCGAAATAATAGTAAAAAATTGACTAGTTAAAATCTACAATTAAAGTTAACTAATAAACTCCACACTCCAAAAACTATTCCAACCCTCCCCTTTCAACACCTAATCAAAAATAATTCTATATCATTTGATGTCACCTCAATAAATAACATATAATTAAACCCTACCAACCATATTTTTTTAATTGCCAGGGCGTGAATCGTGCCCGAAATGAGATAAATAACAAAATCAAACAGGCGCACACATAATTGTCACCAGAGGGTAGGAACCAAAAAAAAAACACACTCACGCGTATTTTTTCCCTCCACATGCATTTTTGTCAATTTAATTAATTTCGGTTTGTTTTGGTCATAAATTCCGTCAATTTTCACACGACAATCAAATTCTTTTATTCCTCATTCGCTTGCTGCGCGTTGTGTGAGCGAGCGGTGTAAATTTATCGTCACGAATTTAAGTGCGTCCGCTCGAAGTTTATTTATGCATCGAAATATAAATAATGCCGGTGTTTCATGTCGAAAGAAGCCAGCCAGGCAGCAGGCACCAGCCAACCGACGGTGCGCGTTTTCGCCCATGGGCGTTCAACTGGTAAATTTATGCTCACAACAAGATTATAGACAACATTTTTCATTTGCGTCATTATCACCCAAAAAATAAACCAAAAATACTCGAATTTATTTAAAGTTAGATTTTAGGTTAGTTATTGAGTATTTTGTGGTTATGTTTAGTTGATTTGTTGATTGACGCTGAAGAATACGTGATACACACGCGATGCACGCAACAACAACGTCAGCCCGCTATAAAACGTGATTTACGACGAATATTAATGACAAAATTAATTAACATGATCAGTAATTAAATAAGTACGTACACACGCACTGGATTTTCTAACCTAAAATTGTTTTTTTTTCTTGCTGTGTCGTTGCGATTTTTAAAAGTTTACGACTCGTAAAAATTCCGTCTGAAAAAGTAATGTTGCGTTAAGTCTGCAGCCATAAATACGTTGTAGGTAGACTGTGGAGGTGATGTTAGGTTTTGTTTTGCGTTTTTCGCATGGGTAAAGTGTTAATAATTGTTTGTTTCGTGTTGAATTACGTTTAATTGCCGACGAATATCGAATCGAAGTTGTGTGTTAACTTGCGCGACCTCAATCAACCCTCCAGCCACCCCCGGTTAATCGCCGGTGGACAGGTGTGTGCCTTCGTCATGCGCACATCAACACCTTTCAACAATTAAATAATGTTTGTGTTTATTTACTTAGATGCGGGGATAATTCAATCTAAACAGGGAAATATTTTATATCAAAATGTTGCGCAAAAAGAATAACACATATTTTAAACTTGAATATCTTCAAAAGTAATAATTGCAGGATAATGAACAAAACACCTATGAAAAGATAGTTAAATTAGCTTTCTTTTAGATTTTAGCAGGTAGATTTATCATATAGGGTGTAAAAGTTATACGCCTTTAAACAAAATATAATTTTTTTTTAAGAAAAACGGACAAAACTCTAAAAAAACTAATTATCCTCAAGAAGAATTATTTAAAACTAACTAATTTATATACCATATTAAAGCTATGAAAATTATCTGTACTTTGCTGGTACTTTCAAAAAAATCGCCTTAAAAACAAATAAATTACAAGCAAATAAACTTGTCAAATATTTTGGATAGAAAATGCAATGTAAACACTGCAAACATTTGTTATAAAAATGTTTTCCTCCTGTTTTTCTCTAATAAACCCAAACTCTTCCCGTTTTCCTCTTACGCCGCCTCCCGCTGATGTTGATGTTGATGTTCTGGAGGGTTTTGTGCGTTTCCGATTCGATTTCCTCCCCATTTCGCACCGTAGGCAACCCTCTAACCATGGGGGAATCTCCTCAAGTCGCGAAGGGTGCCACCGACAAAGTAAACGCTTCTATTATAGAATAATCGAAATTTATAAGGGCTCACAAGCCATTTCTACCCCCTAGCGCTAACCGTTTACGCACCAGCCCCGAAATTAACTAAATTTGCTCGTTTTTTGTTTCATATTCGCCCCGGACAACAATTTGTGCTCTAAAAAAACTGTGTGTGCTCGTTGCTAATAAAAATAGACGTTATGGGACAAAGTGCGGCGGTTGTGGACAAGGTATCTCACCCTCGGACCTGGTGCGCAAGGCGCGCGACAAAGTGTTCCACCTGAACTGCTTCACGTGTCTGGTGTGCCGTAAACAACTGAGCACCGGCGAGGAGCTCTACGTCCTCGACGACAACAAATTCATCTGCAAGAACGACTACGAAGCCGGCAACAAAGTCGCCATCCATCACGGTGAGTAGTGTGTGATTGGTTGCCGCTGTGCGCACCCGCCATCTATATAAACGTGTATGCACGTGTCGATCTCATATTTCGCGTGATTGCCAGGCTATTAATACGCGCGCAAAACGTAAGACGAGCTTGTGATCGTCGTGTGTGGTCTCACGCATCGATATAGGCACCTATTATTTCCTAAACATGGAAATTCGCAGAAAACTAGCAGTTTTTTTTTTCTTTCGTATTTTTTTTGTTTTTTGTGCGTTATTTGATGAATTTGAATGTTTTGAAAGTTTTGGTTATGCGCGATGTGTGGATGTGTGTGTGTGTTGTTGGCGTACACGTAACGAATCGTGCGCGAGACGAAAGAGTCCTGCGACGCGCCGTCGTTTCCCACCGTGAAATTGCTTTTTAATCGAAGTTTTAAACAAACGTGCTTACTCACCGCCGCCGCGGCTGCCGCTACCTTTCTTTCTTCGGCCGAAATAAACTTGGCTTATCATCATCATCACAACAAGCTGCAAAAACATTCCGAGGGGTTCAATCGAGTGTTGTTGGATGTTATTGTATGAAACTGTTACCCCGTGAGATGATGGCGGGTCGAGATGTTTGCCAAACATGCCGCGTTGTTATTACAAAGGGATGCCACCCCTGTGGTCGGGATCGGCGTGCGCAATGCATACGAAATATCTCTACCAACGAGCAGAGATCAGCCAGAGATCATCGTTTTTCGATTTTCAATTTTGAATTTAGGAAAAAATAGGGTTACAGTTGGAATTTTTAAATTTTTAAAAGTATATTATATGCGTAATTAGTTTAGCTTTCATTTGATGTATTTATCATTGATGTCGAGTTAATATTATCGGAGATATTCAAGATTTTTCAAAAGACAAACTTAATTTAATTCTGTTTTAGTTATTTTCAATTTACTCAAAAACTATAAAATATTTTTCCATGAAACAAACATTATTTTATACTCTGTATATTTATACAACTACCCCCAAAGTTTAATGTTAATATCTCTGTTAGTTTCTGCATAAACAACAAAAAACTTTTGCGTCGCTAGAAATGTTGCAACTTGCGCTACGTTTGATTGCACTCGACCTTCATGCAAATAATCCGCACCTTTTATTTTCTCAAGTCAATCATTCGCGGCGAGTTTTTATTATTTATAACAACCTTCACGCTCCAGCACAAACATTTCGCGTAAATTTGGCGCCCCTCGTGCGTTGTTAACCTTATAAATACATCTGCATAATGTAGTGGCGTTTTTACACGAATACACGCCGGGGGCGGTTGTCGAGAGTCTCGGCCCGATGGTGGCGGTTGCTAGGGGCGGGCGCAGCGATCAAAATCGCATCTCGTTTCAATTTCGCTGCGCAAACATTCCGCCCTTCCCCACAGGGGTGGTTTTTACATCTCTTCCCCCTAAAGGCAGCCGAATATTATTTGCGGATACATTTTCTCAAGTCGCACTGAATTCTTTTCGCATTTTTTTTAGTTTTCAGAAAAGAAATTAGCATAAAACGCGCATTAATCAACCAGAAAAAAATAAAAATATAAACATAAAAGTTTTGTTTTAATGCCTAAGAGTAAATTTGTAGTGTTTGCAGAGGTATTATGCTGTTTGTGCAAGTAATATCCGCAAACTAAGGGTTGAGGGTTGTCCGTAAGGGTAGTGGTCAAGTGTCTACAAATGCTTAACTTTCACCCTCGATTGTATAATGGTAGAAAATGGTATAATGTTCAATAATTTCGTGAATATCGATGATTTATTACCGATTATATGTGATTAAGTATCATCATACTCCGGCCCCGACCGAAAAAAGGGTAAATTACTCTCAAATTATATCAACAAGCATCGTCCCAGGTACCCCATGTGTAATTATTGAGTGTTATTATCTCTCCTACGTGCTTTAGTTTTAAATATTTTTGCGCGAAATATCCGTCGCCGCATGACGCCATTTTTTTATTCTTCTTCTACTCAAAGGTGCGCTATGAGAACCCCAATTAGTAAAGCGGTCCCGCTGGGAAACAAGCCATTATGAAACATCCTGTATGCGTGTGTGTGTGTGTGTAACATAAATATATTTTGAGGTGGATTTCTTGTCAGACAGTTTTGAAAAGTTGAAAACTTGTCATTTGCATATTAAAGGCATAACTTATTTTTAAACTGTGCGTTATTTTTCGGGTATAGATTCAGGCTCGGAAGACGAAGAAGATGATGATAATAGTACAGGTTCATCGGTTATGAAACACCACCCTCTGCATAGTGGGTTGCCGCCCATGGGCGCCGAAACCAACAACAATTCACTCTCACATTCGGACATTGGCAGCTCAATAGGCCAGGTAATGATCTAACCTCTAAATATTTTTAATCTAACCTATAAAAATATTGATGTGATTAGTTTGGTTGTCTACAGGATTCGAAAACGGGGCAAGAAGACTCGGAAGATCAGAATTCGCTGGATGGTGATCCGGAGGCGAGAGACGCGCAGGCTGAGAACAAGTCGCCGGATGATAACAGCGCGGGGGCGAAGCGCCGAGGGCCGCGGACGACCATCAAAGCGAAGCAGCTGGAGATCCTCAAGACGGCCTTCTCGCAAACGCCGAAACCCACACGCCACATTCGCGAGCAATTGGCGAAGGAGACAGGCCTCGCGATGCGGGTCATACAGGTACGGATCTTTTTCGGATTTAGCACGGTCGTTTCGCTAAGCAGGCGTTAAGCAATGTACAATAGAATGCACGCGGTAGATGGCGCCAGTGTGCGTTAGTCACGCCGGCGCAAACGTGTCGCTGACTTAATGATTTACGACCACAATATATATATATAGAAGTGTAATGACAAAATATTTTCCGATCTTTTTTTCTTTTCTTTTTTCTCTTTGCGCGTTGAGTTTTATTTTATTTTTTTGAAGGAAAAATATCAAAGGCGCACGCCGTTATTACTATTATTAACATATGCGAGCGTATGCACGACGTTTAACACCCATAACACCTGAATGAATAAAATATTTATAAAGTCGTAAAACGCGTATTAAAAATCATATTTATGTGCCGACTGAGACTGCGCGCGCCCGTGTGGTGATATAATAAAATAAGTCAAATATTCTCAACGCCGGCCAGGTAAATCCGGTCGATACGCTTTGGGAGTTTATCTCGGTCTCTTCTTTCGCCTGTGTGATGTCCAGCTTTTTGTTTGTGATTGTGAAACTTTTACGAGCGGATTTAAAAACTAGTTAGGTGGGTAGGCAACCAATATAACCTCAATAATGTCGGATGTAAGTTGTTGCAATTTTGGCGACATGTGCGTAACGATTACCCGCTGGTTGATGGTAATTGCTAATATCAAGAGGGGAAGTAGTAAATTACACGGTATGCACCCCCTAAGCGATGCACCCTCGGCCCGCTTGTGGTTATAGTGCCAATCGGCCGAGAATTGCCCAAATTATTGTAATTTCGACTCACATTAAATCTCAACAATGAAAAATTATAGTTTTAGGCTGTAGTGTACTTACATTCGATGATTACACCACCCAACACTTGATTTTTATTGTTTATAGATGTTTATTTTGTTGTAACATTCACTAAACTGCAAAAACTAACCAACTGGAGGTTATGTGTAGTACTGATTGTCACCACCGTGCGCTGCAACATGTTAATACGTCATCATCGGGTTAGATCGGTGGATGTGTATAATATAGGCAACTTACATTGCTTATTAAAGCAACAAATAATTTTTTGAATTTTGAATTTTGTTCTAATATTGCCGCCGTCGCGTTGTGACACATTGTTAAACATGGTGTATACATGGTTGCGTTTAAAATATGAACATGTGCGGTTACCACCCACTAGCATCCCTTTCGCAAATGTTACAATTTCATCTCCGCAGGGGTGCTGTATAACAGTATAACAGTATAACCCCCGTGGGGGCACTTTCTTTGACCTCACCGCCTTCGCCGCCTGCCTGTTATGATGTAGGCATAACCACACTTTTTCTCTTTCCTCTGTTTTATCGTTTTTTACTCCATTTTGGTCATTCGATATTAGTCCAGTTAACTAATAATAACTAGCAAGTTATTAGTCTCGTCTTGCGGCGGGCGTGTCGGGTTAAATTTTACTACCATACTTGCACGCCGCGGAATTTTATGCTCTATAAAAACCATCTCGCGCTAAATATTTATTGCGAGCTTCCTGGAACCAGCGCCACATAAAATGCAGCGCGCGCGCGCGCGAGGCTCGTTTTTTCCGTGATTTTTTGTGCATTTATTAAAACATATTTAGGTTTGTGAGGATTGTGAGACGTTTATGATGTTTACGAGATGCGAGCGGGTTTTGAAGGTACCTATGTCTTTCGGGCCGCGTTTGAGGGCGCTCAGCGTGCGCGCCACCCGCTAGGTGATATTACAAGATGTTCCCATATTTACAACTTCGGCGGCCTTTCATTTCGGCCTGCAACACAAAAAATAACGATACATAATTCATAACCTTTGGAAATACATGAAATTTCAATAAATTCTGCATTAAAATTAAAACATTTGTATAAATGATCAATTTTGTGCCATTTTTCGAAAATTTTTGGGTAAAATTGGCAGATGGTTGCTAGAAAACAGCGAATTTTGTTCCCTGCGTGGGCGTGCACACCCTATACAATGATTAATTGTTGCCGGGGCCTCAGAACGTCGACCCAAACTTCATTTTTCATTGTTTTTTTTCTTCAACAAGTCAAACTCATAACTTACGTTTACCGGAGCGATGCCTATGGGAAAATGGTGCGCGTCTCATGCCCGAGTCTAACCAGAAGGTGTTATTAATGTTTAAACCATAAAGAATCACATTCTCCCTTGCATCATTTCGAAAATAAGATGCAAAGGCGAATAATAACAATAATCGCCGTAATGGCTGTGGGTAATCATCGGCATCTGGACGTGACGTGCGTCCGTCGATGCGAAACCGAACGGAGGCCATGCAGAAACCACAAAACACAGAAAAAAACAAAACATAACCCTTTCCGAGGTGTTAAAAACTATGATATGGGAATTAAGATGAAGTTTTCTTTGCAGGTGTGGTTCCAGAATAAAAGAAGCAAAGAGCGTCGCCTGAAGCAGTTGACGTCGATGGGTCGCGGACCGTTTTTCGGCTCAACGCGAAAGATGCGCGGGTTTCCGATGAACCTCTCACCGGGTGGCCTCGATGACGGCCCCGGTGGATTTCCGTACTTTGCTGATGGTAAATTTGAGTTTGGTTATGGTGGTCCGCCATTTCATCCGCACGACGGGCCTTATTTCCCTGGAATGCCTGGACATCCGGTTGGGCCTGGTGGTCCCCCGATGAATTTCCCTCCTGGAGGTAATAAATAATCTAAGCAATTATCAAAAACAAAAATAATTAAATTTTGATGCACCTTAGGTCCAATGGAACATGGTCCTCTGCCCATGGGTAGTGATTTCGTGGGAATGCCTTCCGAACAGGGTTTCCTCCCGCAAGGAGGTCCCCAAGGCCCTGATGGTCTCATGGGTGGTGGGGGTAATGGTCCCGGAGGTGGTGGAGGTGGTGGAGGCGGCAATCGTGGCGGGTCACCTGAATTCATGTCGCCTGGTAGTTTTGCCGATAACCCTCAACAGCTGAACGAAGGACTGGTGTGGTAGCTAGCGAAGGCCCTTGCCAAGAGGGCTAGGGAACACTGAATCGCAACAAAGAGCACGAAATGCACAAACAAATTCCATTCGATTGTACATAAACGTTAGGCTTTGGTTCGTTGATTCACACACACACACTTGTTTATTGTTTCATTATCGGCGCGATTTTGTTCTCTTTTTCGAAATGATCGAATACGTTATTTATTTATAATTAAATGTAAATAGCAGATGCTAAGCGAAAATAAATAAATGCATTTGATTAATTATAATGCAGGTGCGCGAAGAAAAACGCACGCGGACGACAAATTATTTGTAAATATTATAATATATTATACATAGATAGATTGCGAAACCTAACATTGTCTCTGTATATTGTTAAATAATAGCTGTGCCCTATATCTTAAGTAAATATTACTTAACTATAAACAAATTGACTTTTACTTCACTTCCTAATCCTTATTATTGAAAAAAAATCAAGAAAAACGCCGTTTGATGTCGAATTTGTTTATATGTGTGTGTGGTAAACAACTTGAGTTATTGTTAAACAAAATAAATCCACAAACAATACCAGTAGCGCCATCTACCAGATTTAAACCCAAAAGAAAAATAGGTATAAAGCTGTATTCGGTACACGTGTCGCCCTCTGTAGTATTAAATAAGAACTAATATACAACACGACTTTTAAGATATTTAACTAATTGTTTAAATCGTCTTAAATTTCAGTAAACAATCTTATTTATTATAGAAAAAACAATGTTTTGCATTGTTTTCCATAAATATTTCTTGATTTAAAATAAAAACATATCCGGATATGTAGAAAACTGTAATTGAACGTGTGTGGCAGTTACAACGATTTTATTAAAACCGCCGCCGTCGTAGTCGCCGCCCCCGCCTGCCTGGCGCCACGACGCTTATTGATCCTTACACTTTCACTCGCGTTTAGAAATTTTAACCAAAAACTAACAAGCTACAATCAGTACAACCGTATATTAATATTAATTGTTATTTAATCGGTGTGCATCGAATACTAAACGCGCGTTATCACATTCCGCCGCACAATACAAAAACCACAAGCATTGCGAATGTCGAAACATCGAAGTCGTCGTAGCAATTAAAAGTGCAATTGAATAACTGGTTAACAACACACGCCTGCCTGTGTTCACTCCTGCGTCTGCCGCTGCCGTGATTCGATTCCAGTTGCTTTTCGGCTGCCGGCCGCGAACGATGACTAACCGCCTACGCCGAGATTAAAACAATTACCAAGTGTTAACTGCGACTAATTAAACAATGAACTAATTGTTTATTGTTGTTATCGCAAACGCTCAAACGCGCAATACTAAAGAATCATTACTAAAAAATTAAAAACATTTTTTTCTTAAAGTTTTAAATTTAAAAATCAATTAAACAATGAAAATGCGGCTGATTCCGGTCGTGTACTTCGGTTTCACAGCCATGGATCGAAGATTCAGCAGTCCAATGCTGCCGTGGATATTTTCCGAGATTAGAAAACGAGAACATCAGGAGAAAGTAAGCAACAAACATAATTTTACATAAAAAAGCACGGAATTATTCAGAAAAAATCAATGTTGCGATAATTTCGATAATTTATTGCTATTCGCAAGCAGAAAAAACTCGTTTCTCTGACGTTAGAGCTCAATTTGAAACTTTATTTACAACAATTTATGCAAATTAATGTTTACTGGGTTAAGGTGACTGGAAAAACATTTATTCACATCTTCAATGCTTAATATCTGCGTAAAATAATTAACAAGTACTCGTAATTGTCTCTAATATGGAATTGTTTTGAATACGCGAAGAAAGCGTTACGGAATGATTGTGTAACGATGTCTAATTTGTATGTTTACACGTTGACCTTGACGTCCGCATGTTAATTTCGACCGTTAATGAAATTATTTCGTTATTATGATTATTTTCTTCCATCGCACGAGTTCAACTTGCAAGTTACAACTTTGTAATCGACGTAAACAATAATATTCGTACAGAAATAGCTCGAAAGTATTCATTATTTAAGTATTGTGATTAAATATTTGCGAAATTGTTTTTGCGTTCAGGTGTAGTGCGCAATTGATTTCGAAACTACATAATAGATCAACCAGTTTTTTTTTGTTGACAAAATAAAGACTGTGAATATTAATTAAGTATTTTTGGAGAAGTAAACAGGAAGGAGTTGACCAACCTTGTGGTTTAGACACTAAAACATTTAATTGACTGTATTTATATCGGTTTATAGACGTATCTTGATAAAATCTAGTTTATACGAAAAGCCATCTATTAAATTTATACCAGGAAGAGTTTTTGACAGATTAGGTTAGTACTTGTGTCGCCATCTATGAAAAAAGTTGGAATTAGATGCAAACTTTAAATTTTTTATGATTTTTTGAACAATTACGCGAATTAACGTGAAATTAGGCAGCGTAGACGCTTGATTCAATGTATTTATATCTTTTTAAACATAGGACTTTGTTCGTATCCCGATAAAATATAGTTGACAATGACAGGATGCGCGTACATATCCAAAACGCTCAAATGATCCCTAATAAACTCCATAATCAACAGTTGAATCTGCTCCTCAAAACCAGAATCCGTAAACTTCTCGAGAATCATCTGTCGTTGGTGTGTAGGCAACTACAACCCATAAACAACGCAATTTATTAATAATTACACTCATTAAAAACGTAAATTTCTATGTAAATTCAACGGAAACTTTCTGAAATATAAAGGAATATTTATTAAGCGTTAAGACATTAATTCCTACCGGTTTGAAACCATTTTCCATGTACATTCTGTATAAATCTTCCAGAGGAGATTCACCAGGTACCTCCTGGAAAATACAAACACAAAAATAAATAAGTGTTTCATTGTTGCGCATTGGTAACCTTGTAAAACGCAGAGTAAACATGATAATAAAAAAACTAAGTGCTAATTTATGTAAGTGCATACAATTTAATAGCTATTGGCAAAAAACTCACTGTGACCGATGTCATGATCTTCATAATTGCGCTTTCCAACAGCGGGAAATCATCGAGGAAAATTGCTGAACACCAAGCTTTTTGGAAGTATTCAAAGAGGTCTGTTATGTAGATTGATTCAAAACGGCGGACTAAATTGTTTAATAAAGCTTCGTGTTTGCCCCAAAGTAGGACTAATTTTCTATAGTCAAATTTCTAACAAAAAATTTAATTTTGAGGTTATTTTATTATTTTTATAATACCTGAGCAGAAAGACAGGTTATAGTCTCCACCATTCTGTGATTATTAAGGTGTATACGAAAATAACCTTGGGATTTAAGATTTTTACAGTTTCCTGTAGTATAAACAAAGCCCTAAAAAGTAAAAAGGTAAAAATAAATAATTAAGGTTATGTATTTTATATACATAGTCAGAATCACTCATGGCTGTCTCCAAAGGTGTCTGAGGACCTGGTTTGACCACATTGAGATATCTAAGCCCTCCTGGTAGTTTGCAATATGTCAACAATGGTTTAAAATAATATGGTACCATGTGCTTGGACTGCCTCCAACAGGACTTGCCAAATTCATATTTTACCTTCTTACGTTCTTTAAATGGTAGTAAAAGAGTTCGGATAGCTCTACCAAGTCTAGCACTATATTAAAAATAAGTCTTTAAGGTTAGATTTTAGATTTTATATGAGTTATACCCAATTTCCTGTGAGTTAAAATGTTGATGTGATAAATGATCAGCCCATAACTTTCGCGAGTATTTCGTCACAGGTCCAGCCCCGAAAATAAACTCATCATTCGTGTGACAATCAGGGTCTATCACTAACCTACCATCAAAGACCAGACCTGCTTCATGGATGGCTTTAAAGATTTCCACACTATAAATTTATAATCCGCGTGTGTTAAGCATATTATATTTATTTTGCGTTTTTTGAACTTACTTTACTGCTTTATCACTGTACAAAAACGCGCAGAGTGGGGTTAAGACAAGGTACCTCGTAAAACTCTCAAACTTAAGCGTCAACGGCTTAGAATACCAGTCAACCAGTTTAAAACCCAGTTTCGTCTCGACTCCGTATTTTTTCACTAAATTATCAGCGGTTTCAAAGATTCCGCCATCTTGAAAAACAAATTCATGGTTTACCGCACCTTCACCCACACTGGACACTGGTTCGATGAAGGTTATATGAGAACAAGGTATTCCGAATTCTATCAGAGCTGCTATGCAACAATAACAGTCAATTGAATGTCCATAAATTACGATTTGGTCTAGAAATTGTATTTTTGAGGTTATGTATGATTATACAAAGGTACCACCTAATTACTTACATGGTTTATTACCATGACGATCTAATAGGCGTCTAAGAGTATTTAATGCACGATCACCATCAGCTTCATTGTTTATTGTAAAACAATTCGTTGGAAGTTTTGTTTTTTCGAATTCTTTAGCTCCGGCTTTCTTTGGTGGACCATATTGAAGACCAGTCATTAGGAAGAGGTAATCATAGGGCACAATGACACTTTTACCCACTCTAATGTTTTTAACTAAAAACATTGCGTTTCTAGGTTAAATTTTAAGTTTTTGAGGTTAAAATCATACCTTTCCTATCAATTCCAGTCAAAGAACCTTTTAAAACGCTAATTTTACTCCTCAAACCAGTTTTTTCCATGTACACATAATCTCTGAGCGTATGTGTAGCGTTTAACATATTCCTAACCTTATTTCTCTTCTCGTCTCTTATCAATCCATCAGTTGACACTAGTAAAACGTTAGTAAACGTGACTAAACACTGTGTAACTTCATTTGTGAGGAGTTTTTCTAAAAATGATAGCGCTGTATCCGATGCTCCGACCACAACAATCCTTTGATTGATCTGTACCCTAAATAATCTAAAATGTTTACATATTCTACGAATACTAGATTGCTTACTCTTGTTTACTCATCAGATTCGGAGTGGATATGAACAAAGCATAAGGTTCTTCCGGATAATCATACTGCTGTTTCTTTACTGATACCTTTATCTTCCTCGGAGGGACCAACCACATGTCCTTCATAGCGAAAGACAGTGGTCTTACTCTGTAACTCATCGAGTCGTGATAATTCAACGCGTAGAACAGCGTTTTGAATTCGGTTTTACGATGGATTTCACGCAGGAAATATTTAAGGTGACCTTTGAATAGAGGTGAGATCACAAACGATAACAGGTATCCGAATGTAAAATCACTATCTCTGCGTATATCTGATCTTTGGTTGATGGCGTATTTCATCTTCATTGAGGTTAGGTCGGTTACTTTTGTGACTTGGGCTATGCCCACTGGGTATCTGTGGTGTTTACCACTCAGGGCTAGGAATGTGGCGATGGGTTCTTCACCGGAGCAACCTTTTTCGAAGTTGGTTATGATTTCGCCTGGTGTGTTTGGAGGTTGGATTAAGTTGATGAAGTTGGCGACTTTTTCGGCGTCTTGGATTTCAGCGTGTTTTATGCGGATGGGGGTTAATTGTCCACGGTGGCAAATGTATAATTCATGTGGGTGTTGGGAGGACAACTTGGGTTGTACCCGGACGAAGTAGTTGAGTATTGCCGAGTAGTCTGAGGTGTGCGGCATCATTAACAGGCAATAATCACGGGTTGGGAAGCATTCAAAGCAGGAGATTATGAGGAATGGGAGGGATGTTTGATGTTTTGCATGGGCGGCTAGGATTTCTATTGCGAATGCGTTTTCTGTACCCATGAATGGCAATTCTGAGGGTACTAAAACAAAAAGACTAGAAATTAGTTTTTTTCAAATATCTCCCAAAGTATTAATCCCAGAATATTGGAATAAAGACTAAATTAAAATAAAAAAATTTACTTGATATTGTATCTTCCGAAGAAGCCTCCTCGTAAACCATAAAATCGGAAGCATGCGATTTGTTCAACGTTAAATGTATCGAAGACGTTGAACTATCAGGCGATAAATCTTCTATATTGTCTAAAATCGAAAAAGTTAAACCTTTTGCAGGCAAAGCTGCTTCACTTGTTTTCATCCAACCAAATAGCAACTCTTCGTCGATGAACGTAGACTTAGACTTCAACCTACTGCAATAAAATGAAGCAATTAAGAGTAAACAATTATTCCGTAAACGTAATTTCTTTCATTTACACTTCGTCTAGTTTTCTGGAGTTGTATCTCTCAATGGGTCTTTCTAGAATTGAAAGTCCAGGCGGGAAGATTGATGATTGTGGTGGTGGGAGTTCCTCTTTTATGGACTGAACAGGAGATGGTTTAGGCACAGGTTTTCTGGCTTCCTGTCGCGCTGTTTCCGCTTTGTATAAACCAGTGAAAACGTGCAGGTCGAAGCATTCATTCAACTGGTCGTAATTTACAGTTGAGTTTAAGCAGAGGACTGAAACTGCTTCGCCTTCATGCTCGGCAACGATGATACTCCTGTGACCTTCGTGATGTCGCGAGATTATCTCAGCGACGTAATATTCTCCGTATAATTCAACGAAACGTGGTGAGAATTGATGGATCAAAGGGACTAGGTCATCGTTGTCTTCTTCAACCGCACGTCGGATTTTATACTGAGTGATAAAATCTTGTCTTACACATAATCTGATTGTTTGAACTTGCATCGGATCAGTAAAATCTGTCAGAAATGAAAATTTTTAAACTTAAAAAGTTTTTTTTAAGTTTTAATGCGTACCTTTTGGTAATACTACACTGGAACACCCATCTAGATAAGTCACCTTATCATGACACCCCTTCGGGATAACAAAAAGCGTAAACTGTTTAATCATCAACTCATGAAAGAGATTATTCAAGATCGGAAACAAAAAACCAAACTCGTATTTTTTATCGTAGGCAACAAGATGTACCCATAAACTGTTATAACTGGTTAGGTCCTTGATGTTATATAATTTATCCGCCCAGTGTGACCAGCCCACTTGTGGTAACGCTGGGACATTAGGATATTCATCCATACATATTACTGCGACGATTTTCTTCAAAATATTAACCAGTTTATAGGAAATAAAACAATTGTGTCTGAAAAAGTAGGTGTAGATATAACCTCAATAGTACTTTTTGACAGTTTCCTGTAATATTACATAGTCTCAAACGGGTCCTCGATGTGAAACACTTCTAAGACTCGTGCGTCCATCAATTTTTTAACTTCTTCGATATCTTCGTATAGTAAAGGTCTTACATTAAACCTGGTCAGATTCTCGGTCATTTCATCTTGCGAAGTGGTCGTAGTTGATGAAAACGATTTTGAATCGTCGAGGAATGCGTTTGTGGAAGAGCTAGAGTCTTGTATCTTCACATCTGAGCTGTTGTAGAATGAAACGTGTGTTTGTGGTTGGGCTGTGGATATTTTCGGTGTGAATAAGTAGGAGAATTGTTTGAGTTTTTCAGCACGTGGTAATTTCCTCTCGGATTTTTCAGAGAGTACCGCACTGGATGCGATTGTAACGGATTTCGCGCGTTCGGATCGATGCATTCTGAATTATTTTATGTAAAATATTAGTAAAAGTAAATATTTTGTATATGATGACATATAATTGACAGAATTTAATATGTTTTGTTTTTATTATTACAGTTGAGTCTCGGCGTCGAAGATGGCTGCCTTCAGGCTTACAATCAGGACTTCGAAGTGCAATTTTCGCACAAATTAAGCATGATGACACGTTTTTCACAAGCCGATTCAGATCCATGCACATTTTTATATCTTCTAAGAGATGATGCCGAACAATTGTTATATTGTTACCTGTTTACAACTTATAAACCCAATGATGTGAGTATTAGAATTAGGGTTGTATATTTTGAATACAAGGGGCAAAAATAATTACCTATACATTATTTTGGTAATGGTTTTCCATAAATGCAAAATATTGAAGCCTTCATCTTTGATTTCATTGGTAAAAATGAAAGGTGCGTCTATAACATGAATAATCCCGTTTGTACATTTAATATTCCTCTTTAAAATGTTAATAAGTTTTGTTCCCCATAAAATTCTAACACCGTCATCACTATTTGTAAATTTGGCAATGATTTTCTCAATTCCTAACCCCAATGTAACAGTATCACCTCTTAAACTTGTTTTGTAACATCTACTAATCTCTGAGTGTCATAAATCTCTTCTGTAACATGTCTCATTATAAATTTTTCAAAGTTTTTCATACCCATCAAGTATTTAAATGATTGTCCGGTTTGTTCCATGAATTTTTGCCAGTTTTGATCATTTACCACGAATATTGTATAATTTTTCGGATTATCATTGCGTAAATTCTGTATTTCCACATTCGTTATATTTTGTAACAACATTGTTTGTGTTTGTAGAAAGTAATCGTTGTTTATGTGATCCCAAAGTGTTCTTTGTGGAAATATAGGCGCCATTCTTGTTTGCCATACGCCTGGCATGTGTTCAACTATATGCGCGACGCCATTTTTTAACGGGATGTTGGCCTGTAGGAGTTTTATTGTTTTTAAGTGATGATTTAGAGTATCATGACTTTCTATCTGCTTATCTTGGAATGTAATCTCGCAGTCTCGGGATAATGTATGAAAAGAAGTGTTTCTGAGTGTGGGATGTATGAAAATCACTGATGGAATGATGGAACATTTGATTGCTTCTTGGGTTATGTCTGTGTCTTCTAGACTTGTTCGGAATTCGTCGGCAGGAATGAGAAATGTGTGTCCTTCGACTGGCTCTTTGTATAGAGGCACTGAAGATGTCATAATTACGCGTTTGTAGTAGTTGTTGAGGGTGTATGATACCAAGGGCCACGTTGATGTCTGTGCTAGGAAATCGTATGCTGTGGGGGATGTTGATAATGCCATTGGGACTATCATCGGCGATAGAACTTTGTTGATTTTGTGTACAATCTAAAAATATTAACATTTAGTTAGATTAGAGTTCAAATATTAAATTTTAGAAGGTTTTTAATTTTTTTAAGAGAATTAACTGAACGGATGAACCTGTAATTTCCCGTAATCATCCTCCCTGCTCCTGCTTTGATGATTACTATCATTTTTCAACAACATGGCGTCGTTTATATATAAATTATCCTCCATACTTAACCATAGATTTGGTAATTGTACTTGTACGCTTTGCATTGGTTGTTTTTGCTCAGCGTGCCCTTCTAATCCTTCGATAGCTAATGCAATCGGTAGGAGGTGATAAAGTAGAAGGTTTTCATCCAAACGACCTCGAAATTCATCGAAAGCTTCGTCTGTAGGCGCCAGAATCGTCAATTCGCGATGACGCAAAATTCTACGGGCGTTTTCATTGTCTCTCAGGAGTTGCGAGAATTGTTTGAGGTCCTTATGCGTTGAGAGGTCCTCCAAAACACGCGGAATTAACCCAACAAGACAAAAACATTCATTTATACTAAAAATAATAAATTGGTATGAGTGAAATCAATCAAATTTCAACTTACGGTAATAATATTAATAGTAGAAATAGTTTTGCCATTATTTGCGAATACTTGATGTTTATTGTTAGGCGCACAAACAAATTATGAGCGTGCGCGTCACAAATCAATTTGTTTATGTAGTACACATCGAATACAGTTTAATCAACAATTGACTTTGACTTAATTTCTAATCGATTGTCAAGGACAGCCATAAATTGAACTCAATTGTTAACAATTGCAACAAAAACAATTTTTAATTTTTTTTGTCTTGTGTTTTTAAGAATGATTTTTTGGTATAGTTTAGTTTACTTTTTGGCACACCGATCAACGAACACTGCAATCTATTTGTGTTTGAAGCTCGTGGCGGTGGGAAAAGCTAATAATAAAGAGAGAAAAAACTTTGCTCGACGAATGCGTTTTGCCAAAACACCGCACAACGATCAGTCGTGAAAGGAAACTCGGAAAACTCGTTTTTATACCTCAAAATTATACAAAACATCAAGAAAACAAACAAAAACACAAGTTTGCTTTAAAATAAACGTAAAAAATTAACCAGTGATAAAATAAATTATAAACAAACGTTTTATTTATATTAAAATAGTGTTAAAATAGATTTTAGTACTATTAGTGACTCTAAAAGTGTCAAAACATAAATTTGACTGTTTTGTTTTCCTTTTAATAAAGTAGTTTTCGGATAATATTCATTCGTGGGTGTCGTAGAGGTTAAATCGTGCTGTTAAGGTCGTGCTTTAATTAGACACGATCAAACTTAAACTTCAACTTAAATTGCCATTCGAATTACTTGGCTAGTGTCATGATTTCCACACCGTTGTATCATCACTTTCATCCTTCATCAAGCAATCAATCAAATAATCAAAGTTATAAAAAACCACAATCTGAACATGTGGTTGCCTATAATGAAAGTTCGAATAGCCATAAAGTATAGCTAACTATTCTTAAATGTAATTTAAATTAACGATTTTATTTTGTTGTTTTTAAGGTAAATGAATTGTATCAACAAATGAAGGATCATCAAACTGCACCGAGGACTTCAACGTCTTCTAATTTGACTTCGTTATGCGTTGACATTTCTCCATCATGTAGTAATTTCTTCGAAGTGCTCTACATTGGAAAAATTAAAGTTTGGCACAAGAAAGTTCCAGATACTTTTATTGATGATGCTTTGGATAAATTTAAACAGCATGATCATGAGAAGAATCGTAAGAAGTTGGCCAGATTGAAGAGTGAGATGGATTTGAGACGTGGATCAATTGTAAATTACTAATATTTAAATTAAGTTATGATTTAAACTAAAAAATTAAAATTTTTAGGATTCAACTTGCAGTTTAACAGATACATCTTCGACAATCGCAGGTATTCCTCGCCTGCAACGTTCACATTCTTTACTTTCAAATCTCTCGATAAAATCACCGGATGTCGATCGTAAAATACCGACTTGTATTGAACGTATCACTGAAGATAACGATAATGAACTGCGTGAAGAAGCAGAAGATTCCACTGCAAATGATACAGAAGATATTGCGGATAATAAAAAGGCTTCCTTAGAGAAAGAAAAAGAAGAATTGCGGAAATTATCCATGGATCAATCTACTGCTGCTCCTGAAGATCTTGAAGAACTTGAGAAACAATTGAAATCTGCGGCAGAGAACGACGAACACAATCGAACCATGGTGTTACAAGTTGATCGCACTGATTTGCGATTGATTAGTCCTGATCGGAAAGTAATCCTCTTGCACAAACAACATAAAGATATCACCACTTGTATTCAAGGTGTAACTAATTCTCAACACTTTGGATTCATCGCTAGGGAAGCATCAAATCCGGGAACAGTTGCGACTTATATTGGTTTTGTTTTCAAATGCGAAAGTTCTTCGGTTGCCGCCGAGGCAGTCGCTGCTATAACGCAGGCGTTTACAAATCCAGGATCGAATTCTTCAGATCACAATAAACATCGCGCTAGTATTACTTCCTGTGATCATTGTCCGATGGTATGGTTTCATCGACTTTGTTGTGAGATTGAATCCATGCCGGAGCGAAAACAACAAGCTGCTATCATGCGGAAGATTGATCAACTTGACGATGATGAGCAAACTCTGATTATGACTAAATTTAGAGGCGCAGAGACGGATTCGTTAAGAGAACAAAATGAGTTTCTCATGATGCTGTTAAGAGCGCATTGTGAAATGAAACAAGGACGACATCAACATGACACTGCAGAGCAACGATCAGAGTTTTTGAATCAGTATCTTGGAGGTGGGAATACCATCTTCATGAAAGCTAAAAGGTCCCTGAGTAACAGTTTTGATCATTTGCTGAAGAGACGTGGAAGTAGGGATGATTTTGGACTGGCAACAAAAGAAATGGTTAAGGATTTGACTCTTCCTATTCACGCAGCGCTGAGCAGGGAGAGTTCGCCGAATTCTACGCATAATGAAGTACAAGGTACTTCAGGATCATCGGTTGCTTCAGAGGATACCAGGAGTAGGTCTAGTACAATGTCTTCTATACAGGATATTAAGGATGAGAAGAGTATGAAGTCACCGATGATGGATATGTAATTATTATTTCTTTTTCTATGATTTTTTTCATTGCATTGATTTGTTTGTCGTAGATTTATGAAAGTTGGAAGTAACACAGGCCCAACGCCTAACACTCCTGGATCTTGGCGTCAGGCCATTTTTAAAAGGGTTATGACTCCTCTAAGCCTCGCCCACAGGGACACCATTATTCTAAAGAAGAACTACGTCAATTGTGGAAGAAAAGTATACATCAAGCGATTTTGCTGGTGCGCATGGAGAAAGAAAATGCAAGGATTCGCGCAAAACAAGAAGAATCAGCTGTAAAACGCATTAAACTAGAATACGATGAAATGAGAACCATGCAAGGTGACTTTTTGGAGGTGTGGGATCTCATTACCAACTCCAATAAAGATTCCAGGGGTAAACCTGACAGTAAAATGTTGTTACAAGCCATAAAACAAGGTATACTTCAAAATTAAATGTTTTTATGATTTGTTTTTAATTTGTGGAATTGTATTTTAGGTATTCCACGAGGAAAACGTGGTGATGTCTGGCATTACCTCGCTGAGCAATTCTGCGCACAATTACCACCTATAGATCCTGTCAAATTTCCCACTTATCAAACTTCTTACGAAACCCTTTTGAAACAACTCACTTCCCATCAACATGCAATATTAATTGATCTTGGAAGAACTTTTCCGGGACATTCATACTACGCTAGCCCATTGGGACCAGGACAATTAGCGCTGTTTAATCTGTTAAAAGCATATTCTCTCTTGGATCCTGAAGTTGGCTATTGTCAGGGGTTAAGTTTTGTTGCTGGCGTTCTACTTTTACACGTAAGTTTTTTTCGTTAATGCGTTTCGAAAATTGGTTTAATGCTAATTGTTTAAATTCCTAGATGGATGAATCCTCTGCGTTCTTCCTACTAAGACATCTTATGTACCGGCGTAATCTACGAGATCAATACCTCCCAGACATGGTGGGGTTACAGATCAAACTGTATCAACTCTCCAGATTGTTGAGGGATCAACTTCCAGAGGTTTATAACCATCTGGATGCTTACGAGGTGGCTCCCACCTTGTATGCGGCCCCATGGCTGCTAACAATCTTTGCATCTCAATTTCCATTGGGATTTGTTACTAGGGTTTTTGATCTTATTTTCCTGGAGAATACCGATGTTATTTTTCGTGTTATTCTTGCTCTTTTGACTCATCACAAGAACGGTATACTCGCATGCGATTCATTTGAAGATATCATGAACTTCTTGAAGAATAAACTTCCACAGATTGACAAACCTAGCTTATTGGACGCCATTATGAAGCGGGTGTACATGATGGACATCTCTAAACAACTGCATGTGTATTATGTTGAATACAATGTGTTGCAGGAAGAGATGCAGAGTATTCAGAATCAATTGGACACTTTTCAGCGTACAGAGGTACAGCTTAAACAAGTCCATGAGCAAAATAAAACTCTTAGCCATCAGCTGGAGATGGCTTTGAGTAATGTTCAACGTTTGGAGCAATCCAGGTCAATGCAACAGTCTGCGATGAATCGCCTTGAAGCAAATAATCGAAGCATGGAGGTTACCATCATGACCCTTGGATCTTATCTGCACAATCTTATAGATAGTAATCTTAGTCTAGGGGTGCAGGTTCCAGGAGAAGTGAGAAGAATCTTGGAAAAGATTCCAGTTGAGAAACCCAAAGAAACATCGAAAAACATCTTCAATAATTTGTTCAATAAACAGAACAGTAATCCCAATCGCATAATGGTTAAGTCCTTGAGCACAGGGAGAATTACGCTCAATGATAAAGACAGGAATTCTGATGTCCTGAGAGCAAATAGTTTAAACGTCAATGGAAATCGTAATAAAGCCTCGTTTTTCAGTGATTCACATAAAGATATCCTGATAAACCAGCAGAATCTACACGCTGGATCCACTAAGGACCTGCTGACGTCTCCGGATAGTGGGGTCTCCACCCCTGTAGCTCACAAAGACATAATCGAAGAATCAGAAGAAGATTCTTTGAATAACAATAATAGTAATGAAAACCCCGTGGAAAAGAAAGGACCACCACTGAATCACTGCGATCTGAATGTGACCGTCAATCATCGTGAGCTGAAGAAGGTCAAGAGTATAAGGGATATGTCCCGGAATAGTAGTCCTTCGCCGAGTATTGTTGAATGATTAAAAATGCCGAAGTTTTTTGCTAGAGGGCCTCGCAAGAATAATGTCTAGCTAACAAAAAGCAATCGACTATGGTTGTTGTCATAATGGTTTTATTATCAACACCATCTTTAGATAAATTAGCGTCTTAATTAATTATTACGTACCTATTGATTATTAAAGTGTTTTCTATACGCTTATTAGCTTGTTAGCAATGTGATACGTGGCAGTGCTTAACATCAATACTTGTTGTGACGATAGCGGACGTAATGCAGAAGAGAAACGTTTTAATTGTTGTTTTAGAATTGTTTATACTCATTCTTGTCGTATATTTTGCAAAATAATAAATTTTACTTAAAAATAACCAATAACAGAAGCAAGGTTGGGTGATGAGCCCCATTTAAAATGTGGATTTAAAAAACTGAGAACAATACTTACACGAGCCTGATCTTTCTTAATGGGGGCGATATATATTAATTTTTTAAAATTAATAACTCTTAAACTAAAAGCGATAGCCATCAACAAATCGCTGATTATGAAAGACGAGAAATTTCTCTATCAAATAAAAATATAAAATAAATATATTTCTTACAGTAAAAGGTCGTAAAATGCAACTAAAAGTGCTAAAAAGTGACATTTTGCAATTTTTGCCCATTTTATTCAATCGCGAATATCTCGTAAACTAAAAGAGATAATTAAGATCTGATCGCAGCGTCTTAATCTACGGACTATTAGTGTTTAAAGCCAAATTATACAAAATGAAACAGCATTTTTACAAGCACAAACATAATCTCACATAGTAATATACAAAATGTCAGCGGAATATGAAGGAGTCATAGCTGAAGAGGAAGAAGTCTTACAAAATCCAATTAATTATAGTGAGTATCAACTTTTGCACCAGAACTAAACTAAAACAAAAAAATAAATTAGAAATAAATCACATAGTAAGCACCTGTACTTATCACTTATCTTTATTTGCAGTTGTTTTCTTCTTTGAGAATTACGGATGGTGAATAAGTCCATTAATCTCGAGGAATATGAAAAGAAAAGGGATATAATGAGTAATGAGTTTGAACAGAATGTCGAAAAAGATAGTTTTTTTTACCTTTAAAGTATTGTACAGTTTGTTAATAATTGTTCATCATTTTTCCTTGAGAAACTGATAAATTGTCAAGTCTAAGAATTGCCAGGGAAGAAGCACTGAAGAACAAGAACAGTACCTACAATATCGACGCTGAACGATATGTCCTGAAACAAAAAGAGGTTAGTACATATTCTACAATCATTTATATAATATACTTCCCATTACATTAAAAATGATAACTTGTAGAAAGAAGCTAAAAAGCGTGAGGAAGGAGGTGGAAGTAAACTAGGAAAATCAGGTTATGCACGATCAAACCTAGAAAGAAATCTGCATGCTCAGGAGGTGGCTGCAGTAAATAACATATTATATTTAAATCTGTGAACCAGAGTTTACTATAAAAAAATTCCATAAATTAATACATTCATATTTAGCATATCAAGGAGACAATAATTTAATAATTGACAAATGATATGTTTGAAGTGCACTTGTTAGATTGACTAATATTTTGATTATTGAACAATAAAATACAACATGAAATCAAAATACTAAACTAGTTGTTTGGAAATCTCCTTCTTCGATTAACGATTTGCTTGACAATTTCTATTTTGAAGCTTCTTTAATCATTTGTAAATTGTGTAGAATTTGTTAGCATTTCAAATGTTCATTTCACAGTCCACTACTCTACTACTAGTCTATAACTACAACTATTACTACTTGCTACTACTACGACTACGTGCTTTCTATTACTACACTACACTACGAACTGTTCACAAACATATGAAACACAAACCCAAAACGACACAAAACACAAAACATAAAGATCTCTTACTTCAATATTTGTCAATCGCTTTCTTTTTACTTGAGTGTGACATCTTCCAAATCTTCTTCATTTCACGATGTTTCTTCATAAAATTTCGGAAAACTAAAACAAATACGAAGCCAATTAAACAAATCACAACAATAAATGTTTCTGTCGACTCCGCCTCATCAATAAGTGTAAAATAAGTGTGTACTTAACGCCCGAGTTCCCTAAGAGGTTCCAGATGGGTACATCTGCCATCACCTCCAAGAGTAGTGTGCCCATTTCTAGTTGAAACCTCGACGTTGGGAAAAAATTATGTAGTCCAGCTTCTATATATAACAAAATTAAGAAAATTAATTAATATTATTAAATAATATTAGTACTTTGTAAACATTTTCAATTGAAATTTACTTTCTAAAACGAAAATAAATAATTATATAAGTGTTTTATTTTGAGTTGATTTTGATGATAATAATACTCACCACAGCATTTTGGCGGTTGTGCAAACCCTTAAGGGCAGCAGCCCATTCCTTGATGGGTGTACACATCGGACCCTGACCCTCAAAAGCTTTTTCTCGCTGGAAAACTGGATACATCACATCATCGGCCTCTCCTTCTTCTTCAGCTAGAGTTAACATTAGTAACATTAAAAATTGTTTAAGAAAAAGAAAATGATTGATATAATACTCTATAATACTGGGTGTACACATCGGACTCTGACCCTCAAGAGTTTTTCCGGTCGGAAAGATGGCTGCATTTGATGCATACCCCTCAGGACTGACCTCGACGTGGATGGATGGACCATCTTCTTCTTCTTCTTCTTCTTCTTCTGTTAACATGGAAAATATTAGAATAAGTATTATTCTGACATGGTAATGTCTTATTTTAGTAGAACGCCTCATCTCTCCATGGCCTCAGGATGGAAGGATCTTCTTGTTTCGCATTCAAAAGCGAGTTAAAAAATGCTATTGATCTGTAAAGGAATTATTAAGTATATTTCATTTCACTCCCGCACTATATTGGAACACTCGCGTACTATTAATAATACGCTTCTCACTACACTGCCCTGCACATAAAGATCAGCATTTGATTCCAATTCCAATTTTTCTTGTAATATTTTTCTTGAAGTTTGAATGTCATTTCGTTGGCAAACTTTATTCTCGCAATTTTAATTTTTTATTTTCTCGTTTTTTGATATTTCCGGCTTTATCTTTGTCTTGTGAATTCACAAAAACGCTCTTATCTTCGTACATCCTGGGAAAAAATCATCAATATTGGTTTCTTCATGTCTTATTGTAAATGCTTCAATTTAAAGTTGGCTGCCTTGCAAATTTCAGTCTCATCTTTAAATATTATTGTTTTCATGTTGTTAATTTTGTTCTGTTGGTCACAATTATTAGTTTCTTCTGTTCTTCATTTAATTCTTTTTCTTGATGTGTAATGTGTGTAATGTGTGTGTAGGTGTGTTTTTGTGTTAAGAATGTACAGGTAGGAAGTGCCGAAGCCCATCAATAAGAACCCCGTCAATAATCATGAACAAGGAAAGAAGTGTAAGTGTGTATGTGTGTATGTATGTAAGTGTTGACTTGGAGCTGTCCGATTGATTGAAAAAAATTGAGAGTTCAGATGAAATCGAAGCAGAAGTTAAGCCAAATATTTATCTTTTAATGGTTGATGTTTCATTTTAATAGTTTTTATATGTTCTGCAGTTCTTGTTTCCAGTTTATGGCAGTAGTAGACATGTGATCTTCTTCCATGATGCCCCATGATGATCCATTAATCATTGACTGACATTTGTTGCAACAAAGCATTCAGCTTTAACCGATATTCTATAAACTGATTCAACAGTTTTCACTAAGACGCAACCGCTAGTGATAAATAATAATTAGTACACACATATAAAATTGCGCAAATTACCCCCCATAATTTAAAATACAAATAAATAAAAATTAAATCAAAATATCTTCATCATTTTTACTGCCAATTTTATACCAAGTTTGCAGAAGTAAGTTAACCAACGTTGTCATTTTCCTGTGAACACAAATCAATTGACAATTAAATTATGATGAGGATTATCCAATAATTAAATTCTTCAAATATAGTTCTTGTTAAGTTAATTTCCAGGACTTATATAAATTCCAAAGCCATTAAAAAATCTACAAAAATCAATTAAATAATCAAATAAAACAAAAAATATTTGGCTATCAAGCAATACAATCAAATAAGCATACCATCTCATCAAACTGTGATCATAATGATGAGAATTAGTACATAATACTCGTCTTCAGGGATATTCTTCATCTTCATCTTCTTTAAATTATTGTCTCAACATTGAAAAAAGATAGAAATGAATATTAGTATCGATTATATAAAATATATAAAATATATGCACAGATCAAAGAAATATTATTGGGTTATTACTTTCCATAAAATTCATAAGGACTTCCATTAACCTGTACAAACAAACAAGCAGAACGATTTTGTGATTAGTAAAATGCAAGAATAAAACATAAAACAACTCTAAAACACATCAACGATTGGATAGCATCCAGGACCCTGTAACATAAATTAAAATATTAGCTATCAATTCAAACAAAACGCCCTGAAAACATAGAAGAAATATTTAATTAGTTGCTGAAAGAAAAACATAAGTTATTAGTAAGGATTTTTTGGATTTTTGGAGTGACATGTGTGCGCCAGCCTTCTGATCATGGGCATCACCACTACCTACCTTAATCCGCTCCTCGAGATAACAGCTCACATCTCGCAGGAGGATGCGTTGAATTTAGAAGTCCAGCGTCGGGCGAGATTGACCCCTCTCTGGACTCAAGACCATCATATGGGAGTGCTCTGTCCTCTCATCATGGATTTGGATTGATCATTGATTTCCTTTGGATTGAATTGGTTTGCCTTCTGATTGATGAAGAACATGTGATGAAAACCTGAAATAAACAAAAATATTAATTATTTACATACCATAGAATTAAATTGAGATAATTAAAGATGATTTTAATTTAAAACTTAAATATTTACCTTTTGCTGTTGTGTCCTCCTTTAAATGATAGAAATGATTTATTGTTTCGTGATTAGCGTTTTTTTTTGTTGTTAATAAGTATCTAAAACAGATAAAAGAAAATAATTAATTTAAAATATTTAGTAGTTTTTTTATGATTTGATGAGTTATTATTAATTTATGTGATGCTTACCGATTGATTCCTGTGCACGCCGCTTGTTAAAATGAGTTACTTCTTCATGTGGATTGAGATCTTGCGTTGTTCAGAGCCGGGCGGATATTACTGTGCAGAAAGAATCTAAAAATTTCAAAGAAAATAATTAAATAAGGTCCTGTATTATTACATCAATAGCTGTTATTATTAAAAATTGTTTGTGCTTACCAATTGACTTCAATGCACACAGTTACTTCAAGTAAGTTCACTTGTAGGTATAAGTTTGCAGTGAAGATGTCTTCTTTTTAACTTATGACATTTTCTAAGTGATGGAAACCTGAAAGAAATGAGAATGTTAGGCATTTATATAATATAGCATTAGGTTAAAGATGATTTTAATTAAAAACTTAAATATTTACCATTGCTGTTGTGTCCTCCTTTAAATTATTGAAATGATTTATTGTTTCGTGATTGGTGGTTTTTTGTTGATAAGAATCTAAACAGATAAAAGAAAATTATTAATTTAAAGTATTTAATAGTTTTTTTATGATTTGATGAATTATTATTAATTTATTTGATTGTTTATACTTACAGATTAAGTTGATTGACCATCATTTATTCTGGTTACTTTTACTGGTACATATTTGATGTGAGATGATGTATTCTGCAGCAAACTGTGATTTTTATCAATCAGTAAGTTGATTCATTATATCTTCAACTTCTCGTAATTTCGGAATAATTCGGTGGGGCAATATTTTTCATTTTCTTAATCTTCATACATTTTTGGGTTTCTTCGTGTCTTATTATAAATGATGCAATTTGAAGTTGACTGCTTGCACATGTTTTCCACAGAAAATGAAATCTAATTCAATATTTGAGTATCATTCTTCATTTTATTCGTTTCTTATCATTGCTGCCCCAATGATGTGAAAAATGTGTTGGTGTAGTTGTGTTAAAAATGTGTAGGTGTGAAAAAGGACAGGTAAGCTCTGCTTAACAGGGCCGAAGCCGTAGCAAGCATAACAATACCCGGCCCCGTCAATGATCATGAACGGGGCACGGAAAAAGAAAGGAAAAAGGTAAAAGAGCAGAAGTGTAGTGTGAGTGTGTGTAGTGTATAGTGTATTGTAGATTGAAGAGATGAAGATGTGAACCTGAAATAAATAAAAATATTAGTTATTTGCATACCATAGAATTAGGTAAATAGAGATAATTACAGATGATTTTAATTTAAAATTATAATTAAATTTAATTATCTTAATATATTTCTAATGCTTACCGATTGATTCCAGTGTACACCGAATGTTAAAATGAGTTATTTGAAGTTAACTGGCAGAGCAGGAACAACAGCAGGATTAGCAAGTAAATCAAAGCCACACGAACAGGAGGAATGAATATGAGTTTATGACCATAAAAACTTCAAGACTGTTTAATTAGCTTTCATTTGATATGAAATTTGTTGTTTAATTTGGATGAAAATTAACAAAGTTATGGACAAAACAAACAAAAACAAAAAGGTATATATTTATTAGTGTAGTCTAGCTAGTAGTGTAGTCTAGAAATGTGTATACATTGGAATAAATCTTCTTGTGTTCCTTGACAATGTGTTATTGTTTATAATAAACATGATTTTACATGCTACAGGTTGTTATCTTTTGTGTGTGTGTGTTGAAGTTCAACTAGGCTGGTCAAGCAAACCAGTTGGTGTTCCTATTGGAGATGATAACAATGAAAGGAGAGAGAAATTTACAATTCTGACTGCTGCAACTTGTTGAACTAGATTAGGTACTACTGTAGATGTAGCATTTTGAATGATTTTCAATTAATTTTGTTTGTTTTTGCAGAAAATTAGGTATTGGTTAATTGGTTAGGTCAGGCTAGTGATGTTAAATATTCTTGGTGATAACTTTGGAATTAGAAGGAATTTTGGAATTCTGATTGCAGAAGATTAATCAGCAGGTCCGATCACATCTGTTGACATGTTTTATAAGAGAGTTGAGTGGATATTTTATGCTTAAACTGAGGTGGTGCATGAAGTTAATATGCAAAGCAGGAATCACAGCAAAAGTAGCAAGTGAATCAAAGCCTGCAAACAGGAGGAATGAATATATGAGTTTATGACAACACAATCTTCAAAACTATTTAATTAGCTTTCATTTGATATGAAATTTGTTTAATTTGAAAGAAAATTAACAAAGTTATGGGCAGAAGAAGAAACAAAAACAAAAAATTATTAAACTTGTCATTATCCACATCTATCAAGTGTAAATCTGTATAGATTGAAATAAATCTTCTTGTGTTCCTTGACAATGTGATATTGTTTATAATAAACATGATTTTACATGCTACAGGTTGTTATCTTTTGTGTGTGTGTGTTGGAAGTTCAACTAGGCTGGTCAAGCAAACCAGTTGGTGTTCCTATTGGAGATGATAACAATGAAAGGAGAGAGAAATTTACAATTCTGACTGCTGCAACTTGTTGAACTAGATTAGGTACTACTGTAGATGTAGCATTTTGAATGATTTTCAATTAATTTTGTTTGTTTTTGCAGAAAATTAGGTATTGGTTAATTGGTTAGGTCAGGCTAGTGATGTTAAATATTCTTGGTGATAACTTTGGAATTAGAAGGAATTTTGGAATTCTGATTGCAGAAGATTAATCAGCAGGTCCGATCACATCTGTTGACATGTTTTATAAGAGAGTTGAGTGGATATTTTATGCTTAAACTGAGGTGGTGCATGAAGTTAATATGCAAAGCAGGAATCACAGCAAAATTAGCAAGTAAATCAAAGCCTGCAAACAGGAGGAATGAATATATGAGTTTATGACAACACAATCTTCAAAACTATTTAATTAGCTTTCATTTGATATGAAATTTGTTTAATTTGAAAGAAAATTAACAAAGTTATGGGCAGAAGAAGAAACAAAAACAAAAAATTATTAAACTTGTCATTATCCACATCTATCAACTATACATTTCAATGGAAGCATGGTCGTACTAGGATTGAATAGGATGTCTTACAAGAACAAAAATGTTAAGGTAAATTAATTTTCTTTTATTTGACATGCAATTTGTTTAATTTGGATGAAAATTAACAAAGTTATGAACAAAAGAAAGAATAAAAACAAAAAAATTATATATTTATGTGTGTAAATCTGTATACATTGAAGTAAATCTTCTTGTGTTCCTTGACAATGTGATATTGTTTATAATAAACATGATTTTACATGCTACAGGTTGTTATCTTTTGCTTGTGTGTAGGAAGTCCAACTGAACTAGTCAAGCAAACCAGTTGGTGTTCCTATTGGAGATGATAACAATGAAAGGAGAGAGAAATTTACAATTCTGACTGCTGCATCTTGTTAGACTAGATTAGGTACTACTGTAGATGTAGCATTTTGAATGATTTTCAATTAATTTTGTTTGTTTTTGCAGAAAATTAGGTATTGGTTAATTGGTTAGGTCAGGCTAGTGATGTTACATATTCTTGATGATAACTTTGGATTGAGAAGGAATTTTGAAATTCTGATTGCAGAAGATTAATCAGCAGGTCCGATTACAGCTACAGAGATGTTTTATAGGAGAGATGAGTGGATATTCCAACTGAACTAGTCAAGCAAACCAGTTGGTGTTCCTATTGAAGGTGATAACAATGAAAGGAGAGAGAAATTTACAATTCTGACTCCTGCAACTTGTTAGACTAGACTAGGTACTTCTGTATATGTAGTATTTTGGGTGATTTTTAACTAATTTTATTTCTTTTGCAGAAAATTTGGTGGTATTGGTTAATTGGTTAGGCCAGGTTAATAATATTACATATACTACATTACATATTTGGTGATAACTTTGGAATTAGAAGAAATATTTGAATTCTGATTGCAAAAAGTGAATCAGCAGGTCCGATTACAGCTATAGACATGTTTTATAAGATAGATGATTGGATATTTTTGCTTAAACTGAGATGATGCATGAAGTTAATTTGCAAAGTAGGAATCACAGCAGAATTAGCAAGGGAATCAAAGCCTGCGAACAGGAGGAATGAATATATGAGTTTATGACAACACAATCTTCAAAACTATTTAATTAGCTGTCATTTGATATGAAATTTGTTTAATTTGGATGATAATTAACAAAGTAATGGACAAAACAAGAAACAGAATCAGATAAAGCAAAAATTTGTCAACACCTCTCATCAAATAAACATTTAAATGAAAGCCATTCACCAGAAGCATTAAACAAAAGGGTTTAGAGGAGCAAAATCTTAAAGCCAAGTTATTTTTCTTTCATTAGATATAACATTTGTTCAGATTGGATCAAAATTAAACAAAGTATAAGCAAAAAGTGTGAATTCATCACTGTATACCTGGAAAAAGTGTTATGCTTAGATAAATATCATAATACACCTTATAAAACCATATAAAAGGTGATCATAGAGACCATTTTAGTCTGTTTGTACTGTAAATAGTGAGTTAGCTAGGTATAAAAGGACGGATTCCTTTATTATCTATAATCCAGCTTGTTCAAGTGTCTTCATTGGTTGAATGCAAGCACAAAGCCATTGTACTGCTACACAACTACATAACTAAGTACATATAAACAAGGGTAGTAGAAGGCGGGCCACAAGTTGTAACTCACCCTAATATTAGACCCCTATGGTCATAAAAAGAGGGTGAGCGGCTGAAACAGGTATAAACTGACTTAGAACTTAGATTTACACCTTATATTACCTGGTAAACTGAAATTGATAGAAATCATCAAGAAAGAAATAGGGAAACACAGAAAATTAATGAATACTTTGCATTTATTCAGTTAAACAAGAAAACATTCTTGCTACAATGTATACAATTAGTATAAATTTATTACTTTCTTTGGTGAATACGTAATCCATGTTGTATATTTATAAAAAATAACTGTTTATGAAGATGCCCTCTGGGCGAAACATGTCAAACTCAAAAATAAAAATTGTAAATCCAAAATCACGTATAATGTTTAATAAATAAATATTTTTTATAAATTAGTATAAATTCAATCCAAACACAACATACAAACAACTTAAACGATTACTAAGCAAAACAGTAAGTTTTGTTCATAAAAAACAAACCAATTCAGTTGAAATATACGAAAAAAACAATGAAAGTAAGCGTCTATCAATCAATTCAATAAAAATATTAAAAGGTTTGTAACCTTTTGCAAGATATTCTGTAAGAAAGGTGAAAAAAATCACTAAAATCAATAGAATATCAATGTTTTTCCTTTTTTTGTGGCATTTGCACCATTATTACATACAATTAAGAACTACTTAGCATTTATTCAGTTAAACAAGAAAACATTCTTACTACAATGTATAAAATTAGTATAAATTTAACCCAAACACAACATCCAAGCAAATATTTAAGTTTTGTTTATAAAAAACAAACAGTTCAGTTAAAATATACAAAAAAGCAATGAAAGTCAGCGTCTATCAATCATTTCAATACAAAGAGTTACAATTCTTTTCATATTTTTAAGATATTCTGTAAGAAAAGTGAAAAAAAATCACAAAAATCAATAGAATTTCAATGTTTTTCCATTTCTTGTGACACTTTACATTTATTCAGGTGAACAAGAAAATATTCATGCTACAATGTCTAAAGTAGTATAAATTCAATCCAAACACAACATACAAACTACTAAATCGATATTCAAGCAAATATTAAACTTTTGTATACAAAATTACAGACGAGACTTGATTGGGAGCTAGCGAAGCGAGCGGTCAATCAACCGAGTCTTTAACAACGTTTAGCCCCGAGATGCTTACGCAATTTTTCTTTTAGAGGAGCAAAATCTTAAAGCCAAGTTATTTTTCTTTCATTTGATATGAATTTGTTCAGATTGGATCAAAATTAAACAAATTATAAGTGCTACGCCGCGCGCCGGCCCATGTGACGCATCGGTTCATATCGTGCCGCTCCGATACCAGCAGCAGCAGCGCTTACTTTAACGTGTTTGAGTGACGTCATTACGCATTTCATACTGCCCAGCTGCTCTGTAAGAAATACGCAGGTATTGCACCGGCTTGGCCGTCCGTATTTAAAGTACCACGTTTTGAGTCTATATGCCGTGTTAATCTACGGACTATTCTCTATAATCTATAAGATGGGATAGTTAAAACGGAAATTTGAGAGATGAAATTTTGATTCTGAAAAATTGCTAAGGCAGGTGCTTGATACTTTTTCGACGATTAAAAAATTCATATCTCTTAAACTAAAGAGATAGCTACTAACGAATTGTTGATTGCGAAAGATTGAAAATTCTATACTGTGATAAAAATATAAATTAATTATATTCACAGTAAAGTCGAAAAACGCGACTAAAAGTGCTAAAGTGACATTTGGTAATTTTTGCCCATTTTATTCTAATCGCGAATATCTCGTAAACTAAAAGAGATAATTAAGATCTGATCGCAGCGTCTTAATCTACGGACTAATCTCTACCAGATAGATAGTTAAAAGGGAAATCTGAGAGATGAAATTTTCTAACGCAAGAAAAATTAGTTATAAAAAGCTTGATACTTTTTTTCGACGATTTTCAAAATTCATATCTCTTCAACTTGGTAGCCGCTTCGTTCAGTTACGTATTACTCGATCCGTATGCCGCCAGCATGCCAGCAGGTGCACGTCTCCACTCGACCACCGAGTGTTTTTATCATTAATATTTGATTCTTCTATTTATGTTTCTACTTTATTCAACTTTTTAAAAACAACAACACAACGCAAACAACAGCTATATATTGTACGCTCGACGCGCCAAGATTTATCCTGCAAACGTAAGGGGAAACCAGAAGAAATATGAAAGTATATAATATTACATTATGTTTTATTAGCAACAATAAAAACTACATATATTGATTTAAAATCAAAAATTAGAGGCAGCTCTTAAATCACCTGGAAGTAAAACTTGCCTTGTAATAAGTGCATCTCCAACATTTCTCTGCGACGGAAACGGTAGACTCCTTGGCACTAGTGCTCCTAAACTTCTTCAACAGGCATCAACATTGTTTATTTATTCTAATTAAAACACACAACACAGGGTGCAAGCAAACGTTAAAACACAAACAACTACAATACAATACAAAACATTCACATATAAAAATGAATTCGACGTGGACAGTACAACAAACACGTATGTACATATTAATACATAAGACAATACAGCAAAGTCATATACACAATAAAAGGAGTTCTCAAGTTCTACATACAGAATTACATAACACAAACAGCAATCAATGAAATGTGCTCAAGAGGATAAAACGCACAAACACATATCTAGGATTACGCGCACTGTTGTTGAAGCTTCTCCAACAGACACCGCGTTGAAAATTCTAGGCCGCTCAATAACAATACATGCACGATTAGGTGGATTAAAATAAAGAAAGTCTCCACTTTACCGTTCTATCTCAGCTTCCACGTAGATATCGCAATAAACGACGTTGCATGACGTTGCAGGTTCATGCTATCCGTATCTCGCGAGCGTGCAGTGTAAACAAGTTGAGAACACGCTTCCATCTTGCAATACGCACAAGGAATGCAAGGAAAATTAACGTTATTGTATATTCGATACCCGATTATCTACTAATAAAACACTAAACAAGAGAGTAACAACTAAATCCAGTCGATGGACAATCGAAATGAACGCGATTAATACGCACGACCCAACCAACGACCGGCACAAAACTGCGCTGATCACACCGCGCCGCGCAATCAGCGGCGGCACGCGACCACACGCGATAATACTGCGCGCACGCCGCAATCCAACGCGCTCTATTTGTAACAAACAAGGTCGCATGCAGGACAGGCAACTTTGGATATGCGCCTAGAAAACTTGTGCAATGCAATTTCGCGTGCAAAATATTATAGGAATAGTCACATATGCAAGGTCGCATGCAAACCCGAAAAAATCCAAACCTTTCACGAGAAAAGGGTGAAAAAATCCACCATTTTATGCAAATTCTAGAGGGTTGCAGGTCGAATTCGTGCAACAATCAAATACCATCCGATGGAGAATTTAATTCTGCATCTCTAGACGCAACGCTGAAGATATTGAGACGCAAAGATGGCGCGCAAACCAGAAAAAATACAAACATTTCACGAGAAAAGGGTGAAAAAGTCACTCTTTTATGCAAATTTTCGCGGGTTGCGGGTCGAATTCCTGAAACAAACAAATACCAACCGATGGAGAATTTAATTCCGCATCTTTAGACGCCGCGCCGAAGTAATTGAGATGCCAAGATCGCGCGCGAACCAGAAAAAATACAAACATTTCACGAGAAAAGGGTAAAAAAGTCACTCTTTTATGCAAATTTTTGCGGGTTCAAACCTATTGAGATACCGCGTTCGCGTGTTATATCAAAAAACCACAATTCCAAGCGCAACGAGTACTACTGCGTATACACACAACTTTCAATATAACTCGCGTTACGGAATTTTCTCGCAATAACCGTTACAGGGGAGATACAGGAATAAATTCTGCATCTGGGGAAATTATTTCTGAAAACCTGATATTTTGATACCGCGTTCGCGGTGTTACATCAAAAACCACAATTCAAGCGCAACGAGTACTAATGCGTATACACACAACTTTCAATATAACTCGCGTTACGGAATTTTTTCGCAATAACCGTTGATACAGGGAGATACAGGAATAAATTCTGCATCTGGGGAAATTATTTCAAACCTATTTTGATACCGCGTTCGCGTGTTACATCAAAAAAACCACAATTCCAAGCGCAACGAGTACTAATGCGTATACACACAACTTTCAATATAACTCGCGTTACGGAATTTTTTCGCAATAACCGTTGATACAGGGAGATACAGGAATAAATTCCGCATCTGGGGAAATTATTTCAAACCAATTTTGATACCGCGTTCGCGTGTTACATCAAAAAAACCACAATTCAAGCGCAACGGCGAGTACTAATGCGTATACACAACTTTCAATATAACTCGCGTTACAAATTTTTTCGCAATAACCGTTGATACAGAGGGAGATGCAGGAATAAATTCTGCATCTGGAAAGTGGCTAAACCTATTTTGATACCGCGTTCGCGTGTTACATCAAAAACCACAATTCCAAGCGCAACGAGTACTAATGCGTATACACACAACTTTCAATATAACTCGCGTTAAGGAATTTTTTCGCAATAACCGTTGATACAGGGAGATACAGGAATAAATTCTGCATCTGGGGAAATTATTTCAAACCTATTTTGATACCGCACGTTCGTGTTACATCAAAAACCACAATTCCAAAGCGCAACGGTGCTAATGCGTATACGCACAGCTTTCCAGTATAACTCGCGTTACGGAATTTACTCTCCATAATAGCCGTTGTTACAGGAGATACAGGGAATAGAGATTCTGCATCTGGGAGGTATTTCAAACCTATTTTGATACCGCGTTCGCAGTGTTACATCAAAAAACCACAATTCAAGCGCAGCGGTACTAAATGCGTATACACAACTTTCAATATAGCTCGCGTTACAGAATTTTTCGCAATAACCGTTGATACAGGGGAGATACAGGAATAAATTCCGCATCTGGGGAAATTATTTCAAACCAATTTTGATAGCGCGTTCGCGTGTTACATCAAAAAAACCACAATTCCAAGCGCAACGAGTACTAATGCGTATACACACAACTTTCAATATAACTCGCGTTACGGAATTTTTTCGCAATAACCGTTGATACAGGGAGATACAGGAATAAGTGCGTCTGGGAAATTATTTCAAACCTATTTTGATACCGCGTTCGTGTTACATCAAAAACCACAATTCAAGCGCAACGGGGGTACTTGTGCGTATACACACAACTTTCAATATAATGAAAACTCGCGTTAAGGAATTTTTCGCAATAACCGTTGATACAGGGAGATACAGGGTAAATTCTGCATCTGGAAAGTATTTCAAACCTATTTTGATACCGCGTTCGCGTGTTACATCAAAAAAACCACAATTCCAAGCGCAACGAATTGCTAATGCGTATACACACAACTTTCAATATAACTCGCGTACGGAAATTTTTTCGCAATAACCGTTGATACAGGGAGATACGGAATAAATTCTGCATCTGGGGAAATGGCCTAAACCTATTTTGATACCGCGTTCGCGTGTTACATCAAAAAACCACAATTCAAAGCGCAGCGGTACTAGTAGCGTATACACACAACTTTCAATATAACTCGCGTTACGGAATTTTTTCGCAATAACCGTTGATACAGGAGATACGAGATAGAAAATTCTGCATCACAAATTATTTCAAACCTGTTTGATACCGCGTTCGCGTGTTACATCAAAAACCACAATTCAAGCGCAACGAGTACTAATGCGTATACACACAACTTTCAATGCCAGCTCGCGTTGCAGATTTCTGCTCACCAATAATAACCGTTGATGCACGGAGATACGGGGAATAATTCTGCATCTGCGGAAATTATTTCAAACCTATTTTTGATACCGCGTTCGCGTGTTATCAAAAACCACAATTCAAAGCGCAACGAAGTACTAATGCGTATACACTAACTTTCAATATAACTCGCGTTACGGAGATTTTCTCGCAATAACCGTTGATGCGGAGATACAGGAATAAATTCTGCGTCCGGGAAGTTATTTCAAACCAGTTTGATACCGCGTTCGCGTGTTATATCAAAAACCACAATTCAAGCGCAACGGAAGTACTTCAATGCGTATACACGCAACTTTCAATATAACTCGCGTTACGGAATTTTCTCGCAATAATAATTTGATACAGGGAGATACAGGAATAAATTCTGCATCTGGAAATCATTTCAAACCTATTTTGATACCGCGTTCGCGTGTTATATCAAAACCACAATTTCAAGCGCAACGAGTACTAGTGCGTATACACAACTTTCAATATAACTCGCGTTGCGGAATTTTCTCGCAATAATAATTGATACAGGGAGATAAGGAATAAATTCTGCATCTGGAAATCATTTCAAACCTATTTTTGATGCCGAGTTCGCGTGTTATATCAAAAACCACAATTCAAACGCAGCAATTACTAATGCGTATACACACAACTTTCCAATATAATAACTCGCGTTACGGGAATTTTCTCTCGCAATAATAATTGATACGGGGATACGGAATGATTCTTGCATCTGGAAATCATTTCAAACCTATTTTTGATACCAGTTCGCCGTGTTATATCAAAAAACCACAATTCCAAAGCGCAACAGTACTAAATACGTATACACACAACTTTCAATATAACTCGCGTTACGGATTTTCTCGCAATAATAATTGATACAGGGAGATGCAGGAATAAATTCTGCATCTGGGGAATCATTTCAAACCAATTTTGATACACCGCGTTCGCGTGTTATATCAAAAACCACAATTCAAACGCAACGAGTACTAATGCGTATACACACAACTTTCAATAACTCGCGTTGCAGATTTTCTCATAATAATAATTGATACAGGGAGATACGGGAATAAATTCTGCATCTGGGGAAATCATTTCAAACCAATTTTGATACCGCGTTCGCGTGTTATATCAAAACAACCACAATTCCAAGCGCAACGAGTACTAATGCGTATACACACAACTTTCAATATAACTCGCGTTACGGAATTTTCTCGCAATAATAATTGATACAGGGAGATACAGGAATAAATTCTGCATCTGGGGAAGTCATTTCAAACCTATTTTGATACCGAGTTCGCGTGTTATATCAAAAAAACCACAATTCCAAGCGCAACGAGTACTAATGCGTATACACACAACTTTCAATATAACTCGCGTTACGGAATTTTCTCGCAATAATAGTGATGCAAGGGAGATACAGGAATAAATTCTGCATCTGGGGAAATCATTTCAAACCAATTTTGATACCGCGTTCGCGTGTTATATCAAAAAAACCACAATTCCAAGCGCAACGAGTACTAATGCGTATACACACAACTTTCAATATAACTCGCGTTACGGAATTTACTCCGCAATAATAATTGATACAGGGAGATACAGGAATAGAAATTCTGCATCTGGGGAAATCATTTCAAACCCTATTTTGATACCGAGTTCGCGTGTTATATCAAAAACCCGCAATTCCAAAGCGCAACGAGTACTAATGCGTATACTGGCTTTCAATATAACTCGCGTTTACGGAATTTTCTCGCAATAACCACGTTGATACCTGCGGATACAGGAATAAATTCTGCATCTGGGGAAATCATTTCAAACCTATTTTGATACCGCGTTCGCGTGTTATATCAAAAAAACCACAATTCCAAGCGCAACGAGTACTAATGCGTATGCACACAACTTTCAATATAACTAGCGTTACGGAATTTTCTCGCAATAACCGTTGATACAGGGAGATACAGGAATAAATTCTGCATCTGGGAAATCATTTCAAACCTATTTTTGATTCCGCGTTCGCGTGTTATATCAAAACCACAATTCAAGCGCAACGAAGTACCCAATGCGTATGCACACAACTTTCAGCGCATAACTCGCGTTACGGAATTTTCTCGCAATAATAATTGATACGGGGAATGCAGGAATAAATTCGCATCTGGGGAAATCATTTCAAACCTATTTTGATACCGCGTTCGCGTGTTATATCAAAAAAACCACAATTCCAAGCGCAACGAGTACTAGTATGCACACAACTTTCAATATAACTCGCGTTACGGAATTTTCTCGCAATAACCGTTGATACAGGGAGATACAGGAATAAATTCTGCATCTGGGGAAATTATTTCAAACCTATTGTGATACCGCGTTCGCGTGTTATATCAAAAAAACTACAATTCCTAGCGCAACAAGTACTAATCCGTATACACACAACTTTCAATTTATCTCGCGTTACGTGATAAGTAGAAAACTTGTTTATAAACAGCAACTGTAAATTTAACCGAAAAATATAATTGAATTATAAACTTACCAGGGTACAGCTTATCGGACAGCCGAGTACAACGAGTGCTGTAACTAAACGAAAACATAAATTAAAACAACAATATTTCATACAATTGAATTATTACTAATTAACAATCAACACAAAATAAACAATCTGTTAAAAGATTTCGTTAATTTCGTTAAAGATACTTACACCAAGTCTGATGGATCTTTCTTAATGATGAGAATCAACATGGGGGCGATATATATCCGATTAATTTAGCAACCGACACCAAGCACAACGCCGAGTGAAGAATGTTATCAAATCCACTAACCGGCATTTCCGAACATTAAACAAATTACTATAGTCGCAAAGTACAATTAAATAGTCGATTGATCTTCGGGTGTAACACAAATTTAGAAAATTGAAGTCAGAATAAACACGATAAAAGTCTATCAAAACACGACTGGATTAACCAACGATCGGCACGAAACTGGCTGCACTTCACCGATAGTGCATGCTGAAACTGCATAAACAACGACGCGACAGTATATGATAAGAAAGCAAGAGGTGCGCAAAGCCGGCGCGACTACAGCACGCGACCTTGTACGCGAATTGCAATAGGCAAGATACAAGCGATCAAAACCAAACTAGACTTACGCTGCATGCAGCAAGTAGATGCGGCGCGAGGAGACAGCGCGCGGGACACCTGCGTTAAAACCGTTGTTTACACCGAATCGCAGATAACAGCATTGTATACAAAACTATTCTCGTGGCCACGTTTATCGATAAATATAAAAATAAACCGTATAACTCGATTTTATGATTTTTAGTGCATCCAAGTGCCATCTATGAATGCTACAAATAGTAGTACCGCAATTTAAACAAATAATAAATAAAAATTCAGCACAATCTGCAATCATCAACTTCATTTTGTTCCTGCTTCATCCTCTTTATAATCGGTCTCGGCATAATATCCGGACCAAACTAATACAATTAAAGTCACAGTTATATTATACGCACCTTCATATTGCGCGCAATTCTATCACATTTACATATTATACAATTATGACGCATTAAGCATAAAAAAATCATCTCTTAAAACAAAAACATACCTCTTAGATTTTCTCGTAACAATAAAAACTTAAAAAACGCGAATCTTAGTCCTATGCACATGCGACAAATCATCATCAAGCAGTAGAATCACCATAAACATGAAAAACATCCCAACGGCACTCAGGAAGTGCCAAATGTCATGATAATCATAAAACCGCATCAGCTTGCATTCCTGATTAAACTGTCGGCTACCCGCCGGCGTCTGTGACCACGATATACTCTTGTTTAGAAAGCAATACATCGCCGTTGTCGCACATGTCAACGAAATGACGAGAAAACAAAGAGCCAGCGTATTCACACGCTCTTTATGTATCACCTAACAAAAGACAACAATAATAATAAAAACACATCGATATATAAACAAAATAAAAATTTACCTTCATAGCGACATAAAAGATGAAGTACATGATTGTGTTAATCATGAAAATAGCCAAGAGATGCATGGCGAAGTCCTTCTGATGATATAAAAGTCCATAAATAGCCAGGGCCCAATTACAAACATTACCAATTGTCAATAGGAAAAAACTACTTGTATATTTTGGTCGTAAAGTATCCCAAGGTGTCCGGCAGATATTCGCCCAGCTATGATAATAATTCTTGATCCCAACTTTCCAGCAGCCAAAGTAATAAATCTGCGCAGTCAAATACAAACCAACAAAAATGTGGACCACAGTGAAAGCAATCCAGAAATAATAACTAGACGCAAGAATTCCCCACATTCCTATAATATAAATATAAAAACACAAATCAATCAAAAATAATAACAAATTAAATAATTTGCTTTACCTAAAAATATAGCAACAGCTAACACTCCAAAAGTACTATACGCAGTCGCATTTATATCCGGATGTCGCGTCTGATAAATCTTCACCATTCCCAACACGGCGATCACATACATAAAACTCGAATCGAACTGGAAATTGGAATGATTCGGGCAGATGTGATAACTGCCACTGAGGACACCCTCCATTGTCAAGGCGACACCAATCGCGTAAAACATGCCGTAATGTTGCGGGATACCAAAATGCGCGTCGAAGTCATTATCTTTGTGCCAACACTCTCTGCGGTACACACACCATAGAAAGAGGAGACCAAACATTACATAGCCGATATTCGAGAATAAATGGTTGAAATCACTGAGGAAGCCCAGTGGATGTGCGCAGAGGAAGTTATAGTAACACAAATCTTGATTACCAGTGTCATTTAATACCTGAAAAATTAATTTTAAGTAAAAAAATATTAAATATTGTTTGCTTTTGTATAAATTGCTTAAATAATATTTTATTTTGATTGGATTACAAAAGTTTTATGAAATAAACTTGTAACCCAAGCAAGAATAAATAAAATATTATTTAAATTTGAAATTTCTTACCTTTTGATAAGTAATAACCAGTTGTGCAACTGGTAATCCATAAAATAATGCGACAGTTAAAATATGCCACAAATACGAATAAGATTTCTTCTTCAAGATGCGAAAATCTTTGCGTGCTAAATCACTCAGGAACACCTCATCCTTCGCGAGAATCTCCGCTTTATCTAAGATCGTCTCCGCTATTGTATCGTAATCAGTTTCGCACGAAATGTTATCGAGCATATCATGTTCCGACACCGGTGTTGTCGGTGTATACACAGCCGAATCGCCCATGTATTCCATCGTTCGCGGTATGTATGCTTTACTCGAGCAGACGAAGAACGACACGCCGAAGACCATGTAGAAGAGGACAATGCAAGCGCACGTCGCCATGATGGCATTGACATAATCAACGTAGGAAATACTCGGTTTGATTATGTATTTGACTATTTTTGTGCGATTGAGTGCGTCGATCATGTCGTCGCCCTCGCATTCGACATCGTCGCCTTGCGGGACGAAAACGACGAAAAATCCATAGGGAAATTTCGATTTCTGCATGATTTTTAACATGAATAATAAGAAGAAGTAAATTAAATTGTTTACGCACGCTTATTGTGATTCCTCCTTTACGATTCATCGTTTCCCATAATCCTTCGAACTTCACATCGACATTCAAGTCAAAAACCGGACACTAAGAAACAAATTTTGCAGTATTAGTCTATATAAATTGAATTTTAATTATTTCCTGTTTTTAAAATATCGTGTTGTGTTATTTATTGTATTATTTGTGACTGTTTAAGCATAATAATTGATGTTTTACTTCAAAAAACGTGAAAATTTAATGATTTCATTATTAATTCGATGTTTACAAATAAAATTCAAAGTCAATTGCGTTAATTATTAAGAATTCTGATGTTTTTGTGCGATTATTCCCTTTAAAACGTGGATTTAAGCTCAAAAATCGATGTTTTACAGTTGAAAAAGCCAATTAGATAGACAGAACAAGTCACAAATAATAAATAATTATTTCACAACTTAAATATTTTAATACTTACGCTAGCATTTTGTATGCTAACAGTCATACAAACATTATCTTCACTTGTGACCACAAGCACAACCGTCTGCGTATTATCAGTTTGCGTGGCATTATCCGGAAAATCATAATAAAAGTATTTCGGTTCGGAAGGCGTGACAGCAACCGTATATTCTTGATTAGGTGCGATTGTAAACTCATCCTCCGGCTCGACCGTAACCTCAACCGTAACATCATCAATACTAGACGTCGCAACTGAAACAATCGGTGGATCTTCTAGCATCAAACGCTTCACACTGTAACCATTCTGGAGGTGATCCGTGGCGTTGTTCCATGGATCATAGCATAATGTGCGTGATATGCGCGGAAATGTTGTGCCGCCATTAGAGTCATCCACATGAATCGGTAATTCCCAAGACAACACAGCTTTCTGTTGTCTTACAACTACTATAATAGGGTTTTTCAGGGTTGCATCCTGCGTGAATACGGTCACACGTAATGGGACTTCTGTTAAACGCTCCTGCAAGTTTTTATTTATTGATTTTATTTTGTTTAAATCATGAAATATTAAAAATAAATAAATTTACCTTGTCAGGTTCGTATTGGATGATATATTCTGTGTTTTTATTCACTTTTAGACGCATCACTTCGCCGACTGTGCCATTTATAACTTTTGCGTTTAGCACTTGTAGATTTAAATTTTCATGTCGGGTTAAGTTTGTGTTTGCGTTGATTGGTATTTCATAAGATGATGCAAATAATATTGATAAGGACACAACAAGCGCACGTAATAGTGAGGCCCGCATTGTTAACGACAATCGAATCACAACACTATTGTTGCGCTGAATTGTTGCTATTGTTGACTCACTTGTGTTAAACTTGTTTATCTCGATTGACTGACTTCGGCGAATATGAAACACGTAGAAGTGCGGTTGTAATGATCAAGCTGGGTTTATTTAGTTGGAAAGTGCATCGGTGCGACATCTAGAAATGCGTCAAAGAAATATTTGATAATACAGAGTGCTCGGAAAATTGTTGCGTGCATATGTTGCAGTGAGAGATTTTGTATGAGGTAGTGAGAGGTCACGTTGTTAAATGGCGCTGTGCGTGTGTCACATGTACACGAAACTGCGTTTGCACCACACTGTCTAAACCAGTAGCAGTTTATGTCAAAAATTCATAAACTGAAACCTAGAGGACGCGAAGGATGAATTAATTTTGAATAACTAAATAAACCGTTGTTAACTTTTACAACTTTAGAGCATATTTAAACAATTATTATTTAATTCCTAAATAAATAAATATTAGTAAATACTAATAATTATTTTCAAAAACTAAAATAAAAATAAATTAATGCTAAAATCAAACTCGAGCGCCATCTATGAACCAAAATTATAAGTAAATCACTAAAGTCCCTAGAAATGCAATATTTAAAAATAAAACATCTAATTTCTAAATATTTAAAGCTCAAAAACATTAAAAATACATCAAACAACATTTTTGAGTAACAAATATTGCTATTTATCATAATATTCCAAACATTATGTGCATAAATCTTCAAAAACTCCCGTTATTCCAACATAACTATAAAAACATAACTCCCTAGAAGTTACCAAGTCAAAAGCAACAAACGTTGATTATTTCCATCTCCATTAACTCTCGAAAACCCAACAAACAACATCGATAAATAACAAATTTACCTCTATTATCACAGCCACACACTTTATCTAACACCATAACTAGTGTTTAAAAGCAATGGTAAGCAACCACTAACCCAAATGAAGATATTCCCCGACTTTTATCAATGCTAACTTTCTAGGCTCACACAATTTTGCTGGTTCAACCCGGAGACAGCCCGAAAACACGCACGTACTGCGATTTTGAATCGGTGAATGCCTGCATGGAGGGCGTGTGCAAAATCTACGAGGATCACCTCAAACACCGCAATCCGAACACGCCACTAATCACCTATGACATCCTGCAGCTGTTTGAATTCATTGATGAACTCATGGATGTGAGCTGCCTGGTGTATCACAAAGCAACCAACACCTATGCTCCTTTTAACAAGGACTGGATTAAAGAGAAGGTGTATCTACTGCTTCGGAGAGAAGCCAATTTGCAGTTGAAATCATGTGTGGGTTAATTTAAGAGATTATTTATGCACTTTTAGTTGTATATTTGACTTTATGGTGGTTCTGCACTAGGGAAGAGGAAACTTTTTTTAAATAAAGAAATAGAAACTTATTTATGACTCAAACTGTGAGAAATTAATGATTTCTTAGTGAAAACATCTATGTAATGATATATCTGATGCAATTAGTGATTTAGAGACTCAAAAATGTAATTATCAACAATTATTACTTGATTACTTGTAAACCTAATGATTTAGAATTAAATTCTACAGATAATAGCAAAGATATTTTGTTATTAACAATAGTTTATAACAATTTATCAGTGATATTGCAAGGAATCTAGCATAAATAAGTCATGTCTATCTGAATATCATCTTATCATATGATAAAGTATTGTTTTGGCGGCTAATAAAGTGGAATTTAATGAAATAAATATATAAATAATGGTGGAATACATTTTATAACTAAATATGCCCTCTTAAAAGTTTGTAAAACAGGGAAAATCAAAAAAGAAACAAAATAAACAGAAAAACATAGAAAACTTGAATTTTCAACCACTAAACTATAAAAATCACCACAAAAGTAATAAATTAACTATAATAAACTCTACTCTTCACACCTGATAATAATTTACTTCAACTCTACCTATTTCTACCTAACTTTTCTATGATTCAACTAAAATAACTCTAAATTGAATTCAAAAATAACCTCATAACCTCAAACTTTAAGTTTATTACCACAAAATCAATAATACAAAAATCACTCACCGCTCTGCAGTTTCAGGTGTTTCCCAGTTCAAAATTGTTTAAACAATGGGTTCGGAACATTCCACACAAGGACAGCAAGGGCCCCAGGGAGTGCGACCCACCAGCTTCGATGATTCGGCAATTCCTCGTGGAATGCTCTCCAGAGATTTGCGCAGGCAGCACACAATTGCGAATCCAGGAGGCACCGTGGCGACGTTTACACATCCTGAAGAAATAGAAAGACCTGGGTCAACATCGCCGGGGCCTAGTGTTTGCAGTGATACGGACTTGCCGTATATAAGTTACACGGTTAATCGGCCAATAGGAGGTGAGAAAGTGGTAACCACTTTGAGAGAGGGTAGTAATTTGTTAATAACTCGAGAATGCAACATGGAATATTGAAAATTCTTTCTGGGGTTGATGCAGCATTATATTCTACGTATTATTTGTGAAAATTGTGGAGATTGGAATAGTTTATAAAAAGTTATTGAGAAAAAACACTCAAAAAGTTATGAAAACTATTTTCAAAGGCTGTAATTTGTTATTGGGTGAAAGATTAAACAATATTTTGTTATAAATAAACGTAGAATTTAGTTATAAATCAACTTATGAAAGAATGAGTGTTCTATCGTTGATAGTTTAGTTTTTATTAACAAATTACTGTTGTGTTTCACTATAGAAACACAAAAATGTATTTATCAACAATAATTACTTGATTACTCGAAACCCTAAAGAGTTACATTAAAAATTCTTTCTGATATCGATTCAGAATTAAATTCTACATGTAATAGCAAAGATATTTTGTTATTAACAATAGTTTATAACAATTTATCAGCAAAAAAACTATTAATTTTGATAAAAAATACAAAACCAACATTAATCATCTATAACTTTTTACCTCAACAAAATATAAACAATATTTTGTTATAAATAAACGTAGAATTTAATTCTCAATCATCTCCCGAAAGAATTATTAATTTATCTCTATTACTTTTAAAATTATAATCAAAAAACCAACATATTCTCTTTTTAGATTCACCAAAATTAACAAAAAACAAACTGAAATCTCAACAAGCAGCACGCAAGAACCAACCGATCAAAACAACCCCGAACACGAAAAAATCCGCGCATAACATCGTCGTAGTAAAACCAGCCTTAGTCGGCCCCAACGTCGACAAAGACCCCGACATCCTACGCCTGCAAAACATCCCAATGTTCCTACCGATAATGCGCGCAACACTAAACCTCCCCGCTGCAAGAGATCCCGAAGTTCTGGAGCGATTAGACCCGGTGCCTCTGCAGAAGTTATGCTCGCGTTATCAAGGACACATGCACACCTGCGCGAATCTCGTCGCCACCGAACAGAATGCGCTCACGCTGAAGGTGCGCGAAGTGGACGCCGATGTGAATAAAATGGTCGCGTGGGCTGTGGAGCGACAGAAACACTTTGCGAAGAATTATGATAAACTACGCCGCGTGAATGATTTATCACATCATTTGAATCGATGCCATTCGATGCTTAATCAGATATTGGAGAGTATGGAGACGTTGAATAACATGTTGGAGATTGATGAGAGGTTGGAGCCGTTTGTGTGGACTACAGGCTGATAATTAAGGAATCATTTTATATTTTATGGCTGTTAATTTAAAGAATAATAAAAAAAATTTCGATTAATTTGTGAATAACTCGTAAACTAAAATAGTTATTGTAATTATTCTTTTATTGTTGTGTTCTGTGTTAAATTGTTTATTAGTTTAGTGAAAATGAAATCAAAAGGTTTATTTGGTGAAGAGTTATACGCAATTAAAGTAAAATTAAATTATTTTAAGTAAAAGTGCATCCTAGCGCCACCTATGAACGAATTAGAGAGGTACACTGACCATTGCTTTTTAAGTTTTTGAAATATCTTGTAGAGGGCGCTTTATCCGTATAGTAGCGCCCACTTTACCACCAGGTGGTGGTAAAATACACTTTTAAACTAAAAATAAATAAAAATACAAAATCCCATAAAAATACGAATAAATAACAAAAATACTACAAAAACGTCGTATATTTTAATGTAAATAACAAAATAAATTATAATTAATACCCGACATGAATGCAATTTCCACTTTCCTAATCATGCTCATTACTCGCGGAATGCGCGCCGACAATCAACAACCGCGTCGAGGCGATTGAACAATCACCGTTATCTATGCGCTCGCGACGAATTATCACCGCCGCACTTGTTGTGTGCGCGCCCGACGACCGCCGCTGCGCCGTGTGACGCCATTTAGTTCGAAGTCTCTTAAAAAACACGCCGAAACTACAAATGAGTGGTGATATGTCTCGAATGCAGCTCGGTGGCGATGCGGATTTTAATTTCACTAAACGCGGCGGTGTCGATGTCGAGGCTCGTCGCGCTCGCGATTCCACATTTCGTGTGTTTGCCGTGGATTAATTGCCGACAATGACGAGCAAAGTCTGTGTTTGCTGTTGAAAGTTAAACAATATCACTTCAACTTCTAGTCTAGTGTGGGCATGCACGTGAGCACCACAAAAGGAAGTTTAAACACGAAAAGTGCGAGTTCAACGCGTGGGAATAAGATATAAGAAAAATAAAAACTAGTGCGGGTGAATCAATGTTAATTGTTGTGAGAAGTAATTAAAATGGCACGTGTGGGTGAAGAACAACTCTTGGGGACGGGAACAACGAGTTCCAGTCGCGGGAAAGACGCGGAGGCAGAGTCAAGTTCACCCAATGAGCAGTCACAGTCTTATAATGAGGAGAGTGAGCCAATCGAGAGGAAAATTAAGTTGCCAGCTAGAGATTTGTTCAAACAAGTAAGTGAATGAGTTAATTCATAATAAAATTCATGGAAAAGAGTACTTAGATAAGAAATTTAATTGTTAATAAAATAATACGTCAGTGAAACGTAAAATATACGTGAAAATATTTTTAAGTACTAAAGCGGATTATAATGTCTATTTATAATCACTTTTTTCTTGTTTACTTGGTAATTTGATGTGTTACACTAAATATTCTTTCTGATATTGATTCAGAATTGAATTCTACGTATTACTTGTGAAAATTGTAAAGATTGCAATAGTTTGTGAAAAGTTATTGAAGAAAAATTTAGTTTTCATTGTCAAAGTAATAAAAACAACTTTAATTGCCTTTAATCTTTTACTAGGCAAACTAATAAACAATATCTTGTTATAAATAAACGTAGAATTTAATACTTAACCAATTGTTGAAAGAATGAATGTTCTATCGTTGATAGTTTAGTAATTATTAAAAAATTACTATTGTGTCTCACTTTAGAGACTTAAAAATGTACTTATCAACAATTATTACTTGATTACTTGATAACCCAATGAGCTACATTAAAAATTCTTTTTGATATCGATTCAGAATTAAATTCTACATATAATTACCAAAAATTGTAGCGATTGCAATATTTTATAAAAAGTTATTGGAGAAAAACTTAGTTTTCATTGTAAAAGTTCTAAAAATAACTTGTTTGCGTTTAACTTTTTACCAGGCAAAATATTAAATAATATTTTATGTAAGTATTAAAGGAAACGTAATACTTTTTGCAGATACTCCTTGCTTGCACAATACATTCGGTGGTTATCCAAGCCGGTATAAATTTATCATTCAGCGCGGTGTTACTTCCACAATTAGCCGCCGAATACAACGCGTCAACCGAAAGTTTAAATAACGCAACTTCCCCGACAGAAACACCAACAACAAACAACAACAGTACAATTTATATTGACAAAGACGCCGCATCTTGGATAGGTACGCATTAATATTATTCATGTTATTCTTAAAAATCAAATCCAAAAATTAAATAAAAATTAAATAATTGCCGATTATGTTAATAATTGATTGTTATTGTTGTTATTTATATTTTAGCTAGTCTAGTAACACTTTCCTTACCCCTTGGAGCACTGATCGTGGGTTCACTAATGGACAAATTCGGCCGCAAGAGAATCGCAATGCTAACAACAATCCCGTTCACCACCGGCTGGCTCTTACACTACTGGGCGCAAAACGTAAACATGATCTACGCGGCTCGTATCATCGCTGGTTTCGGCTCGGGGCTGTCCACCGTCTGTCTTATCTACGTCGCCGAATTATCTCACCCAAAACTACGCGCGATGTTATTGAATCTGAACAGCCTCTTTGTTTGCTTTGGAATACTCATTACATGCGCCATTGGTACGTAAATCATTTGATCATTAACCAAACCAAAAAGAAAAAAGAAGTTTTTGGTATTTTTGTTTGTTTTTGTTCGTTTTACGTCACGTGACTTGTGATTCATGGCCACTTTTATTTTTTCTATTTCAACTATTAAAAAGCGCCACTTTTTCCACGGTTTTGAGACACAAAAAGTGTCACTTTAGTCACGGTCATGACTAAAGTACCTACTTTAGTAACGGGGTGCAGCTAAACGTGGAAATAAAGTGGAAATAGAAAAAATAGCTGAAGCATCACATCGCTAAAGATTCTCGTGATTAAAATACCGATTAGCGCACTTGATACTTAATATCCAAAATTCAAAACTCATATTAACTCAATTATTGAATATTTCAGGTTCTGTCCTACACTGGAGAACAATGTCCCTCTGCTACGCAACCCTCTCCCTCTCCAGCTGCTTATCAATCATGCTCCTCCCCGAATCCCCCCACTGGCTGCACTCCTTCAAAAACAAAACCTCACACGCCACAAAAATCCTCTCCTGGCTATACTCCGACGACGCCGTCTTCCAAATCGAAGAACGCCGCCTCTGGGACAACCAAATCCAACGCCAGCGCCAAACCTACCGCGACATCGCCGCCACATTCACCACCCCCATCGTCTACAAACCCCTGCAACTACTCTTCATCCTCTTCCTCCTGCAACAACTCACAGGCTGCTACGTAATAGTATTCTACGCAGTGGATGTCTTCAAACTCATCGGCAACGGCATGGATGAATACAGCGCGCTTATCCTCCTCGGTGCCATACGTTTCGTGGCGGCCATCTTGTCATCCATAACATCCATCCGTCTAGGACGTAAGATACTACTCATAACAAGCGCGGCTGGTATGTTAGTCTCCGCATTACTGGCAGCATCATCAGTGGGCCATACCACATCCTGGTGTGTGTTGAGTTACGTCGCATTCGGGAGCATAGGAGTGTTGGTTATTCCCTGGACGTTGATCGGGGAGCTGCTACCGTTGAAAGTACGCGGGAAACTGGGCGGGTTTCTATTCGCATTGGCGTATTTATTCATGTTTGGCATGGTTAAAGGATACCCGTATCTATCAGCTATTGTGGAAATCAGGACAATGTTCTATTGGTTGGTCGGGGTGAATGCTGTGATGATTTATTTTGTGGCGGCGAGATTACCGGAGACTTTCGGGAAGAGTTTCCGGCAAATCGAGGAATATTTTCTAGCTTAATTTACTAACAAAATTTTACCTGATGTGATAATAAATATTTTAAATTTTGATTTTATCGTAAACACTCAGTATATAATTCCCAGTGTATAACCAGCTTTAGATGCATGTAAACTACCGCCATCTATATTCCAATCTTCAAAGCTACTGAAAATACTCTGTTCTGATTGGTTGCCGATAAGCTCCGAGCGTTTCAAGGCCATCAATGGCTGTCAAAACTGTCAAACGCAACACTTTTCTCCCGTCGTGCCTGCGTTTGTTGTGTTGTGCGCGTAGATTCGCGGCCGCACTGGAAATCCGCGTCCGAATAACCCGAATGCGATTTCGTGACGAATACAATCTACCTCCACAGCCATTGCACACATAACATGTAAGTAGCACTAATGCCGCTGCGTATAGCGTATTAGATAAACATGCACCGCCGGCAGTACGAGTACAACTAATCGATGCGAAATCAATTATACCTAAAGCCGGCTCAAGTGGAGCGGCAAACACGGTAAACATGTCATTCTGCGAGAGGATGACAAGCAAAAGAGTAAATATTTATTTAACCGGAATATTTACATTGATATTATCCATACGTATGCGATAAAATGTAATAATATATATTTTTTTGTTAAGAAAATAAAATAGAAAGGAAATTATTATATTTTCAACCGGTATTATTGCATTTCTGCACGCACGCGAAAATTCTAACCTCGAAATTAGTTAGACTTAAGTTAAGTTGACTTAAAATAAAAATTAGCGCGTGCAAAAATTGACGTATTTCCTACAAATACCAAGTTATATTGGAAATTTGCCAAAAATTACAAAGAAAACTTAAAAAAATCAAATGGATATTAACAGTTAATATTTAAATGATGCGCATTGGTCAACTGTGATTATTATTGTGTAGATCAGTGTTTGCGCACTCCGCACGGGTTCATATCATGTTATGTCACTCGCCAAAGTGATAAAAACACGCGATAATTATGTAATTAGATCATGTCATGAATTTCGCACATATTTAATTCTATTTAAGACAAATTAAACGCATTTACACCTATGTTTTACTCTCTTTTTTTTCTAATTTATTTTTTATATTTTGCAATTTTTTACTTTTTGGCGTAATTGTGCGAAATTGTGAAAACGCGATGCGCGCACTCGACGAGTGCATGCAAAACGCAGTATCAACGTAACAAGTCAAGGACACAGCGGTCAGGGTTCGCCGTCCTAGCAACAACACCATCCATCTCATCAACACAATCTGGAAACTTTGATTTTCCCCGTATTTTACGCATTACAATACGAAAAAAATAAACTTTTTTTTAAACGTTTTTATGTTTTTGCTATGCGATGCGATGCGAAATAAGTTTATGTTTGCTTATGGTGGTTTTTTTTTTGTGAACCGGTCAGCGCTCGATCAGTCAATGGAGACGTGGTGGTAGCAGAACCCGAAACGTCACAGTAATTGAAATCATACGATGATGTCGTACGATTACACCGCTGGAACACGTTTCATTCGATCGTGTGCACGCGTAAGCGCACGCAACATTAACCATTAAATAATCATTTAATCACGAATTGGATGAGATTGCTGTATTGTAAGATTAAAAAATGTGTTACGTATGCGTTTGTTTAAGGGCCGAATATAAACTAAAAAGTTTATTTTAGTTTAAAACACTTAAAAACTTTTATTTTCATGTTTTTCAATAAATTTTAGGCAGTTTTTATGTGAAAAACACTTACTTTTTTTACATAAACGAACAAGGTAATTACGATAACGATAACGATGATAGTAGGATGGTGAATGTCGATGGCGTGGTGCGGGTGGGGGCAGGCGATTTATTCAAAATGGTGCCGCGTGTCCGACGCGAAATCAGTCATTGGGTTGCGATCGCGGTCGACGCGTTGGGTTTTCTCTGAGTTGCACAGTGAAATCGCGTCAATTTCCGACTTTCTCGCTTGTTGAAATATAGTGTGAGTGTGCGTATGCGCAAAAGTGGCTTAAGTTAAGTAGTGTCAAGTGTGGAAGTGCAATTTCAATTGCGAACGAAAAATAAGTAAGAAAATGAAGTCAAATTGTAGAAAGTTTTACCTACATTCAAGTTAAAAGTTAATATTTACTTAAAAATTCAAAGAAAATTTTCTAAACCAAATAATTATCTACTTCCTTTTGTTGAATTTCTTTAATTCTACATTTTAATTATCCAAGAATGCAATAAACGCAATGATTAGTCAAAAATTTAAATAATTAAACTTTTATTGTCGCCGATTAAAACTTTCACTATTGAAATTGATTTTTTAAACAACTAATTAAATCCGCACCGCATATAAAACATAAAACAATCGATTATTAGATATCTCCAACCACAGAGACCTGATTTTATCGCATTACGTTCACAAAATAATGTTCTTTAAGCAACCAAATTAGAATGCAGCACGCACACAGCACTAACAATCGATTTATTTTTTTTGTTGTTCTACACACACGGTGAAAGTTCACTGGAATGGAAAATCAAAGCCGAGTTATTTTTATTTCCAACAAATTTCTACAAATATTTAAAACCTTTTACGATAACTGTTGAAGACGAAAAAAATGCATAAGGCACATGAATTATTCAAATCATTATTTCGTGTGTATATTCTTTTCAAATGCAAAATGTTAATGTGAATGGCCTTGAATGGCAATTTCTCTACGATTCCGGTCTTGCCACCAACCATGACAGTGACAATAAAAGTTATGTAAAAACGGCCACGGAGTTCAAAACGTTCAAACACGCGCCGTGAAAAACCAATGTGATTTTTTTATATTCTGACTGGAACTATTACTTTTTGTTGCAGATTTTGATTGATTGATATAGTTTTGAGCAAATTGAATCAAAATGTCGGCGAAAGCGATTCGTGAGGCGAGCGGGAAAGGGCTTATAAACCGCCTTTTGCCTGATGGTACAGCCGCGGCCAATTGTCGGTTTGCGTCTGTTGATGAACACACCAAGATGAGTCAATTGACCACTGATCATCCATGGCTACTCACCGAGAAACTCGTTGTCAAACCGGATCAACTTATTAAACGACGTGGGAAATTAGGTATGGATGAAATAATAAAATTTATTCAAAGGCCCTTTGAACCCTTTTTCTTTTCTGGTCAGTTTTTGACCATTTTTTTCAATTTTTTCGATTTTTTTTAATTTTTGTCGCTTTTCTGTTAGTGATTCTTATTTTCTTGAGCAGGGACCTCCTATGCTTTCTTCAGTTTTCCCTTTTTCGGTTTTCCTCTTCAATTGCTTCCCATAACTTCCTTTTTTTAATTTGCTACCAAATTTCTTCACTTTCCACCTCTAATTCTTAAAATTTTTCTCCCCTAGGATTGATTGCTGTGAATAAAACCTTCCCGGAAGTCCAGCAATGGATCACCGACCGCATGAACAAAGAACAAAAAATCGGCGCAGCCACCGGCCGCCTTCGTAACTTCATCATCGAGCCATTCATCCCACACACCGCCGAAGAAGAGGTCTACGTCTGTATCTACTCCCACCGCCATGGTGATACCATCCTGTTCCATCACGAAGGCGGTGTGGACATCGGCGACGTGGACGCCAAAGCCGTCAAAATCGAAGTGCCCGTCGGCAGTACCCTGGATCCCGCCGAAGTGGACTCCAAACTGCTCGCACAAGCAGCACCCGCGAAAAAAGCCATGATTTCCAAGTTCATCCAAGCCCTGTACAAGTTCTACGTGGACATGTACTTCACCTACCTTGAAATCAACCCACTGGTGGTAACTGCCAAGGAGATCTACGTTCTGGATCTGGCTGCTAAGTTGGATGCCACAGCTGATTTCATCTGCCGCCCGCATTGGGGTGAGATTGACTACCCACCACCTTTTGGTCGGGATGCCTACCCTGAGGAGGCGTACATTGCTGATTTGGACGCCAAGTCAGGCGCGAGTTTAAAACTGACCATCCTGAATAAGTCAGGGAGGATCTGGACGATGGTGGCTGGTGGTGGTGCGTCTGTCATCTACAGCGATACCATCTGTGACCTGGGAGCAGCTGGTGAGTTGGCTAACTATGGAGAATACTCAGGAGCACCATCAGAGCAACAGACTTATGAGTATGCGAAGACGATTTTATCGCTGATGACGCAGGAGAAGCACCCGGAGGGGAAAGTGTTAATCACTGGTGGGGGTATTGCTAACTTCACCAATGTGGCGGCCACGTTCCGAGGGATAATCACGGCGTTGCAGGAGTTCCAGCAGAGGTTGATTGATCATAAGATTTCGATTTTTGTTAGGCGTGCGGGACCGAATTATCAGGAAGGGTTGAGGCGTATGAGGGAAGTTGGACAGACTTTAGGTAATTAATAATACATTGGAAATTTTGGAGATAAATTGTTATAAATTTTTAAATTAAAGGTATTCCGTTGTACGTTTTTGGACCGGAGACACACATGACGTCTATTTGTGGAATGGCGCTGGGGAAACGCCCCATTCCGGTTGAGAATTCCGCCGCGCCCGAAACCACCACCGCCAACTTTCTCCTACCCAATGGACAAGGCACCTCCTCTGCGTCGAATGTAGCTGGAGATGGTATTGATATGACTTGTAAACGGCCACCAATGGTAAACAACCCACATCAAACCTTTTTTTCTTTATTATTTCTTATCTCTTCATTTTCTTCACTTTTCATTTAATATTTATTAATATTATTTCGTTAACCACACTAATCTCTTCTTCTATTTTCTTCTTTCTTTTTTTCTTTACTTTTCTTTCTCTTTTGGTTGTTTTTTGGTATAAATATAATTTTAATTTGGTTTTGGTTCCTTTAACAATATTTTCGCTGCACAGCACACTCACAATCTGCACTAAAAACTAATTATGTTGTTTTGATATCGATTCACTTTCTGGGTTATATTTGGTAGCACATGTAGCACGATTTGCGAGCGAGTTTTTGTGGTAACCAAAATTGGAAATTGTTTAAGGACCCGAGACCAAACCCAATAGAAATTTCCCTGCCAGACGTAGTCGCCAAGGTAACACCAACACGTTTATCATTCTCGCACATCATATAAACACAAACAACACGTAAACAGCGTGTTAAAACGGGCTAGGTTATCAAAATCACATTGATCATCATCCAATTCCAACAAGATATGAATCTTTTCTTTCTCTTCTCTAGCGTGATTCGTCCAACAAGGAGCCAATGTTCACGAATAAAACCAAGGCGATTGTCTGGGGCATGCAAACCCGCGCTGTCCAATCAACACTGGACTTTGACTTTGTCTGTCGCCGTGCTGAACCCAGTGTGGTCGCCATTATCTACCCGTTCACCGGTGACCACAAACAGAAATACTACTGGGGTCACAAGGAGATCCTCATTCCGGTTTATAAAAAGATGAACGATGCAATGACCAAGCATCCCGATGCGGATGTCCTGGTGAATTTTGCATCACTCAGGTCTGCGTATCAAAGCACTGTGGAGACCATGGACTACCCACAGATCCGTACCATCGCCATTATTGCTGAAGGCATCCCCGAAAACCAAACACGCAAGATGATTAAACTCGCCAATGAAAAGAAGGTGTCTATCATCGGCCCGGCGACTGTGGGCGGTGTGAAACCAGGTTGTTTCAAAATTGGTAACACTGGTGGTATGATGGACAACATCCTACATTCCATGTTATATCGTCCTGGTAGCGTAGCATACGTATCCCGTTCCGGAGGTATGTCCAACGAGTTGAATAACATCATCTCCAAGGCGACTGATGGTGTCTACGAAGGTGTCGCCATCGGAGGTGATAGATATCCAGGTACCACTTTCATGGACCACATCATGAGATATCAAGACGATGATAAAGTCAAGATGATTGTGCTCCTCGGAGAAGTAGGAGGTGTGGAGGAGTATGAAGTCTGTGAAGCCATACAAAGTGGCCGGGTGAACAAACCAATGGTCGCTTGGTGTATCGGGACCTGTGCGGGTATGTTCACCGCCGAGGTGCAGTTCGGCCATGCTGGATCCTGTGCGAATTCCACAAAAGAAACCGCCACTTCAAAGAATGAAGCATTGAAAGCAGCTGGGGCTTACGTCCCGGATAGTTTTGATACTTTGGGAGAGATGATTGGTAGTATCTACCAGGGTTTGGTCTCTAAGGGTGTGATTGTGCCGTGTACCGAAGTACCCCCACCAACTGTACCCATGGATTACTCCTGGGCGAGGGAACTGGGCCTCATTCGTAAACCAGCTAGTTTCATGACTTCGATCTGTGACGAACGTGGTCAGGAGCTGCTCTATGCAGGTATGCCCATCTCAGATGTCCTTAGTAAGAACGTGGGCATCGGTGGGGTTATCTCCCTGCTATGGTTCCAACGCTGTTTACCATCGTACGTTTGTAAATTCTTCGAGATGTGTCTCATGGTGACCGCCGATCATGGCCCAGCTGTCTCCGGAGCGCATAACACCATCGTCTGCGCACGCGCAGGCAAAGACCTAGTATCCAGTTTAGTTTCTGGTTTGTTAACCATCGGAGACAGATTTGGAGGTGCGTTAGATGGCGCTGCGCGGCAATTCAGCGAGGCGTATGATTCAGGTCTTCATCCTGCTGAATTCGTTAATTCCATGCGTAATAAAGGGCAGTTGATCATGGGTATAGGCCATCGGGTGAAATCAATCAACAATCCGGATCAACGCGTGAAGATTGTCAAGGAGTTCGTCATTGAGAACTTCCCAGCTACACCTTTGTTATTATACGCGCTGGAGGTTGAGAAGATCACCACTAGTAAGAAACCCAATCTGATTCTGAATGTCGACGGGGTGATTGCCTGCGCATTTGTTGATATGCTGAATAACTGTGGGAGTTTCACGCGGGAGGAGGCCCAGGAATACATTCAAATCGGAGCGATTAATTCCTTGTTTGTTCTTGGGCGTTCCGTTGGTTTTATTGGTCATTATATGGATCAGAAGAGGTTGAAACAAGGGTTGTATAGGCATCCATGGGATGATATCTCGTATGTTATGCCGGAGCTTAATAATTAAAGACAAGATTTAAGAGAAGAACTCAACGAAAATACAATGACGATGTCGGGAGGACGTAAATGATGCATTTTTATATACAGTTTAGTTATGATTATGATTATTATTGTTTCTAGTTTTTGTTTTCCATTTTCCCCGCACACGTCGCATGCAAAATGCTAAATGTTAAATCGAATGATTAATGTAAATTTAAATTATTCTTATAAAACTACTTTTAACTTAGTGACTACTTAAATGAAATAAATATTATATTCGAATTTGTGTGAAGTGTGCTTTAGATTTTCGAAGAGTGGGGGTAAAGAGTGTTTGTAAATATTGTGAATTCCCGGTATGTTTACGATGAAAGACGAATATGTACGAAGTTGAATGATTCATGGGATATGTACAGGTACAGGTGTGATTAGTGATGATTCGTATCATTAGTGCATAACCTCGCTCCGAAATATAAAATGGAACAAAATAACGGATGATTAGTTTGGTATTGGTTCTAGAGGGCGTGAAAAATTGATAAGGCATGAAATCATCAATGGTGATGATTCAAAGTGCGTCGTTTGGCGAAAAATGACAGGTAATATCATTGTTTCCAAGGAAATTCTATCTGGGTATTAATAATAATCATTTTTCGTGCAGACTAACGACGCTAACGCCATTGCAACAACTAGAACAATTAAGGGTGTAACCAGGAGTGAGCTTATGGTAGCTAACAACACAAATAAAACAATAAGTAACCTGCATTTAACTAATTGAAACAATGGAGAGTGTGGAATTGCAAGGACTGAACCATGACCATTATGGGGTCATCTTTGATAAGGTAAAACCATCAGGAGGTATTTATTCAAATTTGATGTCTATCCTTTTTAGGACAAAGGGTTCTATTGTCCATTCTACTTTCTGACCATTTATCTTCATTTCTTCTTATCTTCAACCACTTTTTTTGCTCCTCTGTTGATTCCTCTTTCCTTTCCAAGGGTTTCCCTCTCTACCTTTTTAGGGCATAAGGTTGTTTTGCCCATTTTACTTTTGACCAATTTTTTGCAATTGTTTTTACTCCCCTGTTGGTAATTCTTCTTTTTTTAGAAGGATTTTGATTGCTTCTTCCCAAATTCTCTTCAATCTTCCTCTACCTTCCTCTACCTCCCATACCTTCCTTCTTAATAAATATTCCTCCATTTTTCCTCCCATACAACCCCAAACATTACAACATTGTGCAATAACCATATTTTCTATTTTAGTACGACCACAACCATGATGGCCTAATAAACTACCAAGAATTCGCCTCGATAATCAACTCCGCGGAGTTCCGCAGCGACATCCCCAAACACCTCATCAAAGAAATATTCCGCCGTGCTGACACCGACGGCAACAACCAACTAGACCGCGCCGAATTCGTCCGTATCGCCACGCATCCCGAAACCTCACACTTCTTCACCCACCTCCGTCAACGCGGCCGCCAATATGTCAAATTCCTCGTCCCGAAACCCCCGACAACCCGCACACTACCAACCGCCATCACCACAGTCGATGGCGCTTATGAAGAAGAATACTCCTGCTGGCCACCACGCGTCGCCATGATAACCCTCTCACTAGTAATCATAGTCCTCTTCATGGTAGACATCATCATCGCTGACAACATGCACGCACAGGGACCAGTCGCTACAGATCTACTCTACGACCCACATCGACGCAAGGAAGCATGGAGATACCTCACTTACATGTTCGTACACGTTGGCAAGATGCATCTGATTGTGAACATCTTCGTCCAGCTGATGTTAGGAGTACCATTGGAGATGGTCCATGGGGGATGGAGAGTTGTGTTGGTTTATATCGCAGGTGTGGTTGCGGGGAGTCTAGGGACATCTATCTGTGATCCTACGGTGAAACTCGCTGGTGCTAGCGGAGGGGTTTATAGTTTGATGACTGCACATTTAGCAACAATTATCATGGTAAAATATTTAACCCCACTTTTCAACCCTTAAAACTATTTTTTTTTTCTTAAATTTAAAAATATTCCAGAACTGGTCTGAAATGATGTATCCACTCATCCAGCTAATCATCTTCTTGATCCTCATCGGATCAGATGTAGGCACCGCCATCTACAACCGTTACGTCCTGATGCAGTTTGAACCGATTGGTTACGCTGCGCATTTCTTCGGAGCTTTGGCTGGTCTCCTCGTAGGTATCACAATCCTACGTAATATATCCATAGACCGCGGAGAGAAATGGGTGCAGATCATTGCAGGAGCCATATTTGTCCTATTAATGGCCGCTGCGATTATTTTCAATATTGTTAACCCGAATTATTTCCCTGTTGCATACGTTTAAACGCACATACACATATTTTTATAAATTATCAATTACGACTGCCTTAAAGTTATATTATTAATATTAATAATGATAGTATTATTAATCGTGTGATATCACTGAGCACGATATATTTTTACACAGATTCATAGTTGTTACATCGATATATTTTTCTGTACAAAGCAATGTGACAATACAACATAAAAAACAACCGGAAGTTTAGTTGATCAAGTTTGGTTATGTTTTGCGCCGGGTGACAGTCCGCCATAGGCGATTTACCTCCACTCTCCACTCCCCACCATGTAAACATAAACTGCAAATGATTTTAATTCTAGTTTATCGCTAAGATTTACTTTATATTTATTATGTTTTGTTTAATATGGCATGTATTTTGTTGTAGTTTGTTGTTAGGTTATGTTTTTGTAGATTCTATACTCGCGTGTACTTTTTACATTTTCCGCACGGAGTCCATGCATCCGCACCGGCGCGATTTGTAACACGTTTTCGTGTCTTTGTTGTTCTTATCATCACTCCGCCCAGCTTTATCCTTCTCATCGCAATCCGTCGCGGTTGTACACTTAATCGACGATTTCGACTTGACTTTGCATGGAGTTTCTTTCGACTGCTTGCGTTTCAGCAGGTTCCACTTGTGTCCAGTCCTAATCAAATTCATACTTAATACGAAACGTGAAATAAAATTTAAAAAAAATGCATCCGCAAAACCAAAATTATTTGTACAATTATCAACTTACAACCTAGGATTTACTCTATACTCTATACTAATCAATTTATATACAATGTTTACTCTGTGGCGTCATTTGTTGAGGTTATGTACCCTTGAAATGAGGTTAGAGTGCTTATACGTTAAAAATGTATGATTTTTACGCGTTTTTACGATTGTTTTGCATGCGTTGCATTGTCATCATCCTCATCATCCTCCTCCTCCTTTTCCAGCAGTTTCCTAGCTAGTTTCACCGCGTAGAATTCATTGTAATGCTTCTTACGCTTCTGCTCAAACTCTTTTTTAGCTGCTTTTTCCTCGGGAGTTTCATCGTCTTCGCTCTCGTCTGATTCCATGAGGGCTTTGGGTGTTTCATGCTCAGCCTCACGAATTCTACAATATTTATTTATTTATTTTATTTTTAAGACTTTTAAGGTTAAAATAATGTAATACTTTTTAGCGAGTGTATCAGCATCTAGTGCGTCAACATCCAGATCCAACCCTTCGTAATTATACGGGGTTTTCGGTTCGTCGATCTTCATATGTCCGTAATCTTTATCAGGCGGATGTAGCGTCGCCATAATATTCATTTCGTCCCATTTCGCGCCGCCTTTCGGGGCTTTTGGACGACTACAATATTATTTTGATAATTTTAACCCTTTTTTGATTGATATTTTATGGTTTACGTACTTTCCAGGTGGTAATTTCGCATCGGGCGTATCGAAACTGCTCGAATTTTTCAGTATACTCTTGCTGGGCTTTTTACTCAGATTCTCTGCCATACCTTACACTGGAATTTACGCTGCCGGGGGTTTAGAAGGGTGGAAAGAAGAAGTTGGATGTGCGAAGAGTGACGGAAAGACTACCTGGCCAGCTGGCGGATGGTGTTTACTAGTTTATTAATTTGATTAGGAATCAAAAACGCGATTTGACGATCTGTCAGGGCCAAACAAGTGACAAGTGATTATTTTTAGGTTACCACCATTAATCACTTTACAAATTCATGAAATCTACTCAAAAAATAAACTATACCCTCATCAAAAATGATTAAAAATTAAAGATTATATCATTCATAATAAAATCACAAAAGTTATGATTATCAATAGAATATTGTGTGGTTTTTGTTGGTTGTATAAATTCAAGGCGTACCGAATAGAAATCTAAAGCATGTTATACACTATTGCTCGTATTCAATGAGAGACTGCTAAGGAGGTGGATATAGATGGTGGGTATTTCTGTAACACTCTGTATGCGGGCGTCGCGGAGTGGATGCCGGTTGGTGCGGGTCGAAGACAGGTTGGTTCGGCCGACGCTGGTAGTCGCACGCCGAGACGCAAGAGGTCCTCACCCCGCGGCGTCAATCGAACACTCGTCGCCCAACCAGGCGGACCCACCAACCATCCACAATCACACACCACCCGCTTTTTGTTTTTATTTGCCGCGTAGAAGACGAAAACACGCGCGATTCGCAATAATTCCAATCGAATTTCAACAAAAGTGCGTGTTTAATAAGGACTTGAGGTGGTTTCGGCATTCACCCGGGCACAGCGAGAGAGATACAGGTCCCAGAGAGGCTGTAAGTGTGCAGAGATCAACCCAAAACACACCTTGAAGAGAAACTATCAAGGATACGTATTCTAAGGTGAGAAAATTCAATAAAAATTTTAAAGAAATAAAAAAGGGTTGATGTGTTGATGAATACCGCACCCAAAACAAACCAAAAAAAATACAAACACCCTGTATGTGGTGTGTTTAACATGTGCGTACGACTGGGATTGAGAATCAGAATCAAACAAACAACCCTTTGTAATTTGACTTACAACTCCGCACTCTTCACTTCATTTGATCTCTTTGAGAAGTGAATTGAATACGCTATCTGATATCTGTATATCCAAGCAGAGAGTTACAAGTTGGTAGACCTTATAGACTTAAGTCTCTCTGCGCACACAGAGTTCGGGGAGAGTTGAAACCGGTTCGCGTCTCTTCACCTATACCATGGCGATGGCGATAATACCATGGCGGTATGGTTTATGTCCCATTCTTAAAAGTAAAACTTTAAAAACGCATCTTTTCTAAAAATAGCACAACTCCTAATTGGAATTCCAATTGGACGTGTCGGAATTGTAACACAATCTATTACTATCGCGCGCGCAGGAGAAGGCAGGAGAGGCGCATGATCATCGCACTCCTAAACTAAATAAATCCAGAGTCCAGAGAGTGTGTCTGTGTATTCTTAACACGCTCGCTTTAACATCGCGCCCATCGACGTTTAATTTTAAATTCCAGCGTTCTAACTTTACCGCACCACTATTGGCATTAAGTCCACTTAATTTAAGTCTTGTGATTTTCTATTTGAGTCTATTTAAGGTTTAAATACCAAAAACACAACCGAAAATAGTCCGCAGACGTGATTTTTTCTTTTAAAGTGACTTAAGTCATATTGTCCGTTGTGACTTAAGTTGAGCAGAGTGAAATTTCACGTGTCTTAACGTGTTAATTATCAATGCTTATGTAAATTGTAATAATATTGATATGTATGTAGGTGAAATCGCACAGTCTAATTGCCGGAATGCGCGCCGCGGTGATTAACTTGTTGCCCCGACGCGATTGTTTTCTTTTTTTTGTTATTATTATCACGAAGCGACCAAGCAAGGCAACAAAACAGCGCTCGATGACACATTAAACATTGCACATTACACATTGATGATTTCTTCACATATTGTATTGAACTTTACTTTGCTTATTTTATGTTTATAATCATCGGCAATAGATTTGTAGTTCAAGGAAAACGCATTTTCTGCTTTGTCTCGATCCGATTGCGTGTGCGCATGCGCGTGTTAATTAATCGCCATTAATCACTAATTGACGCATGGATTAAGACCAGATTCAGGCTTGAAGTGTGTCGGAGTGAATCATAAAGTGCAATAAAACGTGCAACTATGCAATAATAAGTAGTGAGCAATTCATGTATCTGCGTTTGTGGGATGTTGATTTGATTGTTGAATCGTTGAATGTGATAACTAACTTAGTCGTAAGATAAGCATATCGTTATTGTCGCCGCCGGCTTATCACGAATAAATGTGTCGATCTATTAATAATAATAATAAGGAGAATAATTGCTTTCAAGTCTGGAGTTGAAGCAAGTTTTCTATGGTTTTCGATTTGTGTGGGCTCATAGAGCATAATAACGTTAATAATATTGTTATCAATGATATCATTGATAAAAATTGTCGATAAAATACCGGTGTATTTATAGTAACAATAAAATTTGTTATCAATATGATTTTAATACTTTTTTTCGGCTTTTTAAATAATTATTTGTCTAAATTTATGAAAATTTTACGTTTTTTCAACTTTTTTTGTTTAAAAAGAATTAGTATTGTCACATAAGCCTATTAAAACCATATAGGCACATGCGACAATACTATTACTACTAGTATAAGCATTAGTATTGTAATATGTACCTATAGTAATTATACGGCCACAAACGACAATACTAAATAGATGCTAATCTATAATAATACTAAATAATCAAAATTTACATGAAAGGAATGCAATAAGTATTGTCACATTAACCTATAGAAATCATATGACCACGTGCGACAATACTTAATTATTTAATTAAATTTCTCCTACGAATAATAACAATTTTCAAGTGTGAAGTAAACACGACTAGAGTACAAATAAAACCAAATTCCCAATATTTTTCAACATGTGTGGGCACAATCGCACATAATAACACTAATAACATTGTTATCAGCGATATCATGTCATCAGAATGACTAAATGCGTTATGGTTCATCATGCGTTCGAAACTAGAGCATGACATTTCTCATTTTTTTATATTTTGACATCACATTCAGCTACACTTGAAGCGAACCGAACAGGAAGTTTATTATCGTAGATTCTTTTCAGTTTGCCACTGAACACATTTCATGTCTGACCATTTCCGGTCCCGATCGCGTCGATAAGAATAAAAGACCACAAATTTTGATAACCAAAACCTAACTCAACTTAAAACTCAACTTAACTTGTCAAAGTAAACTAAAGTAAAGTAAAGTCATGATGGATGAGTTGTTAATCGTATTTCAAGTGGGCGAAAGAATATTGCGTGTACAACATGCGGAAATTATTAAAACACTTACTTGTAATAAAATGCACAATCATCAGGAAGAGAATATGCACATCTGTAACAAATAAAGCATAAATATAATTATAATTATTATTGCGAAATGTGTTGGTGTTGGACGGGGAAAGTGAAGAATGCAATGCGTTTTGCTCTGGCACATTCTGGCGAGATGGCGAGATGGCTAAATTTAATTTTCCGCGTTCTATATTTGAACCTGTACGGCTCACACCTCTCTAACTTCTCCACTAGTTCTTACTTAATACCGCACATTTCCTACACCGGCACCAAACTCCAGACTATTCTCGAACTTTCTGGGCCGTACGACAATTTTCGTATGACCGGTATGACGAATTGCCAACGAGGAATCACACTCCGGCCAGAATTAGAATTCAAACATGATTTTCACTTTTTTTCAGCACACTTTACGAGCAAAATTACATTTTCGGCTTTTTAACATGTTTATTCAAAGTTTATGCTTATACTACTATGAGCATTAGAATTGTCACATGTGCCTATAGAAATTATATGGCCACGTGCGACAATACTAATTATATGCAAATGTATTATAACAATGAATTACATTAAAGAAATGCCATTAGTATTGTCACATATGCCTATTGAAATCATATGGTCACTGACGACAGTACTAATTATGTGCAAGTGTGATTTTTGTGTTAAAGCTGAATCAAAACAGCAATTTACACAATGCGACGCAAGTACCACTAGTATTGTCGCATGTGTCTATAGAAATTATATGGCTGCGTGCCACAATACTAATTATATGCAAGTGTATTATAACAATGAATTACATTAAAGAAATGCCATTAGTATTGTCACATATGCCTATTGAAATCATATGGCAACTAACGACAGTACTAATTATATGCAAGTGTGATTTTTGTGTTAAATATGTATTAAAACGGCAATATACACAATGCGACACAATTACCATTAGTATTGTCGCATGTACCTATAGAAATCATATGGCTACATGCGACAATACTAATTATATACTAATACATATAAAACCAACAAAATACGTTTAAATTCATAATTAAGACATGCTAAAATATTTATTCTAAGTCCTAGCCACATTTAGAATCAAAATTGATTCATATTAACATTATTTTCACTTTTTTCATACACAAATTTCAATTTGAATTCATTTTCGACTTTTTAATTACTAATCAGACCGTGGATTATTTTCAAGTACTTTTACTTAAGCGTAATTAATTGATAGACGCTCTGATTAACTAATACTAAACATTTTGAACACACGTTTATTCAAATTTCGCGATTTTACGAGTGTTTTTTTTGCGCTGTGAGCGTAGTTATTTCGCGAGCTTTAAATAAATCGCGATGCGAAACACGGTGGTGGCAGTGCCAACGAACTGTTAGCTCCTCGCGCTCTAACAGCACACTCGAAGATGGCGATGGCGAAGACGCTAAATGCAGCACCAGCACCAGCACCAGCACCGAAAACTCATTAAATCCGATCGAAATCGAAATGCAAGCAACTCTACACATTCACCACGCACGCGGCGTTGGATAATTAAATTTATTTCGTCGATTTAATTGCAGTGCATTTTTTAATACCATTTTAATATAATACCAAGGGGAATATAATTTTTTTATTTTTTTATTTTCTCTTTGAATGTATGTGCGTGGATTTTTTGTTTTTGTGTGCGGTGTACCGCGCCAAGGCGTTAAAACTCGGTCACGCTTGGTGGCGCACTCCTCCACCCCGAAGACGACCCATGCGAAGAAAAACGCACATACACACACATACACACAGCAAGCAAGTCTCTCAGACGGTACTCTAGACAATCAACCATCTACAACTCTTCAAAAGCCGACTGCAGCCTTCTTTATACTCGTAAACCATTTGATTTGTTTTTTTTTTTTACATGAAAATCTTTCTTTCTGTGTTTGCGTTTGCGATAATAATTGATCAAATTAGGTAATTAAATTGAGCGTGTTGTTAATTTCATTCACATTCATTTAATTCTCCTCTCCTTGCTGCTGTTGGTGTTGTTATGCTTGTTGTGGTTATTGCTCTCTGCATTTTTGAAGGTTAAATTACGAAAATTACGCCACAGAGAACATAACGCACCGAAATTTTAATAAATGTAATTATATCGATTGAGGCTTTAATTATAATTAAACAACTGTTTAAATAGACTTAGACGAAGTACTTGGTTTTTATTTATTCGCGCGAAGACGAATCCAACGTCTCGCATCTAGGATATGCAAATTGTGAGCACGTCCGGTTCATTTATCAGTGAATGCATCGGCCGACTTCAACGAAAACTAAAACTACAACTTTGCGCTAACAAATTACCAGCTACAATCTCCTACAAGTAGATTAAATCAAGACTCGGGCAGCCAAGATTAAAACTTCGCAAATTTATATCTTTGATACAAAATACTTAGCCTTAAGTCTTTAATTTAGATGAAAACTATTTTTTTTAAGACATGCCATCGTTCATAACATTTGAAATATTGTTGTAATTATGATCCCAACATCCCTACAAATTGCAATGCAAATTTCTATAACTTAAGCACGATTTTTCAGCTGTTTTATTAGGGTGCACAAGCAGCTACTAGAAAATCGTTTAAACATAACACAAGTGAATACAATTAACGCGGAATTCATATTTAGACTTCAGGAAATATTCACCGGCATTTTTACAAGAGTAATTGAGTTGATAACCAGCGCAACAAAAGATTAGACAGATGCCGCTTCGCGTAAAATCGTAATTTTTGGTTATTATTTGTATTAAAGTAGCAATAGTGTGGATAAAAGCAAAAGAATTGGATTTATCGCGTGAAACAGTCAACAAAATCGTCTGGAAAATACCGGTGCACTTTTATTAACGACAAAATTAGTTATCAATTAATTTTCAACGCTTTTTCGGCTATTTTAGTAATAATTTGATTAAATTTTATGTAATTTTTTTGTAAAATTACCATTTACGGTTAAAATTAAATAATTTCGACCGTTTTTGAGTATAAAAATAATTAGTATTGTCACATAAGCCAATTGAAATCATATAGCTAAATGCGACAGTACTATTAGTACTGGTATGAGCATTAGTATTGTCATATGTGCCTATAGAAATTATATGGCCACAAACGACAATACTAAATATACACTCCCTATAATAACCCTCAATATGTAAAATTTACACTAAAGAAATACCATAAGTATTGTCACATATCCCTATTGAAATCATATACCCACACACGACAATACTAATTATATTCAACTTATAAAACCCAATAAAAGACATGAATTCACATTTCTAACGTGATAAAATACCTCCCTGCTCCTTATAAAGCGTCCACACCATAATTACTTATCCTACTTCTAGTAACATTTAAGAAATATTATAACTATCTTGAATACAGCGCAAATAAGAGCACCTTTAACGGTTTTATTGCCAGTTACATGCGCTAAGAAGTGCAAATTTATTTCTACGCCATACTAAGTCTACGCTAACTCACGGAAATGAGATGATAATTTCCAACGACCTTGAAATCTCCTTTTCAACCCACACTCATCCTCAATAAATATAAGTATAAATATTATCAGTATTGTAAAAGCAGCTGAAGAATTTTCAATTAGCAGTTAAACTTTTGTCGTGTTGCTCGTGTTTGTGACGCAACCGGTTTTTCAGAGTGTAAAGCGCGAAAATTAGATATTACGTTAATTCCACAGTGTCTATTCTATAACTTTCTACACTTCTAACCAAACTTAACATGGAATATTTTATTTATTCATTTATTTCAAATGAGAATGAAAAAATCATTGGATGAGCATCGGTGAGCTGCGACGGCACGCGCCAATTCTCTATTATATCTTATAAGATATAGAAAACCACAATTTTTTCTCAAACAAGAATTTTGAATTAATGAAATCTTCAAATCAGTTTATTATTAGTAAAGTTTACATAAAGTTTAAGCTGTGTTTACGTCTAGACGTCGCGAGTTAATGAAGTCTTAAAAACCATCGTATAAACTATTTTCTCCTCTTCTTATTTTTAAACCAAAATGCAATTAACAACAATAGCGTGTATGTAATAAAATTGCAAATTCTTGAAACTCACGCTCTGAAAACCGCGAAAAACACGCAAAACCATTTTTTTACTTTATTTCCAAATCAAAAATATTGTTACCATCAAAGTTTTGAAGAAAGATTTGAAGATCCAAAGACACTTAAGTCGTTTAATGAGTGCTGGTGCGCATGCGCTCGCGCATCTTCGCATAACTCACTGCAGAAGTGTTTAACTCTCTCGAGAAGGTTGAAGCCAACGAACCGAGCGCGGCGTGTACAAGAAAGAGTTAAGTCATATGACTCAAGACGACTTCTCGTGGAAGTCGGCTCATTAACGCACCGCAAGACGTAAAAAATTCAACTTTGAGTGTTTAAAAGGCAAAAAAGAAACATTTCATTTGTGGCTTGGTTAACACTCGGTTAGATAAATGTTAGAAAAGGAAATGCTCTCCATTCTAATCGTTAATTGAGTAACAAATGTCAGATGTGGCGTTTTTAGCCACTTCCTAATTTATCGGCATCATGGGAACGATGGGAATGACTTATCTTAAGTCAACTGCAGTCAAAACATCAAAATATCATGATTTTCACGAATAAAATAGAAATTTTTACGTTTTTTTGAATTTCCATCGCACAGCTGATGAAATATTTAACTTTTGGAAGTTGTGCCGTTGAATGCATCGCATGTGGAGCGCATCCGTCGGCTACTTTTACTCCGAATTTCTACTTTTAGACGCGCACTAAGTGAAAAACAAACTCGCCTCGAAAATACACCCGATACAAAACATCTAAACAAAATTTCTATGTATCAAAAGTGCAAAATGCAAACTGTAAATTTATAAATACGGATCGGTACGCAAACACGCCAACAATTCACGTTACAATCGGCGTCTCCGATTACAGTTTCGCATTGTATCCGCAACACGCCATTGAAAAACATCTGCGCAAATGCCACACAAAGTGTACTCGTATCAAGATAATAAAACAATCTTATAAAATAAAAAATTAAACACTCTGTAGATGATGTACGTTGGTGAATCTATCATCGATGAAATAAAGATGCAGATGAAGATCTGAAGATTGTGCTGTGTTACGAATTCGTTGGCTTTCGGGAATGCGGTGCCGCTTGCCAGCAGTTTCGTGATATTTATAGAAAATCTAAATCGAAGTGCGCGCACGCATTGCTCCTCGCTCCTATTTTATTTCGTGTAACATGAAACTGACTCAACTTGGGTCAATCTAATGTATGCAACCAATATCACACGTACTTATAATTTAATTTTGTTGAAGATTTTAATGGGATTTTAATTTGCGCAGGATATTCGCACAGCATGATGGCCGAGACGGTGAAGAAGTCCCGAATCGTAAGTGACGACGACCTGGAGGAGTCGCTTATGCAGGAGTTTAACAAGCGCCTAAAGACGTGTATCAGCAGTGTGCGTTTGTGCTTCTTTATCTAATTACATTTAATTTTTAATGACATTTTAAATGTCAAATTATTCGTTTTACTAATTGCCATCATTTGCAATAGGAAAAAACTAACTTGTCTTTTATTATTTTGTCGTTGTGCTGTGTGCGTTTTGGTACTAACACACGATAGGAAGGACTGAACGACGACGACGAGGAGGACGATGACGACAATCACTACGAGAATGTGCAAGTGGTAGCGAGCAATACCAACAGCAACACCAACGGCAATCACGATAATATCGATAGCCTAATGACTGATTTACAACTACAACCCCTACAACAAAACGAAAATTTGTCTGAATTGTCTTCATTGGGGACAAAAAACAAACTGGACTCTGTCGAGGAGTTCATCCAGATTGAACGGGAATGTCTCAATTTGGAAGTGATGCCTCCCGAAATTCAACTTGGTGAAAATAATGGAAATGGTAATGATCACATGGTCCAAGTAAGAACCCCGCCTGATAACGAAGAAGAACCCGAAGCGGAAGGTGAATATAAACCCCTACGGACATTTCCGGTTGTGCAAAACATCGAAGTTGATAGCAGTCCAGAGAAAACCGGGATCACAGCGAGGGATAGAATGTTACTAAGCACAGACTCAGCGAGTTGCCTCCTGTTTACTCAGACAGTGACATCACCAATGTTGACACCCTCGGATGAACGCGTGGACTTCATGAAAGGCTTCACGCAAGCCGGGGAGAGTGCAGAGACATCCCCACCTACTACCGTATCAGAAGACCAGGATCCAGATAATCAAGATGATAAAGATACATTTGAACAAATCGAGGTTGTGGATAATCAGGAACCTGAACAAGATCCTGATCAAGACCAGGATCAAGACCTAGATCCGACTGAACCGGAAGTGGACCAACAGGATGCCGAAATAGACCAACCTGAAGTAGATCAATTGATGGAGGATTATCCAGAGGAGGAGTTGCAGGAGATAGAAAATATCCAACCGGAAGTTGATCAAGTGGATAGGTCTGAGGTGAGGGTTGAAAAGTCCCCGGATTTACTGCGGGATGTCCCTGTGATTCAGGTGACTTCTACCTCCCAGAATCAAGCGAGGAATAAAAATGGGGAGTATCAGTTGGTGGAGACGAAGATTTCGAATTACGAGCGTGAGGTTATGACGAGTCCGAATTCCCGGCCGATTAGTACCACGCCAACGGACTTGGACTGTAAACTGCCGAGTGTTAAGAGTTTGAAGGATCAGTATATTAAGACGGCGAGTACTGAGGTGACTACACCGACGAGTCCCAAGTTTGAGAAGGGGGAGATGTCGCAGTTGAAATCGCTGGATATCATGAAGCAGATTTCCAAGTTCGAGCAGATCAGTCCTTCTAAAGAGGAGGTAATTATGTACTAATCATTTTTCAATAATAAATTTTAATTTAATTAAATGTAGCATGTGTGTTGCATGTTTTTTTTTTGTTTGGATGTAAATTTAGTTTTTGTTGGAAATTTATGTTTTTTTTTTCTTTATTTTTGCGCGCGGTTAAAAGAGTACGGAAGTGACGGAGAGTTCGTACGTGGAGACGACGGTTGTGGAGACGTCCGTAAATGGCGACGGGCAGGTGCAGCAGGCCCAACAGGTGGTGCAGAAGAAGAAGACGAAAAAGAAGTCGCGTACGCACGCCAACGAGAAGGAAAATATTTCTGTTGTGAGTTATTTTTATTTATTTCTGTTTTAAATTTTAATTTTTTTTTTGTTTGTTTTTGTTCATTTTTATTTAATTTATATGTTGTTAGTGTGATTTGGATTCGCGTTTCTACAATGTTAATGTTAAATCGCTGGTAAGTGTTTTTTTTTACTAAACTTAACTTATTTTTTGTTTTTTTTTTTTTGATTTATTTTTGATTTATTAATATCTGTTTGCGCATGAAAATGATTAGTGTCGAAGTTTTGGCGACTTGACAAAACTCCCCGAGGAGAATCTCCGCCCTGAGGCGAATAATAAATCCGTAAGTACTCGCTCTGTGCTTTGATCAAGTTTTAAACTAGTACATACTTTATAATTTTATTTTTTATTATTTATATTATTTATTCATTATCATGGATCATTCTTTAACCACGACATTGAAACAAACAAACGATCGACACACAATTAACAATTCGCAGCGGGCCAAGTCGATGAGCGATATTCGCGGGGTGGGCTTGACCGGAAGACACATTGAGAACGTCTTTAATGGTGTCAGCGTCAAAGCACTGGTAAACATTTAACTTTTGGTTCCAATATCTATTTATTACAGTGTAGCCTCTTTATAACGACTAGGCATTTTGTTGATTCACAAGCTGCATAGAATTCGTATTGTCGCTTGTGGCCATATAATTTATATAGGCACATATGACAATACTAGTGCTCATACCAGTACAAATAGTACTGTCGCACCTTGCTATATGATGGCAATAGCTTTATGTGACAATACTAATTGTTTTTAACCTCAAAAACAGCCGAAAACAATTAATTTTAACTGAAAATGGTAATTTTACTTAAAATTACATAAAATTTAATCAAATTATTATTAAAACAGCCGAAAAAGCGTTGAAATTTAATTGATAACGAATTTTATCATTTGAAAAACTGCACCGGTATTTTCTAGACGATTTTGCAAATATTTTGAATAAACCTTTATCGTTATATCGAGGCTACATTGTATCTCCCCAAAATAACACCTAATAATGTTTTATTTTATTTGTTTGCATGTAACTTTGTTTTATTAAAATGTAATTAACCCACGCATGTGACTAACGCATCATACCGCATCCTAGAAAGAACGTTTCAATACCCAAACGAATGAGCAAAGCATGAGCAATCTTAGCTGTACACAGACGATACCAAAACGTGTGTCTACCTACGACCGACAGGTAAGGACAACCCTCACCTATCTAGAGTCCTTTTTCTACCACCCTCAGCAAAGAATTTAAGCAATCTTATTTAAAAAATATAAAAATAATAATGAAAAGGTAGTATGTATGCAATTATCACGACAATTCGCACTCTGTTACATTACCTACATGTACAAGAACACAACGAGCACATTAAACTTTGAATGTAAATAATTTCAATGTGTGGATTGAATCGGATTAAATTGTGATGAATATGTTTAACATTTTCAGAAATCAAGCTTTAGTAAGTTTGATGCGTTGCAGAAGAAGAATGTACTGCATGTTAGATCCAGCGATAGCTCCAAAGCTCAAGAGAAGTTTAACGTAAGTAAAAAATAAAAAAATAATAATTTTATTTATTTATTTCTATATCATCCGGTGTTACAATTTATTAATAGTTTTTTCAATGTTTCAACTTGAGTTTGCAACTTAAATTTGCAACTTGTGTTTACAACTTGTGTTTACAACTTGTGTTTACAACTTGAGTTTGCAACGCGAGTTGGAAATGCCATTAAAGCTAAACATTGCAAAAATTATAAATAAATTGTTACACCAGATGATATAAAATGGAAATGAATAAATATTAAATCATTATAACCAAATTTTGAATCAAATTTCCAGGGGAATCAAGCAGACACAAGCAATTGTAAATCCTGCGGAAAGATCGTCTTCCAAATGGAGCAAATGAAAGCCGAGAGGTCCATATGGCACAAGAACTGCTTCCGCTGCACGGAATGCAATAAACAATTAACGTAAATCACCTTCCACCCCACTAAACCAAAAATCAACAAATAAAAACCTAAATATACTATTGTTCTATTCCAGCGTGGATACTTATCAATCCCACGAAGGCACCCTCTACTGCAAACCGCATTTCAAGGCCCTGTTCGCCCCGAAAGTCGTCGAAGACGACAAAGATTCCGCTCCACGTAAGTATACGCATTAAAAGTTTATCCAAAGTATACGAAAAGTGAATAATTCATTCTCGAACAGAGAAACCACGTAAGCACGAGCTCATCATCCGCGAAAATCAGCCGGAAGAGTTACCCCCGGATGTTGTCAGAGGTTAGAATTCAATCACAACAGCAAATTGTACAACAATAATAACAATTAATAACTGATGTGGTTTGGTGTTGTGTGCAATTCTTACAAACTTAAAACTTAAGCATAAAACCCACAATTTAACAAAATACTTGTATATTAAGCATCAAGTGCGCTAAACTGCACTTTATCAACGTTTAGCGTTAATTTTTCTACTTCCACTATATTTCCACGTTGAGGTTTCGGTATCTAACTTTTTATTTTAAAAATTTTAGACCTAAAGTACTTTAGTCACGACCATGGCTAAAGTACCACTTTTCATATCTCGAAACCATGTAAAAAGTGACGTTTTAAAGGTGGAAGTAGAAAAAAACCAAAATGCACCTCGAATGTTCCGCTGTATATAATGCTTATTTTTTCTTTTTTTTTTTTAATAAAATCCTAATTATTTTATGAATTTTACAGCAAGTGATAAACCAGATCTTGGCCTAGAAGAACTCCAATCCCTGAACGTCAAAGAGCGCTTCCAGGTGTTCGAACACCATCACGAAGAAGAGCACGGCTTGGAGCGTACATCATCCACAGTGAACGTCAAACGTTCCCCCTCCATTCTATCAAAACTAGCACGTTTCCAAGCCAAAGGCATGGACATCGGCGTCGGCGATGAATCCCTCAACGGCATACCGATCGAGGAATCATCCACGGAAGACGAGCATGAAGTAGAGGAAGAAGAAGACGAAGATGCGGATCTCGTCAGGGCAAAGAGGGCGCAACGAGAGAAACCCTTCCACTTCACCGGCATGTCTGACGTGAAAAATAAGTGGGAGCACGGCGAGCAGAACGGGAGGGATGAAAGGCGCGAAGAACGCAAGCAAGAGATACAAAACATCCGAAATCGCTTGTTTATGGTAAGAAATACGAAGTTTAACCTTAAAATATTTTAAATATTTTTGTTTTTTTAAGGGTAAACAAGGTAAAATGAAAGAAATGTATCAACAAGCAGTGATGGAGAGCGAAAGTGGAGCGAATGTCAAGCGTACAGAGACAATTGAGAAATCCGACACGGCGAAATCCATCAAAGAGAGGTTCGAAAAGGGCGAAGTTGAAGTCAAATCACGTGGAGGCAATGGTACCGATGATGAGGAGGTCTTCGAATCGGAAATTAGCAAAAAGTCGCGGTCCATCTTCAAGGAGCTAGACGCGAATGCAACGAAAGCTCCACCGATGATTCCTGCTCAGAAATCAGCCAGTAAGGTAAGAAAAACATCAAAAAACATTAAAAACTATTTTCTATGATGAAAAAAAAATTGTATAAAAATATAAAACTATAGATATTTAATCGGCAAGCATCTAATGTCTCAACGAATGAATCCGCCGAAGTGGTGAAATCAACAATGCAACAGGAAGATGTCACTGTGCAGACAGCAGCAATCCAACAGCGCTTCAAGTTCTTCGAGACTTACAGGGAGCCGGAATTGGAGCGCAAGCGTTTCCGCATCACGCCGCCACGGGACGGTCAAGTCAAGGTCTGGGGGTGCAAAGTGGAGAAAGCTTCCTGCTTGAACGTGTTGCCCTCAAAAATATCCTCAAACATCATCAATAATCTCGCAACGCATTTTGTCTTATCACTGTATTAACACCAATATTGTTTTTGTGTTGTGTTAAAAACAAATTCCATATCACCCTGTATATAATATAATCTGTATCTTTTTAGATGGAAAGTCCCGATCGTGAAGTCTATCGTGATCCCGAAGTGATACGCGCTGAGGAACAACCGGAAGACAGCGGTGTGGCCGTTAAGACACAAACAGCGAAGAAGATGTTGAATAAATTCCGCCAGATGGAGGAGGATTTGAGTCGGGATCAAGTGCACATGGGGCCGAAACCTTTGAAACGCTTCACACCACCGCCGGAGCCTATCCGTTCAGAGGAAGAGTCTGAGGAAGAAGCTTCTGAGTCTATGGATGAGGAATCCGATCAGGAACACGAACGGAATGGTGTTACACCTGACGGGGATCTGTTGGAAGCGCAGAAGGCGGCGAGGGCGAAGCAATTACGCGCGAAATTTGAGAAATGGGAGGCGAATGAGATCAAACGCGAGCAGAATAATAGCTCGGTGAATATCGTCGAGGAATTTGGCGATGAGCAATCACAAGTTGAATCAACTAAATCGTAAGTTAATGATTCATAAAAATAAAAATTTTGTTTTTAAATTTTTATGTTTATTAATAGATTACGAGCACGTTTTGAATCAATGAAGGGCCAACAACGTGAAGATGCAAAGGTGGCAAGACCTAAAGTCAATCGATTCGTGGTAAGTGCATAAAAATATTCAATTAAACATTTAATTATTTAATTTATTATAATTTAATATCGTTGTTGTTATTCTTTCGTTGCGTTTATTTTCGCACGTTTGTTGCTCGCATAATCAAAGTTGCCTCTTTATTTGTTGATTATTTAGTGTTTTATTTGGCTCGTAATCTTTGTGCGTTGTTTATCGTTAACATGAATAATCATAACCATGCCTGACTAAAAGAATTTTGTAAATTTTTTTAGTAATCGCCGCAAGAACGTCTCCCAAACGCCAAAAAACGCCAACAAAACAAACAAAATTTCACTCCTTCTGCAATATTTATACCTTAGAATACGATTGACATGAAACTAAGCAAGAAAACGACTGATAACTATAAACAAAGTCAGAAATTCATCGAAATCGAAACGTATCCGTCATGTCATCAGATGTAAATAGAGACTGTTTGTCGTTAGAGAAAAGAAAAACACATAAATTTAATGTTTTACGTGCCAACACACTGAAAAACTTGAAAAAAACAAACATTTTATACATTTTTATCGCAATTATTTCATATAATTGATTGTGAGTGAGTTACTTTTTACTCTGTTTAGTTTATTACTGTTAATGTGTGTACTTTTCGTAGAAAAACACAAGATATTTAATCGTAGACGTTGTTAAAACTAAAAAAAAAACCGAAATTCAACTCAACTAAACCACACTACACGAATACTATCAATTAATTCAACGAGTGACTGACCATTCTCGCTAGAGAAACAAAAATTAAATAAAATATATACAATTAGTTTAGATTTAGTCATCAATCATTTAGCAAGATTTATAAAATTTGCTAAATATAGGTGTTACGATTAAATTTATTATGAAATTTGTGCCAATATGTTAAATTTTAAATTTTAGCCTTGCCCCTGACTATTTATTATTAAACATTAACATTGATAATGATATCTAAATGTTTTTTGCGAAGTGTTTTCACGTTTAGTTTACTCGGAAGACTTGAGATTTCTATAAAAATCGATAAAACTATAAATATACCTTGTACTTATATGATAGATATACCAAAAATAAGCAAAACCAGCGATGTTATCGTTTCGTATTCATTTTACTACGATTATTATGATTATTATTATATTATACACTCGAATATGTTAACGAAGTAATAAATAAATGAATAATGAATGAATAAAGGGTGTGATTATGCCAGAACAACAACAACAACAACGATGATGATGATGACAAAACAAGTTGTAAATTTAGACGCGGAATTGAAATGTGTTTACACTGAACAGAATACGACGCTGACTTTGGAGGCCTGCCAGGATTGCCAGAAGAGGGTGTATCCGCTGGAGAAGATTTCCGTGCACGGGGCGATTTATCACAAGAAGTGCTTCAAGTGTATGGAGTGCAATACTATTTTAAGGTGAGATAAAAATAGGAAAATTTGCGATTTGAGTAGTTTTTCATGAAATTTTGAGATTTTTTGGAATTCTGGAGAAAATATTTATATTTTTTAAACAAAAAGTATTCTATATCTTTCGTAATATCCTTGAGAATATGTGTATAAAATTTCATGATGATTGGTTGAGTAGTTTATGCGTTAAAGCGTAACAAACAAACTTTTAAACACGTTTTTCTCAATTTTGCATTTACAATATGTTTAAAAAAATGATAATTTGTATTGAATCTCATTCAATCACTAAAATTATTTATTTCTATGTTTAAATATCATCAAAATCATTTATCATTATAAATGCGAAAAAACGATGTTTTTGTATGTTTGTTACACGTTATCACCAAAACTACTCAACCTAACATCCTGAAATTTTCTACACTGATTCTCTAGGATATTACAAAGACCATAGAACACTTTTTCTTTATAAAATTAACAATATTCCTATAAATTTCCTTATAAACCCATAAACTTTCATGTTTTAACCATTTTTTGATTATTTTTAGAATGGATTCATACTCGTATAATCAAGGCCGATTGTACTGCACGCCGCATTTCAAGCGCTTGTTTATCACGAAAGGCAATTACGACACAGCCTTCGGCCTGGAGCAGCACAAGGAAAAGTGGAACGCGTCCGTGGCATAAGACGCATCCTCACCCCCACAATCAGCGTAATCATCATCCCTCTTGCCACCCGAATACTTTGTGATCCCACTTAATTAATTTCTATCTAAACTAATTTTAAACCGCCGCATTTATCTATTATATCACTCCTTCTTCTCTTTCTTCATTATATTATTGTGTGTGTGTATTTGTTTTTTATCGAATTGATTTTGGCGTGAATTAAGTCATAAGTTATAAGTTTTTACAATGATGTACTTGCAATAAATGAATAAATTAATCGTTTAAGTGACATGATTATTGCATTATTATCGTGTTGTGTGTGTCTTTGGGCGGGTTGGGGGACAACGCAAACGCTGTTTTATCGATTTTCGCACGGCGCGCGAAGTGGATGGGAGGCGTGCGTCGCGAATTTCGTCCGCACCACCCACCTACAATACATTACACAGTCATCATCATCATCATGCAGCGTGCGTGCGTGCGATAGCACCTGCCGCCCGCTGTCGATGTCGATGATTATAAACAGATGAACTTTGACCTCCGTGCGAACGCCCACAAAGCAAAATTCTAAAGTAAAAATCATTAAGAAGAAAACCTCAACATCAACACCAACCAAAACACAAGGTAAGAAAACATAAATAATTTCTTGGTTAAATTTATTTTACTCTTAAATTAAATAAAAATAGTTTCTAATCATGTGAATCCAATCGAATTATCCTCTGGTGAATCGGCATGGATTACATCCGAGAGTTTGATATCCAACTGGACAAAGAGCATTACTATGCAGGCGAGAAGATTGAAGGCACAGTCATCCTCAATACCATCGACAACTTTAAATTACGAAGTAAACACACATTTTTTTCTTTTTAATTAAAAATAATTAAAAATAATTTTTAGCTATTAGGGTGATTCTAAGAGGAAAAGCGCACGTGGAATGGAAAGTGATGCTTTCCGGTGAACGCCGGACCGTCAAAGACGATCAGTACTTCATCGACGACCGGCAGGTGATCTGGGGCGAGAAGAACATCACCACGACGATACCAATCCTCCCACGTGGCGTGCACAAGTTCCCCTTCCGTTTCTCTCTACCAGAGAGTTCGCTTCCGTGCTCTTTTGAGAGCAAACCATGCTGTATTCGTTACTACATCAAAGTCACCGTGGATATTCCCTATGCAAGCCCACCGGAGGGCGTGAAATACTTCACGATAATTGGGCCACATATTGATTGCATGGAGGAACAATATTTGGTATTACTCTTTTATATACAGGGTGTTTATATTTTAACATCTTTTGATTTTTTTTTATATTCAAGAAACCCCAAGTACAAGAAGACCGTAAAAGCACCTGTTGTTGGTGTTGTAAACGTGGAACTCTTAGCCTACGCTGTGTACTGGAACGCTCTGCATATGTCTGTCGGGAAAGTTTGAAGTTAAAAGCGACGATTGATAACCAAAGCGATGAGGAAGTGTCGCTGCGTGTGCGACTGGAGCAGTGCTGCGAGTTTTTCATCGATAGAGGCGTGCTGGGTGTGGGCAAGGAGTTGAAGCACCTGGTGTTTGAGTACAGGGGGAGTCAAGTGAAGCCGAATACGAGGACCAAGTGGGATAGTAGTAACAGTCTGGTGATGCCACCGATGCCCACCACACTAGTTGGGATTTGTCGACTTGCACAGATTTATTATGTGTTGACTGTGAGTATTATAAGTGAGGAATCCGCAAAAAGTAGTGGGGGTAATTTAATAGTTTTAGTATCAGATTAAAGCTAATTCATAATATGTTTGAGTTTTGAGTGATTTTGAGTAATTTTCTTAAAGAAAACGTGTTTTTTGTTGATTTTTGCTTGGCAACCCGCGAAAAGTGGTGGGGGTAAACGTGTATTACGTGATAGAAGACAAGAAACACTCGAAAATGAATTTCTAGCAACAAAATAGACCAAAATAAGGTTGATGCCTGATATTTATGTTGTAATATTCTTGCAGGTTAGTTTAGATTCGTCGAAAGAAGCGGATCTGGTACACGTAACGTTCCCTATTACCATAGCGACAGTGCCTTTTAGAATACCCAATAGCAACAGGTTTCCTAGCGTCAAATATGGTGAGTAAAACGAGTAAAACACCCACAAACACCTCACACCCTCTCAAAACTTTAAAAACTTCCAGAACATGCGGCAGCGCACGTTGAAGGAGGTCAATACATCGGTCCAGAGTTTCTCCTCGGACAAGTTTACGACGGCAACGAACATAACAATCGGTAAACACAAACCTCCACCAATAAAACCAATAAAACTTAAAAATCTAATAAAAAAATTTATGTTTCCGATAGAGAACCAGTGGTTTTATACAAGCCGGTGTACGTGACAGTGGAAAAGAACGAAGATGCAACACCCCAAGCATCACACACACGTCGCCCCAGCCACATCCCAGACCACCTCGTTGCGAGTAAGTAACCAAAGCGCAAAATCCCACCAAAAAATGGAAATTATTTGACTGAGCACCTTTCGCCAAACGTGTATTATCTTGAGTATTAACTACCCTATGATTCGTAGATGCCAAAATCAACGCGCAGAATATTTACATTTACACCAAATATATGCGTATTAGGAGATTTTTATATGCGAAGTAGCGAAGAGGATAGTTTATATCACGCGTACAGTGTATCAATACCACCAAATTCAGATAATAATCATAATTATAACAAGAAACACACCCGGTATATTTGCGAATTTCGATTTTTATTGATGTGAGGATAATTCCCATGTGAGAGATGAATGAAAATAGGAAAACATACCTTCCAGTGACAATTGTGAGTCACTTCCGATTGAATTCCACTCCAATTTCCGCTGCAATCACTGCGTATACCTGGAAAATCAGCATTTGCACATCAATTACAATCGAAATTGACGATTTGTATCATGATTCACATGAAAAAGGACTAAAACTAGTAATGCATAGCAATTGTAACAGGGTTCCATATAAACAATTATAACGAATAATTATTTATGCCAAAAATAAAACAAGAATCGGAGCTCAACTAGTGATGAGTGGCGATTTCTAGCGGAATTTAGGTAGTTGATTGGTATGTGGGCGTAATTAATGAAGAAAACGCGATGATTTTTGATGTTTTTACCGCTCTTTTGACACAAACGGACCGTGAGCGTTCGTCGGGAGCGAACAATTAACGAGTAAACATATAAAACAAGCTTAGATGACACGAGATAAACTATATATATGAATAAAATTAATAAACCAATGAATAATAACAGAGAGGAATTGATTGTTTAGATGTTTTACCGCGCACGTGGCGCGGATAGTTATATGAGTCTATATACAATTTATTATTACCTGTTTAATATTTGTGTATTATATCAAGATTTGATGACATTGGAGAAATTTAATAAATGACTGTGAAAATTATAAACTACATACGGCGAGTGGACATAACCTATGCATCTGGTTTTATTTGAAAGGTTAACCGGAGCGACATCTACGTGAAAGTATTTTTTTAGGATACAACTAAAAAAACATCATAGCGACATGATATTATTAATGTAATACATGTGTGATGATGTATACTAATGATTACAAGTTGATTTAAGATATAATTCTTAGTGAAATATGAATTATCAGTGAAAATGCCGGGTATACTTACAAAAGTTGTGCTGGGGATGCCGCCATGACGTCATGACCTTCACCACTTCTCACCGGTATTGAAAACGGAAAAAATTCTGCACACTTTCAACGCGGATTAAACTTATACAAGACCATCTCGAGGTGATTCTAATATCACATCGGATAGATACCAACGTCAACTAATGATTAACACAAGATTTAAGACGTAATTAACGCGGATTGATTAATTATCAGTGAAAATCACGGAGTTACTTACAGGAAGTGATACTGAGCTCGACGCCATTATTTCAATGCAACGGCCGAGCACAGCGCCACCTCCTGCGGTTTGAAAAACTAACACTACTTCAGCTGCAAAATGTGCACTACACTTGCAACGCGGATTAAACTAATAAAACGACAATTGCGCGCTGGTATTCTTAGCGCATCGCACGGGCGATGACTTTAACTATTGACTAACACCGGGTTTTAGAGCGAAATAACGCGGATTACTTATTTTTTAGCGAAAATTCAAGCGGTGCTCACAAGAGTTGTTGTCGTGCGCGGTGCCGGTACGTTAGTGAAGTGACAGCCGGCTGCGCAACTATCACTAAACTGATAAACTGCACATGTTGTTAATAAACAACAATATATATAAAATACTAACTCACAATGCGTAATTATTAATAAAACAGCGTAAACTGTGATAATTTGAATAAAATTTGAATTTTAATTGCGTGTTTTTGGTTAACTTCGCCATGTATGTTTGGTTGCCTATCACAAAACTGCGTAAATATACACAACTAGTACAAATCATGTTCAAAATACAACAAAAAACATCACAGAACGCAGATAACAGAAGTAGATGGTTGGTTTCTATTGTAAAGTATGGTATTTTCTTAGTTTCTTACAAAATATAATGGCTTGTACGGTGTAACATTGGTAAAAATGCATCAGAATTGACTTTTTACTTGTTGACAAAGTCAACACCCTTCTGGATGGATTTTTTGAGCTCAGGGATGGCAGCATCCACCAATTTCTGCTCGCCAGCGGTCAGTTTACCAAGACCCAGATTCTGCTCGATGCCATTCTTGCCCAGAACCAGCGGTGTGGAGAAGTAATCCAAACCTTTGACGCAATCAGACGCGACGTACGCGCATTCAACCACATCCTTCTCGCCTTTCATTGCACGCATCAACGAGATGGCGAAACGTGCACCGGCGTACGCCATGGATAACGTGGCTGAACCAGCACCGGCCTTTGCCTTAACCACCTCTGTACCTGCATCCTGAATTCTAGGAATTAACTTCGCAAGTGTAGCTTCGTCAAAATCTACTTTTGGCTTCGCTTGGCTGATTAACGGGATGATGGTGATGCCTGCATGTCCACCAATAACAGGAATGCATACTTCCATTGGGTTAAGACCTTTTAATTCAGCGACGAATGTGTTAGCGCGGACGATGTCCAAGGTAGACACGCCGAAGATGCGGCAGGGGTCGTAAACTCCGCATGCTTTGTACACTTCAGAGGCGATTGGTACGGTGGAGTTCACAGGGTTGGAAATAATGCAGAAGTGGGCCTTAGGGGCGGCTTTGGCGGCGGCTGTGGCGATATCACGGACGATTCCAGCGTTGGTTGCGAAGAGATCATCACGGGTCATACCTAACCAAGAAATTAGAGAGGTTATGTTAACATCATTTTGTTTAAGAGGTTTTTTGGGTGTAACTTTTGTAGTTTTGGGTTGATTTTGATGATATTAGCATCAAATTGAAGCTAAGAAAATTCTCTATCTATATGAGTCATGATTTGTTGTCGTAGGTTTGATTTTTGGGTGATTTTTAATGGTTTTAAATGAATTTTTTGAATAAAAATGTTTTTCTAGTTTTTTGATTATAACTTTGGTAATTTTTGCTTAAATTTAATAAAATTAGCATCAGATTAAAGCTAAGAAGATTCTCCTTCTATGTAGCTCATAATTTGTTATGATAAAATAGCTTTTGATGATTTTAAGTAAAATTTTCACAAAAACTTGATTTTTTTGCTTTTACTTAGTTTTTTCAACATAACTTTAGTAATTATTGCTTGATTTTGATAATATTAGCATCAAATTGAAGCTAAGAAAATTCCCCATCTATATGATTCATGATATGTTATCATAGATTTGAGTTTTGGGTGATTTTTTATGATTTTAGGTGAATTCTTTGAATAAAACATGTTTTTTTAGGTTATGCCAGTTTTTTGCTTATAACTTTGGTAATTTTTGCTTAAATTTAATAAAATTAGCATCAGATTAAAGCTAAGAAAATTCTCCATCTATGCAACTTATAATTTGTTGTGATGAATTAAAGTTTTGACGTTCTTTTGATAATTTTAAGTAAAATTTTCACAAAAACATGATTTTTTTGCTTTTGCTTAGTTTTTTAACCATAACTTGGGTAATTATTACTTGATTTTAATAATTCTAGCATCAAATTGAAGCTAAGATACTTCCCTATCTATATGATTTCTGATATGTTAACCTAGAGTTGATTTTTAATGATTTTAGGTGAATTTTTTGAATAAAACATGTTTTTTTAGGTTATTCCAGTTTTTTGATTATAACTTTGGTAATTTTTGCTTAAATTTAATAAAATTGGCATCAGATTAAAGCTAAGCAGATTCCCCATCTTTTTAACCCATAACTTGTTGTGATAAATTTGAGTTTTGAGTTTTTTTTTTGATGATTTTAAGTAAAATATTAACTAAAACATGATTTTTTTGCTTTTACTTATTTTAACCATAACTTTAGTAATTATGACTTGATTTTAATAACTAACGCCTCAAATTAAAGCTAAGAAAACTCCCCATCAACCTACACCATCACATTTTATGAAACATTTGAATTTTGAGTGATTTTTACCATTTTATAGCAAATTAACCACAAAAACATGCATTTTTCATTTACCTGGTTTACGTGGAACACCAGCTGGCACAACAATGATGTCACATCCCTTGAAAGCCTCCTCCATGCAATCATTACCTTCATAACTGTAAAACACCCAAAATTACCATTAATCCAACGCAATTCACTTGACAACAAGCCAAAAATCGGCCGAAATCAAGTGCAACAACATATTTCTCAAGTATCAGCCAATAATTTACATCTATTTTTATCCCAAAATCAAACCTCAAGCATCTCACCAATCTAAATTCACTCTGTTGCCTATTGACACAACTGTTTGTTATCTCCAAGTATTACTCCACCAGTGACAAACACTGTGTCAATATATCGATCATATGTTGCTGATAAACTGCTTACCCTTCAACTTTGGCAGGAGTTTCGATGTGAGAGAGATCCGCAGCCACACCAGGGGTGTTGACAATATCATACAATCGCAGCTCAGATACCATTGGGCACTGCTTCAGCAGTAAAGATAATGGCTGGCCAATGCCTCCAGAAGCACCAGCGACAGCTACCTTGAAATTATTCTAGAAACACACGATTAATTCAAATTATATAACCTGTTTGGTTTTAATTAGATTTTTTAGCATTTTGTGCTTGGAAAATGATGATTTACTCACTTTGGATGTGCAGGAGAATTGCCTCAGGTTGCGGTTTAGGCCCTGGCATAAAATACGGCGTGTTGAATGCATTTTGTGTGTGTGGTTTCGGTGTGAATTGCGAATTGGAGAAATTCGGGTGCTGTGCGTCGAATGTCACCGCGTTAACTGCGAGTGGAAACGTGTGCACAGTGCTCACGCGCGATTTGACCTTCCCGCGTCCGTAATCTCGCCTAATTTAAGTTCGAACACCAGTGGATCTGTATCCACTGTATCGGTGATGAGCTAATCGGTTCGTACGCACGCCGCAACAGATTTCGCAGTAAACTGGCTGAAAAACAAACAAGTGTTATGAATGTGATAAAAATTGATGAAATTTGGGCTGATTTTTAATGCTGGACAACCTGGAACTGTGTATTTCTACTGGAATTTTGTTGATAGTTGTGATTTATTGTTGTTTTTATGTTGTTTCAGTTGTTTAATGCTGTTTTGAAGCGTTTCTATGAAAGTGAAATTCCGAAAATAAAAAAATGAAATAATTTTGGTGTATGACTGGTTGCCTATAGTTCTAGGTTAATATTATTAATGTTCGTGTTTTTTGTTAGTTATTTGTTAATAACTATTAAACTAAACACGCTACAGAAAATGTATTTATATATAAATATTCAGAATTAAATTTTGCATCTACTCATGTTTAAAATAATTAAATTACTCTTTTCCTATAAAAGTTATAAATAAAAACATAAATAAAACCATTTTTTATAGTTTTTTGTTTATAATTTCTAATATAAATAATTAATGTATATAAAAATAACATCATTAAATACAGAATTAACCACAGAACATACTCTGTAAAAACCATGACTCTACTCCTTTTACTTTTCGTGTAATTAATTATTAACAGCATAAAAATAACATGAATATGATTATGAAATAACCACGTCGACTAAATTAATAATTTTCAACATAAAACAATAAATAATCAATAACAGCACAAAGCGCATTAATAACAACACTGATTCTTACACTGTGTACGCATGCGCATGTTCAAATCAACCGTTACAAACTTAAAATAGCAATTAAAACGCATGAAAAACACATCAATAATTAACATAACCTAACTTTGACGGATATGACGATTTGAAGCTGAATGAACGATGAATTATGCACGAATTTGTAGCGCCATCAATAAACAAAATCTAATTGATGCTCGCGCCGGTGAGAAATGGCCGCCGAACGCATTTATTACACATGCATTTTTTATTCCACGCCGACCGCGTTGTGGCCGCCGGAAAGAAATTGATTTTATTGTATATTAGGCCATGGTAACTATAGCACCTGGACATTATTTATTATTCATTGCGTTTTTATCCACCAAGCGACGACACAAGACAAACAAATACAAGAAACACTAAACAAATAGATAAAACATAGTATAACCTCACTAGTAGTATAAAAGTAAGGTTAGGCAACACATTATACACCTAAACATTTATTCATAGCAGTTTGAGTCTCTTTGTTTCATGTTTCATGCTGCTTTGTGTAAATTAGCCGTGGTGTTGTGTTGTGGTGACGGTTGGAGTGACGTCGTTGGTAACCGCAGTCCGTGGGGAGTGAAAACTCGACAATTCGACGTCCGGTTAGTAAACTATCAGTCTTGATTGGACTCGCCGCCATTACACACATCTCAAACAAATTAAACGATTAGAATGACCAGACACGAAATTAAACTTGATAAACACCAGCGGCCATTTTAAAAAAATCAAGTTCAAGTGATTTTCGAGTTTTTGAATGAATGTTCTCACCATCAACGGACTCCTCGACAAATTAGAAGCAATGGATCTGGGTAAAGACAGTGCTTTGTTCCTTGAAAACGAACGCAACAAATCAGGTAAGCATTTATTCTGAATAAATAAAGAAAAATTAATATCATACACGTCAACATCAACTCGGCGAACGCCAAGTATGCTTAATCGATCCGCGTGTGTAATATTTTCTCTTGTCTGTATGATACACGTATGACCCGCATGTGTCAATTGATTTTCCAACGAGTACAACAATTGTCAGATAGTAAATATAGCATTGACCCTTTTTTTCTATCAAAAAAGGGTCAAATTCACGAAGAGCCAGTAATGAAAGTCAGCTGAGTTTGAATGTGCCCATGGAGAGGGAACCCACACCCATCATATCACCACAACCCATGTTGACAACCATTTCGGGTACACTTACATCAAGTCTGACCCAAGCGGGTGCTGCCCTGAGTAATTTGAGTTTCGCCGCGTTGAAATCCCGTGGGTCCAATGCCCAACCCCCGAGGAAGTCGGGGAATGACACCATGTTGAATGGGATTGATGAGGGGGTATACCAGGAGAAGACCCGAAGACCCTCGGGGCAATTAAACATTGAGAAACCATGTTCTGGGAGGAAGGTTCTAAGACCTAGTTCGAAACAGTATAGAGGTGATGCGTTTGGGCCTCAATTGAGTACGGAGACCCTTCCGACCCTACCTGGGACACCTTTACCTTCTCTGGTCCAGGATTCTGAGGAGTTGGATTATACGGATTTGCAACCCTCGCCGCCCGAGTCCCCGGGGTTCAAAACCGAGGTAAGTTTTGAAATCTTTTTTAATGGGGTGCAAAAAGTGATGAAATTTTAATGGCGGATCGATTGAATGCGCAACATGGCAGGCGCATTGCAGTTATGTGTGTAGGGTGATGTGGTTCTCTCGCCAAAAATACAATATTGACTTGGTGTCTCATTATCTGCTTCGTTATTCATTTTTCGTGCTCGATTGTGGTTTAATCGGTGTCGCTGCGGCGTGAATATTGCAGCAGCAGTCACGTTTGCCAAGCACCTTGGGAGAAGGGTTGTGTGGGTAGACGCCCCCGCACGATGCTGTTAATTATTCAGCGGGTGACAATGAGAGGCAGGAGTGATATGTGGGTCAAAGGGAATAGGAAAAATTTAGTTTTGAATGGTTTTCAAGTAGGTTATTAGAATCGGACCTTATATTGGGAGACTTTTATTGAAAAAAAATTTTAAAAACTTTAAATTGATTTTTTGACCCTTTTTTTGAGCACCTGAGAAGGTTTAAAGTAGTGTATCATAATAAGCCCCTAAATTGGGAGACTATTACGTGAAGAAATTTTTTAAATTTTTAAAACTCAATTTTGAGACCATTTTTGGGACACCTGAGAAGGTTTAAAGTAGAATATCATATTAAGCCCCTAAATTGGGAGACTTTTACGTAAAGAAATTTTTAAAATTTTTTAAATTCAATTTTGGGACCCATTTCAGGTCCACCTGAGGAATTTTAAAGTAGGTTACCCTAATCTGCCCCTACATTGGGAAGCATTGCAACAAAAATAACCCAAAAATATTAATTTTGACCTTCAGCCCCCAGATCCAGATAGTCTGTACTTTCGTGATGGGCGTAGACAAATCGACATGATCATGGTCTACGAAGAAGAAGAGCTTGGAGTGATGACAGAAGCAGAGGCCCGGAAGCGTGACAACCGGCGTATTTTCCAAGTGAATTATTTTTATGAATCAAATCAATTTCCTCCATTGCACGTCCTAATTTTAGACCAGACCACATGCACTGACCTATGATGACGCACAAATATCATAATCATTGTGGTAAATAATTAACACCACCTGTGATGAATCACCCATTCATTCATATCTAACATAACCCAATTTTTATTATTTACAAACAGGAAAACCTTCAAAAAGAAGGTTTGGAGTTAGAAACAGAACATAAGGACATGTCCTATGATGGTAAGACATGGTTCGTCAAAGTCCACCTACCATGGAAGACCAAAACCAGATACGCATCCTTAATGGGGGTTAAATTCCCCATAAAAAGGTTCATCACTATTTCTGTGAAGGCCTGGGACGACGAACAGAATATGGTCAAAGACCAATCTATGTATGCAAAATGGCGGCGTAAATGGAAGCGATTCTATGAGTATAACCATGATGTGATAGAAAAAGAACCATCTTTCTATGATGCAACTGAAGGAGGTGACCCTGAAGAGCAGTTCATCGTCAAGGACCGTTTGACCACATTTAGTAGCGCCCAGAGGAGTATGATGGTCATGCAGATACTCCTAAGGGTCAAATTTGATGATACTGATAAGGTAACACCCATAATAACCCAAATATTAACCCCTTTTTTATTGGGAACCATTTTTCTTGACCCAGGTTGGAATTAGAAGACTTTTGAATGATAAAACCTACACAGCTTGTTTTCCCCTCCATGAAGGTTCCTACGACCGTGAAGAAAGTGATGGTACCATTTTAGACCGCAGGTTACTATACCTAGAATGGGCCCGACCAGCAAAATGGTACAAACGTCAACCACTCCGCTTAGTCCGGAAGTACTTCGGAGACAAAATAGGGTTATACTTTTGTTGGTTAGGGTTCTACACGAAGATGTTGTACGCACCTGCAATTGTCGGCACGTTGTGCTTCCTCTACGGCCTGTCAACCATGGAAAGTGAAGACAACATCCCCAGTAAAGAAATCTGCGACCCAAATGGACCCGGAAACATAACCCTCTGCCCTCTGTGTGATAAAGCCTGCCGATACCAGAAACTCATCGACAGTTGTAAATTCGCAAGGTTAACCTATCTTTTTGATAATCCCGCAACGGTCTTCTTCGCTATCTTCATGAGTTTATGGGCCACTTTGTTTCTGGAGCTCTGGCGTCGGAAACAGAGTGTTATCCAATGGGAATGGGACCTTCAGGGGATAGAAGAGGATGAGGAACCACGTCCGGAGTTCGAGACCAGTGTGAAGACCTTCCGGACCAATCCTGTGACCAGGGAGAAGGAACCCTATTTACCCACTTGGTCTAAAAGTTTGAGATTGATAGCCACAGGGTCCGCGGTGTTTTTCATGGTTATTGTGGTTATGGGAGCTGTTCTGGGGACTATTATTTATAGGTTATCATTGGTTTCGATTATCTATGGGGGAGGTGGGGCTTTTTTGAAGAAACACGCCAAGATCTTCACTTCTATATCAGCTGCCACTATCAATTTGATCATCATTATGTGTTTGACCAGGGTAGGTCCCTGAATACCAGAAACATAACCTCAAATTTATTTCCTCTGTTTTTTGTTTAGTTTTATCATAATATTGCTATCTCCTTGACCAATATGGAGAACCCTCGGACGCAGACAGAATATGAAGACTCTTATACCTTCAAAATCTTCGTTTTTGAATTCATGAATTTTTATTCTTCATTGATTTATATTGCGTTTTTCAAAGGGAGGTTCTTTGACCATCCTGGGGATATTATTAGCAGGAAATCTGAGTTTTTGAAGGTCAAAGGAGATGTGTGTGACCCTGCTGGGTGTTTGAGTGAATTGTGTATCCAACTTGCTATTATCATGATAGGGAAGCAGGTGTTCAACAATTGTTTGGAATTGTTTAACCCTTGCTTCCATAACTGGTGGAGATGGAGATCCCATCGGAGTAATACCAAAGACCTTAATAGGAAGGATACCAGGTGGGAGGAGGATTACCACCTGCAGGATGCGGGTAGACTTGCGCTGTTTGATGAATATTTAGAAATGAGTAAGTTGGTACCATCAATACCTCAATAGGTTAGAAGGAAATTGATGGTATTCTTTTTGGTTGTAGTATTGCAATATGGGTTTGTGACCTTGTTTGTCGCGGCTTTCCCCTTGGCACCCTTGTGTGCTTTGTTGAATAATATTGCAGAGATACGTCTGGATGCTTACAAGATGGTAACCCAAGCAAGGAGACCACTGCCCGAACGTGTTGAGGATATTGGTGCATGGTATGGGATTCTGAGGGTCATCACTTATGCTGCTGTGGTGTCTAATGTATGAATACCTTTTGGGTTGTACCTGAAACCCTTAATTTTTATGTGGTACCCTTTTCAGGCGTTTGTGATAGCTTATACTAGTGACTTCATACCACGTATGGTCTACAAATACAAGTATTCTGAGAATGAGGACCTTGTTGGTTATATAGATGCGTCACTATCATGTATGACCATTTTTAAAGGGTTTTAAGGGTTTTAGAGGAATACCTTCAATTTTTTAATGTTTTTTAGTGTTTAACACTTCACATTATGAACCTGGGATGGGTTCTGATGAAGAAAAAGACAATTATGAAACGTGCCAATATCGCGGGTATCGTAATGGTCCTGAATTCCCACCTGAAGACCGTTATGGTCTTAGTCCTCAGTATTGGCACGTGTTTGCTGCACGTTTAGCATTCGTTGTTGTTTTCGAGGTAAACCTAACCTAAAATCATAATATTTCTAAAACTAATCAAACCATTTCAGCACATTGTGTTTGCCCTAACTGGTATCATGCAGTATGTCATACCTGATGTCCCCAGCGAGTTGAAAACCCAAATGCAACGTGAAGCCCTACTGGCCAAGGAAGCTAAATATGAACACGGGTTGAAAAAACAGGATTTCGACTATGAGGAACTCATGAACTACACCAGGGAAGGTGGTAATAGTGTAATGCAGAACTCAAAAACACCTGGTAGGTCAAACTTTGCATTCAGCTCCCGATTTAGGGCCAAAATGGATACACACTAAGAAAATTCATGATTTGAAGGTATGAGAGGCTCCTGGGCAAGAAGGCTTAGCAAAATGTCAGATGGGTTGGATGCGCATGTGGAAGTAACAACCAAGAAACGCAACTCGATCAATTCCACTGTCTGGGAGGTCACGTAACAGCCCTATGACCAACTTAAACAATATAATATTTAAGGGTACCACTAATATTCACCTATTACCTATCTATATACATGTTCTATAAAATATTTTCAAATAAGAGTTGGAGTTGACCACTGGTATCAATAAAAGGTTGATTTGACATGTTGTTGTGTTTCTATGGTTACCACACCATCAATAAATTTTTGACTTTTTCGGAACCCGGTCCAGAAAATCGTGACCTCCAAAATTTTTTCAAAATTTCTAGGTAAAAACACTCTGTAGAAATGAATACGAAAGTTCATCACCTCCGCGACATCCTCGCTGTAAGCCCCCACCCCTAAAATTGATGGTACCCTTAAAACCCTTTTAATATCCATTCCAGACGGCGTACAGGTGTAAATCAACCTCCCCAGTGCGGAGGACCATCTCCCCGGAACGTAATCAGTTCAGTCAATACAAGGACCACCTGCATAACTTCCTGGAATCAAACCGGAAAGACCTACAGAAGACCTTTGATGACCCTAATTGTTATGAATCCACTGATACCACTTCCATCAATACTATTTATTACACCAATGAGGAGACAACACCTCTTCCGGTTGGGAAAACAACCCAACCGGAAACAGGCGCCTATTTCTCCAATCTTTTCCGGTTTAGAAAACCTGGTGTGTCTGGTTGTGAACAACAACATCAACATCATAAGGTACCACCACCTACAAGAGGAAATAGTCGGGAAAACCCGGAAGTGAGGGTTAAATACAAACAACCGGAAACAACCCGCCCTAAACCCACGCATTACCAAGTGACGCATGAGTCACAATATTATTCGCTCTCCGCGAGGTTGGAACACCTTCAACCTTCGAAAATGAATGATTTTACAACAACCAACAATTTCTTTACGACATTTCCGCATAGATATAGACATTGACAATGATGTAAACTTAATATAAATTCTTAAATAAAAACTTTCGTATATGAATATTATGTTTTTCTCTATTAAGTAGACTTAATTTTGAGGTTAAGTTGACTTAAGTGGACTTAACTTTTATAAAGAGGTTATTCTCAGGTGGCTTTTGTTGATATTTTTAATAACATTTAGAATGCTTTGATTAAAACATAAACAAATGAAATTGAAAGCTGTTAAACAAAAATGGCGTCCACAAACATCGGGCAGTTATCATTGATCGGGCATCACGCAGCATCCTTTTTTTTAGACCAACCCGATCAAGAATCAAAATTTTTCGTGAATATACCACCATCGCCTCTTCAACCATCCACCTCCATCTGGGCGCCCGCAAGTGTTTGAATGCTTCTAACACGCGCACGTAAACCTATCGTGCCGCACCTGCCATCAGCGTTCCGGATCCGCGCCATTTTGCGATCGTTTGGTTTCTACACTGCACGCGCACGCATCCGCACGCCGGGAGTATTCGCATGTGTGTTAGCCTAGGCGACGGTGCGTTGAACAACCAGCGTTGTAACTAAAACTAAATTCCAAAAAGGAGGTAATACCAGAATACCAGGAAAAGTGATTGAAGATGGCGCTGCGTTTTGCCAATAAAATCCATTGTATCGTCAATAATGTCATGACCCAAGGGCTGCGGATACAAGCACAGGCGTTGAAAGCTAGTGCCCCACCACCAAAGACACGGTACCCTTTGAACCAACAGGATGCTAACTCGTATATTGAACAGTTGAAGACCCGGGCGTTTGTTCGTCAAGTAAAAAAGGTTAAAACCTTTTTTAGACCATTTTTAACCATTTTTTTATAGTCTGTAGACCCTAATGAACCTAACATAGTCCGTACCTTCAATGTGGAGGTAAACTGCCGTCCCAAGACCACCACAGAAGCCCAACCCTCTCCATTGGGTAATATGAGTGTGGTTCAGAGGTTCCTAGCTACGAAATCTGGTAAAACCGGTAAAGCCAGAGAGAGTACAAGTGGTAGGGATGAAAAATGTAGTCCTCCTAAAGGTGCCATTGTCAAATGCAAGAAGGGAGGTAAGGTTGATAAGGACAAGTGCCCCAAAAAGGAAGATGAAGGTTGCCCACAGTTTAAGATTGATAACTGTGAAAAGTCCAAGAACTTCATCTGTAATAACCGGAAATATATCGTAAGATAACATAACCTCAATTGAAGGTATCCCTTTATTAATTAATGTTTGTATTTTCCATGGTAATGGTAGTTTACTGATTGTAAGAAACCAATGGCCCCTTACCCCTCATTCAGTGAAGCATGTTATGAACCCCTACCACCCACAATCAGCGAATGTAAAGACTGTCCCTGGGGGGCTGATAGACATCCCACCTTCAAGGGTGTGATGAATAAACACGCTGGACGTACGGGTGAAGCCAAGGGCAAGAATCAAAAGCGTAAATTCCATACGGAACCCCGTAGGTTGGTGACGCTGCGCTTTGGTGAGCCCAAAAAGTGTGAGAAGGATCGCCGCCAGGAGGAGTTGGAGGTAAGTTGGTAGTAGAGTTGCGTGTCGAGGATCTTTTGTTTGCTAGGTGACTCGACCCGCCCCACCTCCTCAAATTCCTACCCACCCGCAAAAGCCTATCAAGCAAAAGATTATCGTCCCCCTGCAATGACCCTCTTCTGTGTTTGTAGAAGAAGCTCTACGACGAGTTGAATACGTGCGTCTTTGAAGCCAAGTGTGAGCGTGCCCGGCGGTTGCCAATGGATGCCATGGTTAAGGTTAGTAGGAGGCAGACTACGCAGGTGACTGACATGTTTAATCAGCTGGTGTATCTGAAGAGGTTGAGTGAGATACCCGCGATGGTTAACTCGCAAAGATGGGATATGTTGTTGAAGGGGCCTGGGTTCCGGCATCAGTTGGGCACACCGGGGAAGCATAGAATGCGCAGGAGGAAACCCAAGAGGTGTAACCGCCCTAAGAGGTGTCCCAGTTTTCCTTTCAAGTATGAGGAGTATGATATTGCAAGGAAGCAGAGGAAGCATAGACGTGCTCTGAGGAAAAAGAAGGAGGAACAGAATGATTGTGTCTGTTCTGGGGTTGAAGGTATACCTGCAGGTGTGGTCATGGAGATGGCTCCCAAGGGTCGTAACATGGATCAACATAAGGATATGCCCAGAGGTAAACGTCAACAATTAGGAAATAGACATCAGCATAAGATGCGTAGGAAGAAGCAGGATAGGTGTAAACCTTGTAAGAGGGTACCATACAAACCCCCTATTGAGTATGACATCAAAAAGAAGGCTCGTGATGAAAGACGTAGACAGAAGAAGAAAAAGGAAGGAAGTAGTACTTGTGTTGTAGAATGCTCTGCTACCACCTCCTTAAACCCTAGATATTTGGATTTGGGACAAGGTCAAGGTCAAGGTCAAAACCTAACTACCCCAGACGCCATGTTAGATATATTGGGAGATAAAGGTATGTGGTGTAAAATGGTCCCGAAGAAACCTCAGAAGGACGGTTCACCACAAGAGGGTATGGAGTGTGATGAACTGGCCCCATCCCTGGTGTGCCCCCAGAATCTACTCAATCAGAAACCTTATCCCAAGTATAGGAAAGCGATGAAGAAGCGTCTAAAAAAAGAAAAGGAATTAGAGAAGAAGAGGAGGGCTATAAGGCGTGCTAAGGAGAAGGCGAAGGAAAAGACTAGGCCCAAGAAGAAGGCAGCGGGTTTAGGAAGTGAGGAGGCGGTTGCGGTGGAGTTTCTCAAGCCGGGGATACTGGAACCCTCGACTTCTTCAACCCTCCAAGGGCAGATGTGATTAATTTGGGTCTAAAATGATTTCAGAATCAACCTCGTCCCGTGCGGGTGCATAACATTACCAGGAGACGTGTAAGTAGACCCTTTTTAGGGTTTATAACCTTTTTTTATGTTTTTAACCTTTGTTTGGTGGGTTAGATGGCTGAGATGTACCTGGCAAGACCCCGTTTCATCCCAACTAAAAGGCCGGTGAAGAGACCCCCCAAGTTTGAGTTTAAGGTCTTACCCAAAGACCAATGGGGACCAACGGTAACATTCCGCACCGAGGTGGCTGAACAGTCTAAGCATGAACAACGTGTACAAGCTGAAGAAGCACGCATGGACAAGACCCTCGAACGTCTCTCGAATATGATCCTGGCTAAGAATAGGATTCGGGTCATTGGTCCACCATTGTGCCAAGACAAGAATTGCAGTAAGAAGATGAAGAAGAAGAAGTGCGTTAAGAAGATCAAGTCGAAGATATGCCCCCATGACTTGCTGGATCGCAGGACTTATAAGAAATTCAGGGATGGGAAGAAGAAGAAGCATGGTAAACGTGGTAGGAAACATGGAAGGAAACATAGGCACCATAGGCGTCATAGGCATGGCAGGCGTGGAAAGCACGCGGCTGGGGGTCATGATGAAGCTATGACCAATATGGTTATGGAGCATAACATGACCGCACGTGGGTCTTGGGAACGCTCGGTGTAATATTAATAGGCTATACTTATGAGGACTGAATAATAAAGACGCAAACATGGCATTATAGACGAAAATATTGTAGTTTTTCTTGTGTTTTAACTCTCTTGTTGTCAAATATCATTAGAGACAGCTGTCAGAGACGTAAATTTACTTATTTCAACTTTTTTTGCGAGTTATTTATGAAAATCTATGAAAATGTATCGGTACCAAGCAAGTTTTAAAAACAAATGGCGGATTTGAATTTCGAACTTCTGTTAGCTATTTGAGAGGGCGTTGATGTAGCACATATGACTTTTTGACATTTTCGACAGCTTTCATCACAGATTTAATAAAGTCAAAACATTTCATAAATAAATAGGAATTAATCCTGCAGGATGGCCAAGTTCCTGGGCCTTCATCGTATTTTTTCCGTTTTGGGGATTATAAAAGACAATGGAGGGCTTCGCGCGTCGTTGTATAAATTATATAGGTAAATTTAACATTACATAATATTCAAGGTTAGAATTGTGTATAATTGTAACACAGTCGAAGTTTTTTGTTAATAACTTAATAACGCGATGAGTTACAGTGTTAATTCTTTCAGTAATCAATTCCTTATTAAATTCTGCGTTTGTGGATATTAAAAATGTATTAATTATTATCTCAGATATGAAGTTATGATGCAAAAAAGTCAAACTAGTGAAAATTTACGTTTTTTGTTAATAACTAATTGTTAAATAATGCTAGAAACAAAATTTTTACGTTAGAATATACAGAATTTAATTCTGCATTACTCTGTGAAAGAATTTTTCTAATATCTCCAACCGTTCAAACGTAAACAAACAATTTGTAATAAAAAAAATTCTATTTTCAAGAATGGATGAATTAAAGTCAGGGAAACACGTCGGAACCGATAAATACGGCAACAAATACTTCGAAAACGAGCGCTTCTTCTACGGCCGCAACAGATGGGTGGAATATGCACCAAAATACGGTAATTACACCTCAATAAACCACATAAAAACTTAAAAAATCGTCAAAAAACTATTTTTCTCTAAATTTTAAGGAATGGATTACGACGGTAGCCAAATCCCAGCCGAATGGTACGGCTGGATGCACTACAAGACAGATTACCTCCCCATGAACGACCCCGACCGCCCAAAATACAAGTGGATGGCCGATCACACCGAGAACATGTCAGGTTTCCCCGGTCAATACACACCCTATAGCACCACGCGGCCGAAAATCGAGGCATGGCAGCCGAAAAAGTAAACGAAAGCATTAGACATAGTCAAAGGTAACATTAAATTCTCCAAATGTTTGAAAATTAAACAAGTTATTAATCAATGCCCATTTCTCGATCACAATCCGCATCAGTGATCTTTTTCCTCTTCAATTTCTTCAACAGAGCGACATCTTTCGCTAATTCAGCATAATCCTCATCGGAAATACCCTTACGTTTCTTATTTAATTTACCATTCTGATTATTTAGATTCTCCTCACGTTGTTTGGCTTTTTTCAGTTTACGTTTAGTCTTGCGCTCTTTGCGACTTTCTTTATCCTCTTTTGTTTTGCTCCAGGCAATGGTAGCCTTCTGGTGTTTTTTCGCGCCGGGCCACGTGCCTGTTTTCTCGTAGATTTCCAGTTTGGCTAATCGTGCAGCCTCGCGTTGTTTGTCTTTGTATTGAATGGTGTTGATGTCTAGGTCTGTGGGGAATGTGGAGGTGTCGATGTTTTTGAACTCTGGCATCTTTGGTAGTTGTAAGAGGCCGTAGGTTATTGCCATGTCTACCAGGGGGAGATCTTTGACGCGGAGTAGGAGGGAGCATTCTTGTTTGGAGTAGGCGCGTACGTGCGAAACGAAGGCTTTTATTGCTTTGTCCATGAGTGCACGGTCTTTTTTCTGGAGAGAGCGTAGAGTTGTGAAGATTTTCTATGGGAAAACAAAGAGAAATAAGTTTAGAGGAAGTTAATTAGGTTTTTATGATTAAATTTGAGCAATTTTATGTGTTTTGGTTGATTATAGGTTAGAATTTCATTAATTTTGAAAGTGGAGAACTACCCCCACCACTTTTTGCGGGTTCACTGCGCTCAGTCATCGATTAATTGCGTATTTCTAACATATTTTTGCAAAATTTTAAGTTTTTACATAATTTACTTCATTAATTATTGCAAATTAATGAAATTCTAACCAATAATCATAAATAATCTGAAACTTACATCTTTAACACCGTCTTCTTCAATTTCCTTCTGCATTTCCAACTTTTCCAACCTCACCCGTTGGTTTTTCTCGATAAAAGTAACATAGGCTTCCTCATGTTCAAGCAGAAATATCACAGCCGATCCTTTTTCACCCTGCCGAGCAGTCCTGCCAACTCTGTGCACGAATGCTTCAGCATTACTCGGTGGATCCCATTGTAACACCCAATCCATCTAAAATTACTCATTATTCATAATAAATCAGCAAAAACTTTCATTTCTTCATAAAAAACATGTTTAAATGATGAAATTAATATTAATCTGCCTGATATTGGCATAGATGTCGCTGTTTTGAACAAAACCAATGAAATCCTTAAAAATCTTAAATAATTATACAATACATACTTCTGGTATATCAATCCCCCTTGCCATGACATCCGTACACAACAACACGGCCCTCTCCGCCTCGCGAAACTTCTGCAGCACTTTACTCCGCTTTAACTTCATCTTACCATGCACAGCTAATATCTCCCCATCTATCTTCAACACCTTCATTAAGTTAGGCAACACATCATGCCAGTAATCAACGCATGCGCACGTCGGCAGGAATATCATGCCCTTTTTAACTTCATGCTCGCGTATAAACTGAAGCATACTGCGTAGTTTTCCGTCGTTTTCAGCTAGGATGTAATAGTTTTCTAGTTGAATAGGTGTGCTTTGTGCAGCTTTTTCTTTTACGGCTACTAGGACAGGATTGCGGAGTCCTGCACGTATCAATGCTTGTACTTCTTTTGTTTGCGTCGCGGAAAAAAGACCAGTTCGTCGCTGACGCGGGAGATAACTAAGAATTGTGTCTAGGCTTGTCTGGAAGCCTAGGGAGAGGAGACGATCGGCTTCATCCAATACTAAGAACTCCTAAAATGATAATAAGTGTTAATTTTGAGGTTAATTAAGGTTAGAATATGAAATTTTATGTTTTTTCAGTGTAAAACCATAAAAAACACTAAATTTTCACTATAAAAGTGATAAAAAACAAAGAATAATACAAGTTTTACTTGCTTTTCTGTCAAAAAACACATCAAATGATAATAAGGGTTAATTTTAAGGTTAATTGAGATTAAAACACAAAATTTTATGTTTTTTAAGTGTAAAAACTTAAAAAAACACAACATTTTCACTATAAAAGTGATAAAAACAAAGAATAATACAAGTTTCACTTGTTTTTCTGTCAAAAAACTCCTAAAACGACAATAGGTGTTAATTTTGAGGTAAGAATATGAAATTTTGTTTTTTGAGGCTAAAAACTTAAAAAAACACTAAATTTTCACGATAAAAGTGATAAAAAGAAGAAACAACACAAGTTTTACTTGTTTTTCTTGCAAAATTCGTTAAACTCACCAAACTTTTCACTTTAAAAGGCAAATTCAAGTCCCCTTTCCTCGTCATAAGATCCTCCAACCTACCGGGTGTGGCAACAATAATATTCGCGTGTTTCCTCAGCATTCTAACATCCTCATCCACACTATTACCACCCACAATCAATACACTGCTTAATTTTATATCTGTGAGTAATCCTTGCAGCACATCATAAGTTTGCATTGCCAATTCCCTTGTGGGTGAGATAATCATGCCGCCGACTTCATCTACTCTCCATGCTTGTGTCTCTTGTCTTCTTAACATCATCTCTAACATAGGCACTAAAAACGCTAGAGTTTTACCTGAACCAGTTACTGCTTCAGCAGCAACATCTTTCATGTTCAATAAAAGTGGTATTGTTGCGGTTTGTACAGGCGTCATTGTGGGAAAGTTTAGTTTTGCAATGGCGTCTTGTAATTGCGGTGATATCGTTAAACTTTCCCATGTTTTTCTTGTGTTGGACATTGTTTCTAAAGTATAAAGTTTAAAACATGTGATAGTTTAAAGGTTATGTTTGTTTTGGTCCCTGGCCACCGGTGGCAGTTATGTGTACTAATACTATACATAAAAATATACACTATGTCTACAGAATGTCAAAAAATAATGAAAAACATGAATATTCTTGAGGTTTGCGTATAAAATCTCAGATTGTTGCTGATAATGAATGTTATTGCATCTGTACCAATTTTTTTAGCAAGGATAATCGTTGAAACATCATAAACGATTCGCAACAGAAAAAGTTTTTGGAAAAAAACAATAGAACAATAGAATTATACAACTATAACAATTTGACAATTTGCTAAGAAACTTGCTTGTTTTGTTTGTGCCGGTTAATTTAAACTTGAAACATCCTCCACTCTCTGCCGCTTCGTGATAAATGTTTTGTGTATGTATGTATGCATGTGTGTGTGTTGAAACCAAAAGACGAGAAACAAAACAAAAGCGTTTCGGCCAACATGGCGGATGACGTCTCGTACGAGAGAGTAAGGCACCTATGCATCTCTGCATTTACATGATTCACTTCGTGACACGCTTCGGAATGATGTGACTGTATGATTACTTATGATGTTGTTATGATGTTGACGCATGCGCAATGAATACAAGAAAAGGATTCAAGGATTAAGATAGGATTATTTTTTTGTTTATTGTGGACGATACGTTTGTGGATGATGATGATGATGGTGGTGGTGATGATGCGCATGCGTCAAATGCGCGTGTGCCGCCGCTTGATGTTGTTGATGATGATGATGATGGTGGTGGCGGACGACAGCAATGGCGGCGGCGGCAGGCGTCGGCGTTTGCGGCGCCTGCTTGCCGGGGGCGTGCCCCTAGCGCTAGGGATTCGGGCCGTGCTGATGCGGCTGCGGCGGGTTGGCAATCAACAACGGCATCGTCTGCGGTGCCTGCTGGGGGAGATGATACATGCCCTGCGGCATCAAGTGCGGCTGCGCGGGCAGCATCAGCGGGTACATCTGTGGCGGGCCTTGCGGTGGCGGCACAGCCGTCTGATACTGCTGGCCAGGTCCAGGTGCACCCGGTGCGCCAGCCTGAGCATACTGCTGTTGTTGTGCAGGAGATGGCGCTTGCGATGGGTTGGGTTGTTGGATGTATTGTATAGGTGGATAACCTTCCATGCGCATGTGCATTTGTTGATACGCTTGCGGATTTATACCCTGCGGATAGACAAATTGTTGCATGGGCGCCGGCGCCAGCAGGGGTTGGCCCGTTGCGGCGGCCACTTGCATTTGTGATGCCATATCCGTACGTACTTGACCCATAACTACAACAAAAAATAAAACAAAATATAAACACATTGTATATCATATAGCATAATAACATCATAACCTAAATATAACACAACTCACCTTTTCTAACACGACTACCTTGCACAGGTTGCTGAAACTGTTGCGGACTGACATACATCGCTTGCATGGGCATCATCAGCTGCGGCATCTGTGGTTGTCCAGCAGGTGGGCCATTCACCGCTGCGGTTATATACTGATTACTCGGTGTTTGTGGTGTGTGTGGCCTACTTGCAGTCGGTGTACTGGGTGATCTAAACATAAAAATCATCAATAAAAACTTATCTAACCTAAAAATTAATATTTACCTAGCATAAGACGGCTTCATAACGAATTCCTTCGCCAATGGATTCAGTTTACTCTTACTCAACGTAGAACTCTTCTCGCCTTCATGCTCCTGCTGCTGTTGTTGTTGTTGTTGATGTGCTTGTAACCTCGGCGAAACCGACACCGGCGGCGGTGTCTGCTGCGGCATCGGCAGCTTCACCTCCTGTTGCTGCATCTGTTGCTGTGGCGGCGGCTGTCCTTGCACTTGCACTTGCACCTGCTGCGCTTGCATATTAACCCCCACATTAACCATCTGCTGCTGCACCATCTCCGGCGGGGCATTCGACAATTTAAAGTCCTTGGAGAATTTAATCAGGTCCTTCATATCGTCTCGATGTTGTTGCGGTGGTGGGGGTTGCTGCTGCTGCTGCTGTTGTTGTTGTTGTTGCCTAATAATTTCCTGTTGCTGCGCGTGTTGTACATGCTGCGGTGGCATCTTATCATACTGCTGATTCATCCCGCCGTAAACATTACGCGGCGGACGCTGCATATTCTTCATCCCACCACCTCCACCGCCTCCGGGACCTCCAGGTCCTATGTTCATATTATCACCGTTCATTTGTTTCCCACGCGGTGGCATGGATTGATTATAAACATGAGAAGGATGTCCGCCTGCATGTGGTGGTGTATGTCTAGCGTGGTTCATGTGTTGCGGAGGCGGTTGTTGTTGTTGTTGTGGTGGTGGTGGTTGATTTTGATGTGCCTGTTGTTGTGGCGGTGGTATTTGTTGTTGCTGTTGCTGTTGCTGTGGTGGAGGTGTTTGTTGTGGTACTTGTGGTGGGGGTGTTTGTTGTGGTAAATGTTGCACATGCGCAGCATAACTTGCAGTTTGCATCGGTATATTATTACCACCACCACCACCACCTCCGGTATTTTTCGGATGATTATGATTATTGTTAGGATTTGCTTGCGTGTTCACCGTTGCGGGTTGTTGTGATGGTGGTGTGCCTTGATGGGATGATTGGCCCTGATTACCGCTAGGAGCATAACTTGCAGTTTGCATGGGTATATTATTACCACCACCACCACCACCACCACCGGTATTTTTCGGATGATTATGATTATTGTTAGGATTTGCTTGCGTGTTCACCGTTGCGGGTTGTTGTGATGGTGGTGTGCCTTGATGGGATGATTGGCCCTGATTACCGCTAGGTGGCGGTGTGCTACGCATTATTTTCCCTGATGATTGGCTGCCCTTTCGTTTATTAGGCGGCACGTATTTATCACTAGGTGTAGATTCCTTCTAAAAACATTTATTCATATTTCTTATTAAAAAACATAAAAATTTAATAAATACTTACATAATCATGTGTGTGTTGATGATGATGTCCACCTCCACCCATACGTCCGCCATTATTACCCCCAGCGCCACCTGCATTCGGCCTGGAAACAGCCGCAAAGCGCTCTTCTTCATCACCATTCTCCAACTCCAGTCGTGATTTATAAGATGGCTGCGATTCAATCTCGGCTGCAATCTCATTGGCTTTCGCCTCTGCTTCCCGATAATCCTGACTGTCTGAATGCTGCAATGGTACTGTATATCCACTCAGACTGTGATCATACGTGCTCTGCACGCCGTACTTCTGTTCGTTCTTGCGAAACATTTCATTCGCATCCCAGCCATTACTCCCCGGCTCCAATAAATCCAACCCACCATCTCCTAGCTGACCATTGGCGCATGGTCCCTCCCATGGTTCTAATTCTTTCTCTTCACCGCGTCCCTGTCCGCCATTTAAGCGTGATGAAATCGCCGCGTCGGTTTGGAACGTATCGCGGGTTGCATAATCCAAGTCAACTTCACGTGCGCACATCGTGACGATATCGCACGGTTTAAAGATGAGTTTATCAACGTGCGATTCGGCGGATAATGAAGAATTATGTGAGTCTGGATTGTCCACCTTGCACGCCATTTCTAGGACGATCTCGAACTGTGCCGAGAATGTACGAAAGATGCCCTCCCATACGGTGCCCGATGCGACTTGGATGCGCATTATGTTGCCTATCTGCGATGTCGCCGCGTACATAAAGTGTGGGTTATTGTATACGCCTTCGGCTACCACCGCCCTCTGGCGTGTTGATCTGGATTCATAACTATGTTTGACATTAGTGATGTGATTTGATTGGTTGGGTTTTGGTTGTAATTACCTGGCAGTTTGAGGCCCACCCCGGTTTTTCCTGCGGTTCTGATTCATTGTTGGATGGTGGTGGTGGCGATAGTCGGGATGCTGGTAGTGATTGGTGTGGTGGTGGCCGTAGCCGCCGCCGTGTGCGTTCAGGCTGCCGCCCCCGCCGCCGCCCCGATGCGCGTGTCGTGTGTGGTGGCCCTGACTGCTACCGTGGGGAGCGGCGCTCTGCTGGTGGTTGCGCGTTGGCACGGGAATCTTGAACGCTTTTCGATAATTATCTAGAATTTATCTAAAAACAAACATGGCGCTGCTGTCATTTTCCATATTTGACATACTAAACGCATTACTCATTACACTTACAATAAATAGTTGTTCGCGTCGTGGCTGCCGGTCGTGGTATTCCGCGAACTTATCTTCTAATCAGTTTGTTAAACAAATATACCTTGATTTTTTCTGTCTGGCTGTGTAACACAAAGAAACAGTGAGATTAGGTTAGGTTATGAACAACAAACAAGTGGTACCAACCTAACTGTCAAAAGATTGACAGTTTTGCAGTTATGTGATTGGCTACAGTCGTAAATCGACGTCGATGGAATTTCCCAACTTCACAGTTTTATACTTTTCGCTTGATTTACGCGGAATCGACGTTTTCCTTTACGTGTTGCGATCTGCTTGCGCGGTGCACAGCAATGGCGGAGTTGCAGCGGTCGTTGTGTAGTCTCGCACGAACTCTGCTCCACTTCGCGACGCCGTGTCGTCCTTCTGCGGCTCTGCACGCGCGCTCTCGAAACCGCTGCGGCTGCTTGCGTACGCGTGTTACTAGTGCGGCTTGGCTGCTAACGCTGGTCGCGATCGAATCCGGCGGATGCAATTTGCATTCGACTCGTGCGGCCGTCTGGCGTTCAGCTCAAGTCGAAGTCATTGACTGACGTTCGTGACGTGCAATCGTGCGCGGCGATAGTCGAATGCTTTCACTGCGCATGCGCACTTCACATTTGGATCATACAAATAACATGGATACTTCAAACTGTCATTTTTACCAACGTGAATAGTATACAAATACACTATCCATATTATATATATTAATAAAATATATATAATATACAGCGCGTTCAAAATAGATTCAAATTATTTATTAATTATTAAACTTATAACTAGCATACATTAATAAAAATATGATCCACTGAAATTGCGTCGTAAACATAGAAGAACTTAAAATTAACGTGTTTTAATACAATTTTGTCTCTGAAGTCACACATACCTAACCTCACATTAGCTCTAATGTCAAATCAGTCCGAACGCCCGGCCGCCTGCCGCAATAAAATGTAAATTTTCTCCTTGATCCAGTCCTTGTTGTAAGGGGCGTAGGTATTGGTTGATTTCTGGTAGACTAAACAACTGAGATCACTCAATTGATCAACAAAATCAAACAATTGTGAGATATCATAAGTTATGGTAGGTGTGTTGGGATTACGTCGCTTCAAATGCGCTTCGTAGATCTTACAGACGCCCTCCATGCATTCATTGACTGATTCGTAGTCGGAATACGTGCGTGTTCGTGGATTACTGCCGGATTGCACCAGGAGGATCGTGTGTGCCTGCCGAAAACAAAACACAAATAAGTCAAAGTAAAACACGAAAATGTTAGTAAAATATGACTTACCATGATGGGTCTACTAGTGTAGAATAAGTCTTAATGGGTTTTATGTTGAGAAATCGTCCAGAGATTCGTTGGATGGAGGAAAATTGAATTTTTAAGATGAGAATGTTTCTTGGTTTCAGGTTACGTCGACCGATGCGAAAAAACAGCGAAAACTCTAGGGGAATTCCTAGGGAGTTTTGTGTTAGACAACTGTTTATAAACAACGTTTGTTTATGCAATAAAAAACAAGTATATTACAAAATATATAGTGTATTTCGTGAATAAACTTAAAATAATATGGAAATTGATGTAAAAATTGTTTGTTTCTTCTTTAAAACTATGATTTATTTTTAAATCTTGCGTGGTTAGTTGTATATGAGCGCCCCCTATTTCGGCTGGCACAGCTGTAAATGTACACAAATGGCCGCGATGTGAAGAATTTCATTACAATTACCGCTTTTTCTTCGATTATTTTCTATTATAAAGTTAATTACGCATGTGTAACATTATACAACAATGAGTGCAATACCAGATATTGGAGATCTCCACCTGGACGTGAAGATTTTCACCGCAGTCAAGTACTACACGAGCGGGAATGTCAGCGAAGAGGTAAACAAAATTTATTTTACACAAAAACACCCTAAACTAATAATATATCACCCTAAAAATAAAGTTTTATTTATTATTATATCAATTTGAGTTAGTTTTATAACATTAACATAGTATAAACCAGTTTAATTGGGTTTTCTATGTGTGAATTTTTAGATAATCAAATTACTGGAAGATGGCGGTGCGCAACGTTTGAAATACTTCAGCGATTTCGTCTCTCACGTGATTTGCGGCAGCTCCGGCGTCCGCGAGAGCGATCTAACCGACGCGGATGACATCTACGAGATCCCCGCGGTGGGTGAGCGCTGGGTGCTCACCTGCGCTCGCAGTAAAACACTCGTAAACACCAAAGGCTTCCTCTATACCGACAAGAATCTCTTCTCGTCATTGGTCGTCACTACATCGGGACTCCTCCCACACGATCGCAATGCCATCTGGGCAATGGTCACCTATAATGGCGGCGTGTTTAAAGGCGCACTGGACGGCGTTACACACTTAATTTGCACGTCGGTAAAATGCCCAAAGTACCAACAATGTGGGCACAGCGGTTTGGTAACTGTAGTGACACCCGATTGGATTGTCGAATGTCTAAAAGCAAAAGCATTGGTTCCTCATGAGCAGTATCATCCTAAACGCGTGATTGAGATGAAGCCACATAGCGATACTAGTAGAATAACAGGGTTTGAAGTTGAAGGTGATGATGAACAGCAACCTGTCGAGGTTGCTAAGAAATTGGCAATGGATAAACTACGGAATGAGATGCCCTGGATGCAGAATTTAACACAGGGTGCGCCTAGGATGACCCAAGTTCAAGGGCAAGTTCAAGGTCAAAGTCAAGGTCAAAACAATGATGAGGAGGATGAAGAGGCAAAGAAACAGGCGAGTATACGCGAGTTGTGGAAGCAGATGCCTTGGAATCAAAAGGTGTTCAGAGATCCGAGTACAGCTACGTCGCCGCCACGAAGACCCCCTGGACCTTCGCAGAGTCCTGCTCCCGGAAGGGTTACACCGGCTTCCACGCCTGGGTTGAGGAGTACTACTCCTAATAGTGGGTATCAGTATGTACAATCACCACAACAGCAGCAGCAACAACAACAACAGGTGATGCAAAGCCCCCAAGGGCAAAATGGACAAAGTCAAGGTCAGGTTCAAGGTCAGATGATGCCTAGTCCACAGGGTCAACAGGTGCAGATGATGCAGAGTCCGCAAGGCGGGCAGATTCTGCAGAGTCCGCAGCATATGTTGCAATCGCCACAGCATACGATGCCATCACCTTCACAACAACAACAACAACAGGTATCTCAAGGTCAAACGCAAGTGCAGGGTCAAAATGTTCAGAACAATGAGAATTCGTTTTTGTACAAGTATATCGAGCAGAATATGCAGGATACGAAGAAGGTTCCTGTACAAATGCAACAACAAGTACAACAGGTACAACAGGTGCAAATTCCGCAGGTTTCTCAAGGTCAGCAAGCACCTAATGCACAACAGACGGCGTTTTTGCAGCAGATGCGCCAGAGGCAACAACAGAAACAAGCGCAGTTGTTGCAGCAACAACAACAACAACAACAGGGTATGCAACAAGTTGGTCAAGGTGGATTGCAACAACCTCAACAAGGTTTACAGCAAGTTCAACAGGTACAACAGGTGCAGCAAGTACAACAGCAGCAGTTGTTGCAACAACCGCAACAGTTGCAACAACAAATGCGACCTGTGTTAAGACCACAGATGCAACAACAGATACAAATGTTACCATCGGGTCAGAGGGTTTTGATTAACCCGAATCAACATCAGTTGTTGTTGCAACAACAGCAGCAGCAGCAACAGCAGCAACAGAAGATGTTTAATCAGCAACAAATGCAGATACCGCAGTCACCTACACAGAATTTAATGGTTCAACAATCGCAGGGTGTTCAGGTACCTGTACAACAGCAACAACAACAGCAGCAGGGGATGATGCAACAGAAGATGATGCAGCAACAACAACAACCACAGCAGATGTTTACTCAACAACAAGTTATGATGCAACAACAACAGCAACAACCTGGTATGCAACCGAATATGATGCCGCCGCAACAACAGCAACAACAACCTGATATGATGCAACATGTTGTTTCACAACAGTCTATTGTTAGTCAACAATCACAAGTCGTACAACAACAACAACAACAACAACAGCAGCAGGGGATGATGCAACAGCAGATTATGCAACCGCAGATGATGCAACAACAACCTCAACAACAGGGTATGATGCAACAGGTGCCCATGGGTCCACAGACTGTTGTCACACAACATCAACATCAGCTAATGTCACCACCACCTCAACAACAACAGATTTTACAACAGCAACAACAACAACATGTACAACCCAATATGACACCCCCGCAACAGTTGTTGCAATCACCACAAGGTCATCAACAGAAGGTTAATATAATGCAACAACAACAACAACAGCAACACGTCATGCAACAACAGGTTGTAATGTCACAAGGGCAGCCTCCTAATCTAGTTCAATTGGGTGGTGTACAACAGCAACAACCACAACAACAAGTAGGTCTTATCATGGGACAACCTTTCAGACAACAGGTGCAGAATGTACAACAACAGGGACAGTTTATTAATTTTATGTTGAGAAATCGTCCAGAGATTCGTTGGATGGAGGAAAATTGAATTTTTAAGATGAGAATGTTTCTTGGTTTCAGGTTACGTCGACCGATGCGAAAAAACAGCGAAAACTCTAGGGGAATTTCTAGGGAGTTTTGTGTTTAACAACTGTTTATAAATAACATTTGTTTATGCAATAAAAAACATGTATATTACAAAATATATAGTGTATTTCGTGAATAAACTTAAAATAATATGGAAATTGATGTAAAAACTGTTTGTTTTTTAATTAAAACTACGATTTATTTTTAAATCTTGCGCGGTTAATTGTATATGAGCGCCCCCTATTTCGGCTGGCACAGCTGTAAATGTACACAAATGGCCGCGATGTGAAGAATTTCATTACAATTACCGCTTTTTCTTCGATTATTTTCTATTATAAAGTTAATTACGCATGTATAAGATACATCAGCAATGAGTGCAATACCAGACATTGGAGATCTCCACCTGGACGTGAAGATTTTCACCGCAGTCAAGTACTACACGAGCGGGAATGTCAGCGAAGAGGTAAACAAAATTAATTTCACGCTTAAACACCCTAAAACTAACAATTTATCACTCTAAAAATAAAGTTTTATTTATTTTAACACCAATTTGAGTTAGTTTTATAGTATAAACATAGTATAAACCAGTTTAATTAAGTTTTCTACGTGTGAATTTTTAGATAATCAAATTACTGGAAGATGGCGGTGCGCAACGTTTGAAATACTTCAGCGATTTTGTCTCGCACGTGATTTGCGGCAGCTCCGGCGTCCGCGAGAGCGATCTAACCGATGCGGATGACATCTACGAGATCCCCGCGGTGGGTGAGCGCTGGGTGCTCACCTGCGCCCGCAGTAAAACACTCGTAAACACCAAAGGCTTCCTCTATACCGACAAGAATCTCTTCTCGTCATTGGTCGTCACTACATCGGGACTCCTCCCACACGATCGCAATGCCATCTGGGCAATGGTCACCTATAATGGCGGCGTGTTTAAAGGCGCACTGGACGGCGTTACACACTTAATTTGCACGTCGGTAAAATGCCCAAAGTACCAACAATGTGGGCACAGCGGTTTGGTAACAGTAGTAACACCCGATTGGATTGTTGAATGTCTTAAAGCAAAAGCCTTAGTCCCGCATGAGCAATACCATCCTAAACGCGTGATTGAGATGAAGCCACACAGCGATACCAGTAGAATAACTGGGTTTGAAGTTGAAGGGGATGATGAACAGCAACCTGTTGAAGTTGCGAAGAAGTTGGCTATGGATAAGTTGCGGAATGAGATGCCATGGATGCAGAATTTAACACAGGGTGCGCCTAGGATGGTTCAAGGACAAGGGCAAGTTCAAGGTCAAAGTCAAAGTCAAAACAATGATGAGGAGGATGAAGAGGCAAAGAAACAGGCGAGTATTCGAGAGTTGTGGAAGCAGATGCCGTGGAATCAGAAGGTGTTCAGGGATCCGAGTACAGCAACGTCGCCGCCTCGAAGACCCCCTGGACCTTCACAAAGTCCTGCTCCCGGGAGAGTAACACCGGCATCCACTCCTGGGTTGAGGAGTACTACACCTAATAGTGGGTATCAGTATGTACAATCACCACAGCAGCAGCAGCAACAACCGCAGCAGGTGATGCAAAGCCCCCAAGGGCAAAATGGACAAAGTCAAGGTCAAGTTCAAGGTCAGATGATGCCCAGTCCGCAGGGTCAACAGGTGCAGATGATGCAGAGCCCGCAAGGCGGGCAGATTCTGCAAAGTCCGCAGCATATGTTGCAGTCGCCGCAGCATACGATGCCGTCACCCTCACAACAACAACAACAACAACAGGTATCTCAAGGTCAAACACAAGTGCAGGGTCAAAATGTTCAGAACAATGAGAATTCGTTTTTGTATAAGTATATCGAGCAGAATATGCAGGATACAAAAAAGGTTCCTGTGCAAATGCAACAACAAGTACAACAGGTGCAACAGGTGCAAATCCCGCAGGTTTCTCAAGGTCAGCAAGCACCTAATGCGCAACAGACGGCGTTTTTGCAGCAGATGCGCCAAAGGCAACAACAGAAACAAGCACAGTTGTTGCAGCAACAACAGCAACAACAACAACAACAGGGTATGCAACAAGTTGGTCAAGGTGGATTGCAACAACCTCAACAAGGTTTACAACAAGTTCAACAAGTACAACAGGTACAGCAGGTACAACAGCAACAGTTGTTGCAACAACCGCAACAGTTGCAACAACAAATGCGGCCTGTGTTAAGACCACAGATGCAACAACAGATACAAATGTTGCCATCGGGGCAGAGGGTTTTGATTAATCCGAATCAACATCAGTTGTTGTTGCAACAACAGCAGCAGCAGCAGCAGAAGATGTTTAATCAACAACAAATGCAAATCCCGCAGTCGCCTACACAGAATTTAATGGTACAACAACCACAGGGTGTTCAGGTACCTGTACAACAGCAACAACAACAACAGCAAGGGATGATGCAACAGAAAATGATGCAGCAACAACAACAACCACAGCAGATGTTTACACAACAACAAGTTATGATGCAACAACAACAACAACAACCTGGTATGCAACCGAATATGATGCCTCCACAACAACAACAACAACCTGATATGATGCAACATGTTGTCTCACAACAGTCTATTGTTAGTCAACAATCACAAGTTGTACAACAACAACAACAACAACAACAGCAGCAGGGGATGATGCAACAGCAGATTATGCAACCGCAGATGATGCAACAACAACCTCAACAACAGGGTATGATGCAACAGGTGCCCATGGGTCCACAGACTGTTGTCACACAACATCAACATCAGCTAATGTCACCACCACCTCAACAACAACAGATTTTACAACAGCAACAACAACAACATGTACAACCCAATATGACACCTCCGCAACAGTTGTTGCAATCACCACAGGGTCATCAACAGAAGGTTAATATAATGCAACAACAACAACAACAGCAACACGTCATGCAACAACAGGTTGTAATGTCACAAGGGCAGCCTCCTAATCTAGTTCAATTGGGTGGTGTACAACAGCAACAACCACAACAACAAGTGGGTCTTATCATGGGACAACCTTTCAGACAACAGGTGCAGAATGTACAACAACAGGGACAGTTTATTAAACAGGGTAACTTCCCACAACAGTTTGTACAACAACAACAACAACAGGTACCTGGTCAAGGACAAGTCCAAGGACAATTTATACAAAATGTTCAAAATGTACAACAAGGTCAATTCCCACAACAGCAACAACAACAACAGGTACAGGTCTCAGGACAACAACAGATCATCACCCAGAGTCCAACTCAACCCAGTCAAGGTCAGGGACCTGTTTGGCAACAACAGGTTATCCGCCAGGCGGTACCCGGAGGTCCCACTGGTGCTAGAGTACAATGGCCCGGTGGTCAACTCCCGCAGAGACAATACATCCAACTGGATGCACAGACTCATCAACAACTTCAACAGATGGCGCCTGAGGAACGCATTCAATTCGTTAATTCCCTGAGGGCGAAACAACGCGCATTAGCGCAACGACAACAATTGTTACAACTGCAACAACAACGCGCACCTGGTGGACATATTGTTGTACGCGGGCAGGTACCACCCGGACTCACACCGCAACAACACCTGCAATGGTTACAACAACACAAACAAGGTGTTGTACTACAACAGACTGTCGGACCACAACAACAACAACAGCAACAACCTGGTCTAAGCCCAATACAACAACAACAACCAGGTGGGGTGGTGTCACAGGTACAGGTTCCTGTACAACAGGGTGTTGCACAGTTTGACCAACCACAGATCCGGCCCAATTTACGTGTTCATCAGTTACAACTGCAACGGGAGCAGGTGCAAGCCCAGACACAACCTCAAGGTCAACCCGGAGGGCAGAATCAGGTTATACAGGGTGTGCAGAATGTGCAGGTGCAAGGTGTGCAGAGTTTACCAGGTGGGAATAAGCCTTTGATACAACAACAGGCGTCAGCTGTACAACCGGGTATACTTCAAGGTCAACAGGGTCAAATGGATGGCACGCAGTTTACGAGGGGGAAAACTGCGTTGGCGAATATGTTGAGTATTAAACTAAGCGGAGGTCAAGCGATTTCCGGTGAGAATTTACAGGAACCCAGCGCGGCTGGTACGCTGAGATTAATGACAGCTCAGCATAATGCCGCGTTGAATAATAATAGTAATAGAGCGCAGGAGATTTTGGCTCTGCAGCAGCAGCAGCCGCAACAACCGCAGAGGAGGTTGAATGTGAACACACCGCAGTTGTTGGATCAACAGATCAGACCACAAGTGGGTGTTGTAGGTGGCGTTGGTATGGGTGTGGTTCCAGCAGGGCAGGCAACTGCTAGTGGTGGCGCTGGTGTCGCACAGGATAAGTTATTCTCAGCGCGTAGTGTGTTGCCTATACAACATCGTCCTGGGACTTATTACGGGCATAATCCTAACCTAAAACGTAAGTTATTTTATTATCATAACCATAAAAACATTAATTTATTGTTTTTATGGTTTTAGTACCTCCTGAATTGTTTTTATTGGGTTGTATTTTCGTCGTGGTGGAAATAGAGGATATGCTCAACGAGGAAGTCCCTGATTGGTCGAAAATCATCGAGAAACATGGCGGCGAGATCGAAAAGCAGTACTGTTCACGCATCACGCATGTGTTATGCAGGTCACAGCGACACGGCGTGGTTATGCAAGCGTTGCGAGACTTCAAACGCTGCGTGACTGTTCATTGGTTGAATGATGTCATTGAGAGGGGACAAGTGCTGCCACCGTGGATGGCGCTGCATTTACCAGCGATGAATCTCGATAGTAATCCTGCAAGTAAACATCTTATTTCTTTATCGGGATTCACAGGCGCTGATCGTGATCGTGTCAAAACCATGATTGAAGCTATAGGTGCAGGAGTAAGTATAAATTAATAAATAAATCAAACATAACCTGTAAAATATTTAATTTTATTTATTCGCCATTTTTTTTCATGTTTAGTGTACAACTTACTTCTCACAACATAATACACTGCTTGTGACTGCGAAGTTTGAAGGAGCTAAGTGTACCAAAGCTAAACAATGGACGATTCCGGTTGTGAATGTGCAATGGCTGACTGAGGTTATGTTGGGCAACTTTAGTTCACTCAATCAGACTGAACACGTGAAGTATCAACAGTTTGGTGATCAACCCAACTTTTGTTTTGATCCTTCGTTAGTTCCTACACTTATGCGTAAGTTTTTCTTTTAAAAAAATTAAAATTTACTTGGAAATTAATAATTTTTTATTGTAGAAGCATGGAAAATGCCGATTAACATCTCTCAGGAGTCATATGAGAGGGTTAAACGTAGTGCTTCGCCTGTATCACTTCCTAAAAGCAAGAAAATCAAGACTGAACACGCGGATTCGACCGAGAAGATCGAAAAAGATGAGAAACCGGATGTTGAAGTGGGGGTGACAAGTCCTGCGCATTTTATCACACTCAGTGCGAGGTGTGCTAAGCAACAAGAGCTTAGAAGCATCATAAAGTAATTTGTTTATATTTTTATTAATAATTTTTTAAATTAATTTAAAAATTGTTTTTATAGGAATTTAGGAGGATCTTGCACGTCTGACCCGATGAAAACCAACTATTTCGTCGTTTCGAAACTGGTACTCACCCGCAATTTACTCCTAAGCCTCTGTCATGCTAACATTAAAATAGTGACAGAAGCATGGCTGCATGAATCATCCCGCGCAGCTAAATTCATCGATGAAACACCCTACATCCCCGACGCGAAAGAATTCAACCAACAATACGGTTGTGATTTTAACCTCACTTTAGCAACGGCGAATCGACACCGCCTGCTTGAAGGCCGTGACTTCTTCGTCACGCCATCTGTCGTCCAGCGACGTACATTAGTCGATTGTATAACCGCTGCAGGCGGCAGAGTGGAAGGAGTTCGCCGCCCAGCAGGACGCATTGAAATGACACAAATCAACGCGCCGTATTCCTATGTCATCATCGCCGATGAAAAGGATCTGCATTTAGTCGGGGATTTATTGAAACGAGAGAATAAGATTGTCTGCAGTAAGGAAATCGTCACGTCCGCCATCTTGAAGCAGACGTTCGAGATTGAACCGTTTTTGTTGCGTGTGCTGCCAAACAAAGCAGAAGAATAATTTTGTTTGTTTAAAATAAGATAATATTGTTTATAATGTTAAGATTTAAACAAGAACCATTTATATTTATTTATATTTATATTTATATTGTATTAGTTGGATAGTTCCAATCTTCTTTGATGAGATCAGCGCCCAGTTCACCAATCATCATGGCGGCTGCATTGGTGTTACCTCTGACTATATACGGCATTATACCAGCGTCGATTACGCGTAGACTTTTGACGCCGTGAACGCGCAAGCGGCTGTCAACCACGCCGCCATCTTGTTCGCTTGACATTTTACAAGTCCCCACTGGGTGATACATTGTACTCCCAACGTTGCGTAGTAAACACTCCCAGTAATCACGTGTATCATAGGTTAGGTTATCACAGCCAGGGAGTTTGTATTGTAATAACGCAGAGTTAACCTCTGTGAATGCTTCGGTGGCGATGATTTTCTTTACGTAGTCAATCGCGGCTAACATCGTGTTTAAGTCTTTATCTTTAGTTAGGTAGTTGGTGTGTATTTGCACTTTTTGATACGGATTGTTGGATGGGAGTTTGACATAACCTATACTTTCAGCACGTAGTAGAATAGGGTTAAGGGAGATTAGCACTTGGTTTTTGTTAAGACGTACAATGTCATCGATGGATTCTTGATTGAATCCGTTGTTGGTGTAGAAGTTTTTGATTTGTGTGCTGTTCGCAGGGAATTCACGGATTAACCATTCGATGGTCGCGATGTCCTCGTTATTATCAAGAGGATCATTGAAGAGTAACATGTTGTTGATTGAGATGGTAGCTAAAGGACCTGTGCCGTTATTGAAGTAATCAAAAGTCGTGCGGATTTCATCTGCTTCAGTAGGGGTTGGTGAGGTGGCGCTGTCAGCACGCACGATGATTCCCCAGGAGGCGAAATGGTCTTGGAGGTTCTTCCCTACTGGTAAGTCCTTTACCAACTGGATTTTAAGCTTTTCTAGGTCTTCTTTTGGGCCTATACCTGATAGTTGTAGGATTTGTGGTGAGTTGATTGATCCGCCTGATACTATAACCTCGTTTCTAACCATGATATTAACCTCTTTTCTGTTTACTTTTGCTTTGACCCCGTAGGCCTTGCCGTCTTTGATGAGTACCTTCATTACATGTGAGTTGGGAGCTATGAATAGGTTCTTCCTTTTAGGTGGTGAGTTTGGATTATTCTCTTCCTGGTCACTTCGATGTCTACCATCAGTGAGGAATGCTTTGGCTGAACTTTCTCTACGTCCGAATTCATCAATGGACATTGTGGTCTCGAAGAATCCTACTGGTACCTCATCCGGTTGCATAGGGTACCCTAGTTCTTCATAGGCTGAGATTATCCTCGGACGCATGGGATTACCAGCAATGTATTTCGTAGTGTGTAATGGACCATCTTTTCCTCTTACTTCTGACTCTCTCAGAGGAGGATAACGCACGTTTTCTGATTTTTTGAAATATCTCAGGACATTATCCCATTTCCAGTTGGGATCATCGGTGATATCAGCCCATTCATCATAGTCTACAGGGTTACCACGAATGTACATCATGGCGTTGAGGGATGACGATCCCCCGAGCATTTTTCCTCTGTTCCAGATACAGTTGCCATTTCGCATGCCCATACAACTAGTATTCGACTTTTCTGTTAAATATTCCCAATCGTACAGGGGATTACTTTGCATACTAACGAACACACCAGGAATCTAAAATTTTGAGGTTAGCTTCAACCAATTTTATAAACATAACCTTACTTGTGCGTCAACCGGTGGATAACCACCAGCTTCCAGTAACAACACCGTCCATTTGGGGTTTTCACTCAGTCTGCTTGCAACAATGGCACCTGCTGACCCCGCACCCACCACAATAAAGTCAAATACTTTACCATGTAGTTGTTGGTAACTCAAATCAGGTGGAAAGTCGGATTCTTTAAGAAACGAACACTTTTTTCCAAACAGGGAATTGATCATCATTAGAAAAAGAGCTGACGATGCTCCGGACAATGCATTTTGACAGTTGTCAGTCACCCCAGCTGGACCAGAACATCTTCCACCCCTAAAACAATAATAATATAGTTTTATAGTAATAATTTATCAATTTTAGTAACACCACTGCAAAATTGCCATCAAAACTTCTAAAAGTTTCTAAAAACCAGTTGTTACTGTCGAAATTTGGGCCAAACTAATTTATTTCCTCGATTATTTGGTGTATCACATTTTAAGGTGACCTCATCATGGCCGCTTATTGTTGCATTGTTGTCGAGTTCGTTTTTTACAATTTAATTCAACATTAAAATGAGTTCCGTGTTAAAAACTAGTTAAATAATATTTTTATTTTGTAATCTAATCATAAACTTCCAAATTATGATTAATTTTTTAATAATTTGCTCCGCCCTCTTTGTAGGTTGTTTTTTTACTGCGCATGCGCAAAATAACTCACCCAAGTATACTCTTCATCATAGCTTCTGAATTCTCCATGTTTTATGTTGAAACAATATTGCACTTTGCTATATTTTAGGTTTTCTGTTGTTTTTATTCAGTTTCTTATCACACCCGCAATGATAACACAAGTATTTTCAGCGCGAAATAATTTTTGCTGTTTTTCTGATTCTAATTATGAATAACGCAGTGTTTCACATTGTTATCACCGACGGGAATTACAATATTTGTTAATTAGCGCGCGCCCACCATGCCTTTTATACCCGCTGTCTTCTTTGCGTTTAATATACACGCCGAGTTCAAGGTCAGAATGTTGAATTCACGCAACTTGGCTTAATTAAAATGAAATTAACTAAGATTATAATTGTATCACAAAAACTGGTTACAGACAATTACGTGTGTTTAGGCGAGCATGAAGACAGATAAAAAAAATTGTTTAAACATATTAAATACATTAAATATTTATACATACATTCATAAAGAATGTTTTATACATTCGAGATTTGAAAAAATAATTTAAATCGTATGAATAGTTCAGGAGATATTCAAGTTTTTGTGAATTTATGCTCCGCCTATGTTTTTAATGCGCATGCGCGTCAAAAATATACTAGGGTGTATTTGTGGGATAACCCCAGTCTGGCTTACAGACAATTACGTGGGTTTAGGCGAGCATGAAGACAGATAAAAAATTTGTTTAAACTTGTTAAATACATTAAATATTTATACATACATTCATAAAGAATGTTTTATACATTCGTGATTTGAAAAAATAATTTAAATCGTATGAATAGTTTAGGAGATATTCAAGTTTTTGTGAATTTATGCTCCGCCTTTGAGTTTACTGCGCATGCGCGTCAAAAATATACTAAGGTGTATTCGTGGGATAACCCCAGTCTTCTTTGATGAAATCAGCACCTAATTCACCTACCATCATGGCGGGTGCGTTGGTATTACCTCGTGGTACCTTGGGCATTACACTAGCATCAATTACACGTAACCCTGTCACTCCGTAGACTTTTAATCTGCTGTTAACCACTCCGCCATCTTGTTCTTTCGCCATTTTGCATGTCCCCACTGGGTGATACATGGTACTGCCTACATTGCGCATGAGACACTCCCAATAATCACTTGTATCGAATTGTATTGCATCACATAATGGTAAGGTGTATTGTTGGAAGCCTGCGTTAACCTCTCGAAACGCTTGAGTGTTGATAACCTTCCTTACAAATTCAACTGCAGCTAACATGGTGTCCATGTCTTTCTGAACTGTAAGATATTCAGGGTATACCATGATATTCTCAAAAGGGTTTGTGGAACGTAATTTTAGATAACCTATACTTTCAGGTCGTAGTAAAATAGGGTTAAAAGCAATTAGGACTTGTTCTTGGTTGAGAATCATCAGGTGATCCATTGATTCCTTCAGGAAACCATTTTTGTCGAGGAAGTTTTTGAATTTTGTGCTTTTTGGTGGAAAACTATTGACTAACCATTGTATTGTTGCTATGTTTTGATTATTTGAAAGAGGGTCATTGAATAGTTGCATATTAAGGGTTGAGATGGTTGCTAAGGGACCTGTACCATTATTGAAGTAATCAAAAGTGTTTTTTGTTTCTTCTTCATTTGTAGGAGTTGGTAATGCACTAGGGTCCACACGGACAAATAAACCCCAAGTTGCAAGGTGGTCTTGAAGGTTACCACCTACTGGTAAGTCCTTTACTACAGGGATTTTAAGCTTTTCTAGGTCTTCCTTTGGGCCTATGCCTGATAGTTGTAGGATTTGTGGTGAGTTAATCGATCCACCTGATATTATAACCTCATTCCTAACCAGGATATTAATGGTTCTTTTGTTTACTTTTGCTTTGACCCCATAGGCCTTGCCGTCTTTGATGAGTACCTTCATTACATGTAAGTTGGTAGCAATGAATAGGTTCTTCCTTTTAGGTGGTGAGTTTGGATTTTTCTCTTCCTGGTCATTTCGATGTCTACCATCAGTGAGGAATGCTTTGGCTGAACTTTCTCTACGTCCAAATTCATCAATGGACATTGTGGTCTCGAAGAACCCTACTGGTACCTCATCAGGTTGCATAGGGTACCCTAGTTCTTCATAGGCTGAGATTATCCTCGGACGCATTGGATTACCAGCAATGTATTTCGTAGTGTGTAATGGACCATCTTTTCCTCTTGCTTCTGACTCTCTCAGAGGAGGATAGCGAACGTTTTCTGATTTTTTGAAATATCTCAGAACATTATCCCATTTCCAGGTGGGATCATCTGTGATATCAGCCCATTCGTCATAGTCTACAGGATTACCACGAACGTACATCATTGCGTTGACAGCTGATGATCCCCCGAGCATTTTTCCTCTGTTCCAGATACAAGCGCCATTTCGTTGACCCAAACAACTAGTGTTTGACTTTTCTGTTAAATATTCCCAGTCGTATAAGGGATCACTTTGTAAATTGATAAAAACACTAGGAATCTAAAATTTGAGGTTAGCTTCAATCAATTTTATAAACATAACCTTACTTGTGCATCAATCGGTGGATAACCACCAGCTTCTAGTAACAACACCGTCCATTTTGGGTTTTCACTCAGTCTGCTTGCAACAATGGCGCCTGCTGACCCCGCACCGACCACAATAAAGTCAAATACTCTACCATGCAGTTGTTGGTAACTCAAATCCGGTGGAAAGTCGGATTCTTTAAGAAACGAACACTTTTTTCCAAAGAGGGAATTGATCATCATTAGAAAAAGAGCTGAGGAGGCTCCGGACAATGCATTTTGACAGTTGTCAGTTATCCCTGTGGACCCATCACATTTTCCACCCCTAAAATGTTTAGTTATTATATTTTACTTAAAAAATAAGAATAATTACATAAAAAACTCCATTTCGAATCACTACAATACAAAGTTTTACTTTTAACATATTTTAAAACACTAAAAAACCAAAAGTTTACTAATTTGACATCGTGTTTATCATACTTATCACTATTTTGTAATTAACTATTAGAAACTAGTTTTTGTATCACAAAACATAGGTACCTAAGTAATATATGTGATAAACAATGAATTTAACGTAAACTTGCTCCGCCTTGTTTTTTACTGCGCATGCGCGACCACAACCAATCATATTGGAAGAATTAATCACAGAAAATCAAAATAAATTAATAACTTACATAAAACTGTCCATTTTGTTAGATATTTTACTTGTAATTTAGCAACAATTCTATTTATATGAAAATCTTATCACTTTATTATCATAGAAATAGCAATTTCATGAAAATTAAGACGGAAATTCAAATATTAGTTTAACCTGGAAACGTAATCCTTCAATAATGCAAAAATACAGAAATGGTGCCACATTTTGTTAACACAACAATTTATTCTACGTATACTGATAACAAACATATGAATTAACAAGTTTTTCGCATGTTTTAGATAAGAAATAGACGTGTTAGGTTTTGAATAAATAATTAACGAAAAAATAATTGAAATAGCTTCATTATTTTGAAAGTTATTAACAATTTTGTAAAAATATGCTCCGCCCATGAGATATTTTGACATTTGACATCATAAACACATTAAATCAACGTCAAAGTGTGAAAGTTAGTAGTTTACAATAAGTTTTACTAAATTCTAACTTCAAAACAGATTAAAAAATGCAATTTGGACTAAAATAACTAATTTAAGGTTAGGTTTTGATCAGTTCAACGTATTTCTTTGACATTTGGCATTAAAAACATAGTAAATCAATATTAAAATGCAAGTTTTTTTGGTTTTACAGAATTCTAACCTCAAAACTAATTCAAAACACGCAGTTTGTAGTAAAATAACAAATTTAAGGTTAGGTTTGTTGTTTAATTTGAAAAAATGTTAGAATTTTTTAAAAATTTGCTTTGTTTCTTTTAATCTTTGACCTTTGATATCGTAAACATAGTAAATCAATGTTAAAATACAAGTTTTATTAGTTTTAACCTCAAAACTAATTCAAAACACGCAGTTGGTAGTAAAAGTAACCAATTTACGGTTAGGTTGGCAGGCGTGTAACATGAAAAGTGGTGGGAATTTTGCGCGCGCGATCGATGCGCGCTGCCCGCGCATATGGATTTTGACGCTTGAGTTTTCCACCGGCGGCGGCGCCACACAACCCCCTCACTCGCATACACCGCCGCCGAGCCGCCTCCCTTCTCTCTGTCTACATATAACGACACGTATCGCCTGCTTTCAATTTCGCCGCGTTGGTCGCCCGCCAGTCGCGAGTGACCTAGTAAAATGCGCACGGCCGCCATCGCCGCCACCGCCACCGAGCCCTTTTTCTAATCGCGACGCTCGCGGCCCAATCTCAACACGCAAACGAAATGCGCATCCATAGTTAACGCGGTATTGTTGTAAAACTAAACAATCAAACAATCTGTGCGCATTATCTCAACATGGAAAACCGGAAAACATGCCTGGAGGTACACCATCGTATACATACAGTGTGATAAACTCTCAGTGGACGGAAAATCAATCTAAACTATAATTTCGTCAAAAAATCTAATACCGAGTGTTGCACTTTGAGGATTTTTGATTATCAGAGGAATCAGCAGGAAATTAGCAACAAATTCAAACGTAAGTTGCTCTTTATTAATGTCTAAGAGTTAATTACGGAACATTATCACATTATCACATTACATTATCACGTTATCACTGATTGAAGCTGAGATTCAGCGAGATGTGAAATTTTTCTGTAAAAATAGATGCGAAACGTATTGGCATCGATTTATCTGCTCGGTGTACTCGCTCACCCTTCGTGTGTATCGTAGTGATATCACAATCGCCACTATCACCACTATCACGTCGCCGGCATCGCCATTATCACAAGTCACAAGCGAGTAATCTTCTCGAGCGCAGATTATTGATAGTTTTATGATAGGCAACTTTAGGTGCACGTAACTTTTGATACGGACGAGGTAGGAGCATGGGGGAAAGGGATACAGATAAAGAATTTCATGCTGATTAGAATGATATTTCACATGATTAGATTAAATTAGGTTTTAGTTGATTTATTAGAAGTTTAAGTAAAAGTGTCAAAAAAATTAATTTGAAAGTGTTAGTTTTTTAAATTTGTTGTAATTTGGGAACCACTTGGTGGATTTTAATGAATCAAGTGGTAATTAGGTCTTAATTAACTGTATTTTAAGACTACGTTGAAAAAACTATTAAATTTTATGTGTAAATATTATTTTTTTGCTAATTTTGTTGAGGAAACATAATTTTTACTTTAAAAATAACAAATTTTGATTTTTACCTTCAAATTAACACTAATTATTATTATTTTAAACAATTAAAATTTATACCACTTATAAAGAATTTAATTATCTTCAATTTGACGTATAACTTATAAAATTATCTCTTCTAGAACTTGAGTTATCACTAAAAAACTAAAAAATCTCATCTTATTAATATACAGAGTGTTTCGAAACGTCAAAAATGATATCTTAAGCTTTTGTTTTACTCTTATTGTCGCCGTAATAGAATAGAACCCAAGTAGAAGGTATGAGGCAATCCTGCACCCCTAACCACAAGATCGTTGCCAAAACCAGTCGAAAAGTTGCCAAAAAACGTCGCCATGATTGATTGTCCTTGAAATTAATCACCTCCCAGTATTATTCTCACCCAAAAAAAACCGTAATAACTAAAAACATAACATTTTCATTCTTCACGCTCATTATGCACACAATTACGCACTAGTTAGAGTTAAATACTAGACATTATTGAGTGATTGAAAGTTATAGTATGCAACACACAACGCAACACTCCTTAAAACAATATCAAATATGAATATGATAACTTATAAGCGGCGAATGTTTTGTTTCCATGTAAATATCTGAAAATATTTGTTGTTTTCTTGTGTGTGCACTAACATGTCAGCGAGTCGAGCCGATCTCGCACGAAGTCGCATCCTGCATCATCGTTTCATGAATGAGCTCTCGCAGTGGTGGCGGTGGGGGCGGCGCTTGGGGTTTATCGATCTCGCGAAGCAAGGACCTCCGCGTACTAAAATAACTCGCGGGCGGCACAAGCACAAGACACAACAACCAAAAATATAAAAAAAAAATCAACGTCCGCCATGTTTTTATTTTTTCCCAAACTAAAAATCATTTCTTTCTCTATTTTTACAACGCCACAGATTACTTGGAAATTGGCAGCCATGCAGAAGGCGTGAATAACTTCCATAGTGTAGGTGGGCGGAGCTTAGAGCATCAACAAGATGGATTTGGAAATGAAACTACACGCGGCCGAAGTGCGCCGGTCGGACTTACAGCGCGCGCATCAGGAAGCAATGTCAGCGCTACGCGACTGCGGCACTGACTTACTAGACGCGAGGCAATCGCGCGTGCGTGAACTCGAGAAAAAAGTCGCATTAGAAACCGTGCGTTGTGAGGAGTTACAACTTGAGTTAGCGTCGGCGCAGAGGCAGCGTACGCCTGCGTCACACTCACCGCACCAATCACATCACTCGCCCGGACATCAACTGGGTGTTAACGTAAGCTACGGCTATAACAACATGACAAACAATATGAATATGGGTGTGTCGAATGCTGGACCAATGCAAATGCAACAACAACAACAACAACATCAACAACAACAACAACAGATGCAGAATATGTCACACGTGACCAATATGAGTAATATGACACATGGCGGCCATCTTGCAACCACGCCACAGAAGCATAACGAGATTGATCGCATCATGGCGAAGATCGAACAGGACAATCGTATCCTCGCTGAGTTGGACCATACACGCTCGACCACCTTGGGTGAGTTTTGGTGTACCATCAAACCAGAAACCAAAAAAAAAAAAAAATGTTTCATTGTTTTTTTACTTATGATTTCTCTTCAAATTGGAAAATGGTTGCGTTGTGTATGTTGCACGTTGAACTTAACCTATCTATCATTTTAACCTGATTTAACATAACCTCTAAATGTCTCTTGTAATCTGTCAAAATAAAAATTTTATTTCAATTGAGGATTTATTTATAGGTTTGGCAAGTTCGGCGAGTTCGCACGCCTTGGGTGAATCCTCGCCGCCATTATCACCGATCACCATGTCGCACACAACGCCATCTATTTTCCCCAGCGGGTTAACTTCGACATCTACCGGTGGAATGCATAACTATTCCGGTGTGGGTGTAGGTGGCGCTTCTGCATTGTCTTCATACATGCCATCCGGTGGTTATTCTTCAACTGTTGGTGGTGTGGGTGTTGTTGGTGGTACCTCGTCACTTGGTAACACCCTGGGTCATTCGTATACGAACAAAAGCATTCTTGGGACCAGTCTTGGTACAACCGGATTACCATCAGCGCTTTCGGGTGTTTCAGGTGTACCTGGTGTTCCTGGTTTGAGTGGTGTTGGTGTTTCTTCTCTATCCACTGGTTTGGGTGGTGCTCTTGGTGGTACGGCTCTGTCAGCTGGCGCGTATTCAACTAATACTACTTTTACCAATCCCTTGTTGTCCAATTCACTACCACCTACGTCGTTTAGTAATCCGACATTTGCTGGTGCGGGCGCCACGAATATCAACCAGTTTGGGTTGTCTGGTGGGACCGTTGGAGGGTTTAGTAGTCTCGGGACGAATAATGTAACATTTTCCAACCCGTTGAGCTCACAGTTCAACTCTCTACCAATGAGTATCAAGTTGAAACCTTTGGATGAAGTGGAATTGGGTGCCAGGAGGGTCGCGACCCCTGTAACACCTCATCAGACAAGTTGGGGACTAGGGGCTTCTTTGGGGTTGACCTCAGACCCTACCAGGAGGATACTCACTGATGGTTTGGATTCTGATTGGTCTGGGGTGAGTGGGCTCATGGATAGGAGTTATCTGAATGGTCATCAAGGTCTTGAGGGAACAGTGGACATGTTGGACATACCTGGGAAAGGCAGGTGTTCTGTCTACATAGCAAGGTATACCATCAAATTAAATTTTCAAGACCAAAACATAAATTTTATTGATTTTGGGTTAGATTTTCTTATGACCCTGAAGAATCCGAAGAGGAGTTGGCTGTACAAGCAGGGGATTACCTCCTGGTCTGGGGTGAACCCCTTGGTGGTACCGGAGGGTACCTGGACGCTGAACTTCTCGATGGGAGAAGAGGTTTAGTCCCTGCACACTTCGCACAGAGACTCATAGGTAATTTCAAGGTCACCCTAACATAACCCTACTGATGGTACCCTGTTTCAGGTGATGATCTGTTGGAATTCCATCAAGCTGTGTTGTCTACCCTCCGGGAGGATGAAATCAACGCTGAGACCTTCGCAGCTGATGTCCAACGCCTGACAGAATTAGCTGAATTGGCTGAAGGTCAAGAGGACGAGCTTGACAATGGTGAGCCAGGTAAAACAAACCACTTCATGCATGTTTCTCATTTTGTTGCAACTAGCTTAGTACAGAATCCACTACCCTATCTTCTACAACAAATGATGACCTCTTTGTAGTGGTACCACAATCAACCCACAATCAAGTGGTAGGATTGTGGTCATCTTTAGATGTACCCCCACTCTCTTTCTTTTAGACTGTAGCCATGATGACGTACCTTCAATGTCTGTCTGTTTGTGTGTATTAATATTGCGTGTCTTCCCCCCCTCTCGGTCATGTCTCACAAAATTTCAACTCAAATTCCAACTTAAACTGCTCAAATGGGTCATCAGCAATTCACAATTACAAATACAACATCAACAACAACAGAAAGACACTGCCCGACGGTAAATGAAAGCTTTTGATATGTACGAGTTCGATTTTGACAGTTTTTTGACAGTTTTGTTACCAGACCAATGAACGCTACACTTTTAACCAGTTTTTACTGCGCTTTTGATTGTGTTTTGGGCGGAGATATTATTCCTGAGTCTATTGTGGACAAGATGGCGGACTTTGCATGGCTTGTGACTTTGGTTTCTTTGTTTCACCTTCAAATGACCGCTATAGTCAGCTCACACACTAGTTATTCGATAAAATGCAATTAGAACTAGATTAACTAGTGATTATTTATAACAATGAATGTGGCACAGTAAAAGTATTATCTTGCATGTTATTTTAGAGTTTTTATAGGATTACGAAACACTTGGTATATGAAATTTAGATTTGTAGTGGCATAAATAGTGCAAGATTTGAAATTTTGTGTTGTTTTAACGATTACGAGAGTATAAACAATCGAAATTTGATTGTGTTTCCGGATTATTAAAGTAGATTAAATTCTCTTTCAAATGACTTATAGTAGTTATAGTTTGGATAATTAGAAGTACTATTTTTTTGAGGTTAAACTTTGCGTTAGTTTCAACATAGTACAAAATGCATTTTTGACTAATTTAACTATAACTTTTATAATAATAATCGTATCACATTGATAAAAACATCAGATTAAAGAATAGTAAATTATCTTTCTAATGAGGTATTACAAGTATAATTTTGATAATAGAAAGTAATATTTTTTTGAGGTTAAACATCATAAAACACAAATTTCTTCAAAAAAATGTTTTTGTTATTATTTTATCAATAACTCTTAAACTTAAAAAGATACTAACTTGAAATTTACAAATATTAAACTAGATGAAATTCCCGTTAATTTGATATATATCTCAATAAAATCAGACAATTCTAACCATAAAATAATCAACTTTAAAGAAAATCTCTGAGCTGACTAGAAGCATACCTGCCTCTTCGGCAGCCATCTCAACTTTTCTCTTCTCGCTGTATTGACGTATTGGCGTGACAAGTAGTAACACGTAGCTTAGCGATTGACTGATGCAATGAACCAACAGACTATTTCTTCTCGGTACTAGTACCGGCGCCCAAGCAGCTGACCCTGGAACGCCAGCTGAACAAAAGCGTGTTGATCAGCTGGACCGCCCCCGACAACGTCGGCCCCGCCCAAATCGAAAGCTACCACGTGTACGTCGACGGCGTGCTCAAGGCAACCATCAAAGCAACCGAACGCACACGCGCACTCGTCGAAGGCGTCGACTCCAACCGGGTAAGCACTAACACAATGTCATCGCGTGTGTAAAGTGTATCCAAACAGGCGGAGCCTAATGTATTAATCTGTTTAAGTTTATGCTTCAGCCTCATCGCATCAGCGTGCGTTCGGTAACAGCCAATCGTCGCACGTCACGTGACGCCGCATGCACGATGATCATTGGCCGTGACACGCATCAGCTGGGTCCGTCCGCAGTCCGTGCGACGAACATAACCGCCACGCAAGCGGTGATCAGTTGGTTGCCGTCTAACTCCAATCATCAGCATGTTGTCTGTGTGAATAACGTGGAAGTACGATGTGTGAAACCTGGCGTTTATCGACATACCATCACTGGCTTAGCGCCCAATACACAGTATCGTGTGACTGTTAGAGCGAAGCATCATCGTGCCGCGCAGAATGTCGCGAATGTCGCTGAGGATTTACCATTGCCTGCGGCTGCGCATACGGATTTCCGTACGTTGCCGAAAGGGTTGCCTGATCCGCCCAGTGATATTCAGCTGGAGGCAGGGCCGCAGGATGGCACGTTGTTGGTTACGTGGCATCCGGTGTTGACGCCCCATCATCCGGGGTCGGCCATTACTGGGTATGCGGTGTTTGCGGATGGTAAGAAGGTGACGGATGTGGATAGTCCTACTGGGGATCATGCGCTGATTGATATCAGTAAATTGTTGAGTATGAATCCCAAGCATGTGACGGTTAGGACCAAGGCGAGGGATGGGCAGTCGGCGGATTCGGTGCCTACGTTGATTCCGATGCAAGTTTTGAGAGGTGGGGCTAATCGGCAGAGGCAGCCGCATAGTGCTATGCCGATGCATATGAGGCAGACTAATCGTCAGGGGCAACAAGTAAGTGATTTTGTTTAGTTTTTTGAGGATAACTTTGGTGAATTTGACTTTATTTTAATTTTGTTTTTGGTGATTTAAAGTAGATTAAATTTGCTTTAATTTGATGTATAGTTTGTTTGGTTTTGATAATTAGAAATATGAAAATTTTTAGGTTAAAGTTTAACTTTGGTTTAAAAAGTGTTTTGGTTAGTTTTTTAACTATAATTTTATTTACAATTATTTAATTAATACAATATTAGGGTATGTAAAAGTAGATTAAATCCTCTTTTGAATGATATATAACATAATTAATTTAAATTTTTAGAAATAAACAATAATTAAGTTTGAAATATGACAATTAGATTTTTATAATATGAAGAAAACGGTTTTGTTTACTTTTTTATTTATAACTTTAGTTTCTTATTTTTAATCATATTGAGGTTATAGTATATAAAACTAAATTAAATTATCTTTCATTTGATGCATAGCATGACTAATTTTATTATTTAGAAGTTTAAATAATTTAAGTTTTAAATTTGAGTTAACATAAAAACAGAAAAAAATGATTTTGTTTATTTTTTTAACAATAACTTATAAAGTTACTTTTTTATATACATATACTTTTCAGTATCATAAACTACATTAAATTCTCTTTAATTTGATATATCAATTATATTATTTAAATAATTCGAACCTAGTTTAATTTAAGTTTAAAAAACACTAAATTTTTACATTTTCAAAACAGGTTCTGGAACATGATGAAAACCTAAGTGACAAAGAAATCTTCCCCAATCAAGGTCACCGTCAACAAGGAGGTATACCCCAAATAGGTAAGCTCCACCTTTAACCTCATAACCTCAAAACCCCAAAAAACAAACCAATTACTAACAATAACCAAAAAATTTACTTTCAAAAGGATGAAATTTATACTAATCAACAGGACGTGTTCAAGGGCCACCACGAAGACCACCTCTTTCATTTCATGTATTTTTCTCTGTTCTAACACGCAGCGCACCGTCCGCTTACAGAGATCACCAACGAAGGTAACCTCAGCGAGGACGAGCTCCTCGACTCCGCTCCACCAATGACAATGAACAAACGCGGTGGGCCAGGCGGTCCCACCCAACAAGTAGGCGGAGCTGGGCGTTACAGCGGAGGCGTATCCAACCCCCAACAACGCCCCGGGGCCCAAAGACAAATGAATGTCAACCATCAACAACATGCTGGTACACCTCACACCCCGCAACAAGCGCAGACGCCTTCGCAACCCCAACCGCCCAATCAACAACAACAACAACAGCAACAACAACAGCAACAACAACAACAGCCACCTGGCGGCTGGCGTGGCAATGATCCCTACCAGCATTCACCAGGACAGCAACAAGGTGCCAGCAACTCTCGCACGTTTCACAATCACACCACGTCTCTACTACTACTAACAACAACTATTGAACAACAATTACAACAATTACAACAACAATTCGATCGCCGCATGTTTACTGATTGTGTTTGGCTGTGTCACTCTTTCTGTCTCTCGATGTCAGTCTATCTCTATGTGGTCTATGCTTTTGTGTGTCTTTTGACAGGTGTACCACCAATGCTGTCAGCTGTCAATTCTGTCAATTCTGTCATTTTGTTGTTTGTTACTGGACTGTTGTTGTTATGAATTTAATTTGGGTGGTTTGTGTGTTTACAGTGGTGCCAGGTGGGCAGCAACAGATGCAGCAGATGCAAGGTGGGATGAGAGGAGGGATGAGGGGTGGGATGCAGCATGGACCTAGAGGGGGGCAGATGGGGGCGGCTGGACAACCGCCTACGGCGCAGAAACGCGCGAGGTGGTTTGTTGCACTGTTTGATTATGATCCAGCGACTATGTCACCCAATCCGGATGCTTGTGATGAGGAACTTCCTTTTAATGAAGGGGATAGTATCAAGGTGTGGGGGGATAAGGATGCTGATGGGTTTTATTGGGGAGAATGTCGAGGTGAGTGAATTGAAGAAGAAATTGATTTTGTTTATATTTTTTGTTGTAACTTTTGCTTAAATTATTGGATTTTCATTATCTTTACATGAAATGGAAGATAATTAAATTATCTTTAATTTGATGTATTGTTGTTAAATATTCAGTGATTTTTAGTAGGATTTTTTTAGTTTTGAAATTTTTTAGTTTTTAAAATTCTAGTTTTAAAATTTTCAAAAAGCTTTTTTGTTACATTTTTATGAATAACTCTTTATTAAATATTTCAATTTACTTAAAATTTGGGTATATTATACTTTATTAAATTATCTATCAAATGACGTATAACAACATTAATTTCATTAACAACAAATACCTTAAATTTAATGTTAAACTTTACACTTTTTAAAAAACACCAAAATTTGCTTTTTCTTCTTAATTATTTAATAACTCCTACACTAATTAACATAAAAATCTAAATTAATTCACCATAAAACTACAATAAATTCTCTTTAACCTAATATTTTTTTCATCAAAATGCAACAATAATTACTATACAAAAACTCCTTTTAAAAAATGACATTTACAGGTAGAAGAGGTTATGTCCCACACAACATGGTAATGGAAGTAGAAGGCGGACAAAACCGTGACCGTGACCGCTGGGGCGACATCTACGCCACAATGCCAATGAAACGAATGGTGGCCCTCTACGACTACGACCCACAAGAACTCAGCCCCAACGTGGACGCCGAGGTGAGTCCTAGACCCGTGCTTGCTTGCGTCTCCCAAAAGACACTCACACATTTAGCCATCACACACCTAATAAAACCTAGCAATTAGCCAATATCTAGTGCATGCCTAAAGCCAATCGAAAAAAATATAAATAATTAATAATAATAACATTTAGACACTAATCTAGAATTTATTAGATCAAAGTTATCGAAAGGATTAATCTCTACCCCGTTTTGTTTCGTGTTTGTTTCTTTCTCTCTTTCTATCTGAAAAAAAAAAAACGAATCAACACTCGGCCCACTCCCACTCAACCCCCCACCGTCCATAACCACGCCTCTCATCTAATTCTACACATAACCAAATACATACACACACAACAATGCGTGCAACATTGTGGTTGCGCCCCCAACTGCAGGTGGAATTGAGCTTCGCCACCGGGCAGATCATCAACGTCTACGGCGAGATGGACGACGATGGGTTCTATATGGGTGAGATAGATGGCGTGCGTGGACTGGTGCCGTCCAACTTCCTCACCGAGGCGCCGGATCAGTATGGCCCGGGCGGGGCGTCCGCCCAGCAGATGGGGCGGGGACCGGCTGGCCAGCAACAGCGTGGTGGGCGTGGGCATGGGCCTGGGGCACGTGGACCACCGCCGCCGCCTAGGGATGGGACTGGACGTGGACCACGTAAGCAATTTTTTGGATTTGTTCTTGTGTTTTGGTTTTCAAATGGGAGTTGTTTAAGATTTTTTGGTATAACTTTGTTAATAATAATTTAATCAATATGAGATTAGGGGATGTTATAGTAGGTGAAATTGGCTATCGAATGAGGTATAACATGTTGAGTTTAGATAAGGGGAAGTATACTTAATTTGAGATTGAAATCAGAGAAAGTTTTATTTAAAAAAAAATTGATTTTTGTTAGTTTTTTGTTAATAACTTTTGAGAAAAGAATAATATCTTTTCGAAGTTTTTTTGCATATTATTAACAATAAAACTACCTTTCCAAAAAGGTATAACAAGTTAATTTTGACTAATTGCAAATATATTTTATTTAACAACAAAATCAAATTAAATTTTTTTTCTTCTAAAAATTATGTTTTTATTTACTTTATTAATAATAACTTTTAAACTAATAATTATATGTAACTTCTGTTTTCACCATATAAAAGTAGAATAAATTATCTTTAAAATGATATATAACTAGCCAATAACAAATAATTAAAAGTATTTTTAATGAATTTTTGAAAATGTTAAACAACTCCCACAAATTTTAATTTTTTGCAATTTACACGAATTTACCAACGAAAAACTCAAAAAAATCAACACAAAATGCAAACAAACAATTATTTCTATTCTATATCGATGTGAATCAACAATAATCTCTATATGAACAAAAGCTAGGGGGCGCTTTAATTGTGTTTTCGTTTTCGTGTGTTTGCCCAACTGCATTTGCAACAAAAAAACAACTCTGCACATTTTTGTTGTAAATCGAAAGATGGCGCCACTGCTTGCTCATTCTTATTTCTTTTTGACAGCCGGATTAATTTCCTCACTTCTAACTCTTCTATCTATCTCTATATATAAATATACATATACTATATGAATCAATGTTGCACAATATTATTATTAATAATCATTGATGATGATGATGATGATTAATTTGATTGTGTGACTCTTCTTTGGTTGTGTTCTTGCTGTGTGGTTTAATTTCTCTCTCGCCGGTCGCCCTCTCGTCGCGCGTGCGCCTCTCTTGCCCCTCCCCCCAAAACAACAACACACACCCAATCTCTTCGCGTAGGCGTGGCCGAGGGTGGGGCGGGGCAACTCGGAGGCGCGGTGCGAACGCAGCTGACTGTATTGTGTGTTGTCTGTTGCTAGATGCCTGCCCTGTGTTACCCTCTCAGTCAGACACCACCAACACCGCGCCACCGAACACACAGGGTTTCACCGAGCACCAGGTAACTGTCTCTTTTCTTACTCTTGTTCATTTCTTTACTCTCTATCTCTTTCTATATCTCTCACTGACTCACATAACCTCTCTGAAAAATATTAAAATGAAAATTTGGTGAAATTACACTTTATTTTTTAATTCTTGACTAATACACTTCTTTCTGTCTCTTGGTTTGGTTCTTCTCCAACCACCATTCGTCGGACTGAGGACTGAGCGCACACAAGGCTCCTCCTACTCACGCAATGCTCCTCCCCCTTGTCTTAAATCTCTTAAAATCTAACCCCGCCCATTGATTTTATTTTTTTTGTTTTTATTTTTATGAAACACATTGTATAATTTTGATGTGCTCAATGTTGCTGTGTTTGCCGCCATATTGGATGTGATTTGTCATTTGTCATGTGTCATGTGATTAGTGTACACGAACATAACTCCGCCCATCACAACCTCGAAACGTTTTTTTGTTTTCTCTTTTGTAGGGATTTGGTGCACGCCCCCCACAAATGCACGGTGCACGCCCCCTCGAAACATAATAGATTTTTTTAGGGATCAAAATTTAATTGATTTTAGCTTTATAGTAATAATAATTATTAATAATTAGAAATTTTGATGCGAATGTGTTTGCAGAGGAGAGGCCAGAGAGGTGGTAATCAACCAATGATGAATCAACCACAACAACAGACTGCTACAACCGGAGGCGGGATTATGGGCGGATTGTTTGGTTCCTCATCGACCAATCAACAACAAACAACCACTGGTACATCAGGTGGTTTCTTTAGTAATCCTGTGTCGAATTTATTCGGGGGCGGGGCTACGCAGACTCAACAACAACAACAACAACAACAACAACAACAGCAACAACAGCAACAACAGCAGCAACAACAACAACAACAACAACAGCAGATGAATATGGGCGGAGCTTACAATACACAACCTACAAATAACTACGGCTCCGCCCAGAACACAACCACCAATCGCATGGGCATGAAAGGCGTGCCCCAAGTGATACCCAGCGTGAACAACCCAATGGGTCAGGTAGGCGGTGCGCAACAACAACAACAACAACCCGGTGGTATGATGGGCGGAATGACAGGTAACATGAATCCAATGCAAGGGGCGGGGCAACCCGGTCAGCAAGGCCCCAATCTCATGCAGAAATTAAACGAAATGGCCGCCCCCGGTGGCGATATGCTCTCAAAAGGCAAAGAACTGTTATTCATGAAGTTTGGCCTCGGCGGCAAATAACCAACCATCGCCTTTAGCCCCGCGGCGTAAACCCGCCCTCTAATCCTAACCTAACCTAAAATAACGCAATAACCGTTGTAAAATTCCGATTCCGCCGATTCCGAACGAACGAAGCAAAATAAAAAAAAATTGTTACGTGTTGTTGTTGTTGTTGTTGTCTGTTCGATTATTGACAAATTATTATTATTCTAACGCAACAATTGTTATCATGTGTAAAACTATGACATTGACAAAAGCGGAAGTGTTATTATTATTATTGATGATTATAACAAATAATTATATTAGCGCGCTGTTGTTGTTGGACGCGTTGGTGGTGCTCGAAAACATAATAGCCACACGAATAAATTGTATAAATTGTTATTCCCCCCGCCCCCTAACTCTCGCCACGCCCATATATTTAACATCACATCAGACACGCCCACACACACACACACACATGATGTTCTAATCACCATGATATAAACTAAAACCAAACAACGTGTAGGATGCGTGATGCGTGCGCACACAACACACATAGATTGAGGTTATGTGCGAGTCACACGTCTTATCTTACGCAGAATATAAATATATAAATATACATGCTATATATATACATATACATATAAATATAAATATAATTAACTTTTACATTTACACATAATCACTAATTAATTATTAAATGATATTATATATTCAACAAATGAGGTTATGGCGCATAGCAGGTGCATAAAAACAACAAAAACGTGTGTTCACTATAGTCTCCCCCCTGATCCGTACCCATTTTCACTAAATGAAATTATTGTATACGTGTGTGTATGTGTGTGTGTCAAGATGGCGTCCGAGGCGCGAGCGCGATATCATTATCATTAACGTTTCTATTGTCTCTATATAAATATTTCAATAAATATATTTAAACTCTAACGCTATGAAGATTATAAATACTTACATTGTATAAAGTTTAAATACACACCACACACGGGGACGTTGGTCGCATCATATCACTATTTTTAAACGTTTTGGGTTGTGTTGTTTGGTTGGATGTAAAGATGAAGATTTGGGAAGATGATTGGTGAAAGAATTTTTAAAATCGGTTGAGTGGTTTAGGAGATATTTAAGTTTTTAGAAAAATTTGCTCCGCCTACTTGCGCGTGCGTTGTAGTGAAAGTAGGCGGAGCACTTTTTTGTATAAGTGAAGATATCTCATGAACTATTCAGGCGATTTTAATTATTTTCTCGGATTTGGGTTGTAGATTAGTTGATTTTTATTGTTTATAATTATTATCGACCAAATATGTAATGTTAAAGTTTTGTTTTTAAGTAAAATTAATTTTTAAGTGATTATTGTGACACACGCACAAAATTATCAGAGTTTGAGGTTTTGTAAAAATTTAATGTTTAAATATTGTTCATGTTAAATAATTAAGCACAAAATTTGTTTAAACAATTAGAGAATCAGAAATTTATGTTGAGAGCATAACTGAAGAAAAAATTAAAATCCGACCAGTAGTTTCAGAGATATTAATATTTTGTTAAATTTAAGTCACACATGCGCGTTTTTAAAGTGGGCGGAGCAAAATTATAGAAAATCGTTGATATCTTGAAAACTACTTGATGGATTTCAAAAATTAAAACTCTGTTATAAACTAGAGATAAAACTACATAGAATTATTTATGTTTTTGTTCATAAAAAATCAAAATGGCGTTGTTGTAAATTTTCAAAAATATTTCCCAAACGGCGGATCATTGTGACCGATGTACAATCAGTCATTTTCGTAGCGAGATAATAACTTTGTGGACAATACATGAAATCGGTCACGAAATTCACCGCCTCCCGAAATACTTTTGAAATATTTCATCAAACACACACACACACACTTATATAAAAACGAACCGCCATGACACAATGTAAATACTATACATAATGATTGCATAAATTAAACTATTAGAACATTTCAACACTTGTAACCTAAAAATGAGAATCGAATCGAACCTAAAAAAACACAAATCTAAAACAAATTTATTCAATTTCTCTTTTTTGAAACCAAAAAAAAAACGCGCAAAGTCAGTGTAAATGCTTGCTCGCATATGCATGTATATTAACTCTTAACCTAACAAACATACAAAATGGCGGCGTAACATGAACGAATGACCAAGTAAAGAAATAAACAAACAAAAAATCTGTAGCGGTGTGAATGTGAATGAATATTGAATGAAAAGAAGAAAAAAAAAACGCCACAAAACACATGTCAAATGAAACAAAACACAGAACAAGATGGCGGACATGACATGCAACGTAACATATCCGATTCCTTATCTTTAGTCGTATTTTCACACATAACTCACACTCACACGAGTTTCAGTTGTTGATTCGTTTGTAAACGTCAAAGAGTAAGGTTAACGAAAAGTAAGGTTATGAATACACACACATACATACACATACATTATCTCCATCTTTATCTAAAGAACAAGAAAACCTCTCTCTATCTCTTTAATGTAATACACGCATACAAACAAAGCGAGCGCGATGGAAACAAAATAAACTAAAATAAACTAAACCCAAAAAAAAAACAGAGTGTTGTGAATATTAAAGTTATACAGTACATATTATATAAATATTGAGCATATTGTATGATTATGTGACGAGATGGAGTGCGCATGCGCATCGGATCAGATCTACCAAAAATGATTATAAAAACGCATACGCAAAATACGTTAACACGCAAAACAATTTGATGATGTGAGAGGCGGATGTGACAGGATTGTGTGTGATCCTGGGTGATGACGTGCGAAAACACTTGGAAATGATAATAAAGCTAATTTACAACGTTAAATAATGCGATTTTATTGTTGCTTGTACTTGGATGTGATGCAAAATGTAATTTTATGAATAATTTTGAAAGAAATTTTAAAATCGGTTGAATGCTTTAGGAGATATTGATGATTTTGTATTTTTTATGCTCCGCCTACATTAGTAATGCGCATGTGCAAGTAGGCGGAGCATAAAAACACAAAATCATGAATATCTCCTAAACTATTCAACCGATTTTAAAAATTCTTTTAAAATTCAATTTGTTTTCATTTTGAGATTGTATTGGTTTTAGACAGCCATTGCATTGGCTATATCCTGACTGGCTGATGACGTAGTTTCATCCAGGACGTAACCAGTATCTGTTTGCATCTCGGATGTCATCATGCGCGCTTCACGCAGGATGGTCGACATGGCTTCCGGTGCGTATTGCTCAACCATATCTAGTAGTTGATCGGAATATCCAGGCGAGTAATAACGCACGATTTCATCCGGGAAACATGCGTTGATTAATGATATGTATTCGGTTAGGGCTGATCCGGGTTCTGCTTCGATTTCCTGGAGTTTTTTTAACGCTCCGGATGTTACAAACATTCTACGTGCTTTTGGATCATGGGGTAGGATCTGGAATTGATATATTTGTAAGAATAATTAAAATTTCCAAAGTTTTATGATTTTTAATCTGTTTTTGTTTATTGCTTTTAGTTTACGAGATATTCACAATTGAAAAAAATGAAAAAAATGGAAAACTGTAATTTTTCATATTTTTAGTCGCGTTTTTGGGCCTTTAATCCTAAGAAATTTAATTATTTGAAATTCTTATCTGATAGAGAATTTTCCAATCTTTCACAATCTTTAATCCGCTGGTTTTTATTGCGGTTAGTTTACGAGATATTCACAATTGAAAAAGGTAAAGAAACAAAAAATTGTAATTTTTAACATTTTTAGTTGCGTTTTTGGGCCTTTAACCCTAAGAAATTTAATGATTTTTAATTCTTATCCAATAGAGAATTTTCCAATCTTTCATAATATTTAATCCGCTGGTTCCTATCACTTATAGTTTACGAGATATTTACAATTGAAAAAGTTAAAAAAACGGAAAATTGCAATTTTTAGCACTTTTAGTCACGTTTTTGGGCCTTTTACTCCCAAAAATTTAATTATTTTAAATTCTAGCCTAATAGAGAATTTTCCAATCTTTCATAATCTTCAATCCGCTAGTTTCTATCGCTTTTTGTTTAAGAGATATTCGCTACTAAAATTTCCGCAAATTAAGAATCATAACCACACTGTATATTCATGCAGTTATATAGGTACCCGTCCTGATTTCTGACATTCAACATAAGATCGATGCGAGCTGCGCGCCGGCACTCACGTGCATCTATGGCGGCGGCAGTGGTAGTCGCGTCGCGACGCACACCGCACGTGCGCTCGCCGCCCCCGACGTCAGAATCTCTCACCTAATCAAATTACTATAATCCAATAATAAATCAACAACGCGCGCGTGATAATTGTTCGGAGCACGCGAGTGAGAGTGCCTTGACAAACCACCCCTGCAACCCGCAACCCTCTACCACCCCCAACACCAACATCACCATTTACATGACATTCAAGTGTGACAAATGAACGAAAATAAACTACAATTGTTCGGGGAACGCATTAAACTCATACATTTACCCTCAAACACCCAATCATTCGCCGCCCCCGAGCTACAAACACGTAAAATAGTTATAAATAACCACAACTCGGATTCAGCAAAGACAAAGGATGTGAAAGTGTCGCAGGGAGAGGTTAACGCCACCGCAGTGCCTTCGCCGCCTCCCGGGGGCGGCGTGCGACAGTGTTATCGCGGTGTGAAAGTCTACAACCTATCTGCGTCTGTAACCGCCACGCAAAACCAACGTGTGTTAGCAATTCAACGTGCCGAAGGCATTGCTGACCTCCGCCGCCTCCAGCAACGCCAACAACCGCATTTTCTACACGAACAAAAACGTGGTGCTTGTGTAGACTCATACGATAACCACCGCCGACGTATGGCGAGTATACCCAGCCGGAAAATCAATGACCTTGATAAGTATTGCAATCGAATCTACGAGCAACATTGGGGGCAGGTGCATCAACTCTGAATACAATCACAATCCGCAATGCACAATCCAAGCGATGACAATCGCGACCACCAGTTGCAGCGACAGATGTCCTCGCAGTCGCACTCGTCGGCAAGTGGTGAGCGCGCGCCACCGACGGAAAAAGTCGACCGCAAGCATCTCCGTGACACGTTATACACGGAGATCTTCCAGCGCCATCGTCGCTCAATATTCGCGTTTGCATCTTTTCTACGGATGCTCAAATCACGCAAAGCCAACTACAATGTCATCAAGCAGGATCCCTCGGATCTGGACTAATAATGCAATCTTGTTTATTGTTGCCAAGAAATGCCTAAATGTGTGCCCAAACATACGGACCAGATGTAGTCAACCCAACACACACGCAGAGAGTGTACATGCATTATGAAATCATAACTATTATTATAGATATAATACGAGGATAGATTTGTAAACATTTGTAATTCACTTGCACTAGGTGTCGGAAAATGTCAAAGGATTGATGTGTCAGCCATTTTGGTAGCTTTGGATGATCATGGTAAATGTAAACGGACATAGTGAGATGATTGTTGAGCACCTTACATTTTTATATACCAATTGAATAAAAAATACTTAATGATAAACATAACCTATTTTTATGTTGTGTTTTGTAGGTTACCAAAGGGGCGGAGCTTATTTTTACAAAATTGTAAATATCTCGTAAACTACTGAATGGATTTTAATGATTTAAAAACTAAACTTACCCTGGTATACTGCCCTAATACATATCTCAACATGGATGGTGGAGCATCCTGGATTAATGGGTCCAAGGCAGAGACAACCATACATTTTTGCAGGACTTGTTTAAGCGCGTTTTTTGTTTTTTCTTGTAAATCTAGACTTGTTCTGGGATCAGTGTAAATCTCCATTAATTTAGGGAATATTTCTCTTGCTGCTAGTGCCTTTGCATGTTCCGGGCTATGTTTCCCTGTTTGTCCCAACGCCCACACTGCCACAGACACTAAAACCTCATCTTCGGAGTATAATGCTTCCGCCATCATGTCTACGCCTTTGCAATTGATCACAGATAAACCAATTTGATCGTTTTGCCCTGCCATGTAACCCAGTGCAACAAAACAAGGTACTTTTTCTTCATTCGTGCAGGAGTCACTGGTGAGACACTCCAAGATGGCGCCGATACCTCCTAAATTAACCACCATTTGTGACATGGACAGTGAATGTTTCACCACGTCCCGGATTAACGTCGCTGCGGCTTTACGTACTTTTGAATCAGAGTGTGCAAGATGTACAAGTGTATTGGGGAATGTATTACATTCAACGACAGTTTCCGCCATTTCCAGCGAGTGTTTTGCGATGTTTGATAGTGTATTAAACACAACACGTTTTAGTTTAGCGTCTGGATTGGAAATTGCTTTGGCTAGGTGTGGAATAGCACCACAATCAGCAACGTGTTGTGCGAGTTGCATAGAGTGTTTGCTGATGTCCGCTAAAACGGACGCAGCTACTTGTTTCATGTTGACTTCCGGTTCTTGTAGGCATAGAACAATGGATGGTATGGCACCGGCGTCAATGACAGTCTGTGCGAGTTCTTTGTTGTGTTTTGCGATGTATCCCACGGCGCAGAGGGCGCTTTCTTTGACCTTGACAGAGTTTTAACTTGTAGTAGGTTATAAATGAGGTTAGGTGAATGTTACCATTGGTTCAAAGTCTCCCATTGCGTAAATTAACGATGTAAGGCCTCCGGCTTGTACCAAAGCGTCGGCGGAGGCGGCGTCGTTTTTACATACTGAGCGAATCACGTATAATACTGATTTTTTCATGTATTTCTATTAAAATTTAATAATTTATATAATTATATTATGTAACATGTTGATTAAAGGGACTTACATTAGGGGAATCTAATTCTGAAAGCAAAGTGGGTAACAAATTCGAATTCAAGGTTGTAGCTGCAGCTTCAGGGTGGTTTTCGACCAATCTACCCAATGCAACAGCGGCACATTGACGAATACTCGGGCAGACATCGTTTATCAACGGTTTTAATAATTCTGAAAGCATTTCAAAATGGCGGTGATAAATATATTTTTTTATTTGTAAATTGTTTACCCAAAACGTTTGCTTCGTATAAACTCTCAATATTAGCAGGTTTCAAAGCTAATTCAGCAATGGTTTGGGTGAATGTAGTTCGTGCTTTCTGATAATTATGAAAAACTTGCAAAACTGAGCGGGACCCCATTGATTTAAGTTATTTTGAAAGTTTCTGGCTGATTTTAACGCTCTGAAAGCAATAAACTAGTATAATGTGTGGAAAATGAGTGATTATGACACTGCGTATTGATTGACATTTAATTTTTAACGTTTTAATGTTATTAATTGTTGTTTAATCATTGTTTAACAATAAGTTATATAATTTGTTGGTGTATCACTCGGTATATTCCTTTTCTGTCAAAATTGTCTAATGTCAAAGATTTACTGGTAGAGTTTGGACTTTTAACATAAAAAATTAACAAAATATTATTAAAAATGAATAAATTACTGTTTCATCAATCAACTAGATGTTTAATTAAGGTATATATCATATAAATTAATTAATGACAGTTGTTTTATTGTTTTGATGAAATTTTACTGTTTTTTAGGCTAGAATGTTTTCATCGAAAGAAATACCAAAGAATATTCTCCAGGAGGCAGTCACGTCGCATTTGCAAGCTGAGCATGGAGCTGTGTATGACAAAAAGCCTTTTAAGATGACTCTCGAGGCAAATAAGAAGTACATGTGGTGTCTTTGTGGCAGATCAAAATCTCAACCATTCTGTGATGGCACACATAAGCATGCACAACTCAAAATCAAACAAAAGTTGGTGTAAAACCTCATATATATGGAATTATTAACAAATGATTTTTTTATTTCAGACCAATCAAATTTGCTGTTGCTGAAACAAAAGATTATTGGCTCTGTAACTGCAAACACACTGCCAACAGACCATTTTGTGATGGTACACACAAACAACCAGTGGTTCAGGAACAAAACTCGATTATTAGACAATAGTTTATTGTTATTCCCATAGTAAATTTATCAATATAAAATAGTTTTTTGTAGTAGAAATATTGTCACACGCAGTATGAAGCTGAAGGTCATGTCAGCGCGTGTTAAATCTGTCAGAAAGACACATAACCCTCAAAAATACCGAATGATTTCGGCATCTTCCAAAGATACATATTTGTATAATTTTAGTGTATATTATACTATAGATTAACAAATGGCTAAGTTTATAGCGCAGTTGATCGTCGCCGGTTCACAAATCGTGGGCAGGGCGTTTGCCAGAGCGCTCAAACAAGAAATAGAAGCGTCACAGGAAGCTGCACGACGTTTAGGACAAACGAATACTCGTGCGGAGCGCGTGGCCAACAATAAAGTCGGATTGTCGCTGGATGAAGCCAAACAGATCCTCAACGTCTCTCAGTTGGACCCAGAAGAAATCGAGAAGCAGTATAAGCATCTGTTTGCTGTGAATGAGAAGACAAGAGGAGGCACAATTTATATTCAATCGAAGGTAGTGAGAGCCAAAGAGAGGATTGATCTTGAACTGCAGAATCTGGCACAGAGCATGGGTCAAGATCAAAGTGCATCTGCTGACAAAGGGAAAGATGAGCATATGAAACAAGACAAGACATAATGAGAGAATTAAGATAGGTAGCATCAAATTTTAGTGTTTAATTATTACAATTACTATTAAACTGATGTAAAATGTATATATTATTAATAAAAAAGAATAAATAGAAGTGAATTGTTTTTTTGAATGATATTTTAAGTAATTGTAAAGGTGATATTGGTTAATTTTGTTTAAGAAATGGTTGGAAGTGATGTTTAAGTCAATAAATATATATTTGTGGGACTTATGATGGAAATTACTTGGTATTACTTATGAAAAAGATCGTCGATAGAAAGAATAAACCTTACGGGTTTCACTGAAACTTTTACTACTCTGCGACATGAATATTCATCTGCCTGATGATGCCACAGTGTGGCGAAACATGTCGCAGAGTAGTAAAAGTTTCAGTGAAACCCTTAAAGTTTATCCTTTCTATCGACGATTACAATGGAGTTTCATCACGTAAGTGCCACCTCAATTCATTATTATGAAAAAGAAGCAATTTGAGGTTTTTAAGCATTATATAAGTCCTGGGATGCTTGATAATGTGTTAATTTTGTGTAAAAGTTGATCATGGAAGGAAATATCACTTTGCCTGGAAAACACACCATATATCTTGTACCAATGAAACAAATTACAACATCTTGTGTTCATATGATACTTAAGAGTTCCGTAATAACTTACGCATCTTCATGACCTTTTCAAGCTTCTACAAGTGTTCTAAAATGTCATGTTCTTACAAATTGACTTTATTTTCACATTTCAATAAATTGGCTTAGATAACAGTCTGTATCTCGTGAATTAACACACATGTTATAGTTTAAGAGACGCTCTAGTTGTTAATTGACAATATGTACTGTATACAAAAGTGGAAACACGTGGAAACATTAATTATTGATTGTAATAGTGTAAATTGTGGGACTAGTATCTGTCGCATTCATAGATGGCACTAGGATGCACTAAAAATCATAAAATCGAGTTATACGACTTATTTTTATATTTATCGGCAAACGTGGACACGAGAATAGTTTTGTATACAATGCTGTTATCTGCGATTCAGTGTAAACAACGTTTTTAACGCAGGTGTCCCGCGCGCTGTCCCCTCGCGCCGCATCTACTTGCTTGCTTGCAGCGTAAGTCTTGTTTGGTTTTGATCGCTTGTATCTTGCCTATTGCAATTCGCGTACAAGGTCGCGTGCTGTCGACGCACCGGCTTTGCGCACCTCTTGCTTTCTTATCATATACTGTCGCGTCGTTGCTGGCTCGGCTACGGCTTGCGCTATCGTTGGAATGCAGCTAGTTTCGTGCCGGTCGCTGGTTTATCCAGTCGTTTTTTGAGAGACTTTTTGTTTATTCGGACTTCAAATATCTAAATTTGTGTTACACCCGAAGATCAATCGACTATTGTTGTGCTTGGTGTCGGTTGCTAAATTAATCGGATATATATCGCCCCCATGTTGATTCTCATCATTAAGAAAGATCCATCAGACTCGTGTAAGTATCTTTTAACGAAACAGCACAGCACAGCACAGATTGTTTATTTTGTGTTGATTGTTAATTATAACATAATTCAATTGTATGAAATATTGTTGTTTTAATTTATGTTTTCTTTTAGTTACAGCACTCGTTGTACTCGGCTGTCCGATAAGCTGTACCCTGGTAAGTTTATAATTCAATTATATTTTTCGGTCAACTTTACATTTGCTGTATATAAACAAGTTTTCTATTTATTACGCACTACCTACCTGTGACACAAATTAGACGACCGACACGGTTGGACACAATTAGGAGATATTTGCAATTTAAAAAAAGAAAAATTGCACTTTTAGTCACGGTTTTTGGTGCTTTAATCTCACGAAATCAAATTAATTTAAATTCGTATTGGATGCAGAATTTTCCTATCCTTTCAAATCTTCCAGAATCTACAACTTTCCGGCTCTCTTTTAGTTTACGAGATATTCGCAATTGAATAAAATGGGCAAAAATTGCAAAATGTCACTTTTTTGCACTTTCAGTCGCGTTTTTTGACATTTTACTGTTAGAAATATAATTATTTTATATTTTTACCTGATAGCGAATTTTCCATTCTTTCATAATCAGCAATGCGTTGGTTGCTATCGCTTTTAGTTTAAGAGATATGAATTATTGAAAATCGTCGAAAAAAAGTATCAAGCACCCCCCCTTGGCAATTTTTTCTTAAGGATGAAAATTTCATCTCCCAGATTTCCGTTTTAGCTATCCTATCTGATAGAGAATAGTCCGTAGATTAAAACCCCGCGATCAGATCTTAATTATCTCTTTTAGTTTACGAGATATTCGCAATTGAATAAAATGCGCAAAAATTGCAAAATGTCACTTTTTAGCACTTTCAGTCGCGTTTTTTGACCTTTTACTGTTGGAAATATAATTATTTTATATTTTTATCTGATAGAGAATTTTCCAATCTTTCATAATCAGCAATGCGTTGGTTGCTGTCGCTTTTAGTTTAAGAGATATGAATTATTGAAAATCGTCGAAAAAAAGTATCAAGCACCCCCCCTTGACAATTTTTTCTTAAGGATGAAAATTTCATCTCTCAGATTTCCGTTTTAACTAGCCTATCTTATAGAAAATTGTCCGTAGATTAAAACCCCGCGATCAGATCTTAATTATCTCTTTTAGTTTACGAGATATTCGCAATTGAATAAAATGCGCAAAAATTGCAAAATGTCACTTTTTTGCACTTTCAGTCGCGTTTTTTGACATTTTACTGTTAGAAATATAACTATTCTAAATTTGTAGCTGATAGACAATTTTCCAATCTTTCATAATCTGCAATGCGTTGGTTGCTATCACTTTTAGTTTAAGAGATATTAATTATTGAAAATCGTCGAAAAAAAGTATCAAGCACCCCCCCTTGGCAATTTTTTCTTAAGGATGAAAATTTCATCTCTCAGATTTCCGTTTTAACTAGCCTATCTTATAGAAAATTGTCCGTAGATTAAAACCCCGCGATCAGATCTTAATTATCTCTTTTAGTTTACGAGATATTCGCAATTGAATAAAATGCGCAAAAATTGCAAAATGTCACTTTTTTGCACTTTCAGTCGCGTTTTTTGACATTTTACTGTTAGAAATATAGTTATTTTATATTTCTATCTGATAGACAATTTTCCAATCTTTCATAATCTGCAATGCGTTGGTTGCTATCGCTTTTAGTTTAAGAGATATTAATTATTGAAAATCGTCGAAAAAAAGTATCAAGCACCCCCCCTTGGCAATTTTTTCTTAAGGATGAAAATTTCATTTCTCAGATTTCCGTTTTAACTAGTCTATCTTATAGAAAATAGTCCGTAGATTTAAACCCCGCGATCAGATCTTAATTATCTCTTCTAGTTTACGAGATATTCGCAATTGAATAAAATGCGCAAAAATTGCAAAATGTCACTTTTTAGCACTTTCAATCGCGTTTTTTGACATTTTACTGTTAGAAATATAGTTATTTTATATTTCTATCTGATAGACAATTTTCCAATCTTTCATAATCAGCAATGCGTTGGTTGCTATCGCTTTTAGTTTAAAAGATATTAATTATTGAAAATCGTCGAAAAAAAGTATCAAGCACCCCCACTTTGCAATTTTTTCTTAAGGATGAAAATTTCATCTCTCAGATTTCCGTTTTAGCTATCCTATCAGATAGAGAATAGTCCGTAGATTAAAACCCCGCAATCAGATCTTAATTATCTCTTCTAGTTTACGAGATATTCGCAATTGAATAAAATGCGCAAAAATTGCAAAATGTCACTTTTTAGCACTTTCAGTCGCGTTTTTTGACCTTTTACTGTTGGAAATATAATTATTTTATATTTTTATCTGATAGAGAATTTTCCAATCTTTCATAATCTGCAATGCGTTGGTTGCTATCGCTTTTAGTTTAAAAGATATTAATTATTGAAAATCGTCGAAAAAAAGTATCAAGCACCCCCCTTGGCAATTTTTTCTTAAAGATGAAAATTTCATCTCTCAGATTTCCGTTTTAACTAGCCTATCTTATAGAAAATAGTCCATAGATTAAATCCCCGTGACCAGATCTTAATTATCTCTTTTAGTTTACGAGATATTCGCAATTGAATAAAATGCGCAAAAATTGCAAAATGTCACTTTTTAGCACTTTCAGTTGCATTTTTTGATATTTTACTGTTAGAAATATATTTAACTAGGTAATTTTATAGAATATTTTACGTAGATTAAGAATTTGAAGAATTGGATATGTCGGACAATCTTTCAACTTAAGAAATTAAAATTTCACAAATCTATTTTTATTTATTCGTTAGTTTTAATAATCTTAATTGCGAGACTGCTATCTGAATCATTCAGAGATTGCATCAGCATGAACTAAAAATCATAAAATAGAATTGTATTCTGGATTTCTTGATTGATATTTATCAGCAAACCTTGGCGTTTGACACGAGTATTGTATTTGTTTTGAACACAATTTACACTTTCTTATCGAATTCCCGTGTGCCGTTGTCTCTATCCTCTCACGCCGCACATTTTCACGCACGTCACGGTGTAAACATTTTTTTATCGCATGTGTCCCGCGCGCTGTCTCCTCACGCCGCATCAATTTGCTGCCTGCACCATACTCGTATTCTAGTTTCGTTTTGATTGCCGGAGACATGCCTATTGCAATTCGCGCACATGGTCACGTGCCATCGACGCGTCGGACTTGCGCATCTATTGCATTTACTTATGGGGTTCATACAGCAGGCACATAGTTTTATTGTGAACTATCGCATCGTTGCTTGCGCTATCCATGGATTGCAGCCAATTTTGGGTCGGTGTCTTGTTGATGCAGACGTATTTCTCGCGACTCGTATCGTTTCTTCGGACTTCTGTTTTCTAAATTTGCATTAAACTCGATTAGCAATTTGCTCGTTTATTGTCCTTAAGTGCTGGTTAAGTTTATATTGCAACTCAAAAGGTGTAGAATGGCTTGGTGAATCGGATGCATATCGACCCCATGTTGATTTATTCATCATTAGGATGACCCATCGTGCTGTTGTAAGTAACTTTTAACTAAACAGCACAGATTGTTTATTTTTCTCCGTTATGTAATTATAATATTACTAAATCGTATGAAATATTATTGTTAACTTGTGTTTTCTTTTTTAATTACAGTATTTACCGTGCCTTCGAGTCCCATGAATTCTGCATTGGTAAGTTTATATTTCAATTATATTTTACATACAAATTTTTGCATTGAACACTAGTTTGTACTAATATACTTATTTATTGCATTCTGTCGCGTATTACAAATATAAAAGATAGTTGCGTGCCTTGCTGATACAACAGAATTTACTGTTTAGTCTTCCTTTCGCGAATAAAGGTACAAGAGATGTACTTGAAAATGCAACTCTGCGGAATTTCACACTAACCGTCTTTAAATGCCCGCTAAAGTTCTTTTTTTAATTTTTCAAAACTTCGGGTGGAAAACGGGCCATATCTCGGGAACGCTTTGTGATGATTTAGCTTTTTCTTCATTTTAGGATAGGGCAAGATTGCATTTTTAAGATACACCCCTGAAACACCGCGAAATTCAATCGAAACTGCCTCCATATGGCCTCCAAAGTTAATCGGTTTCTTGGATTTTTCAAAACACCCGGTGGAAAACAGGCCATATCTCGCGAACCCTTCGTGATATTTTAGTTTTTTCTTGACTTTATGATAGAACAAGAGTGCATTTTTAAGATGCAACCCTGAAACCTCCCGAAATTTGGTGGTAACTGCCTCAAAATAGACCCAAAAGTTAGGTATTTTCTTGCAATTTTCAAAACACGTGGTGGAAAACTGGTCATATCTCGGGAACCCTTTGTGATAATTTAGTTTTTTCTTCATTTTATGGTAGGAAAAGAGTGCCTGTTTAAGATGCCACCCTGAAACCCCGCGAAATTCGGTTGTAACTGCCTTAAAATGGCCCCCAAATTTAGGCATTTTCTTGCAATTTTCAAAACACGCGGTGGAAAACTGGTCATATCTCGGGAACCCTTTGCGATAATTTAGTTTTTTCTTCGTTTTATGGTAGAGAAAGAGTGCATGTTTAAGACGCACCCCTAAATCTCTGCGAAATTCGGTCGGAACTGCCTCAAAATGGACCCCAAAGTTAGGCATTTTCTTGTAATTTTCAAAACACGCTGTGGAAAACTGGCCATATCTCGGGAACCCTTTGCGATAATTTAGTTTTTTCTTCGTTTTATGGCAGAGAAAGAGTGCATGTTTAAGATGCACCCCTAAATCTCTGCGAAATTCGGTCGGAACTGCCTCAAAATAGCCCCCAAAGTTTGGCATTATCTTGTAATTTTCAAAACACGCGGTGGAAAACTGGCCATATCTCGGGAACCCTTTGCGATAATTTAGTTTTTTCTTCGTTTTATGGCAGAGAAAGAGTGCATGTTTAAGATGCACCCCTAAATCTCTGCGAAATTCGGTCGGAACTGCCTCAAAATGGCCCCCAAAGTTTGGCATTTTCTTGTAATTTTCAAAACACGCGGTGGAAAACTGGCCATATCTCGGGAACCCTTTGCGATAATTTAGTTTTTTCTTCGTTTTATGGTAGAGAAAGACTGCATGTTTAAGATGCACCCCTAAATCTCTGCGAAATTCGGCCGAAATTCGGCAGAACTGCCTCAAACTGGCCCCCAATGTTAGACGTTTTCTTGCATTTTTCAAAACACACGGTGGAAAACAGGCCGTGCCCATTTTCGCCTCGTGGCAAAACATGTCTAATTCTCACAAACCGTGTAATCTAAAATCACGTTTATTTTATCAATAAATATATTTAATTTATGTATGTTTCATTTTCAGCAATATTTTCCAGTGGTTGGATGAAGCATTGGCTAATCTTGAAATATCCAAGTTTATCAATAAGGACCAACTAGAGAGGTTCCGTAGTTCTGGTGGAGTGCGTTTTGAGGATGATGTTTTGATTACTGAAGATGGATGTGTCAACTGGACTAAAGTTCCAAGAAGGTAAGTTATATTTTGGAAATCATATTTTATATTTTACTAATCTGATATTTATTCTGGTTTATAGTGTCCAAGAAATTGAAGATTGGATAGCCGACGTTGATGATGATTTCAAATACGATTGAATGAATTTACAACATTTTGAAGCTGTTATTGATATAATTTTTGTTTACGCGGTGGAAAACTGGCCATATCTCGGGAACCCTTTGCAATAATTAAGTTTTTTCTTCATTTTATGGTAGAGAAAGAGTGCATGTTTAAGATGCACCCCTAAATCTCTGCGAAATTCGGTCGGAACTGCCTCAAAATGGCCCCCAAAATTAGCATTTTCTTGCAATTTTCAAAACACGCGGTGGAAAACTGGCCATATCTCGGGAACCCTTTGCAATAATTAAGTTTTTTCTTCATTTTATGGTAGAGAAAGAGTGCATGTTTAAGATGCACCCCTAAATCTCTGCGAAATTCGGTCGGAACTGCCTCAAAATGGCCCCCAAAATTAGGCATTTTCTTGCAATTTTCAAAACACGCGGTGGAAAACTGGCCATATCTCGGGAACCCTTTGCAATAATTAAGTTTTTTCTTCATTTTATGGTAGAGAAAGAGTGCATCTTTAAGATGCACCCCTAAATCCCTGCGAAATTCAGTCGGAACTGCCTCAAAATGGCCCCCAAAGTTAGGCATTTTCTTGCAATTTTCAAAACACGCGGTGGAAAACTGGCCATATCTCGGGAACCCTTTGCGATAATTTAGTTTTTTCTTCATTTTATGGTAGAGAAAGAGTGCATCTTTAAGATGCACCCCAAAATCTCTGCGAAATTCGGCCGGAACTGCCTCAAAATGGCCCCCAAAGTTAGGCATTTTCTTGCAATTATGAAAACACGCGGTGGAAAACTGGCCATATCTCGGGAACCCTTTGCGATAATTTAGTTTTTTCTTCATTTTATGGTAGAGAAAGAGTGCATCTTTAAGATGCACCCCAAAATCTCTGCGAAATTCGGCCGGAACTGCCTCAAAATGGCCCCCAAAGTTAGGCATTTTCTTGCAATTATGAAAACACGCGGTGGAAAACTGGCCATATCTCGGGAACCCTTTGCGATAATTTAGTTTTTTCTTCATTTTATGGTAGAGAAAGAGTGCATGTTTAAGATGCACCCCTGAATCCCTGCGAAATTCAGTCGGAACTGCCTCAAAATGGCCCCCAAAGTTAGGCATTTTCTTGTAATTTTCAAAACACGCGGTGGAAAACTGGCCATATCCGGGAACCTTTGCGATAATTTAGTTTTTCTTTCATACGGCGGCAGAGAAAGTGCATGTTTAAGATGCACCCTCAAATCTCTGCGAAATCTTCGGCCGGAACTGCCTCAAAATAGCCCCCAAAGTTTGCATTAATCTTGTAATTTTCAAAACACGCGTGGAAACTGGCCATATCTCGAACCCTTGCGATAATTTAGTTTTTCGTTTTATGGCAGAGAAAAGAGTGCATGTTTAAGATGCACCCTAAATCTCTGCGAAATTCGGTCGAAACTGCCTCAAAATGGCCCCTAAAGTTTGGCATTTTTCTTGTAATTCTCTTCTAAACACGCGGTGGAAAACTGGCCATATCTCGGGAACCCTTTGCGTGATAATTTTAGTTTTTTCTTCTGCTCTTTTGCGGTGGTGAGAAAAAGACTGCATGCTTGGCGATGCACCCCAAATCTCTGCGAAATTGGCTCGAAATTCGGCAGAACTGCCTCAAACTGGCCCCCAAATGTTAGACGTTTCTTGCATTTTTCAAAACACGGTGGAAAACAGGCCGCCCATTTTCGCCTCGTGGCAAAACATGTCTAATTCTCTACAAACCGTGTAATCTAAAATCACGTTTATTTTATCAATAAATATATTTAATTTATGTAGCGTTTCGGCTTTTCAGCAATATTTTCCAGTGGTTGATGTGAAGCATTGGCTAATCTGAAATATCCAAGTTTATCAATACACCAACTAGAGACCTGTAGTTCCCAGGAGTGCGTTTTGAAGATGATGTTTTGATTACTGAAGATGGATGTGTCAACTGGACTGAAGTTCCAAGAAGGTATGTTATATTTTGGAAATAATATTTTATATTTTACTCATCTGTTATTCATTCTGGTTTATAGTGTCCAAGAAATTGAAGATTGGATTGCCGGCGCTGATGACGATTCCAAATACGATTGAATGAATTTACAACATTTTGAAGCTGCTATTGATATCATTTTTGTTTATTTTGTTAAAAATTATGAAAAGTACATTATACAATTGCATATTATTATCCTGTTTTCTTGCTTGTATTGTTAAAAATGCTGTATATATTGAGAAATTGAGTTTGAATAAAGTTCTACTTTTGTATTTCTAATTATAAATTGTTATCGTTTTATTTGTTCCAAACGGAGAACATAGCTCGCAACATCGTTACTCCTTTAATTAATTCATAAATCCCTTAAACTTAAATGGAAATGCCACTGCTAGATATTAGAAATAGTTCAAAATCAATTTTATATTGTATCAATATTAATTTAAAAACGGTATCACTTGTGTCATCTATCCACAAGTAACTAAACTACGTCGCTATTCAAGAGATTTAGCCTACTGCACTTTCTGCGATCCTAATATTCAAAAGAATTTTGTTACCGATTTCAATGACAAATGACAAAATTTGTCGAGAAATTTGCTGAAAGGATGCCATCTTCTTCAGAATTCTTCAAGGATCAAGAATATGTAGTTCTTTTTTTCCTAGCCCTTTTAGTTGTCGAGATAATTACCATTTAATCTTCATAAATTAGTCTATTCCGACGGGATACACGTGTTTTATTATAATTGCATATAGGGCCTAAACGGTCCACTCTAGAAGAAAATGGTACTTAAATAATCGATGTAGAATTAAATTATCTTTTAGAATCAAAAAACAGAATTTCAAAATTCCAACTTTTAATTTTGACATAAAAAGAGAAATCTTTTGCCTTTTTATGGTAATTATCTCGACAACTAAAAGGGCTAGAATAAAAATAACCACATATTCTTGATCCTTAAAGAATTCTAGACAAGATGGCATATTTATCTCAAAACGAAGAAATGGGCACAAAAAATTTTTAAAGAAAAGATTTTGTTATAAAAAAGGCAAAAGATTTCTCTTTTTTATGTTGAAAATTAAAAATTGGAATTTTGAAATTCTGTTTTCGGATTATGATTCATATTTTAATTCTACATCGATTATTTTAGTAACTTTTTTTGTTAGTACTAATCGTTTAGGCCCTATTTGCAATTTTAATGAAAACAACATTCGACATAAAAAAGAAAAATGTTTTGCCTTTTTTATGATGAAATCTTTTTTCACCAAATACAGCTTCTGTAATAATTGGAATTTTTCAATTCTGCTTTAGGAATCTGAAAGTAGATTAAATTCTAAATCGGAAACTAGTAACACACTTATTGATTAAGGCCCTATTGGCATGTAAAAAACAATTTTTTAATTAAAATTGCAAATAAGGCCTAAATGGTAAATGATAAGAAAATAATTACATTAAATAGTCGATGTAGAATCCGAAAACAGAATTTAAAAATTCCAATTATACAGAAGCTGCACTTGCTGAAAAACATTTTTAAACATTAATTTTACCCGCCCTTGATGTGGCACCAAACCTCTATCAGCCTCCTTACACTTTCTGCGATCCGAATACCAAAACCTGAGTTTCGACTGTTTCGAGTCCAAATTTTGTGTCATTTTGCCTCTCAGAGTCGACAAAATAAGGATTGAATATTAGGATCGCAGAAAGCTGAGGAGGCTGGATAAAGTCTTTGGCGGAAACTAGTAAATGTGCCGCCCTGGTGGCGACGGACCGAAGCTCAAAAATTTTCGGTTGTTGTAGTTTCTAATTGATAGATGGCACTAGTACGCACTTTTCAAAATAAATGTTTTAAGGGATCGTTAAATATGTGATCGGGTAGAAATAACAGAAATAATTTTAATTAGAAAAACTTTAAAATATACTTTATTAAAGAAAACAGACAAGCATACATTTTGGGAGTCAATTTGTGTAACAATCACAAAAGTTATTTAAGATAAGGAAATTTAATAATTACAATCTGATGCAAGAATGGTCCTTCTACGATGTTAGAGTCAGGTGCGAAATCCCTAAAACAAGCAAAAATTAATCCTTTGAACATAAAAATGCAATTTTGGGGGTCAATTTGTGAGATAATCACAAGAGTTAATTATGAAAATGATAAAGAAATTAAATACTTACAATCTGAGGCAAAAATGGTCCTTCTACGATGTCAGATTCAGGTGCAAAATCCCTAAAACCATTAAAAAAATAGTTTTTTGAACATAAATATGCAATTTTGGGGGTGAATTTAAGACATAATTATAGAAGTTATTTAGGCAATGATAAAGAAATTAAATACTTACAATCTGATGCAAGAATGGTCCTTCTACGATGTCAGACTCAGGTGCAAAATCCCTAAAACAAGCAAAAAATAGTCCTTAAAAATAGTCCAAAAAATCCGAGATATGGCCAGTTTTCCACCGCGTGTTTTGAAAATTACAAGAAAATGCCTAACTTTGGGGGCCATTTTGAGGCAGTTCCGACTGAATTTCGCAGGGATTCAGGGGTGCATCTTAAACATGCACTCTTTCTCTACCATAAAATGAAGAAAAACCAACACGCAAAGGGTTCCCGGGAGATATGGCCAAGCCTTTCCAATCATGCGTTTTCACTGCAAGAAAATGCCTAACTTTTGTGGGCCATTTTTGAGGCAGTTCCGCCGAATTTCGCAGAGATTTTGGGGTGCATCTTAAACATGCACTCTTTCTCTACCATAAAATGAAGAAAAAACTAAATTATCGCAAAGGGTTCCCGAGATATGGCCAGTTTTCCACCGCGTGTTTTCATAATTGCAAGAAAATGCCTAACTTTAAAGGCCATTTTGAGGCAGTTCCGCCGAATTTCGCAGAGATTTTGGGGTGCATCTTAAAGATGCACTCTTTCTCTACCATAAATGAAGAAAAACTAAATTATCGCAAAGGGTTCCTGAGATATGGCCAGTTTTCCACTTCAAGTGTTTTCATAATTGCAAGAAGAAAATGCCTAACTTTGGGGCCATTTTGAGGCAGTTCCGGGCCGAATTTCTTTGCAGAGATTTTGGGGGTGAGATCTTAAAGATGCACCTTTTCTCTACCATAAAATGAAGAAAAACTCCTAAATTATCGCAAAGGGTTCCTGAGATAAGGCCAGTTTTCCACCGGGTGTGTTTTCATAATTAAAAGAAAATGCCTAACTTTGGGGCCATTTTGAGGCAGTTCCGGGCTGAATTTCGTAGATTTCGGGGTGCATCTTAAAGATGCACTCTTCTCTACTACATAAAATGAAGAAAACTAAATTATCGCAAAGGGTTCCTGAGATATGGCCAGTTTTCCACCGCGTGTTTTGATAATTGCAAAGAAAATGCCTAACTTTTGGGGCTATTTTGAGGCAGTTCCGACTGAATTTCGCAGGATATTTAGGGTGCATCTTAAAGATGCACTCTCTACCATTAAAATGAAGAAAAACTAAATTATCGCAAAGGGTTCCTGAGGATATGGCCAGTTTCCACCGCAAGTGTGTTTTGAAAATTGCAAGAAAATGTCTAACTTGGGGCCATTTGAGGCAGTTCCGCGACTGAATTTCGTAGGATTTAGGGGTGAGCATCTTAAAGAGAATCTCTTTCTCTACCATAAAAATGAAGAAAAAACTTACTCTGCAAAAGGGTTCCCAGATAGCCAGTTTTCCACCGCGTGTTTTGAAAATTGCAAGAAAAATCGCCTAATTTTAAAGGCCATTTTGAGGCAGTTCCGGACCGAATTTCGCAGATTTAGGGGTGCAGCATCTTAAACATGCACTCTTTCTCTACCATAAATGAAGAAAAACTTACTATTGCAAAGGGTTCCCTGAGATATGGCCAGTTTTTCCACCGTGTGTTTTAAAATGCAAGAAAAATGCGCTACTCTTTGGGGCCATTTTTGAGCAGTTCCGACCGTGAATTCCCCGTAGAGATTTGTTTAGGGCATCTTAAACATGCACTCTTCTACCATAAAATGAAGTCTTAATGGTTGCAAAGGGTTCCCGAGATATGGCCAGTTTTCCACCGCGTGTTTTGAAAATCAAAAAGAAAAATGCTAATTTTGGGGGCCATTTTGAGGCAGTTCCGACCGAATTTTCAGAGATTTAGGTGCATCTTAAACATGCACTCTTTCTACCATAAAAAGAAGAAAACTTAATTATTGTGCAAAGGGTTCCGAGATATGGCCAGTTTTCACCGCGTGTTTTGAAATTGCAAGAAAATGCTAATTTTGGGGCCATTTCGAGGCAGTTCCGACCGCCGAATTGCAGAGATTTAGGGGTACCTTAAACATGCACTCTCTACCATAAAATGAAGAAAAACTTAATTATTGCAAAGGGTTCCTGAGATATGGCCAGTTTTCTCCACCGCGTTTTGAAAATTGCAAGAAAATGCTAATTTTGGGGCCATTTTGAGGCAGTTCCGACCGAATTTCGTAGATTTAGTGCATCTTAAACATGCACCTTCTCTCACCATAAAATGAAGAAAACTTAATTATTGCAAAGGGTTCCGAGATATGGCCAGTTTCCACCGCGTAAGTCTTTAGAAATTGCAAGAAAAATGCTAATTTTGGGGGCTATTTTGAGGCAGCGTTCCGACCGAATTTCAGAGATTTAGGGGTGCACTTAAACATGCACTCTTTCTCTACCATAAACAGAAGAAAAACTTAATTATTGCAAAGGGTTCCTGAGATATGCCGCTTCTCCACTGCGTAAGTTTTGAAAATTGCAAGAAAATGCTAATTTAAATATTTGAGGCAGTTCCGACCGAAATTCTGCAGAGATTTAGTGCATCTTAAACATGCACTCTTTCTTACCATAAAATGAAGAAAAACTTAATTATTGCAAAGGGTTCCCGAGATATGGCCAGTTTTCCACTGCGTGTTTTGAAAATTGCAAGAAAAAATGCTAATTTTAAAGGCCATTTTGAGGCAGTTCCGACCGAATTTCGCAGAGATTTAGGTGCATTCAAACATGCACTCTCTACCATAAAATGAAGAAAAAACTTAATTATTGCAAAGGGTTCCTGAGATATGGCCAGTTTTCCACTGCGTGTTTTGAAAATTGCAAGAAAATGCTAATTTTGGGGCTTACTTTGAGGCAAAGTTCCGACCGAATTTCGCAGAGATTTAGGGTGCATCTTAAACATGCACTTCCTTTCTCTACCATAAAAATGAAGAAAAACTTAATTATTGCAAAGGGTTCCTGAGATAAGGGCTACCAGTTTTCCACCGCGTGTTTTGAAAATTGAAAGAAAATGCTAATTTTGGGGCCATTTGAGGCAGCGTTCCGACCGAATTTCGTAGAGATTTAGGGGTGACCTTAAACATGCACTCTTTCTCTACCATAAAATGAAGAAAAACTTAATTATTGCAAAGGGTTCCTGAGATACGGCTACAGTTTTCACCGCGTGTTTTGAAAATTGCAAAGAAAATGCTAATTTTAAAGGCCATTTGAGGCAAAGTTCCGACCGAATTTCGTAGAGATTTAGGTGCATCTAAACATGCACTCTCTACCATAAAATGAAGAAAAAACTTACTCATTGCAAAGGGTTCCGAGATATGTGTGGCCAGTTTTCCACCGCGTGTTTTGAAAATTGCAAGAAAAATGCTAATTTTGGGGCCATTTTGAGGCAGTTCCGACCGACTGCAGAGATTTAGGGGTGCATCTTAAACATGCACTCTTTTCTACCATAAAAATGAAGAAAAAACTTACCATTGCAAAGGGTTCCTGAGATATGGCCAGTTTTCCACTGCGTGTTTTGAAAATTGCAAGAAAATGCTAATTTTGGGGCCATTTTGAGGCAAAGTTCCGACCGAATTTCAGAGATTTAGGGGTGCATCTTAAACATGCACTCTCTACCATAAAATGAAGAAAAAACTTAATTATTGCAAAGGGTTCCCGAGATAGCGGCCAGTTTCCACCGTGTTTTGAAAATTGCAAGAAAATGCTAATCAATTTTGGGGCCATTTTGAGGCAGTTCCGACCGAATTTCGCAGAGATTTAGGGGTGCATCTAAACATGCACTCTTTCTCTCAAATTCTCATAAAATGAGAAGAAAAACTTAATTATTGCAAAGGGTTCCCGAGATAAGGGTTGGCCAGTTTTCACCGCGTGTTTTGAAAAATTGCAAGAAAAATGCTAATTTTAGCCATTTGAGGCAGTTCCGACCGAATTTCGCAGAGATTTAGGTGCATCTTAAACATGCACTCTCTACCATAAAATGAAGAAAAAACTTAATTATTGCAAAGGGTTCCCGAGATATGGCCAGTTTTCCACCGCGTGTTTTGAAAATTGCAAGAAAATGCTAATTTTGGGGGCCATTTTGAGGCAGTTCCGACCGAATTTCGCAGAGATTTAGGGGTGCATCTTTTAACATGCACTCTTTTCAAATTACATAAAATGAAGAAAACTTAATTATTGCAAAGGGTTCCTCGAGATATGGCCAGTTTTCCACCGCGTTTAAATTGCAAAGAAAATGTGCTAATTTTGGGGGCCATTTTGAGGCAGTTCCGACCGAATTTCGCAGAGATTTAGGGGTGCATCTTAAACATGCACTCTTTCTCTACCATAAAATGAAGAAAAAACTTAATTATTGCAAAGGGTTCCCGAGATATGACCAGTTTTCCACAGTGTGTTTTGAAAATTGCAAGAAAAGGGCAAACTTTGGGGGCTATTTTGAGGCTGTCACAACCGAATTTCTCGGGGGTTCAGAAGTGCATTATAAACATGCGCTCTTGCACTATCAGAAAATAAAGAGAAAACAAAAAATTTTGTTCTGTGACGTATCCGTAGAGCACGCAACTACAACAAAGACAAACATTTTGCTACACGCAAGTGGAACAAGATAAAAAAACAACATACATGCACACAAATATTAGACGCATGTATTGTAGAAAAACTATAATTGATTGTTAAACTTACCCATGCAGAGGCTAGATGGCTACAAGGCACGGCAAGTGCTGTAATGAAAAGAAAACAATTTAATACATTTCACGTGATATAATATTACATTGATGCATCGGAAAAATACGTTCCAATACAACACGTTTTGTGTGCAACAATGTTTAAATAGATTTTTACTTAACCAACTGCAAAAGATTCTCAAAATTAAGGAAAACGCCATAGGGTGACCCGGTACAAAATTGAATTCAAATCCAACGTAGTTTAATCCAAGAATGCGCGTATTAATGAACAACAACAACGAACAACTCCGCAATCCGCCGTGTTAGAAGAGTACCGCGGCCATTTTTGTGACTATATGCACATTAAACACGATAAAAATAAACTAGCATTTATGAACACTACACGCGCAAATATTTATTAACACATTATAACACACTATACACGCAAATTATAATTAAACAGTCAATTGTTGATTGAGTGTAATGCAAATTTAGATAATAAAAGATACGAACCGCGAGAAACACGTCTCGATCAACAAGCAACCGGCACGAAACTAGCTGCATTCCAACGATAGCGCAAGCCGTAGCTGAGCCAGCAACGACGCGACAGTATATGATAAGAAAGCAAGAGGTGCGCCAAACCGGCGCGTCAATTTGCGCAAATTGCACGATACATGCGATCAAAACTAAACTAGAATTTGCTGCATGCAGCAAGTGCAAGTTGATGCGGCGTGAAGAAACGATGCGCGAGACACATGCGCTGTGTATCGCATGTTTTTATTGTTTACACCGCATCGCAGCACCTACAATTCCAAACGCAACGAGACCTACTGCGTATACACACAACTATCAATATAACTCGCGTTACGGAATTTTCTCGCGATAATAATTAATACAGGGAGATACAGGAATAAATTGTGCATCTGGGGAAATTATTTCAAACCTATTGTGATACCGCGTTCGCGTGTTATATCAAAAAACCACAATTCCAAGCGCAACGAGTACTACTGCGTATACACATAACTTTGGCTATAACTCGCGTTACGGAATTTTCTCGCAATAATAATTATACAGGAGATACAGGAAATAAATTCTGCATCTGGGAAATTATTTCAAAACCTTATTTTGATACCGCGTCTGCGTGTTATATCACAAAACCACAATTCCAAGCGCAACGAAAGTACTACTGCGTATACATAACTTCTTTGGCTATAACTCGCGTTACGGAATTTTCGCACAATAATTTATACAGGGAGATACAGGAATAAATTCTGCATCTGGGGAAATGACAACTTATTTGATACTGGCAATTGCGTGTTATATCAAAAAAACCACAATTCCAAGCGCAACGAGTACTACTGCGTATACACATAACTTTGGCTATAACTCGCGTTACGGAATTTTCTCGCAATAATAATTTATACAGGGAGATACAGGAATAAATTCTGCATCTGGGGAAATTATTTCAAACCTATTTTGATACCGCGTTCGCGTGTTATATCAAAAAAACCACAATTCCAAGCGCAACGAGTACTACTGCGTATACACATAACTTTGGCTATAACTCGCGTTACGGAATTTTCTCGCAATACACTTATACAGGGAGATACAGGAATAAATTCTGCATCTGGGGAAAATTATTTCAAACCTATTTTGATACCGTTCGCGTGTTATATATCAAAACCACAATCAGCGCAATGAGTACTACTGCGTATACACATAACTTTGGCTATAACTCGCGTTACGGAATTTTCTCGCAATAATAATTTATACAGGGAGATACAGGAATAAATTCTGCATCTGGGGAAATTATTTCAAACCTATTTTGATACCGCGTTCGCGTGTTATATCAAAAAAACCACAATTCCAAGCGCAACGAGTACTACTGCGTATACACATAACTTTGGCTATAACTCGCGTTACGGAATTTTCTCGCAATAATAATTTATACAGGGAGATACAGGAATAAATTCTGCATCTGGGGAAATTATTTCAAACCTATTTTGATACCGCGTTCGCGTGTTATATCACAAAAACCACAATTCCTACCGCAACAAGTACTAGTGCCTATACACACAACTTTCAATTTATCTCGCGTTACGTGGTAAATAGAAACTTGTTTATAAACAGCCAAATGTAAATTTAACCGAAAAATATAATTGAATTATAAACTTACCAGGATACAGCTTATCGGACAGCCGAGTACAACGAGTGCTGTAACTAAACGAAAACATAAATTAAAATAACAATATTGCATACAATTGAATTATGTTATAATTAACAATCAACACAAAATAAACAATATGTGCTGTGCTGTTTCGTTAAAAGATACTTACACGAGTCTGATGGATCTTTCTTAATGATGAGAATCAACATGGGGGCGATATATATCCGATTAATTTAGCAACCGACACCGAACACAACGCCGAGTGAAGAATGAAGAATGTTATCAAATCCACTAACCGGCATTTCCGAACATTAAACAAATTACTATAGTCGCAAAGTACAAATAAATAGTCGATTGATCTTCGAGTACACAAAGTTAGAAACTTGAAGTCCGAATAAACACGATAAAAGTCTCTCAAAACACGACTGGATTAACCAACGATCGGCACGAAACTGGCTGCACTTCACCGATTGTGCATGCTGAAACTGCGTAAACAACGACGCGACAGTATAAGATAAGAAAGCAAGAGGCGCGCAAGGCCGGCGCGTCGATAGCACACGACGCGAATTGCAATAGACAAGAGATACAAGCGATCAAAACCAAATTAGACTTACGCTGCATGCTAGCAAGTAGATGCGGCGCGAGGAGACAGCGCGCGGAACACCTGCGATAAAAAAGTTGTTTATATCGAATCGCTGATAACAGCATTGTGTACAAAACTATTCTCTTGGCCACGTTTGCCGATAAATATAAAAATAAACCGTACAACTCGATTTTATGATTTTTAGTGCATCCTAGTGCCATCTATGAATGCTACAAATAGTAGTACCGCAATTTAAACAAATAATAAATAAAAATAAACAAAAATTCACCACAATCTACAACCATCAGTTTGATTTGTTTAATTTTGCACATAATCCGAATCAAATCGAACAAAATCACTTGGTAAAGGACATTAATCATAACAATAAATTGGTACTTGTATATCCACAAGCTTAAATCACAAAATAGTCTGAAAATGGGCGTCGAGAGAAAAAAAAACATCATGAATGATCGTGAATCGCAAATTGAGCAAAATGTAATCACATCAAAACAAATCCCGTTGAAAACTCTCCTCCAACATGAACCTGATATTTTCTCCCAAATTATCTAGGAAACAGTCCAATTGTTGTAATTAGCAACTTGGTACATCCATAAGAACATTGTAATTTGTCTCTATCAATATTCGTAATATGATCATATCAACAATTCGCCAAATATCATCGTCTAGACTTCTAGCACGTCTAGAAAATTCGTAATTTACGCACAACCGCACGCTCACACCACAGACACACACCTAAGTGGTATTTTTACACATGCACGCACATCGACTTGTCATTTAATTCATAGCTAACCATGGTAAATGAGTAATTAATTAATAATCCGCTGGCAAACACAAACACTCACAAAGTGCTCATCAAAACAATATAAATAAATCAGATTGGACTAAATAATCTTCTATCTACAAAGCCAAACATTGATTTCATCATTGTTGACTTCATAAAACATTTTAAAACAATTTTGACGCAAAAAACTTTGGCAATAACCTCGCTCGGACGACATGGAAACACAAAAACAATTTTTGAAAACATTTTCTTGTCTTTTTCTGGAAATAACCGTTTTCATAATCCGTGTCCCCTCTCATTGTAGAAAAATTTACCTACTTACGTCTACGAATGTAAATATATTTAGGTTAGGTTGGTTTCGGTTTCGCGCGACACTCAGTGCTAATCTTTACTGGCCTTAGTGCCGCGGCGCTTCGCCAATCGCTTGTGATGGCTCTGCGCGAGCGAATTCACAATCGACACGACAAAGTATACAATCATGGCAAAGACAAACTTCTCAAAAATGGCGCCCAATAACGATCCTTTCTCAGCGGTGTGCGCAGAAGCACCACCAGTGGATGACCCAGCGTGCAATTTGCTCTTCTGGTCGTCGAGGAAGTTCTTGAAGGGTGTTTGCAACTTGCTGCCGACGACAGGTATCGACGTGAGCCACGAGAGAGCGGTGGCGATGAGTGTCTCGTCAAAGGCGACAATCACGAAGAGTTTCTGGATGTGCATCTTGATAATGGCTTTGCCAATGAGCGTAGCGCCGAAAAACGTCCAGAATGGCACCAGGAAATGTCCACAGGTTATTCCAGCAAGGTCAAAGAGTGGATTAGGGATCTAAAATATAAAAAATTATTATTTTTTTGTTTTTGTTTGTGGAAGTTAAAATGGCGGCGGAACTTACGCTTGCGCATGCTAAAATACCGAAAAATCCAACTCTCTGCACCACGTGTTCCACAAATAATTTACCACGTTCCATTAGTGTGAGATCTTCTTTTCTCTTCTTTTGTAGTTCTTCAAATTCAGCGAGATCATCGTCTTCATCATCCGGATCAATTCTTTAATATAAAAAATAAATAAATAAATTTCTAATAAAAAATTAGTAAATTTTGAGGTTATTACCCTGAAAGTCTTGCTGCTCTAGCCATAAAATATGGCGGTAACTCCCCGAGGGCTGTCCCAGCCCCCCAACACATCGCTTCCAGTCTTACTTTCGACATTATCGAGAATATCGTCACTGCTATCGACCCAGAAACATTCTCCGGACAAATAATCCTTTAAAAAATCAAAAATTTATTAAATCTACATAAAATTTTATTAAAAAATAGCTTACTCATCAGGATATGGCGGCTCCGGAAAATCCAACGATCCGCATTCATAGGCAGCCAAAGTTACTTTAGCGATGTGCGGCCCCAGGTACAAAAGAAACGTGTGCAGTCCAGTGCCCAAACCCACAGAGGATAAAATCCCCAGGCCTATCCAATAGCAGCACCAAAGAATCTTGGCGTAGAAGTGTGTGACAAACTGCTGATGAGGTCCTGCTGTTCGTACAAGCATCACTGCCCCAGCAATTAATGATATACATAATAAAACTAGTTTTTTATATTGTAATGTCCTAAAATAACATATTTTTAATTAAATTTTTAAGAAATTAAGATGGAATACGTACTGTTTGCCATATGTGTAGAGTAAAATCAATGTTTCCTTGGTGAAATACTCGATTGTACCCAATGGCCGCTTCCACAGCACGTAGGACTCACGCTCTTCACGTTCGCGTAGTTTTTGTGCCTTGCTGGTTGCCGATGTAAAGTCCGGTTTGTCTCTGGGGACGACCTGCGTGCCATTGGCTGGCGGCGGCAGCAGTGAGCCGGTGTTGCGTTTGCTCGCCATCTTGTGGCCCAGGCGTTGCAACTAAAACAATCGGAAACAATTAAATATCATCGAAATTACATTAATTACTCACAAACGAATACAACATGTGTGCTTTCGCAGCGATGGGTAGTGATACAAAGCCTTCCAACATGACAAATATGCAAATTTTACATGGAATACACGAAAAACTTATTTAAATTCAATAGATAACAAGCATAAAAACTAATAGTAATTACTTTCGTTTGAGTTTGAGTTGGAATGAAACTTATTGTGTATTGGGTACTCTAGAGATTATTAAAGTTGAATGAGACTTGTTGTAGCGCAAGATACAGTTGATCTTGAGAGAAATTACGCTCACTTAACGCGCAGTGGGAGGAATTATTGGGAATTGGAGGCTGAGATTAACTTTCAAATCGTAGTGCAACTGACTTTCACCTACAAATTGCACAAATGCACACAAAAAAATGAATATTTGAGAGGAAATCATTAAGTTTGAGTTTCTATGCGTTAGAAAGTAAGATTTATGTGCAGAGTATACAAAGAAAATGATGTCAAAGTTGATTCATGTTAATTTTTGTGATGTTTTTTGCACTTTTCAATGTTTTAACAGAAAATTAGGTTGTTTTTACTTTAAACTTGAATATCTTTTGTGTCTATGCTCCGATTTGAATAAATTTTGGACTAAATTAAAGATAAATTATTCCTGCTAACACATAATATAAGTTTCAGTAAGTTACGCATGCGCAATTTGCTGTAGTAAAGCCGCTAAGTCAAAATTTGTACCCAACTCAACCAATTTTCTTATTTTTCCCATAACTTTCCTCCCCATGCACGGATTTTAATAAATTTTACATACAACAAAAGCTAATTACATCCTCTATCACTATATTAATGTTTCATTAAGTTACGCATGCGCAATTTGCTGTAGTCAAGCCGCAAAGTCACAATTTGTAACGTACACAACAAATTTTCTTGTTTTTCGCATAACTTTTCTCCCCATTCACGGATTTTAATAAAGTATACATAAAATAAAAGCTAATTAAACACTCTATCACTATATGAATGTTTCAATAAGTTACGCATGCGCAATTAGCTGTAGTACAGTCGCAAAGTCACAACTTATACCTACTCGACAAATTTTCTTATTTTTCGCATAACTTTTCTCCCCATTCACGGATTTTAATAAATTATACAGAAAATAAAAGCTAATTAAATACTCTATCACTATATCTATGTTTAATTAAGTTACGCATGCGCAACTCACTGTAGTACAGCCGCAAAGTCAGAATTCGTACCCAACTCAACAAATTTTCGTATTTTTCGTATAACTTTGCTCCCCATGCTTGAAGTTTAATAAATTATACATAAAATAAAAGCTAATTAAACACTCTATCACCATCTGAATGTTTTATCAAGTTACGCATGCGCGATTAGCTGTAGTACAGTCGCAAAGTCACAACTTATACCTACTCGACAAATTTTCTTATTTTTCACATAACTTCCCTCTCCATGCACGGATTTTAATAAATTTCGCATAAAACAAAAGCTAATTAAACACTCTATCACCATATCAGTGTTTAATTAAGTTACGCATGCGCAATTTGCTGTAGTAAAGCCGCAAAATTACAATTTGTACAAAACTTGACAAATTTTCTTATTTTTCGCATAACTTTGCTCCCCATACTTGAATTTTAATAAATTATACGTAAAATAAAAGCTAATTAAACACTCTATCACCATATTAACATTTAATTAACCTACGCATGCGCATTCAACATGCAACATGCAATAAAAACAAATTTTAAATGAAAAAATGTCAATTTGCGATAAAATAAAGAAAAAAAATTAAATAAAAAGTCGTAGGTACAAACAAATTTAACAACACATTACCAATTTCCCATCTGTAGATAAGAAACCTATTAAAATACAATCAAAACCACAAACGCATTGTGTATTGTTCCACCCACACACGCGTGATAACAATAAACAAAGCAAATCTAAAAGAAAATCACCAAAACTAGCAATAATCAAATCACTACCAGCTAATAACACAACTAACACTACTAATACACGATTAATTGTATTAATTGCTTGTTAGATTTGTTAGTTACCAATTCGACTTTCGTCCCGGAAGTTTTCTGGCCGCGTTTGCGACATTCAACCTGCAGCTGTTGCTTGGTGAGCAGCGCCAGCTCGTCGGCAGACCGCTGCCGGCCATTGCCACCAACACCTGCAGCTTGGGCACCACCAGCACCAGGCATAACACTTCCTGCAGCCGCATCCTGTGTGGCAGGCCCATTCGAAAGCATTGCCGGCGGTGTTACGGGCTGATGGTGCGTGCGCTGCGACCGCGACTTCTTCCCGGCCATCACCAGCAAGCAGCAGAGTGTGTGTCAAAGCTTTGTTAGTACAATTACTTCACTTTCTCGGCGCGCAGCAGGTTAAAAACCCCTTAAAACAATCACATTTGAGTATGACATTCGCAGCTCACAGAAAAAAGCAGAAAAAAAGCATTTGGAATCAATCCACGTTGACAAAACAAAAACTCACCGCTTCGGGATGAACCACCCTTGAGTTAACACACTAGACAATTAAATTCCACCGCTAATTAACGTCGTTAATTAGACGTAATGATCAACTTACTTTTTTGACAGTTGATGGTTGGGAAAATTGACTTCTAGACGTGTCCGCTTGTGTAATCGCTTATCCCTGAGTGGGACTAGGTAGCTGGTTTATTGGTGCAAGGTGTGTGAGGTGTAATTTCGATGAGGATGCGATTTTCGTCGCGGAAAACGTGACGAACCAAAACACGGTCGGCGAGCGCACTGACGTGGTGGAAGTGACGCGACACGAGCAATGCGCGAATTGCATGCACGACGCTGGGGATTATGCGTGTGTGAATAGTACGTGCGACGCGTGACTTTAGTGATAGGTCAACATTTAGCAATGATATGAAACGTTTTTTTGTATCAAATATCACTTTGATATCACTGGATGTTATAGCACCTTGTCAGTGAAAGTGACATTTTTGTATCTTGTGATTGGTTCATGAAAAGTGCCGGTAGATGGCGCTAGCTGTATTGAAATTAATATTTAATGAATAAACTTTGTTTTTGCGTCTTTTATGCGGTTTAATTAAGAAATAAACATTATTTATTGTTTATTAATGTTTTATTATTAAGTTTATTTGTTTTTACAAGTTTATAAAAGGTTTTTCTGTAATAAAATGTGAATAAATAGATGGCGTGAGGTTGCACATGTTTAACTTGCGTTATTCTTCAGCAACAAATTATTTCCTTAATTTACAGCTTATTCCTTTGTTCCCAACAATAAATAAATGTTAATGTACCTAGATTTTATTCCCTTTTATATAGTTTAAGTCATAAAAGTGGCTTAAAAGTAGTTTTAAGTAACCTTTTTGCACTTTTTATAACCTCTACTCAACAGGTTCTTCTTTTACCAGTAAATTTAATTAAAAACTAATAAATATAAGTAATTAACAATAAAATATTATTTGTTTTAGCAAGAAATTAACTCTAATTTCATCTCCAAGCATTGCCACCTCTCAAAATGTACACATCTTTGAGTATTTGTCAAAGATTCAACCGTCTTATAGAAAACACAGAAGATGAAGAAATACCAGCTGTAAGAGAAGAAATTAACTACTTATTTCCCACAAATGATTCTCAAAAGACTCCTCTACAAGATAAATATGCCACATTGAAAGGCAAACGCTTTTGCTATCGACATTTTGACAAAATCTCCAAAGTTTTCTATTCAATTGCAATGAAATATCACAGACAAGCTGAAGATTGTCTATTATCAGACAATTCAGCATCAAATATCACTGAAATACACAAGTATATCATAGATTTACTCACTATACACAGACATTCCAAGATTCACAGAGTTGGAGTGAATAAATCAACCGATAATGAAGGAAATGCAAATCTTTTGATGTACAAAGACTCATTTTTAAAGTTTACTGAGTTACCTGCAAATGCCATGCAGAAATTAACATCTGGACTTGTAAATAAAAGACAGGACAATGCAATAAAGAGTTACTTTCATCTAATGCTAGATGTAATGTGGCTGCTTCTCACTGTGAAGGAAAATGTTGAAAGTAAAGTGAATGCGAATGAAATCATTGAAATAATGCAGGAAATACATTATGTTATGTACAAATGTTATGAGAAATGCAACAAGTATATTGTTCCATGTGGATGTTTGAAGGTTTTCTGGCTGAGAATGCAATTATTCTGTGAAGAATTGAGTATTTCCTTCTGGGAAGCGTTTAATTCATCAATGGTATGCTACAATGAAGAATTTTCGTTGTCTACGCTGAAATTCTTGGCGGAATTACAGTGTTATTCAAGAGATGGTACATTTATAGGCTCACACTGCCATAGGATACAAGAAAACGTTGAGTTTTTTAATACTAAATGGAGTTTATTGATGAAAAACTGTGAAAAAAGTAAATTATTCAACATTTTGAAGCACATTGAGAGTTTAATCAGTGATTTATGGCTGAGTTACGGAAAACTAGAGTTCTATTACCTCACCTGGGATTATTACAACAAAACACTTGAAGAAATCATTGAATTACGCACGTTTCCAGTGATTTTACAAGAAATAGAGCATAATAACACATTTGGCGATACAAAGCAACAAAATGGTTACTTAATCTTCTTAAGAATGCTCAGGAAACACTTATTAAGACATCCACATCATTGGAACAAGTTCAAAGGAAGAGTTTACACGAAATTTCCGCCTGTAAAGTTCCAGAAATTAAGCTCACAAGGCTTACATAATCTTGCTCTGCTGTTTTTTGCGCTGGGAGCTGTCAATTTCGATGAAACCACACAGAAATTCCTTGGACTATTAAAAGACCTTCCTGTAAACAAACAAAACACTCCAGAAACATGGAATATCTACATTTTTATGGTAAATATCCTTTAAAAACGATTATTTTACAAACGCCATTTTGTTTCCATTAATATTACATCTATTCCCACAGATGAAGCAACATTTGGACAATCAACGTGCACTCACACCAGTCCACACAGTATTCAACACATTCCTGGAAGAATCATCACGAAATCGTAATAGTTATTCACTTGTAACACTTTTCGCCAACAATCTATCATCATTCTTTCGTTGTGATGATTTAACACTCAAACAATCACTGTTAATCGGTGCGTGGTTAGAGAATTACCTCAAATTTTGCTCACAGAATGAACTTATTAGTCTTCTGAACACTTTAACAATGATTATTGATCGTACAGTTGATGCAGGAGTCTGGTACGAGTATCAAAACGTGTTTGTTACACATGTTTTATACACATTGAAACGTTTAACAATCAATCAATCAATCATCGGAACTGTTTGCGGATTGATTATTGCTCATTCTGAAGGATTGGATAATATAGTTGAACATTTTGTCAGTGAAACAGTTCCTGGTGATGTAATGATGTCGTTTTTTATGACTTTGAGGAGGAAATCCACGTTTACATCATCAGAAAAACGTGAATTTCTCACGTTAAAGGCTTGGTTCTTGTCGAGTTTCATTGGCGTTGAAAATCAATGTTTAACTAACGAAATATTACAATTAATGCGTTTACAAAACAATACAGATGAAGATCAATCACCTTTTGAAAGGATTTTGTATGCGATTGACTCAAAAACACTTTTATCTTGTTTGAAAGACTCTGAGAAGTTTTTCGCTAAGAATTTAAACTTAAATGTTTACACAAACATGGCGCTGGTCTTCCATGCACGTGGAGATGTTTTATATATAAGAACAGCAGCCACTTGTTATTTATCAACGTTTATTGATCAGTTTCTGTTGCCTGTTGAGGTTCTACGTGGTTCAAAACCAAGTTTTCTGTCATATGTTGAGAAAACATGGCATTTATTCATGATTGCGCTGTGGCAACTCAACACACAGGAAACAGATCCTTACTTGGAGCGTTTAATCAAAGATTTAACACTGAGATACATTCCACATTTCTGTAGCAAGCCAACTGTTGTTGTAAAACTTACAAATAATGAATTTTTATGTGAATTTGTGTTTAAAAAGCTTGCAAGTGAGTTTTTTGAGTTGAACAGATCAAGACACATTGGTGATGAAACAGTTTTCAAAGCCCTGAATACAATTAATACAATTTTGGATGATTTTTTGTTTGAGGGTGTGAATTGTAAGAAGAAGATGATTGTTATGTTTGCAAGGAGGTTCTTGTTGGCTTTGTATGAAGTTTACATGTTTAAGAATCACAAAGTTATTGTTATTGATATTGTTAAGAAGTTGGCAGCGTTGAGGGGTGCACATCATGAGATTCGTGCTGTTTTTACTGAGAGTTTGATGAGTGTGGTGAAGAAACACTTGGCGTTTAGTACTAATCAGTATTTTCAGATGATGTATGTGCTTGTGAAGATTGTTGGGGATGTTGTGAAAGAATTGTTAGGGAGGATTCGTGAAGAGATTTCTGTGTTGGAGTGTAACAGGGGGCAAGGGTTTGATAATCATTTGAGGCAGAGTTATGATAAGTTGGTTAAACTCTGTTGAAAGTCATGATGTTTTGTATTTTTTTTACTGCAACTTAAAAAATAAGAAGTAAAGATGAATTTTAACAAAATATGACTTGTTTTTAATAAAAGTTGGATGTGATTACTTCCTGAAGTGTTGTTATTGTGTAAAATGTTTATATATTTGAGTATTTGACACAAATTCAACTATTTTCTAACAAAAACAAGAAATGTCATTTCTAAACGAAGAAATTACCAAGTTTTTGCTTTCAACTGTACCCTAAACATCTTCCTACAATTGTTGCTAATAAATACAAGTAATTTACAATAAAATATAATTTGTTTTAGCAAGAAATTAACTCATATTTCATCTCCAAGCATTGCCATTCTTCAAAATGTACACATCTTTGAGTATTTGTCAAAGATTCGACCGACTTATTGAGAATACAGAAGATGAAGAAATACCAGCTGTAAGGGAAGAAATTAACTACTTATTTGCCACAAATGATTCTCAAAAGACTCCTCTACAAGATAAATATGCTACATTGAAAGGAAAACGCTTTTGCTATCGACATTTTGATAAAATCTCCAAGGATTTCTATTCAATTGCAATGAAATATCACAGACAAGCTGAAGATTGTCTATTATCAGACAATTCAGCATCAAATATCAATGAAATACACAAGTATATCATAGATTTACTCACTATACACAGACATTCCAAGATTCACAGAGTTGGAGTGAATAAATCAAGTGATAATGAAGGAAATGCAAATCTTTTGATGTACAAAGACTTATTTTTGAAGTTTACTGAGTTACCTGCAAATGCCATGCAGAAATTAACATCTGGGCTTGTAAATAGAAGACAGGACAATGCAATAAAGAGTTACTTTCATCTAATGCTAGATGTAATGTGGCTTTTTCTCACTGTGAAAGAAAATGTTGAAAGTAAAGTGAATCCGAATGAAATCATTGAAATAATGCAGGAAATACATTATGTTATGTACAAATGTTATGAGAAATGTAACAAGTATATTGTTCCATGTGGATGTTTGAAGGTTTTCTGGCTGAGAATGCAATTATTCTGTGAAGAATTGAGTATTTCCTTCTGGGAAGCGTTTAATTCATCAATGGTATGCTACAATGAAGAATTTTCGTTGTCTACGCTGAAATTCTTGGCGGAATTACAGTGTTATTCAAGAGATGGTACATTTATAGGCTCACACTGCCATAGGATACAAGAAAACGTTGAATTTTTTAATAATAAATGGAGTTTATTGATGAAAAACTGCGAAAAAAGCAAATTATTCAACATTTTGAAGCATATCGAGAGTTTAATCAGTGATTTGTGGTTGAGTTATGGAAAACTGGAGTTCTATTACCTCACCTGGGATTATTACAACAAAACACTTGAAGATATCGTTGATTTACGTCAGTTTTCTGTAATTTTACAAGAAATAGAACATGAAAACACATTTGGTGATGCAAATAAACAAAATGGTTACTTAATCTTTTTAAGAATGCTAAGAAAACACTTGTTAAGACATCCACATCATTGGAACAAGTTCAAAGGAAGAGTTTACACGAAGTTTCCGCCTATAAAGTTCCAAAAGTTAAGCTCACAAGGCTTACATAATCTTGCTTTGCTGTTTTTTGCGCTGGGAGCTGTCAATTTCGATGAAACCACACAGAAATTCCTTGGTCTACTGAAAGACCTTCCTATAAACAAACAAAACACCTCAGAAACATGGAATATTTATATTTTCATGGTAAATATCCTTTAAAAACGCTTATTTTACAAACGCCATTTTGTTTTCATTAAAATTATATTTATTCCCACAGATGAAGCAACATTTGGACAATCAACGTGCAATCACACAAGTCCACACAGTATTCAACACATTCCTTGAAGAATCTTCACGAAACCGCAATAGTTATTCACTTGTAACACTTTTCGTCAACAATTTATCATCATTTTTTCGTGTTGATGATTTAACACTCAAACAATCACTGTTAATCGGTGCGTGGTTAGAGAATTACCTCAAATCTTGCTCACAGAATGAACTTATCAGTCTTCTGAACACTTTAACTATGATTATTGATCGTACAGTTGATGCTGGTGTTTGGTACGAGTATCAAAACGTGTTTGTTACGCATGTTTTATACACATTGAAACGCTTAACAATGAATCAATCAATCATCGGAACTGTTTGCGGGTTAATTATTGCTCATTCTGAAGGATTGGATAATGTAGTTGAACATTTTGTAAGTGAAATAGTTCCTGGTGATGTAATGATGTCGTTTTTTATGACTTTGAGGAGGAAATCAACGTTTACATCATCAGAAAAACGTGAATTTCTCACGTTAAAGGCTTGGTTCTTGTCGAGTTTCATAGGCGTTGAAAATCAATGTTTAACTAATGAAATCTTACAATTAATGCGTATACAAAACAATACAGATGAAGATCAATCACCTTTTGAAAGAATTTTGTATGCTATTGACACAAAAACACTTTTATCTTGCTTGAAAGACAGCGAGAAGTTTTTCGCTAAGAATTTAAACTTAAATGTTTATACAAACATGGCACTGGTCTTCCATGCACGTGGAGATGTTTTATACATAAGAACAGCAGCCACTTGTTATTTATCAACGTTTATTGATCAGTTTCTGTTGCCTGTAGAGGTTCTACGAGGCTCAAAACCAAGTTTTTTGTGTTTTGTTGAGAAAACATGGCATTTATTCATGATTGCGCTGTGGCAACTCAACACACAGGAAGCAGATCCTTATCTGGAGCGTCTAATCAAAGATTTAACACTGAGATACATTCCACATTTCAGTAGCAAGCCAACAGTAGTTGTAAAAATCACAAATAATGAATTTTTATGTGAGTTTGTGTTTAAAAAGCTTGCAAGTGAGTTTTTTGAGTTAAACAGATCAAGACACATTGGTGATGAGACAGTTTTCAAAGCCCTGAATACAATTAATACTATTCTTGATGATTTTTTGTTTGAGGGTGTGAATTGTAAGAAGATGATGATTGTTATGTTTGCAAGGAGGTTCCTGTTGGCTTTGTATGAAGTTTACATGTTTAAGAATCACAAAGTTATTGTGATTGATATTGTTAAGAAGTTGGCGGCGTTGAGGGGTGCACACAATGAGATTCGTGCTGTTTTTTGTGAGAGTTTGATGAGTGTGGTGAAGAAACACTTGGCGTTTAGTACTAATCAGTATTTTCAGATGATGTATGTGCTTGTGAAGATTGTTGGGGATGTTGTGAAGGAATTGTTAGGGAAGATTCGTGAAGAGATTTCTGTGTTGGAGTGTAACAGAGGGCAAGGGTTTGATAATCATTTGAGGCAGAGTTATGATAAGTTGGTTAAACTCTGTTGAAAGTGGTGATGTTTTGTATTTTTTTTTACTTTAACTTAAAAAATAAGAAATAAAGATGATTTCTAACAAAATATGACTTGTTTTTACTTCCTGAAGTGTTATTATTGCGTAAAATATAAAAATTTTCAAGGATTTGATACAAATTCAACTTATTTATTGATATATCATGAAATGTCAGTTGTACAAGAAGAAATTACCAAGTTTTTGCTTTCTACATTAGTCAAAACATCTTCCTACAGAATAATAATGCTACATTGAAAGGAAAACGCGTTTCTTATTGACATTTTGACTAAATCTTCAAAGTTTTCTATTCGATTGCAATGAATTATCACAGACAAGCAGAAGATTGTCTATTATCAGACAATTCAGCATCAAATATCAATGAAATACACAAGTATATCATAGATTTACTCACCATACACAGACATTCCAAGATTCACAGAGTTGGAGTGAATAAATCAAGTGATAATGAAGGAAATGCAAATCTTTTGATGTACAAAGACTCATTTTTGAAGTTTACTGAGTTACCTGCAAAGGCCATGCAGAAATTAACATCTGGACTTGTAAATAGAAGACAGGACAATGCAATAAAGTGTTACTTTCATCTAATGCTAGATGTAATGTGGCTTCTACTCACTGTGAAAGAAAATGTTGAAAGTGAAGTGAATCCGAATGAAATCATTGAAATAATGCAGGAAATACATTATGTAATGTACAAATGTTATGAGAAATGTAACAAGTACATTGTTCCATGTGGATGTTTGAAAGTTTTCTGGCTGAGAATGCAATTATTCTGTGAAGAATTGAATATTTCCTTCTGGGAGGCGTTTAATTCATCAATGGTATGCTACAATGAAGAATTTTCATTGTTTACGCTTAAATTTTTGGCGGAATTGCAGTGTTATTCAAGAGATGATCAAGTGATAATGAAGGAAATGCAAATCTTTTGATGTACAAAGACTCATTTTTGAAGTTTACTGAATTACCTGCTAATGCCATGCTGAAATTAACAGCAGCAGCTTTTAATTCATTAATGCTATGCTTCAATGAAGAACTTTCGTTGTTTACGCTCAAATTCTTAGTGGAGTTATGTATTATTGACTTTACCTCAGTTAATCTGTAAATATACACTCATTATTCTCACACCTGGCAGTATTACAATGAAACACTTAACGTAATGGTCGAATGACGCCATTTTGATGTGATTACACGAAAGATTGAGCATGAAAACACATTTGGCAATGCAAAACAAACAAAATGATACTTAATCTTCTTACAAATACTAAGAAAATACTTATTAAGACATCAACATGATCAGAATAAGTTTAAAAAATAAATTCACAGAAATTTTTATAGTTTTTTGTCTAAAATAACGAAAAATACAAAAATCTTCTCAATTTAGTTCTAAAAATTATTTTCAAAAGATTTATAACCTCCTGAAACTCATTATTAAACTTAATCATGGATAACGCTGCAATAAACAATTAAATCTCTCTCATAATTCCCAAAATATAATTTTCATTTGCTTACTTCACTCCTCTGCAAACGAAAACAAAATTAACGAAACCAGGTACCAACAGATGATGTTTACTCGCCTCAAGCAACCAGGCATTGAAAGAAATCGTTATCATTATCAACACAAATTAAAAATCTATTCTCAAATGAATTCCCCGAACAATAACCAATCAAGCCATTGATTTCCCGCGGTGGATTTCCGCGATTCAACGCACAATCACCGCCGTGAAATGGAAGAATTTAAAATCACTTCGAGGCGTTTTTGTGAAAGTCACACGCCATTATCGTGACAATATTAGCCCACAAATTGCAAACGAGCCATGCGAAATCAGACTAATCATATTTCGGCCTATAAAACCAATCAAACCCTAACACAATCACGATAATCATTCACAGGTTTCAGTTAACTGCAATGGTGGCTTGTGTGCCCAATTTGCACAACATGTCGTTTACCATCGTGCTGCTGGCGAGCATTGTTATAGTAAGTGCACGACTTAACAAGGGGTTGCTACGGAAAGAACTTGATATGCCATTACCTGCGTATTGCATATTCACCGACGACGACACAACCGACCCCCAGACCCCCAAGGGAACCACTGACCCCAATGATCCCAAAGACCCCAAAGATCCCAATAAAACCACCACCACACCCAGTAAGTACACTTCTCTTTGATAAAGAAGAGTGATTTTAATTTCAAGTGTTTAGGTCAGACCACATTGTACACACTCTGCATGGACGGCCGGTACTTTGACTACATGCATCCGGACGTCTACTGGAAGATAAAGAAACTCTACCGTCGTCCACCGGTTGAGTTACCAGCCATTGTGATCACTGTAAACGAAGATCAAACAAGAACCGTACCGCAAAACAGTCCATCCAGGGGTGTGAACCCCAACGTTGATCCATGGGAGGCACCCTATAAGTCAAGGCCACGCAGTGAACCCCCAGAGACAGAATATGCAGAATCGCAGTCGCAGTCACAGTCACAGTCAGAGGCGCAATCGCAGTCGCATTCGCAGTCACTCTCGCAATCACAACCGTCAGGTGACGCTGATTATGGTGAAGAAAGTGAAGAAACTGCTGAGGAATACCCGCAGGTTAATCGCAGGATGCTACCAGTGTGAGACATGTACCAAAGCAAAATAAAAATCAAATAAACTTTATTCGTTACGTTTACATTTAATTACATTATATAATTGCTATATTTATACAAATACGTAGGCGTATGTTAATGGTAAAATAATATCCCATCATAATTTATTACTTCTGTAACAGAAAAGCACAAAAACAAGGTTAGAATCTCTAAAATGTCAAAAATGTCAAAAAATCAAAAACTAACCTCTTTGTCATTGATGTAAACACTTTTGCATACGTTCTGGGCAGTTGCAACGCCACGAATTGCACAAGAGCAATCCAAACCTTGTTCGGTGGTTGTGATTTGTTCCGCCAGGGTGTGCGAAACCAACTGGGTGAATTGCGTGCGTTGTGGGCCCTTGGCAGCGAGGAAGTTGTCCGCATTAAACACAGCGCCGCCATGATTGATCAAGAAATCAGTGCAGTAGTCATCCACTTCAAGTTCCTTATGCAATTCAGTGCTTCCAGGTGATTTCTTCTTGGCATCCGCGAATGTCATCACGTGTTTATCATCGAAACCCACCACACTCTTGGATACCTTCGCGTCTTTGACCTTGAAGTCATTGAAGGACGATACTAGGTTAATATGGAAGTTTTTATCCTTGAACAACATGGCGCGGAGTTTCTGGATGAAGAGTAGGCTTCCCTGTTTGCACCCTTTGCTGTTAAAAGCAATAATGGTCTTGGTAGCGTGGGCCCTGAAGGGGTATTTGAAACCTTCCAAGAAGGCTAAGGATTTGATGTCTAAACCCATGGCGAGTTCGATGTCTTCCTCTGCTTTGATTAGGAAGTTGATTGCCTTTTCTACATTGTCATTAGGGTGTTCATAGGATTCATCTTCTGCAGGTTCAGTGAATTTCATGGTAGGCAACTTTCCTCTCCAGCTGAGTTTACCATTATTAGTGAAATGAGATGGATATTCATCAAAATCACCTCCGTAACCAATCAAATGGAATTCTACATCTGGTACACCTTTACCAGCGAGTTCCTTGGTTAGTTCAGACACCATAGGCTGTACCAGGTCTTTGTAAACTTGTTCATTAGCTTTGGATTGGTCAACAATCAAAATAATATCAGCGGCTTTACCAGGGAGCTTCACACTGAACTTATCTCCAACACTACGTTCTTGATCGCCATTGGTACACTTCAGAAATTTACTCGGGAGGATTGCTGGTATGTACTTAGCATTGCAAGCAGCAACATAACCTCTAGCAATGGCTTCCTCTGTGTCCTTCACACCAGCAGCCACACCATGATCACAAGCAGCACGGTACAACTCCGGATTGACAAATGGATAACATACTCGTAGAGTATTCTCATTGGTGAACAACGTGGTACATCCAGGTACCCTGTTATGTGCATGATGGTCCACAGTGGTTACAGGTTTGCAGGATGCTGTCATCTTGTAAGCATTACCAAATTCAGCCTCACCAGCAACAATCTTACCATTGGGAATGATGAAATCATCATAGGGTTCATTATTACCATTACCCAACAACCCTCTGATCTGCCCATGATAGAACCCACTGATGGAAATCTTACAAACCAACATTTTCACATCACAAGACACCTCGACACCAGCCTTGGAGTTGATGTGCATGTTAGCATAGGTCCTGAACGCAGAGATGGTACCCAACCTCAATGGGAACTCACCAGCTGCCTTACCATGCATAACCTGACCTCCCTTCTTGATGGTAACAGAATCCGTAGCGTCAGCAACAGTCAAAGCAGTCAGCAATCCATTCGCGTAGGTACCACCAATGGTAAAGTTACCATTAACAGCATCCCTGGCAATCAGATAGTTGCAGGTACCCGGGAAGGTCAAATGTTTACCATCAAAGGTGAAAATGTGTTGTCCCTGGATCAAATAACCATAGAGTCTGAATGGAGGTCCAAGCCAGCTGCGTGGGTTGAAGGTAAGTGTCTGAAGGGTTGCAGGGATAGCATCCCATGGTCCATCCTTGTTAACCAGGAAGTATTCCACCCAGGACATGCGCATGGCGACTATACGTGGCAGAGCAAAGACATAATCAGTGATGAAACTCTTAGAATCCAATAGAGGTAATTCATTGATCTTGTATTGTGAGGTTAACTTCCTCAACAACATGGCGACACTCCTGATGATATTCTCAATGGCTGCGATGTCATCAACAGCTTCATGCTTCAACTTCTTATTCACATAAGTCCTGATAGCTTCAACAATCTTCTTCGCGTCTTCATTAGGAATGATATCCTGGATGGTATTCAAAGTATCATCAATCATATGCTTCAATGGTTCGGACCAATCACCAAAGTCCTTGATCAACAGGTCATAACGAGCTTTAAGCTCTTCATAAATCGGTAGAGCCTTCAATTCCTCAAAGAGTTTCTTCGCGTTTTCAGAAATCAAAGCCCTGACACGTTCGTAGTTCTTCTGCAGGAATCTACCAAGGTCCTGAGTGATACTAGAGATGGTAGTAGCAATTTGTTTGAGTTCAGCCTGATGGGCTTCCAGGAATTGATTGACCCAAGCCATAGCTCCGAAGATGATATCAGAAATACTATCACAGACTTTCCCGGCGACTTCCATGAGTTTCTCCAGGGTGACCTTGACCTGCGGCCATATCTGCGTATCCATAGCATCAAAGAATTTCTTCATGGTTGCATTGATAGTCTTGCAAATCTGCTCCAAAAGATCCACAGCTTTGGTGAGTAATTCACTAGCAGCTTTAGCGAAGGTTCCGAAGAGTTTATGCAGGAATTCACTGGCTTTCTGAATGTTGGGATCTGCGTTGATCTCAGAAGAGACTTTGTTCCATTCACCGGCGTAGTAGTCTTTGACACCTTTGAGGTTAGGTACGTTTTTCTTAGCGAGTTCATTGATGTGCTCAGCGTTCTTCTTGGAAGCAGCTGCGGTGTCAGAAAGCAAAGATTTGCCTTCTTTAAGCATGTTATCCACTTGGTTCTTAGCTGGTTGAAGCACCAACTTCTGCATGTTATCCAGATTCATACCATAATCAGGTTTAAGGAAGTTAGCTTCATCAAGTTGAACGGAAGCTTTGATTAATTCTTGATTGGATACTTCAGCACGGAAATCAGCGATTTGTCCAGGAATAAACGCAGCGTTGATGGTAAGTTGCTTACCAGGATTATCCTTTGATGATAAAGTGTATTTCATGGTGTTGAAGTTCTTCAGTTCATAATGGCTAGTCAAAGGTTTCATTCCGAAGATAACCAAGTCAGTATCAATCACTTGTTCTTCTTTAGATAGTTTTAGGTTAGACTCAATGCTTACAATCTCCTTGTTATGGAGTTGAACCTTCCCTGTGAGTTTCTTCGGACTTACCTCCAAAAGATACATACAAACACACTTATGGTTATCCATGTTGTAAGTCAACTTAGCCATAGTCTTGAAGGTGTGTGCCTTTGTATCCAGGGAGTAAGAGATCTCATCATAAGCGATATCAATACCCATACCAGCAGATTTGATGGTAGCATGGTGTACCATGTCATATTGACCATTATCTCCAGCCTTGGCAATGGAGGACTTCAAATTGGCGACGATTTTACTGTTTTGGTTAGCAAAGATGTCCACGGTGAGAGTTGCCTCACCTTGTCTTGAAGGTGCGTCGTATTTACTAACATAAGCAACAATCAAGTCCTTATTCAACCCAGGTGAGGATAACTTGGTTTCAGCGGTGAGTTTACCAGATTTATCACTACCAGAATAATCTACACTTCCGGTGAGGGAAGTCTTCTTGGTAGGTTCGTTCTTTTTATCCAGATACAAACAGATGTCAAACTTGGCAGGTCCTTTGAACTTGGGAGGTATATCAACCTTACCTTCAAGTGAAACCTGGCGTTTAGGTGTTGTTAGAGACACACCAGCTTCTTTGGGATGGATATACAGACTGTATTGGTACTTCTTGTTATCTTTAGTTTGGAAATGGATGTCTGTGGTATGATCAAACTGAAGTTGTTTACGTTTGGACACTGCCTTCATCCCGAAGTCATAGGAACCCAACTCAATCCTAACCTCAACTTCATTGTCGTACTCAACAATACTGATCATATTCGACTTGGAATCAAACTCAAAGTGTTGGCATTGATTCTTCTCCCTACAGTAGGAATTCATAATCCGGAATTGTTTGTTGGTCATTTTAGCTTCGGCATCCATCGCGTGATTACCCAGGGTCATGTCGAGTGTAATCTAAACAGAAACAACAGAGTTAAGAACACACCATGAGACATACCTTCAATTTAAACAACTTACAGCAACTCCTAACTCGTGGTTCTTATCCATGGTCAACTGCTGCTTGATGAATTTGAAGTTTCCGGTCTTCTTATCATTCCTCACTGTGAATTCTCCTGATCCTTCAACGATGTACTTACCACCTTCATCGCGGACTTTATAGGTGGCTGTTCCCTTGATAACAGACTCTCCACTTTCCGAGATGGAAACCTCGATGACCTTATTCTTCTTGTTCTTAATCTCAGTCTCGATTTTCTTGGCACCCAAAGAAGGAGCGTTCATCTTGATCAGAATGGAGAAGTCATCCACACTTGGGGCATTGATATCATAACTGTAGTAGTAAACCAGGGTACCATAGGATACATCAATGAGACCCTTATGGATGTGATTTCCGGGGCTTTCAGCAGATAGAAGAACCTTATCAGTATGTCCATCATGGGTGAGTTCATAACTGAAGAGTGGGTTGACAGGGGACACACGGATCTCACTCTTGGATACATATTGCTTACCATCAATGATGGTGGTCTGGTCTGAGGTGACATGTTTACCATCATCACTACGTTTGTAGTTCATGGTAACTTCGGACTTTTTCATGTGTTCAAAAGGTGTTTCCAGTTTCAACTCGAGTTTACCTTCATTTTTATTGGGTCTGATCAAGGAGGCGTCTGCTTTGATGGTCTTACCTTCAGCGTATTTCAGGGAAGCATCCGCTTGGCATTTCATCACACCGTTGTCTTCTTTATGTGCATAACCAAGCGCACCTGTGATGGGATCCAGTTTCTGTACTTTGATGGTACCCTTGATTTGACCATTATGATGTCCTACATTAAGGTCACCTTCAGCTTCGAAGTTCACAGTCGCATCTGGGTCAGTACCATCGTCATCAACGAAGAGTTTGGTGGATCCACCCATTTCACATTTGTGTTCATCCTTCAAGAGTTTACCAGCAGCGTTGAACTTGATAGACTTGACCTTGGGATTGCTAGTCTTTACATCCAAGTTAACAGAACCAGATAAGGGATTACCAGCTCCAGAGAGGTCGTATTTACCATCAAGGTTCAAAGATCCTTTGTGGCATTTTGTGGAAGCAGAATAGGAACCTACCCGATGTTTATTCTGGGATTTCAAAGCGAATTCAATGGGTTCAGCAAGGATGGATCCATAGAGTTTACCATTAACATCACCTTTGCATTCATCATCATCTCGGTTGGTTTTGATGGTAAGGTCCCCATTGATATTCTTACCATTGCTATCATCAGCAGCAAGGTTATAGGTAAGGTCAATCTTACCCAATTTAACATTGGTGTTCTTTGCTTCACCCTTGATGGTAAGCTTACGTCCAGGTGTGTTTTTGTTGTTGCGTTGTTCCAGGTTCAAGAAAACATTACCAGACATCAGGTCATTGGTGTAATGGTGTTCCCTGTTGAATTTACCAGCAAGGTACATCCCATTGGGAAGGGTCAAATCAGAAACCACATTGATCTTGGCATCTAGAAGCTCACCCTCACAACTAGCCTTGACATTACCTTCAAATAGATTATCGAAGATATCCAGTTTATTCTTGGAATCAATGCTCTTTTCACCAACTTCATTATCAGATGATAACGAGATCTTCTTGGGGCTCTTCTCGAAGTTAGGATAGAAATTAGCTTGGATGTTGTATTTGGGATTAGCCAGATTGAAGGTAGAGTCCAATTTGACTTTACGCTGTACCTTCAGTAGATCAACGAGAAGGTGTGCCTTTCCATTCCATTTGTCAGCCTTCAACTCACCATCAACATTGAGGATATCCTTGATGTTAGCTTTGAGGTGTCCATTACCTCCCTTGGTCTTATGCCCGTTGAATTCAAAGTCTACCAGGTTCTCAGCACCCTTTGCAATCTTCAGGTGAGACTTGCATTCGTCAATCACATGACTAAAACCATGTTTGACACTTAAAACATCCGGGCATTGTGGGACTTGAATGGTAAGGTCACACCCGATGTTGGTATCATATGGTTTGCACTTATGGGTGATGGTACCCTTAATCTCAGCCTTCTTACCATTGAGATCCAACTGTTATCAATGGTGCTTACATCCCCATTGATATCTCGCTTAGCTTTGGCTTTGAGTTTGTTATCAAGTGCCTCACCTTCAATATTGACATCAAAATCACCTACAACCTTCTGGTTGTATTTAGCGTTGAGTTTACCACCAACTTTAGCCTTGTTGTATTTACCATCAGCCGCAAAGTCCAGACTCTTGGGTACCTTCTTCAGGTTGAACTTACCTTCAACCCCAATCAGAGGATAACTGAAGGTATTCTTTGTCTCCAGGAGGTAATCAGTGGAATCAGTAAACTTCCGGGTGATGGAATTCTTCAACTTCAGAGTGTTTTGCTTATTGGTAAGATCCCCACCATGAATCAAGGTCAAATCATTAGAAATCGACTTCTCATCACGCTTGAGTTCATAATCAATCTGGAAGTTGGATACGGGCGACATGGTGTTCATGACCTTGGCTTCAGCCTTGAGTAAATTAGCATTGGCTTGGAGTTTACCCTTGACAGTACCACTGTTGGTACCATCATCCATTTTCATATCAGCGAAGAACACACCAGCTTCCCGACCAAGGTTACCAGAGATAGTAATAGCAGGAGTTGATGGTGAGATCAGTTTGACCTTGTCAAAGGTATACTTGCAGTTATCCCCGGCTTTCTCAGCGATGATTTGACCTTCAACCGTGTAAGGTGACTTCTGTTTTCCTTGATCAGGTGTGACGAATTCAATCAAGGGTTTGTAGGTGGACTTGGCGGCATTACCAGTGACAGTAATACCCAGTTTACCAGAATATTCTTGGTTATCATGCATGAATTTAGCTCCAATGGACTTTTCCTTATCGTTATCAGTGATGCGTCCTCAAGGGTTGCTTTTTTGATTGGTGAGTCCAATGAGGCCTTGATGTACTTCTCAGGGTGTGCGAATGCTTCCACAGCAAGACTTACCATGGGTTTCTTAGCTTCATCCAAGGTTTCAATGATGAATTCAACACCCTTTTTGTCAGTGTTGTAGAGAATGTCCCTGATGTGGTAGGTCACTGGTTTATCCCTGGTGATGAACACCTTGAGTTGGCTGTTACCATTGAATGGGAATGGCAAGAAGGTACCCTGGTTCAATTGTTGGTTAGGGGAGTTTAGACCTGCACAGAAGGTCAAACCTATGACCTGTTCAAGATGGTCAAAGCAAATATCCAAAGGTTTACTCTCGACGAATTTCAAAGGTGTGTCTACTTCAGCATGACCAGAATCCCTGGTGATGAAAACCAGTTGGTGTTCAGCATTGATAATCTCCTGTTTTTCAATTGGTAAACTGAATTTAGCATCCAGACCAGTAGGGAACAACTCCAGGATCAACGCACCACCTGTAGCTGTATGCAGATTAGAGGTGACCTTCAAACCACTTTCCACCACAGAAGCATCCAGGGTCAATCTACCAGCAACCTCAATATTAGCAGAAGGGATTACCTTCAATTGCATCACAGAGTTCTTATTCCCCTGGAGAAGGGCACGGATATCCACCTTGGTCTCAGCAACCAACTGAAGAGAATCAGTTCCCTGAACAGACATCTTCAACGGGAAACCTGTAGAAGTTGGATAAGCCAATTCCAGATCCATGAAAATACCATTCCTGGTGAAGGTATGTTGGAAGTTCTTCGCCTTATCAATACCTTTGTCCAAACAATCAAAGATCTTATCAATGACCTTCTCAGCGGAGAAGTCCTCAGCGTTTTCATTCAGGGTCAAAAACAGGAACTCAGACCCAAACATTTTGATACTCAGATCCAAATCAAGATCATTGTTCAATTCATTGGTCTTGATCTGAACAGCCTTACCAACTGAATCAATCTCAGCTTGTGGGACATGCCTCTTACCCCTGGTCTTCTGCATACGTTCAACGAGGTGATCCATGAATTTCTTCAGGGAGCTTGATGCGGATTTTTCTAATTCTTCAGGGGTCTTACCACGAAGCACACCAAGAGGTCCCAGGTAATGCTCCATGAGTTTATCGAGGTTCTCCTGACGGGTATCAATCTCCAGGAAGTTCATCCTATGCCCAAACACCTCTGTAGTCAGGTTGACCCCGATTGACCTTGGGAGGAAGGAGTTCTGAGAGTAGATAACACTGGTATCAAAACTACCACTTGTTCCTAGAGTGTCAATGGTATGACTGGTTTCATCATAAAAGGAGAATTTACGGAAGTCAATGGGGAACTTCCGGTTGGTGTTCAGGGTCCCAATTCCCTCTTTGCTAACTCCTTATCAGGATTGCTACTGGCCCTGAGGATACGGATGTGTGAAACAATGAAACCCAAAATCTGGTAGGACTCCTCTGTATCCAGGACATTTTTGACAGCTGTGGCTACTTTACCATTGGGGCACTCAGCCAGAGCAAGGTATGCCTTCAACCTTAATTCTGTGTCTTGTTGTGTGTCCTTGAGAATAGAAATGGCTGAATCCCTAAGTTTGTCTTTGCAAGCATCAGATTGGTAGGCTTCCAACGCAGCAACCCTCAACCTCATGGAATTCTTCTTATCCTGAGCAATGGAAATGACCTTGGGTACCACATTATCAGCAAGGTGCTTCATATTGGTCAAAGCCTTCAAAGCAGCAATCATTTCATTCTCCTGTTCCCGATTAGCTGCCTTACCATCCTTGAGTTTACCCAAGAGTTTACCAGAAAGGGTCTTCATCTGTTCCAGGTTATGACAGTCGTGGGCTTTGCAATAATGGGACACAAGTGCACCAATACCCAAATAAGCTTCCCTGGGTAACTTCGGAGTGTCCAGTAACGTAGCGGCAGTAGCAATGGATTCAGGTGTGGCATGGCGGATGAATGACATACCTAGGTACACCATCTTCTCTTCCAAAGTATTCAATTGTTTGCTCTTCAGGAGTTGAATAGCAACCTCAAGACAATCCCCAGTTCCAGTCCTGAATAACGCATCTAGGAACACTTTCTTTGCTCTTTCCTTGTCTGTGAACCCTGCTCCACTCTGGACCTGGTTGTACACAGCGAGAAGGTCATCCTTCTTACCGGCGGCCATGACAGAAATCAATTGTCCGAATTTACTCGCTGTTTTTTCTGAGACAGTCTCCTTGATGCTGTTGGCTGTGTCCTTGACAGCGTCAATGATGGTCTTGACATCACTCTTCTCCGAGACCATTGGATGAGGGTTCTCGAAGATGATGGACTTGGGTTCTGTGCATTTGTTCTTCGGGGCGTCCTTGGATTTACCTTGGAGTTGTAACTTGGTTTGTACACTGCCTTGGCTCCATTACGACCAATGGAGAATGGCATGTAGAGGTAGTTCTCGGTTACCAACACATGGTCCAGGATACCATCCTTGACCCGCATTTCGGAGGTGTAGTCTGAGCGTAAGATAGGGCTGGATTTGATCTCGCTGTGCAGGTTGAACGCGGTGGTAAGGAAGTCGTGTTTGGCGTTCTCGCGATGGGCGCAGTGGTTGAGGGATCTGCTCTTGGTGTGGGTCACGATTGGGCCTTCCTTTGAGGAGGTGATTGTGGTTGGGCACACGCCAAAGACATCGGTTTCTGTTGATGATTTCAAAGCGGCTTGGAAGAGGGAGGCCACGGCGCGTTTCATGTTGAGGGAGACTTGGGTATCTCCGGTTTCCGCGCAGATGATGTCTTCGATGTGACCATCGTGGAAGTTGATCTTAATTGCTTTGTCCAGGTTGGGGATAGTACCCTTTTTCTGTAAATATAGAAAAATTTAATGTTGATTTTCAAAAGCTTGTAACTTTGTTGATTATGGTTCGATTTTAATGAATTTGGTATCAAATTAAAGAGAATTTAATTGAGTATGATTTGTAGTTATATTGTTTATTTACGCATGCGCAATTATCTGTTATATTGATTTAAAGTTGTTACTAATATTAAAATTTAGTTTTCGGTTATGAATTATTCAATTACAAATAACTTTTTTGTTTATTACTAGATTTTAATAAATTATATATCAAATGAAAGCAAATTAGCTGCTCTTAAAACTGTACTCAAAAATTTTAACTATACGCATGCGCAAACTACTTTAATTTTCTTTTAAACTTGTAAGTAAGTTTAAAGTAAATATTTCTATCAAATATTAAGAACTATTTTTTAAAACTGCTACAACTTTGTTGTTTATCGCTAGATTTTAATAAATAATACACCAAATTAAAGATAATTTATCTCTGCATACTCTTGTTAGAAAAAATAATTAATTTACGCATGCGCAGTATACTCAAATCAAATTTTAAACTTCCAATTCAAATTTAACTCTTATTATTGCATTAAAAACTTTAAACTCCAATAACTTTTTAAATAATTATTAACAAATTATTAATAAATTTTAACAAGCTATACATCAAATGAAAGCCAATTAAATTCTCTTACTGACTACTAAAAAAATAATAACTCTACGCATGCGCGAACTACTTTAATTTATATTTAAAGTTGAAACTCACCTTGCCATCGCCACCAAGAATTTGCACATTCTGTAGTCGCAGTACTTGAACGCATTGCGGCTGCTGCGTGAGCAAAACATTAGCTTTGACTTTAGTAGCAGATTGTTGTCCCTCCGCGGTGGATAGCGTGATATCAACCGTCGATTCCAAAGAGTATTTGTACGTTGTACCTTCCGCATACTTGAAATTGTTCGGCGTCACTAAACATAACCAAAAAACCAATGTAAAAACAAAACCGACTTAAGTCATGTTACACATTATATTTACCTCCGTGACATCCGGTTCGACACTTGTCAGCTGTAATCAACAAAAAGACAAAGCGTTAGCACTCGTGATAACATTGACATTCGCTTATCATCGCCGCTGCGTGTTATCAATAATAAACGATTGAATTAACATTGCTTTGATTTGTTTTGTATGCGAATAACTGACCTCGTGAACTGTGAACTATTATCGCATGCGCGGAGATATTTGAGACTTTTCTAGAGTGGTGATCGTGGACACACTGTATGTATCGCGATGGTTTGTTGAATTGTTGAAGGAGCGCGTTGATAACGGACGTAAATTGATGATGAGCTTGTTAACCAATTGAGCCGGAGAGTGTCGGACAATCGAATAAATTGTGCGCCGACAACACGCACGAAGAGATAAGCCACAATGGACCAAGCAAACACCATGAGATTCGACTCGGAAAATGTTTAAAGGAATGATTTTGACTTTGATTTGATTTAATTAGGAAATTAGATTAATTGGGAAATGCACGTGTGGCGGCTGTTTATGGTGTTGATTCAAGGATAATCATTGTTTCCTAACTTGGGTCCCGTATGATTCTTGCGTTAATTGTGTCATTTGTGTTGAGAATTGCAAAGTATTTGCGTTGATGTTACTTAAGTCACATAGTTTGAGTTTTAATTTTTGTAATAATATTTTAAAAGCTTATAACTCGGTTGTTTATTTATAGAAATGGATAAATTTTGTATCATTTGAAAGAAGATTAAATTGTTTATTTTATGCGAAAAAGAGTAATAAAATACACATGCGCATTAAATAGTTATTAGGCTTTGAAGTTCAAGTTATAAAAAAAAATATTATTTAAGTAAATGTTATTTCAAATGCGTGTAACTTTGTTATCTAAGCGTATATTTTAATAAATTTTACGTCAAATTAAAGATAATTTAATGCTTTTTCACAGCAGTAAAAAATAATGGTAATAATATAAAAATTTAATAGATTAAAATTGATTTAAACAAGTTTAAAATCGAAAAACAGAAAATTTTAAACTTTTGGATGAAATTATTGTTTAAATCCCTGATAACGTTATTATTCTTTCTTGAATTGTAATAAGTTTAGCATCATATGAAAGATAATTAATTTTTCTATCATATGTAAAAAAAATGAATAAATTACGCATGCGCAGAAAAAAGTTATTTAGATTTAAACTTGTTGTTAAAAAGAAGCAACTTATTTTTGTAAAATTTATTTCAATCGCGCATAACTTTGTTATCTATAGCAAAATTTTAATAAAGAATATGTCAAATTAAAGATAATTTATGATTGCATTTAAATTAAGTAGATTTAAAAACATTTGAACTACTTGTGTTCGCTAAAATAAAAGAACTATAATGTTCATGTGAAAACTTTGTTTAAATCATGAATAACTTTCTTATTTTTATTCCGATTTTAATAAATTTAATACTAAATTAAAGATGAATTAATTATCTATAACTCTACGTTAAAACATCTAAGAAACACATGCGCATTTCATAATTATCAAGCCTCAAACTCAAATTTAACTTCATAATAAAACTTTTCAACCCTAATCATTAAAACCCTTATAATTTAACTAATTTACATCCAATTTAAACAAATATACTCTCAAATGAAAGTCTATTTAACCCTCTTTCCAACGATATATCATACATGCCTATTACGCATGCGCAAATAACCATTACACGCTTTCAAAACTCAATTCAGAATTCCACCCGTATTCATCGCGTTTTCAATTGAATTAATTACAAAATCTATAAATAAATTAACTTCAAACAATAATTATGCCATAATTCACATCACGGATGTTATAACAAAGTATTACAGAGCTGATAGACCGATAGCCTATTGATTAGGCAGCATAATTATCGCAATGTTTTGACTAAAATGTTATTATCACCGCCGCCGCCGCCAGAATTGTCCGAGAGTCAAGTTCACGCTTAACTTAAGCTCATCCCAATTGACATGTCATTGTTGTTATCTTGTTATGGTGAACCTTCACCTTGTTTGCATACCCAACGGAAAGTTTTTATATTTATCACTTAAGTCATTTAGATTACATTCAAATGCAAAAAATTATTTTCGCCAAGAAATGAAAAATTCGCAATGTGACTTAAAGTGTGACTTAAATCTGCTTACCTGTGATTGGATGTGAAGATGTCAGCGTGCTAGAGAGCAGCGCGACGGTGAGAAGCGCGAGCATCGTCGGCGCGACGACGTTCGCCATCTTGAGATACTCTGCTGGCGGCGGCTGCGGTAGTCTCTTCTCGTGCGAACGGCGGACGACACACTGAAGACGCCTTCGACCCCCTCGACCCTTCTTATATCAGCCGGCCGCGCACCGCCTCCCACTTGCCGCGCGCGGCGAACCGAAAAAAGCGCAAAGCGCACTGCGCATGCGCACTCGGGATTCACGCAGCGCTTAAGTCACATATTATTCAGAGATGCAATCGATGCAATATATTTAATGTTTGATACATATTTGTGGCTGAAATTATAGAATATTGCAATATTTGGGTTGGGGTTTAAGTGATTGTGTTTACAATGACTTAAGTTGAGTACAGAATGTTTGGTGAAGAGTAAATAAGTTGGTAAACAAATAGTTATTGTGTTTGGACAATAAAAGTAAGTTTGGCGATGTTTAAGTAGGCTTAAGTTAAGTATACTTAAGGAATGTTTAATTTAGAATAGTTTTCTTTGGTTTGGATTTGATTTATTTGGTTAAAACAAGCTTAATCTGACTTCAGTCACTTAAAATTACGTATAACTTGTTTTTTAGAGCTTTTGTATGAAATTAATGTTTAAAAACGTAATAACTTTATCGTTTATGAATAGATTTTCATAAATTTAGTGTCAAATGAAAGACAATTTGATTGTCTATTAATTCTTATAAAAGAAATTAATTAACGTAAATGTAATTTGCTGTAATCTAACTTTAAAGCGTTAATTACAATTTTATTTTTATTTTTTGCATATTAATATTCAAAACGCTATAACTTCGTTGTTTACTGTTGGATTTTGATAAATAATATATCAAATTAAAGATAAATTAATCCTCTATCAAATGTTATTAAATTATTTAATAATACAATTAGTTTAAATGCATTTTACAAGCTTTAAACAAGTAAAACACAATTTTTAAAGTAAAATTACATTAAAACTTGAAATTACGTGAAAATATTGTTTAAAAACGTAATAACTTAATTATTTATGCTTCAATTTTATTAAATTTAGCGTCATTTTAAAGATAAATTAATTATCTATACACGACTAAAAAAATATATATTACACAAATGCTCCGATTACTTTTATCAAGCTTTAAAGTTGTAACTGCAATTTTTATCTTTTATTTTTACAAAACAAACTTCAAACAACCATAACTTTTTTATTTATTAATAGATTTTCATAAACCATACATCAAATGAAAGATAAATTAACCCTTTATTAATATATCCTAAAAAAACATCACCTAATTAATTTTAAAACTGTTTTATTGCGTTTACAAAACAAAAAACAAAAAATTACTTAACTTAAGTAATATTTTGACCTGAAATCGAATATTTTTATTGCTTTTGACCCATCCTATACCTCTAACCGCCTTAATAATACCCAAACTACCCTCGAAACTAAATCCCACAACACTCATCAATCTGCACACCAGATGTTCTGACAATTTCAAAACATTCGCATTTTACACCCTGGGAAACGAATCTCAAACTCCAACCTTGCTTAAAACGTGTTTAGGAATAAACCATTCACCAAACAACTCAATGCGCATAAAAGAAATAACAAAATAACAAAAATTCTAAAGCGCAGGTTATTCTACGCTTCAATGACTTAAGTTAAGTACATTTTTCTATTTTTCTCTGTTTCTCGAAGCGAATGGAAACTTTTGCCTAAAATTCAAGTGCACATGTTTTATTACAAGGGTATAGTGCATGTTTTAATAACAATAAATTATCTGTAAATATTCCGGGAATAGCTGATGATAAAATGCCTAGTGTTTGATACATGAAATTTGTCGAGTCGACGACACTGCGAGCAAAGTTTGGTTTTTGCTGGTGTTTTCGTGTTGACCGAGTCCGTAAGTCATCTCGAATCAACAATTAATAATGGCCGCCGCTGGTGATAACGGCGTGGTGGCCACGGGCTATTGACTGAGCGCCCGCTGTGATTGTGTAAACAATGAATGCAACAATAAACTGTACTTAAATCACATACTTGGAGCGACTAAATGACTACATTGGAAGATTATCGACAAAAAAATATTCGAAAGCTTGTACAGGCTTTATTTATACTTGGATTTTGATAAGTCGGGTATCATTTTAAAGAGGATTTTATTCTCTATCAGTGTGGTGAGATATGCGTAATCTACGCATGCGCAGTTTTTTTATACACAGATTTGAATTGTTTTTTGCAGAATATATTAATGTATTGTTTAAAAATGTTATAACTTAATTGTTTATCAATAAATTTTTATGAATTTTATGTGAAATGAAAGATAATTTAATTGTTTATTATATGTCATAAACGAAATAAATGATGAAAGAGTAATTTAGTGTAAATTGACTTTAAAGTGTTAATTACATTTTTATTTTTCATTTTTTACATATTAACATTCAAAACGTTATAACTTTGTTGTTTATTGTTGGATTTTGATAAACAGTATATTAAATTGAAGATAAATTAATTCTCTACCAAATGTTATTAAATTATTTATTGAAATAATTAGTTTAAATGCTTTTAACATGCTTTAAAGCAAGTAAAACACGATATTTTAAAGTGAAGTTATGTTTAAAGTTGGAATTGCGTGAAAATATTGTTTAAAACGCTATAACTCAATTGTTTATGCTTCGATTTTAAACAAATTTAGTGTCAAACGAAAGATAATTAACTAGTTAACCAATTACTCTATAAATATTTTAAATTTTACAATTACAAGTTGTTATAATTTTGTTTTAAATGTGTAAATGCATTGTATTCATTATTTTTTCAATGTTTTACCTTAAAACTACAATAACTTTGTTGTTTATTGCTCGATTTTGATAAATAATATACCAAATGAAGCAGAATTTAATCTGCTACCATCTACAAACGGAATATTTAATTTGCGCCTGTGCAGTTTACTATAATCTAGCTTCAAAGTAAAACCTGTAACTTTTATGTTTTATTTTTAAAAACAAACTTCAAACAACTATAACTTTGTTATTTATTGTTTAATAGTGATAAACAACACATCATATTAAAGATAATTTAATTCTCTACAAACTACAAAAAGAATATTTATCCTACCCATTCACAATCACTGTATATAAAGCTTCAAACATTTTTCATACATTTTCAACTTTAAAAATTTAATTAAAACACTCTGTATACCATCATCAACTGATAACATAACCTCAAAACAACCTCCCCCAAACAATTCACCAAAGAAACACCTAAAACTCTCCAAAACACCTAAAACACTTAAAAACCTTGAAATAATAAACATAACCACAAAAAACCTGTGTATTTGTGTATAATGTGTTGCATACTCAAACATAATCACATCAAAATCGTTTAAACTTCAAATAAACCGACGGAATGTCATCATACACACGCTTCTCACGATATCTCTTATGAAAATCCTTCACCGGCAAATTCAACGCCCTGGCATCAATACAAATATAATGCGGAGCAGTCATTCCAGGCCCAGACTCCGGAACCCTTCCCGGCGGTTCAAAATACGGCGGATTATGCGAATAGTCCAAAGTATGTGGCAAATTCTCATGAGGCATCGGGAAACCCGCAGGTAGAGGACTTAGATAATCATTACCCCCACCATAATCATAATCCCCACCCGAGGGAAGTAGATCCTCACCCCAAGGTCGATTCTTCAAGATATCCTCAATAGTGGGTATCAAATCATTCAAATCAGGTGGACCCTGCACAGCTCCCGGATACAACTGATAAGGTAGATTAGAATGATTCGCTGAAGGTCCATAAGAACCATAATTGGGTATAGGGTTCGGAGGTGGGTCATAATAATTATAACTGTAAGGGGCACCTTCAACCACAGGTTCCGAAGACTTCCAAACCCTCGAATCCACATAGTAATCATCTTCAGGGAGGCGAAGCACATCAGGTTTCATATTCTTCTGTACATCCACATGATCCCTTTCAGGGTAATCCCAGTCCAACAGCTGGTGGGACGTGGGTAGGAGTTCCTCAGAATCAAAGAACTTGATGGTACCATCAGGTAAACTCATCAACGTAGGCATCATATCAGCATAATCCTCAGTCATGGGTCCAAAACCACCTGGATCATAGAATGGGTCATCTTCTGAGGACCTACCAGTTGTGGTCCCTGGGTAATCATCCTGGAGGTCATCCATGAGATTCTCATACTTCTCAGCATTCGCCAACTCATCTGAATTACAATAATATGGTAATGGTGAGGTGATTGTAGATATCTGAAGAAGAACCCATGCTGTGAATGCTAGTGACAACGTCGCCATCTTGTTTAACGCAACACTGATGGCGTAGTGAACACGTAGACGGTATTTATGCACGGTGCTAATCAAGCGGGTTATTGTTAATTGTACGCCGAGATTGTTTCGCCTTCAAACATGGTCAATACCATTAAAGTCGACTTCAATCACGCATCGCCGCTTTGGTCAATTTCAGGTTAGGTTACAGCATGTTTAATTAAATGCAAAACGCAATCAGCGATTTATTTATTTCGTCTGTGATTGTACACTAAACGGTGGATTGGCGATTATGTCCAGAATCACGTCATTGGTTTCAGCTCCAGCGATGGCCGATAGATGGCGACTGCTTAGACACACGAGGACCTCTTCAGGGGAGTCGCCATCTTTGTGTTTGAAGTATCGGAACTTCCCGTTGTTGTCCGCATTGATGAATTCTTTCTCGCTGCTTGAAATTGAATCCTCTGATGTTGTTTCTTCTAGAGAATAAGAGGAGTCTGACAGGTCTGCTTTGCGGAGTTGTTTGCGGTTGTCTTGTTGTGTGTTTTGTTCGAGGTTAGGTTCTTCTTCTTCCACGTCGAATTCATGCGGGCGTCCACAGCCAGCTGCGGCTGCGCCCTGCATACGCATGTTGATGTTTAAAGAAAGTAAGGTTAGGAATACCAGGCACTTCATCTTGTTGGTTGTTGGAGTGTTGTTGACGCAATGAAGTTGTTGGATATTGAGGGCGCTTTTTATGCGCGGTGGTTGTGGCTGATTTTACGCCGAAATTGGTTTTTACTCGAAATGGGCACGCATGCCGATAACACGCATTTATATTTTGTTTATTGGGTCATTTAAACGATACGATTGGATGAATATCGGTGTAATAAGGGTATTAACTATCTTAAGTGGGTCGCTGTACAACCAAATTAGTGTTGTTTGGGTGGTGGTGTTATTAAGAGAATGCAAGGTTTGATTTGTTTTAGTTTTTTGAGGCTGGCGGGCGTAATTGTGGACGGATTTTTATAAATTTGGTATCATATTAAACCTAGTTAAATTGTTTATTGTTTGGTGAAGGTAGGAAGTTGATACAGGCGCTCGTTTTGGTGGAATCGCAATTTAAAATGGGGATTTGATTGTATTGCGTTTTTTTAAATAAATTGTTAATAACTTTGGTGGTTTTTATTCGATTTGATTAAGTTTTATGTCAAATTAAAGATAATTTAATTCTTCATAAGATTATGATTAGTTGGTAATAGAATCATTATTTGTTTAGTTTTTACAAGAGTTTAAAGTTCATTTTACGTTTTTACAAATCATAAAAATTATAATTTACAAAAATCATTATAACTTTTAAACAAAAACAGATTTTTACAACAAAATTAATGGTAACATAAAGCCAATTAATTTATCTATCATCCAGTGAAAAAATAAACAAATTCCGTTAATTAGTTTTGTTATAATCCACAAATAAACAATTAGTGTCATTTTTTTTCTCCAACATTTTTATGTGTATCATTATTAATCGCTCGTATCTTTATTATTTATACACGGATTTTAATTAAAAAAATATTTTTATTTTCTACTACATTAAATATAAACAATTAATTAATAAAACCGGTTTTATATTACAATTACGCAGCTTTAAAAATTGTTTTATTACGACAAATCGATAAATAATAAAATATAATTTCGTAAATCTTTATTGACATTTTTATTCCATAGTATCTGCTTTGTATAACAATTTACAAGATTGGACAGGGATCCACATCTACACTTTCTGCTTCCGCGTGGAAATCCTCCGCGTTCATCTCGTTCTTTAACATTTTCGCACCTCGTTTGATTTTTCTCCAATCGCTTAATCCTTTTCTGAAACTTTGCTTTATTTCATCAGGTGTTGCATGTCTTCGTTCTAAAATTAAATAAATAAACATATAAATAAACAAATATATTATTTTTGGTGTTATTTACTGTGTTGGACAGCTTTCCGCTTCAAAGTTTCAACAATACCGCCTAAAATATTGAAAAAATAAAATTTTAGTTTATTTATTAATTATTTAAACAAATACGAATGTAAACTTACTTTTTCGATGGGATTTACGATTCCGGAAGGCTTCTGTACGGTTTTCACGTTTTTCTTTATCTTGTTCTATTTTAAACAAATAATTATTAATGAATAAGTAACTATAAACTAAATTTTGTAAAAATATTTTCAAAACGTCATATCTCCGTTAATAATAAATAGATTTTAATGAGCAATACATCAAATGAAAGATAATTTCACCACCTTTAATTTGATGTATATATATTGTATATACACATGCGCAGTTCGCGGTAAATTGATTTTAAAAACATCACCTGTCCGATTTATGATTTTCTGAATTGTAACCTCAAATTCTCCTTCATAATCACCAAAAATCACCAAAGCTTCCCCATCCTGATAATCTCCACTCACATTAAACTCTACAATCGGAAACAATGTAATCTTAACTCACTTATTGATCATATAAACACTCACTTTGTAATTTCGCGCTGGTATAATCTCCGCCTTCCAATCTTACATAACAACCGCCATCAATTTCATAGGCAACCAACATAGCTTCACACTCATCATCGTAACACAAATACAAGCATTCTCCATCTATAATCATTCAAACAATTACACACACAATTACATACCGCAATGAAATAAAAACTCACTCGGATCACCACCCAGATAAATCTGCTGTGATAACCCAACGATAACAACAACGACAATCAGTAACTGATTAATACTCGCCGCCATTTTGTCAAGCTCACATTGTTATGATTCCATCTTGTAGCTTATATACTTTCGGTTTGTAATATTGATAAGATGCCCATTTCGAGATGATTGGATTCGATCGAAATGGCAACGGGCGGAATATTGCGACACAAATTGTTTATATTATTCTGGTCAATCGCGAAATGGATTAGCGCCAAATAAAGCGATTGAATAAATTGTGGGATGCTGATATAATATATTATAGTATCATAGACATTGCAAAGGTAAATATTCAAAAATTCAAACATTCAAATAGATTGAGGTTATGTTAACCTAACCTGGGATCATATGGCGAGAGTAATCTGCGCATGTTCATTGCACCATTATAGGCACCAGGAGGGGGGGAAGCACCAGGACCATTAGAAGATATCATAGTAGGTGGTGGTTGTTGTTGTAAATCAGTAATGAAAAACCTTCGTTTTTGTTGTTGTTGTTGCATCTGCTGCTGATGAAGTTGTTGTTGTTTGTAAAGTGATTCAAAAGTATGTGGATTAGAGGTTTGAGGTTGTTTTGGGTCAGGAGGTGAGTCATCCAACAACATCTTCCTTTCAATACCATCATCATCATCATCATCTTGATATTCATCACTTGGTATGTTATTCACCGGTGGGGCTAACTCAATCCCCCTCCGGAACCCAATATCAAACCCTGCTTGATCCCCACCCAATTGAAAGTTCTTCCGCTTGTAATAATCACTATCATCCTCGGAATCATCATCGTCACCTGTGGAGGTATCCATTCTGTTAATCACACCAATTCCGCCCTGTGGTGGTCCCATGGTGATGGAAAGACGTGGTAAGCCAGGTGGTGGTGAATGGTAGAATTGCATCAACATCGCTTCAAATTGTGGGTTCATCATCGAGAGGTACCTGGTATCCAGACACACCATCATGCTAAGAGCTAAACAGTACATTAAAACCTTCAATATTTTACGTCAGTCAATTGTTCTGAAAACAACTCCTATCAGATAATACTTACCTTGGCTTGGTGGTGGTTGCATCATTGGTGGAAGTTGCGGTTGTACAAAGCAATATGGTGGTATACCTGGTGGAAGGAATCCGCCTGGTTGCATTCCTGGTTGCATGAATCCCGGTTGCATGCCTGGTTGCATAAATCCCTGTTGATGGTGATTGAAGAAGCCCCCATTGATCATACCACCCCCACCCACACCTCCTTGAATTGGCATTTGTGGTTGCAGAATTGGCTGCACGCGTTGAATGATGACTGACAATAATATTGTCAATATGCCCAGCATGTTGCGTTGCGCCGTCGACATCATGGCCACCAACACTGCGAAATGGATGCCGCTGCAGATTGGATTGTATCTTTTTATAGCGCTGTTTTGATTGCCATGCGTTATTGCTTTCATTTGCGGACGCTTGTACAGAGATTTATTCTTGGAATTGGAATCGACTTTTTTGGGCAGGACATTCTTGGCGTTTATTTGTATCTTGATGTGTTCACAGTAGGCAATCATAAATCGCATTACTGCAATTGGTATTATTATATTTCAGTTTTGTGCGAACAATATTTGCAATTTATTTTATTGGTTATTGTTTGATTGATCAAACTGGGGCGGTTTTTAGGTGGAGTTGCAGAAAATGAAGTTATCCTGTTGATTTCAGGAGGATATTCTTATTAATTACTGAGATATTCAAGTTTTAAGGATTTGTTTGAGGTTAGGTTCATGTTACAACTCTTAAACTAAATTTTAAGGTTATGTTTGGTTGATTGATCAATCTGAGACTGATTTTTTTAGAATAAATGGCAGAAAATTCAGAAATATAGTTGATTTGAAGAGAAAATTCTTATTAATTACAGAGATATTCTAGTTTTAAGGATTTGTTTGAGGTTAGGTTCATGATACAACTCACAATCTAAAATTTAAGGTTATGTTTGTTGATTGATCAATCTGAGGTTGATTTTTTAGAATAAATGGCAGAAAATTCAGAAATCTTGTTGATTCGAAGAGGAAATTCTTATTAATTACTCAGATATTCAAGTTTCAAGCATTTATTTGAGGTTAGGTTCATGTTACAACTCATAAACTAAATATAACTAAATTATGTTTGGTTGATTGATCAATCTGAGGCTGAATTTTTAGAATAAATGGCAGAAAATTCAGAAATCTTGTTGATTTGAAGAGGAAATTCTTATTAATTACTGAGATAATCAAGTTTCAAGCATTTATTTGAGGTTAGGTTCATGATACAACTCACAATCTAATATTTAAAGTTATATTTGGTTGATTGATCAAACTGGGATTGTTTTGTAAGATAAATTGCACAAAATAACATAACTTCTTTGATTTGAGGAGGAAATTCATGTTAATTACGAAAAAAATCAAGTTTCAAGCATTTAATTGAGGTTAGGTTTATGTTACAACTGATATACTATATTTTAAGGTTATAATTGGTTGATTGATCAAACTCAGGCTGATTTTTAGATAAAATTACACAAAATTCACAAACCCTGTTGATTTGATGATCAAATTCATGTTAATTACACAGATATTCAAGTTTCAAGCATTTCTTTGAGGTTAGGTTCATGATACAACTCACAATCTAATATTTAAAGTTATATTTGGTTGATTGATCAAACTGGGATTTTTTGTAAGATAAATTGCACAAAATAACATAACTTCTTTGATTTGAGGAGGAAATTCATGTTAATTACGAAAAAAATCAAGTTTCAAGCATTTAATTGAGGTTAGGTTTATGTTACAATTGATATATTATATTTTAAGGTTATAATTACCCAAAATTCACAAACCCTGTGGATTTCAGGATCAAATTCATGTTTATTACACAGATATTCAAGTTTCAAGCATTTCTTTGAGGTTAGGTTCATGCTACAACTCACAATCGAACATTTACGGATATATTTGAATGAAAACATGTATAAATCAACTTATAACCTCAAAATCTATCCTAAAACACCAACAGAACTTGTTTTATGCTTATAAAACAAAATTCTAACCTAAAATTAAGCAAAACGCATGTTTTGTCAAGTTTTGAAGTTGGTACAAAGGTTGGTAAAACAATAAATAGCAATTTTCGATGCTGACATAATATATTTTATGCTTCTGATAACACTGCAACTTATTTATTTCTTATATTGGTAGGAAGTATAAGGACTATAAGGCATCATAAAATCACCTGCACCACCTACTGTACTCATTCCTCCACCATAACCTCCATAGCTACCACCCATTCCTCCTGTGAAACCTCCCAAGGGAACACCTAACGCTCCTGGGTAACCTCCCATTCCTCCTCCGAAACCTCCCAGGCTACCACCCATTCCTGGTCCGAAACCTGCAATGGGAGTACCCAAAGCGCCAGGGTAACCTCCCATTCCTCCTCCGAAACCTCCTAGGCTACCACCCATTCCTGGTCCAAAACCTCCAATGGGAGCACCCAATGATCCTGGGTAACCTCCCATTCCTCCTCCGAAACCTCCCACTGGACTCATCCCCCCTCCATAACCTATCATGCCCCCACCCATTCCCCCTCCATACCCTCCTCCTGCTCCTCCAACTAATGATGCCCAGTCAATACCACTACCACCATACCCACTTCCATACCCACTTCCATACCCACCATATCCTATCATGGATTGATGACTAGCCGCCATACTGGCTTGCGCACTCATATCGCTCGCGCTCATTGACCCCCCGTAACCCCCACCACCACTCATTGGTGGTAGGAACTGCTTCCGGTTCTCACCACTGTCTGCATCCGTCGAGGTGTCCATATACGTGTACGGTGCGTATTCATCTTCCATATGCTGCTGACCATACATCATACTCATACTCATATCCATACCACCCATGGGGGTTAACGTCAATGGTGGGAGACCCGGTGGTGGTGATTGTAGGAACTGCATCAGGGTCATCTCGAATTCAGGACTCATGAGTTGTAGGTATCTTGTGTCGAAGCACACGATGACCGCTGGAGGTTAAAAAACCATCAAAATATTAATGAGGTTATGTTGGTTATGGTAATGAATATGAATACTAACGTGGTGGTGCCATTGATGGTGGTGGTGCCATCGATGGTGGTATAAACGATGGGGGTGGAGGTAGGAATGAAGGTGGTGGGGGTAGGAACGTCGGGGGTGGAGGTGGGAAAGGTGTAAGAGAAGGAGTAGGAGGTATAAAACTAGGTGGGATAAATGGGGGTAAGGAAGGTGGAGGCATGGTTGGAGGTGGATAAAACTGAGGGAGACATTCAGGAGGTATACCACCAAACATCCCACCTCCCATACCACCTCCTCCTATACCCATACCACCTCCTGCTATACCCATACTACCTCCCATTCCTATCTGATTAATACCCCCACCCATTATCGGAGGTTGTATCGCTGGATATTGTTGCACGAACTGGGAGCCCATTTGTGAACCAATATGACCAAAACCCCCACCACCACCACCAGTTATCATGGGTGGAGTAACAGGGGCCATCATTGGAGGTGGTTGGGTCTGCATACCAATCTGATGACTTCCTTGTACCATACTACCAAAACCACCCATACCACCCATGCCACCACCCATACCACCCATACCAAACGCAGGTGATTGGGTTTGGGTTTGGGCTTGACCCATCCCAACTTGTAACATTGGTTCCCCATGAACAACAGTCGCCCCCCATAGTAACAGGAGCAAATGTAGAATTGACACACGTGTAGCCATGTTGACAGCTACCGAAAAACAAAATGGATGACTCGTCTTGCATCCTTTCTATCTATTTATACCCGATTTGATTGTTGGTCGTTATTGCGCTGATTCAGCATGCTTCATTATCGATATTATGTCGGAATCGATCGCGACTTTTTTGGGCAAATATTGAAAGCCGTTTGTAATTCGTCAATTTCACGCCGACATTAAGACATTGATTTGACGAGTGTTGAGAGTAATCATTCTGATGGGTTATTGTTTCGCGCCGAAACAATCACAAGCAGCTATGATGCTCATCACACAAAATGCATTTGATTTTATTATTGAATTTTATTCTTTCTGCAATTCAATTGCAATCGCGACATAACCTCCAAAGGTAATTATGCATCACTAGAGGAATGTATATTTGAGGTTAGGATATTGTTATTTATTACACCATTTGTGAAAAGAGGCCATACTTGTGATTTTTGGGATTTGGTGCGTTGACCACACTTGATGACTGAGTACGTAAAGCCCCATCTGTACTCAGTGAACTCTTCCCGTAGAATTCACTTCCCATGCCTACGGAACCATCAGCTTTTAGGTATCCATTCCCAAGACCATCTTGCATTCCAGGGTAGGAAGGACGTCCGTTTTTGGAGGTGCCTATTGGGGCATGTTTACCAGGAGCTCTACCCTCACCATTTGCAGTGATTTGTATATTGGTAGGACGGCCAAGCGCGGGGTTTGACACGGACAGTATGGGAGGTCGGTAGATTCTGGGCCATTGATCAGATGGACGTGCTTCCAAGGTGCCGAAATTCCACGGTTGAGACACTCCCCAATTACCCACGTTGCCATATCCATTGTCTGGATAATAACCACTCCAATAACCATCCATTCCACCGCCCCAACCATTTCCAGATCCACTGCCCCATCCGTTACCAGAACCACCGCCCCATCCGCTGCCCCATCCATTACCAGCTCCATGATCCCATCCACCACCCCAACCACTGCCAGCTCCACCACCCCATCCGTTACCAGATCCATCACCCCATCCACTGCCCCATCCACTACCAGCTCCATGATCCCATCCACCACCCCAACCACTACCAGCTCCACCACCCCATCCATTACCAGATCCACCACCCCATCCACTACCAGCTCCATGATCCCATCCACTGCCCCAACCACTACCAGCTCCACCGCCCCAACCACTGCCCCATCCGTTACCAGATCCACCACCCCATCCACTGCCCCATCCACTACCAGCTCCATGATCCCATCCACCACCCCATCCACTACCAGCTCCACCACCCCAACCACCGCCCCATCCACTATCAAGTCCAATATTATAATCAGGATCATAAAGGTCAGAATTATAATAACCCGGACCCACCGGATCCTGCATAGTAATACGAATCCTAGGTAAATAAGGATTAGTAGGACGGAAGAACTGCTGCAGGAGTTTATCCTCTAGGTAGGCAGCATATTCCCCTAACTCGTAGAAATGCCTCGAATCCAAACAGATGGTATCTATCAAAACAAACACCTCAAAACCCACCCCAAACACATAATAACCCTAAATAACTTACAAACTCCTTCAGGTTTCCGGATAGGGTAATTGGGGAACTCATAACCTCCACCCCAACCACCACCACCATTACCACCACCTCCCCAACCATTTGGATATCCATTTCCATTTCCTCCTCCACCCCAACCTCCTCCCCAACCATCTCCGTAAGGCGGGTAGCAAAGCGGGTTGATCGCGGGATTCATATAATCCCATGGGAGTTGCTGCACCCTCACTCCAGGTACCACCAACCCTATGAGCACCACCAATATGGAAAACATCTTGTTGCCAACAGTAGAAGGTGTTGTTGTGGTTGCAGACATCTTGACTACCAGTGTGACAAACATCTAAGCTCAAGCTGGCAATTTATACACGTTTGGGTCGTTACAAACCGGTTATTGGATTCGTTTGACCAAAATTGGGCTATTAACTCGATTTATCATGCGTCATAGAACCATATAATTGGTCGACAAGCTTATTTCACGCCGTTAACGTTGACACATTGTCGCAATCAGTGAAAAACACGCAAACATTTACCGAAAACATGCTTTTTTTTTATTAAAATGGCGTCGGTGTATCAATTAGACATTTAAACAAAATGAAGCATTATTCAATACAATCTTATCAAGCTGATTGAAGTTAGGATACAGTCCAAACAACTCCATGATGACATTTGTTACCATTTTTAATTGATTCTCACTGTTGACAGCCAGACTTAGGAACGCAGCGAGTTTCTCTTGGGTTTTGACATCTAGAAGTTTTGACAGCTCGAGTGGATAATCGGTTCCCACGTTGACGAAACCTTGAAACACTCCCACGTTGAAATTATACAACGCAAGTGTAGTCTTTGGCCATCCTGGTGTAGAATCAAAACCTACAACACAGTTAGACATGCACACGACGGCAAACAAAATGGCGGCGGTGGTAACCATCTTGTTTCAAGTACAAACAGCGATTGAATGTTGTTAAACAATGTATGCTTGTTTTATTTCACAAAATAAACGCTTTAATTCATTAATTTTCCGGATTATTTTGTAATTAACCAGTAATTATTTAATTAATGATATCTTAATTGATTTAATGCAAAATTACATTATATAAAAAGCATATAAAGAAAATAAATTGATTTGCATGGTGTCATTGTGCGTGGGCGAAGTTTATCACTGGGAAAATACAAGTTTAATCAGTGAGAGTTTATTTTTATAGGTTATGTGTACAAAAACACATTATTTTTGTTTTACAGCTCAATTGTTTATTTTCTACAATGAATAAACTATGGTAATCATGTCCAGGCATAAAATCAAACAAATAAATCATATTTAATCAGTTTATTGCATGTTTTTAGGTTAGGATTGTATAGTTATGACATTTCTATCACCATAACCAAACTTGTGGTGTTTGTGGTTATGTTTCATGTCTTCTTTATGGTGGTAACCACCCCATAAGTGCAAATCACCCATATTATCATTATGACCATTATTGTAATCATAATCGATCCATTGTGGAATGCCTTTGTATGGATTTGGGTCATAAGTTTGATATTTAGGTGATTTTGTTTGTTTGTATACAGGGAATTGATATGTTGGAGGTGTTGGAGGTATGAAAGGTGTGTAAGGTTCGGAAGGTATGAAAAGTGTGGAAGGTGTTGGAGATGTGGAAGCTGTTGGAGGTATGAAAGGAGTTGGAGATGTGGAAGATGTTGGAGGTATAAAAGGTATTGGAGATGTGGAAGGTATTAGAGGTGTAGGTGATGTTGATGGTAACATAGGGGTACCATCTGTTATCTTGGGCATACCATCACAGAATATAGGGTTGTTGAAGGTGATTTCTTTGGGTTCACCTCGGTACAACCCAAGTAGTTCTAATATTTGACGGATGATTAGTTTTAATTGATGGTAGGTCATATGTGGTACCCTCAAAAGGTTAATAAAAGGTTGTAGAGTAGGTTCTGTAAGCATAGGAAGGGTTTGGTTTGATCCAAGGAGGATAAATAGCTTAAGACCATTTATAGGGATGGTGAAGGTTATAAAGATGTGCAAAGGCTTTAAAGGTTTGTTGATAGTTACATTAATAGTTGTAATGGGTTTAGGTGTAGGTTTAGTTGTGGTTGTGGGTCTTGTAGTTGTAGTTGTAGTTCTGGGTCTTCGAGTTGTAGTTGTAGTAGTTGTAGTTGTGGTAGGGTAAGTAGGGTAAGTTGTTGTGGTGGTAGGTCTTGGTGTTGTTGCTGTAGTAGTGGTAGTAGTAGTAGTAGTTGTTGTAGTGGTAGGGGTAGTTGTTGTTGTTGTAGTTGTTGGAGTTGTGGTATAACGATGATGACGATGATGACGATGATAACACTTCCAATGATGAAAGAAACCTTCGGAATCTTCAATGTAAACCGCTACCAACAACACCAACAAGATGGCGGACACAGTCTTAACGGAAACCATAATTAGCAATGAAGTTATCACGCACAAAACACGAGTTTTAAGTAAATTTTACGAAACTAATTGATTATTATGCAGAAAATTGAGGAAAAAAGCGTAAAATAACCTCAAATGACATGCAAAAACACATGTAAATCATAATTGGACATAATCAGATTAGTTCCAGTGTGTAATTATACATAACCAACAACATAACCTCAATAAAACCATAAAAAACACTTTTAACCTCAAAATAACCTCAAAAAACCAAAAAAACGGAAAATAAAAAAAAACAAAAATGATTGTAATCAATATATATTTATTCATAGCAATATCATTCAATTATCATTTCAAGGTATATGTGCATCAGTCACAACCCCTGCCCAATTATCCATGGTATCATTATCCGTGCTATTGAGCCCCTGCCACTTATAATAACTCGTCTGCGTAGATTCCGGCACATCCTTCTTCTTATCATACAAATTCTTATGATAATTAACCATCCCACTCCCATTACCATAATACACCGGATTATTCACCACCATAGCCTTGGTCTGCTTCCTAAACGGCTCATACAACCCAAACGTCTCCAGAATATCCTTGGTAATCATCTGTAGTTGATGTTTGGTCTCATCAGGCACATTCAACACAGATCTCAATTGCGCAACACTCGGTATACCATGCATGTGTCCCATGGGGTAATCACTGCCTATTTCAAGACTACCATGATATCCACCAAGGGTGAACCTCATTGCTGTTATTAAATATTTAGGACGATGAACTAAAAGATATAATATAAAATAACCTCAAAATTAATTGAGTTAGGAGATGTACCACAATATGCTGCTTGTGTAAGTGCAACAAGAGCACACAAAATGGCCGCCTGAGGAACCATATTCACTTGTGCAGTGTTCGAATGATAAACTACTTATGAAACATAATCCGGAGCGATTGAATGTTTACGGTTTGCTTCCGGCTACGACAACGAATTCACACAATGGGTCATTAATTATCCTCAGCGCAGCGAGTAATTAACTTTCGGCATGCATGACCAGCATCACAATGAAATCCGACCATAAATATTAACACTGTGAAAGTGTCAAACTATTTCATAACCTTAAATGATGCATGTTTTATCTGTTAATAATTGATGACACATTGGGTGTTGACGCATAACCTCACTTGTTAACCTTAAATTAACATTTTTAACTTTATCACTACGAAAATTCAATAAAACTCAGGCCGAGGTATTGATTATTCTTGATTTTAATACAAAACAACAATTGTTTATTATAAGCGTATCCACCATGCATTGTTACAGCGGATGTAATCAACATTATTCACCCACGTATCGAAGATTACGCATTCAAACGTCAACCTTTTGTTTTGTAAGCATCTCTATTCATTCATTTAACGATGAGTTTACATAATATATTATAACATAATATCATAACATTCAAGCGATATTGTTGACCTAACCATCATTTTCTCCCATTTAGTTGGCGTTGTTGATATCATAACCTAAATCATTAGCGTGGTTGGCAAATGCTTTACGTGCCATGTTGTTGACCTGACCACCGTTAGCACCCATGTAATCAGCGTTGTTGACATCGTATGAAAGGTCCGCTGCCCAGTTGTTGACTTGACCACCATTGTGACCGTAATAGTTAGGGTTGTTTACTCTGTAGAGGAAAGCCTTGCGGGCCATGTTGTTGACCTGACCACCTCCTCCTCCCATGTAGTTGGCGTTGTTGACATCATAACCTAAATCAGCAGCCCAGTTGTTCACCTGACCACCTCGGTTACCATAGTAGTTGGGGTTGTTAACGCGGTAAGCGAATGCTTTACGTGCCATTTTGTTGACTTGACCACCACGAGACCCGAAGTAATCAGCGTTGTTGACATCGTAGGAAAGGTCCGCTGCCCAGTTGTTGACTTGACCACCATTGTGACCGTAATAGTTAGGGTTGTTTACTCTGTAGAAGAAAGCCTTGCGGGCCATGTTGTTGACCTGACCACCTCCTTCTCCCATGTAGTTGGCGTTGTTGACATCATAACCTAAATCAGCAGCCCAGTTGTTCACCTGACCACCTCGGTTACCATAGTAGTTGGGGTTGTTAACGCGGTAAGCAAATGCTTTACGGGCCATGTTGTTCACCTGACCACCTCCTTCTCCCATGTAGTTGGCGTTGTTGACATCATAACCTAAATCAGCCGCCCAGTTGTTTACCTGACCACCTTGATGACCATAGTAATTTGGGTTGTTCACCCGTATCTGCATTGCCTTACGGTAGTAGTAGGGGTAGTAGTAGGGGTAGTAGAACTGCGCCGAGGCAACTGAAACAGATTTGATGGTAGGTTATGTTGTTCTAGAGGGTGTTGTTGTAGATGATGTGATGTACTTTGTGCTACGGCCGCTAGGCAGACGAGGGCGACAATTGTGGATGATCCCATTGTGTTTTTTGAAGGAGTGCTCGTTGATGGTGATCTTGATGGTATGCCGGGTATTTATACATGTCTCAAGCATACTGGTGGCCACCCACCTCGTCGTAAATTTTATCTCTTATCATTCGACGCGTAATTTCTTGCTTCAAATGATTTAATCAGAAATATATTTTATTATGCTTTTGCATTAAATATAATACATTTTATTGCCCGAGGCGCAATTGAATTATTATCACCTCGACTGATTAAAACTTGCAAAGGGTTAACAGGTAGAAGCGTGCGGGTGATAAATATATTTTAGAATAATTAAATTATAGGTTAAGTGGGTTTGGTAGGTTAGTAGACGGCGACATGGTGATCGTGTGCCATGGCGGCATCATGATGGTCGTGGTGTGCATGGTGGTGGTCGTGATGGGTCACAGGGATGCACTCGACGCCCATTTCGTCCACGTGGTGTTCATGCCCGGCGGCGATTTCAGCGTTGCGGGAGAATTGATGGTGTTCCAGGGATGGGGATTCGTGGAATACCTCGAATTGATGCGAGGAGGCTTCATGGGCGAAGTCTTCGTTGGATGCATGGAAACTCATCCCGGATGGGCCGTGATGGTGGGCTACTTCCGAGGAGGAGGCGGACATTGCTGCTTGGGATTGGTGACCTGCGGCGGCGATCATACCTCCACCGGAAGCCATTCCCATTCCTCCTCCGGAAGCCATTCCACCGGAAGCCATGCCCATACCAGCAGATTCATATCCTCCATAACCTCCGGAAGCCATACCTCCTCCCATATGACCATGGGACATGCCCATACCTCCTGTTTCAAAACCACCGGAAGCCATTCCCATACCACCAGCCTCAAAACTTCCTCCGGCCATACCTCCATACCCTCCAGAAGCCATACCTCCTCCCATGTGACCATGGGACATGCCCATACCTCCAGTTTCGTATCCACCGGAAGCCATACCCATACCACCAGTTTCAAAACCTCCGGAAGCCATTCCCATACCACCAGCTTCAAAACTTCCTCCGGCCATACCTCCATACCCTCCAGAAGCCATACCTCCTCCCATGTGACCATGGGACATACCCATACCTCCAGTTTCAAAACCTCCGGAAGCCATACCCATACCACCAGCTTCAAAACTGCCACCAGCAGCCATACCTCCATACCCACCGGAAGTCATACCCATACCTCCAGTTTCAAAACCTCCAGAAGCCATACCCATACCACCAGCCTCAAAACTTCCACCAGTGGCCATACCTCCATACCCTCCGGAAGCCATACCCCCTCCAACATGATGATGTGCCATACCAGTATTCATACTACCCATACCCATACCAGCTGATGATTCAAACCCTCCTGCACTGATCCCACCCATCTGTTGATGAGAGTGCTGGTGTGACGCGGCAGCCATTTGCTGTTGCTGTTGTTGATGATGGTGTGCCATCTGCATCTCAGCCGAGTGTTGCGCAGCTGCCGCGGCCGCCATTTGCATTTCCATAGAGTGTTGTTGTTCGTACTGCGCTTGGTGTTGATGCGCCATACCAAAATCAGCCGCGGCTGCCTGTTGATGATGTTGCTGGTAACCCATTCCTATTTCAGCAGAGTGTTGTTGCGCTGCTTCAAATTCAGCAGCCGCGGACATTTGTTGTTGTTGTTGTTGTTGTTGTTGGAAGTGATGATGATGAGCCATTTCAGCGGATTGATGCGCAGCCGCCGCCATTTGCTGTTGTTGGTGATGATGGTGCGCCATCTGCATTTCAGCAGATTGTTGAGCTTCAAATTGCGCAGCAGCCGCCATTTGCTGTTGCTGTTGTTGTTGATGATGGTGTGCCATAGCTATCTCAGCAGATTGCTGCTGTTGAGCTTCAAACTGCGCAGCCGCAGCCATTTGCTGTTGCTGCTGTTGTTGATGATGGTGATGTTGCGCCATTTGCATTTCCGCAGAATGTGCGGCTTCATACTGCGCAGCAGCCGCCATCTGTTGTTGTTGTTGCTGCTGTTGCTGGAAATGATGATGCGCGGCCATTTCAGCAGATTGCTGTTGTTCAAACTGCGCAGCCGCAGCCATTTGCTGTTGTTGCTGATGATGGTGCGCCATTTGCATTTCCGCAGAATGCGCAGCTTCATACTGCGCAGCAGCGGCCATTTGCTGTTGTTGTTGCTGTTGATGATGATGCGCCATAGCAATCTCCGCAGAATGCGCTGCTTCATACTGCGCAGCCGCAGCAGCAGCCTGTGCTATCTGTGCTTGCTGCGTCTCAAACTGCATACCACCATATTGATGACCCATACCAAAATCAGCAGCTTGATGATGGTGATGATGATGCTGCGCCATTTCAGCAGCGGCCATTTGCTGTTGCTGCTGTTGTTGTTGCATATGCGCCATTTGCATCTCCGCAGATTGCTGTTGTTGCTGTTGTTGCTGTTGATGATGATGCGCCATAGCCATCTCCGCAGCCTGCGCAGCAGCCATCTGCTGCTGATGCGCTTGCGCAATCTGCATCTCCGAACTCTGCATACCCATATCACTAATCTGCGCAGCCTGTTGATGTTGCTGATGCTGCGCTGAATACATCATAATCATCTGATAAAACTCCGCCAGACAATACAAAGGCTTCCTCAGCATCATAATAAACGGATCATGATGGTATTGCTCAAAAAATCCATCAATGACATGCATATTCATGTCTTGCGCGCAGATCCCACCCGCTGATGACATAATGGCGCGTCCCTCCGCCATGGCCAGCAGCATCACCACCGGCACGAACAGCATCGTCCATCTTAACTCGCCCTTTCTCGCCATCGCTAACACTGACTCTGACCATCTCCCCAGCGCACCATCCGCATAAATTCATTCCTGACACAATGCACGATTAGTCCGGATGGGCAGCCATTAGCGACAAGATGGCCGCACAAATTGTGCGGAAAATTATCGCCGGCCAACTTCGAATATAATTGGCTTGTTAAAATACGAGCAACATTCATTTTAACAATGAAATATGTAGCAGTGATTTAACAAGCAACCCACCGGCAATCAATCATATTAAATTCGCTGCATTCAAAACATCACAAAATAAAAATCACACACACATATATAAAAAAAGGAGCAAAGTTGAAAGTTGACGGGATTACATCATGCGTGTAATCTTCTTGGCGCAGAGGCGTGGGTCAAAAGTCATCGATTAAATCGCAAATGCCGCGTTGCGAATCAATTTCGCGCCGATGTGTGAATCGCAGTTATCGCGAGTGTTTAATGCCGCGCATCGCGGAAACGACACCATTCGCCATTGTTTCACTCGTTATTTTTTTCGCCCGTGATTTATGATTATCGCCAGCGTGCGCAATAATTGCCGAATTTGCGTCTCGTTGTTACTTAGCGCACATAAACACAAGCGTCCGCACTCCGCATGCGCTTGTTAGTCAAATAATATTAATCACAACGCGCAACAAAATAATACAATTTCATTGGCGCAACTAAAAAACAATCGTCTGCGTGTTTTTTTATTATTATTATAGAAATTGTCGCCGTTAAAAAATACTCGACCACAGACATGCTTACATTCGCAAATCAAAAATACACACTCAACGTTTATGCGCGCGTCGAATCGAATTGATTTCACGCTGAAAACTTACACGTTTGGCACGCAAGTCAAACCATTTAATTTTTAGTGTTTTTTTTTTTCGTTTCGTTGTGCTTGCGCAAAGACGGAGACAAGTTCGTTTTATACATCTTATATCGTAATTTCTAGTCTAGATATAATACTCGCTTGTTCGTTTCTTCTTCTTCGCCTTAACCTAGCGCCTAGCGTTTATAATCTTAATTAAAAGTACGTTTTTGAGGTTAGTTTAGGCAAGCATCGCTTTAATCTCGCTGTTTTCCGCTGAGTCCATGTAACTTGTGCCGTCGGGCGCAACGCCATCTTTACAAGCACCCTAAACACACAAATTTATATAAAAATCATCATGATTTGTTAATATTTCATTAAATACCTTCTCAATCAATAATTTTACACACTCCTTGTGTCCTTCCCATATAGCAGCCAGTATAGCCGTGATTCCATGCTTGTCTTTTGACTGTAAATCATAAAACTCACATAAATAAACACACATATATTACAGGAATCTGTAATACGTACATTTACATTGGCTCCGGCTGTTATCAAGTACTCAATCACCGCTTTTTGACCGTAATCAGCCGCGTAGAGTATCGGTGGACGTCCGTCAATCTCCTGATTGACATTTACAGCCTTAAACAAACAATAAACACTTTGAAATATAAATAAATACACTGTATATAATTTAGCTACGCTAACGCCGTCTAGCGGTGTTTAGTGGAAGTGTATAACAGCTGACGGCGTCGGAAATGTCAAACGTCATCGCATCAAACAGCATCTTTGTTTATTCCATGCATAATTAACCACTTTGCGCGAAATTCACCATGGAAACCATGCAAATTTTTAATGCATTTATAGGCTGCTTATCATGCTTCGTAATAGTTTGCACGCGCTGTGGGTGTGTGTATATATGACTGTTACGGTCGGCGTTTTGTTTGTGTTTTTTGTGTGTTCGGCTCACCTTTTTCTCGACAATGTCTTTCACCTGCTCGAGGTCGCCGTTCTTGATGCCCCAGACCAATTCGCTCATTGCTGTTATCTGAGGGTGGCTGCGATATGGAATGATAGGTGATAAAGTGCTGGGTTTATCGCTTTTCCGAACGCTGCACGCAGTCGGCACGAACGCTGTGTGGCTGTGTGGTATAACCTTGACGCGACCTTGAAGCGCAACTGTCAAAACGCAAAACTTAATAAAAACGCTTTAAATTCAAATTATTAATTAAAAACTTTGATTAGATAATGATTTAATGTTGTAATAATTAAATTAATTATTTATTTAAAGATTTAAATGTGTTTTAGGTTGTTTTTTAAGATATTTAGAGAAATATTGTTAAATTTTTGACAGATTATCAATATTTGTTTGTTTTTCTAAGTTTTTGATTGTTTAACAACTTTTACAACTATTTCTTTGTTTAAAAACTACCAATCTTTAGTTTATAATTACTTTTGGTCGATTAAACCTTCATAATTGACAATAACAATTGTATACAAATGATTGACGCACAATCGGCCATTTTGTCCACTTGGAAGCCATGTCCCCGTGTATAAAACAGCAGGAATTGGCACCGCGACCGCATTTGAGTAATTTCCTTACAAAATGCAGCTGAAACTGATTATTATCTTAATAATTATCGTCGTTGGATGTCTGGCCCATCGAAAAGATGGATTTTCTGATAAAAGGAAACATCGCAAGCAACGTCCCGATACGCACTATTCAACACGTGCAGATTCTGAATCTTTTGAGCTAGATAGTGGAGAAGGACCTGCAGCTAAAAGTGAAGAAGATTCTGGTTCTGTTGCGGCCAGTAAGCACACGAAGAGGAAATATTATTATGGCGGTCATTATGGCATGGCTTGGGTGTAAAATGATTGTAACCAGCAATAAAGACACAGAATGGTAACATAGAATTTGTATTTTACTAAATATAACCTGATTGTTTTGTAAATTTTGTAATTTTTGATGATTTCTCGTTGAAAATGAAATGTTTTTTTATGATTATGTAATTGGGGATTGTTAATTAATAAATTACCTATGAAATGACATAAATTTGAGTACCATGGGAACATTCTGTGGGGTTTTAGAAGGGTTTAAAGTTGGGGAATAACATAACCTAGTGAAAATGCTTTGGTTATGGTCAAAGTCAATTTATCTGTGTAATAACAAATTGAAACTTTGAGGAGATGGACCAATCTTGTAGAGAATTAAATTATCTATCACATGACATTAATATCAAGAAATTTGATCAAATATTGATGGAGTTATAAGAGTGTAAAGTTGATTGAAGATGTTTCATTGAAAAATTTATGTTTTTTGTATATTATAATGAATATAACCTAGAAATGTGTCTTAATTATGCATATTTTTACTATCATCTTAAAGCCAAATAAATTATCTATCAAATGATACCAATATCATTAAATTTGATGCAATATTGACCAAGTTACAATGATGTAAAGATGATTGTAGTTCTTTCAATAAACAATTTGTGCTTTTCTCTACATTTTATCAAATATAACCTACAAATTTCCATCAAATTTAAAAAAAAAAATATTACCTGATTCCCAATTAAATTATCTATTAAATGACATTAAACTCAATAAATTTGATGAAATATTGACCAAGTTACAAGAATGTAAATGTGATTACAGTTCTTTCAATAAACAATTTATGCTTTTTTTTTACATTTTACCAAATATAACCTACAAATATCCATCAAATTATATCAAATTACCAATATCTGATACCCAATTAAATTCTCTATCAAATGATACCCGATTTATAACTAAACTATAAAATCTCAAGAATTTACCAGGATGTAAAATTAAGACTTCAATAAAATGAATCAAAAAACACATGTATATAAGATTGCATATGGTTATTTATTAAATCAGAATAGTCCATGTAAGCAAGAGCAATATTGATCTATCTGGATTCATCGGAGCCACTGCCTTCCTGCCTCGCATTCTGCTTACGATTGCCGTGCTGCTTGCGGAAGTCGTGTTGCTTACGGAAATCGTGTTGCTTGCGGGCACCATGCTGCTTGCGGCCATCATGCTGCTTACGCTCGATACTAGCAAGTTCCTCTTCAACTTCCTCCTCCAACGCCTCTCTGGCTTCCTCCTCATCACAATCAGACGACTGCCTTGCTTCCGCATCTTCCAAGACCTCCTCCAGTTGTTCTCGGGACAACTGCCTCGCCCCTTCGATGATTTCAGCCACCGTATGGATTTCTTCCGAATCTACTTTACGATGCTTTGCCATGGTGGGTACGGCAAGAGCGATAAAGGCGACAGCCAGGAGGAGAACTACTTTGTTTGCCATCTTGTTGGGTTGCTATTGCTGTCTTGGAACAGATGCTTTTAACTTCGTCAGTTGGCTGTATTTATACCCACATAACCTATTTTACTTACAATGCAATCATTTCTATTGATTTTTGTTTGGATTTTATTGATTTACGGCTATTGTTATGAACAAATGATATGGGACCTTATCACATTTTAAAGATAATAAAATTCTCTATCATTTTCAGGTAAGTTTGTATTTGTAGGTTAAAACACAAAAAAGTTACAGACGTTTGAAGTTGGGTATGTAACCAAAATGACATTTTTTACATTTTGTTTATTTATGCCATAACTACAAACAAATCTCAATGGGATAATCTCCTATCTTATAGAGTATTAAATTCCCTACAAGTTGATATCAAATTTATATAAATCTATCAAAAATTACAAGTTTTACAACATTCTAAAATCATAATAATAAGTTTCTATGGATGTATATTGATTTGGTTTGGTTTTTATTGATTTACGGCCATTGTTATAAACAAAATGTTATGGGACCTTATCACATCTTAAAGATAATAAAATTCTCTATCATTTTCAGCTAAGTTCACACTTGTAGATTAAAACACTAAAAAATTACAAGCGTTTGAAGTTGGTTATGTAACCAAAATGACATTTTATACATTTTGTTAATTTACCCCATAATTACAAACAAATCTCAATGGGATAATATCCTATCTTATAGAGTATTAAATTCTCTACAAGTTGATACCAAATTTATAAAAATCTATCAACAATTACAAGTTTTACAACAATTTAAACACATAACAATGAAACTAAAACACAATTGCCCACGCATCATTTACTCCAGCGCTGATTGCATTGAAGCAAACCACATCTTTGAGTATAAATACACCTCCCTGGCAAAGTCGGAATCATCTGTTCCAAGATAGCAAAAGGAAGTCAAACAACATGGTCAGCAAACAAGTTCTCCTGCTGGTGGTTGCCTTCATCGGCCTAACCGTAGCTCATCCCAACGCCCGCCAAGAAGAAAACGCAGAAGATGAATTAAAATTGGTCGATAAGATCACAGCGGACGTGATTAACATGCGACCGGAAGACCGTGAAGAGGTCCTGGAGCATGTAGAGGAAGCGAACGAGGAACGCGCTGATGAGCTTGGCTCCGATGAGGAAGAGCACCGCGAAGAGTTGCGCACGATTGACAACCAGGAAGCCATCCATCATACCCTTGAAGAAGCCGAAGGTGAGCATGGTCGCAAGCAGCATGATGCCCGCAAGCAACATGATGCCCGCAAGCAGCACGACAATCGTAAGCAGCATGCGAGGCAGGAAGGCAGTGACTCCGATGAATCCAGATAGATCAATATTGATTTTGTTCGCTTGGACTATTCTGATTTAATAAATAACCATATGCAATCTTATTCACTTCATTTCAATGCTTTCCTGTACTTTATAACCTATAATATTTGTGTTTTTAGAGGTTATTACATTGATTGCACAAGTTTTCTGTCAATCACATCTTTAAACGCTCATATCTCGGTTAATTTCCAACCGAATTTAATGATCTTGGTGTCAAATGAAAGATAATTTAATTGTTTATAACCTACATTAATAACAATTTGCATTTTGTTATGTTTGCATAGATTTTTTTGACGTTTTAATAAATTTTTCATACTTTTGTGTTTCTTGTGTAAGTATGGTTGCATATAATGAATACACATGTCCAGATTGATGTTTACAGTAACCTGTTGCTAATATCAACAATACAACCCAATCTATCAATGGTCTATTAACTTAAAACAAGTAAACAGATAACATAACGCGTGAAATAATGGTTTATTGCCTTTACGAAGTAACAATTACAAGTTTTACAACAATTTAAACACATAACAATGAAACTAAAACACAATTGCCCACGCATCATTTACTCCAGCGCTGATTGCATTGAAGCAAACCACATCTTTGAGTATAAATACACCTCCCTGGCAAAGTCGGAATCATCTGTTCCAAGATAGCAAAAGGAAGTCAAACAACATGGTCAGCAAACAAGTTCTCCTGCTGGTGGTTGCCTTCATCGGCCTAACCGTAGCTCATCCCAACGCCCGCCAAGAAGAAAACGCAGAAGATGAATTGAAATTGGTCGATGAGATCACAGCGGACGTGATTAACATGCGACCGGAAGACCGTGAAGAGGTGCTGGAGCATGTAGAGGAAGCGAACAAGGAACGCGCTGATGAGCTTGGCTCCGATGAGGAAGAGCACCGCGAAGAGTTGCGCACGATTGACAACCAGGAAGCCATCCATCATACCCTTGAAGAAGCCGAAGGGGAGCATGGTCGCAAGCAGCATGATGCCCGCAAACAGCATGATGCCCGCAAGCAGCACGACAATCGTAAGCAGCATGCGAGGCAGGAAGGCAGTGACTCCGATGAATCCAGATAGATCAATATTGATTTTGTTCGCTTGGACTATTCTGATTTAATAAATAACCATATGCAATCTTATTTACTTCATTTCAATGCTTCCCTGTGTATTATAACCTATAATATTTGTGTTTTTAGAGGTTATTTCATTGATTGCACAAGTTTTCTGTCAATCATATCTTTAAACGCTTATATCTCGGTTAATAATCAACCGAATTCAATGATCTTAGTGTCAAATGAAAGATAATTTAATTGTTTATAACCTACATTAATAACAATTTGTATTTATTTATGTTTTCATATATTTTTTTGACGTTTTAATAAATTTTTCATACTTTTTGTGTTTCTTGTGTATGTATGGTTGCATATAATAACCACACATGTCCAGAATGATGTTTCCAGTAACCTGTTGCTAATATCAACAATACAACCCAATCTATCAATGGTCTATTAACTTAAAACAAGTAAACAGATAACATAACGCGTGAAATAATGGTTTATTGCCTTTTACGAAGTAATGACAACATGAAGGTATAAATGCGCCACCTGCGTGTGTGACAATATTCATTTCAAGCTTTTTCATCAATCAAAATGCTTCAGAAACTCGTGTTTGTTTTTTCGTTGCTTTTCTTGGGTTTTCGTCGTCGTCAAGACGTGTACTGGATCCGAAGCTTCCGCATCTTGCGATATTAATGGATATGTTGACGGATGTGTTTATAAGAACGGTTCAAGGCATGGAGACACCTGAAGTACATGATTTCATGATACATTATCCAATACATCCGACGATGCGAAGGGAGAAAGATGAGACTTATAAGCAGTGGGATATGAAACTGCGAGCGCAGATTAAGAAGGAATTGGCGAAGAAGATTGCGCGATTGCGTAATAAGGATAAGGATAAGAACAAGGAGAAGGAAAGGGAAAGATATTTCAGATATGAATGAAAGCATCTGGTATATATTCTTTTATTATTTGGGTAATTCTGTCACAAAATATATTATTAATAAAGCATGAATATGATTATTTTGTTTTTATTTTAGATGTTTGCTAAGTTTCAAGGCCTGTAACTTTTTTAGTTTTTGTGCTATAATAATAAATTAAGTATTATTGTATGGAGAATTTATTTGTGGTTTCTTTGAAGGTAGTTGGTAGAAGTTTACGAGTTATTTGTAGGTTATATCTGGTAAAATGTACAAGAAACCACATTGGTGTTGCTGATACTTGTACTATGAACTTCACATCCTTGTAACTTGGTCAGTCTTTTATCAAATTTAATGATCTTCGTGTCATTTGATAGATAATTTCATTAGCTTCAAAACGATGTATAAACTATGCATATGCAATGCATATTTCTAGGTTATATTCACTAAAACCTACAAAAATACAAAATTATCACTAACACGTCTACCATCAACTTTGCAATCTTATAACTCGGTCAATCTTTTATCAAATTTGTTGATGTTAGTGTCATTAGATAGATAATTTAATTATCTATAAGATAAAACTTAACCTCAAACTTTATATTCGTTTCAGTGTCAATTATCTAACAAAATGTGAACGAAAGCACTATTTTAGCAGATTTTGTCCTGTCATTATTTATTTATCAACTTTACAACCCTGTAACTTCTTCAATTTTTACACTCTAACAACGAATAAAACATCATATGATAGATAATTTAATTGGCTATAAAACGATATTAATATTATACACATTCCATATATATTTCTAGGTTATATTCATTAAAACATACAAAAAATACAAAATTATCACCTAAACATCTATAACAAATTTCAAACCCTTATAACTCCTTCAATATTTGATCAAATTTATTGACAATACCATCATTCAATAGATAATTTAATCCTCAACAAAACACAAAAACTCCACATGAATCCATCAATTATTACTCCTTCAATTCACTAAAATTCAACACAATATCCTGCTTGGACTTAAGCGTAAAACCATTACAATCCCAAACGAGTTTATCCGGTGTACCATCAGTCCTGCTAACCTCAAACTTGGACAAAATAGAAACCAAACCAACCTTCACTTGCATCAAGCCAAAACGCAACCCTAAACACAAAACAAACAACAATCACCATCAATTTAACTAAATAACATAAAAATATATTAGAGACGTACCAATACACTTCCTAGGCCCTTCCCCAAAGGGCATATAAGTACAACCACGGATCTCATCCCTCCTACCAGCCGAAAACCTCTCAGGATCAAACACTTCCGGTTGTGGGAAGTACTCGGGATCCATATGTAGTGCCAACGTAGGTATTATTATCTTCTCACCTTGTTTCAAGGTCAAATTCTCATCGACCTGGTATTCCTCTGTACACTCACGATTCAAAAATGGTAAAACCGGATATAACCTCAATGTTTCTACAAATTACAACCGTAGAGATCAAAAATTTAGATTTTTAAAAACTTTAAAAGTTTGGTTATGTTTTGTTATGTTTTAGGAGGGTACCTTCAACAACCTGATCCAAATACTTCATCCCCATGACTTTTTCATAGGTTAGGACACCATCCGGAAAAGTCCTCCTGATTTCCTCACGACATTTTCTCTGTATACTAATATCCCTACTTAATTCATACAGCAGGTACCCTAAAGTGGTCGAAGACGTCTCGAAACCAGCGATAAAGAACACAAAAGACTGCGCAGCGAAATCCTTCTTATCCAAAAGTCCTTGATCTTCAAGTTCCAGCAAAATATCAAGGAAATCATTACGTTTCAAGCCTTTTTCTCGACGCATTTTGATGGTATCCCTCACTACTTCAATAAAGAAGTCACTGACATCTTGCGGGATGAATTTAACACCCAGTATTTGACACCACCATGGCCATAACATGGAAGCGAGACGCATGAGGGTTTTACCTGGGGAATACTCGAAGATTTTACGGGTATACCTGCGGAATTCGCTTTCTTCTGAGCCTAGACCTCCGCAATCCAAGCCGAATGCGCAGGAGCCGATTACTTCCATTGAGTAACATGCGAGGACTTCACGGACGTCGCCGTGGTAGTGTTTTAGTTTGTTTACAAGATGGCCGGAGCATTGGGTTAAGATGGCAAACATTGATTGCATTTTACCTAAGGGTAAATATAGATATAAGAGTTGAGAGGTATTATAACCTATAAATTTGTTTTTTGTAGGTTATATTTGTGAGTATATGTGAATGATTGTACAAATTTTGTGTCAATCAAAACTTTGAAGTTGAATATCTCGGTTAATAATAGTCCAAAATTATTGATATTAGCGTCATTTTGTAGATAATTTAATTGTTTATAATATAAAGTAATAATAATTTCAATTTATTTAAGTTAAGTCATGTTTTTTTGGTTAAATAAGTAAAAATTTCATGTTTTGGTGTTTTAACGCCTAATTTTAGTCTTTTCTTTATACACAACTGCAAATCTGGTTGCATACAATACATATACCCCTAATCCAACTATCTTTCCTTTAAATTACCACAAATAACAACATTAAACACAAATTTATCAACAAATTCAATAAAAAACACAACTTCCCAATCATATCCCCACATTTCCATAAAATACACTTACCGGAAGTGAAAGTTGAGGTTAACTTCTGTCTCATAGTCCGCCATCTTTGCCCGCCAATAAAAAACAAATTCGCACTCAACGGATCCGCCTCCTCATTATAAAACAACCCACGGTCAACAAAATGCCCGAAATCAATCAACAAAATCCTCTTGATAAGCCCAATATCAATCGGTACCAAATGCGGAATGGTCAAAGAGTAAAACCCACCATACGGCGCTGAATTCTTAAACTCATCATACACCGCAGCGACGCTTTCATAAAACGCACGCTTCCTGGTCAATGGGTTGCCTATATTACCAAAGGGAATACTAGGCTCCAGTGTAGGCACACCACGTGATGACCAATGGCGGAACTTCCGGTAAAAATACCCATAGAGACATAATAACACACCCAAAACAATCACCAACCACATTATTCAATGTTTATCAAAATAATTTAACTTATCACACTGCTTATCACTATTTATATATTTAGATAACACATATCTGAGGCGATAAGCGTCTGTGCGGATATTTTCGTAGCTGCCGTGTCAGCAGAACACGCCGGACTGCGTCCCGCATGTGTTGCATAACTGTACCATCTCAGATGTTGACTTAAAGTTGTAGCTTTGACTTAAGTCACGTCTGGGAGGGCGATAACGGTGAATTGATGCATTCAAGGTCAATGACAAGGTCATTGTCATGCTAATATTAATATTATCACATTAAATAATGACTGTTAATTAAATTATGGGTTTCACAACTCACAGCTCACAGGAATTGTAATGTCAAGGTCATTGATGATGAATCAAACACAGGGTGATTAAAAAACACATCCGATTTTTATTCTTAAGATTTTAGTGTGTAGGCATCCGTAGATTGAGTTTGGGGACATAGCCAGGGTTGTATCATCGTGTTTGTTGGATTTTTAGGTTATGCATGTTTGTTGTGGGTTGTTTTATGTTTTTGTTGGGCTTTTGAAGGTTTGGGTTTGGATTTTTGGTGGGTTTTAGACTTGTTGTGGGCTTTGGAAGGTTTTGACTTTGATTTGGCCTTGGATTTTTGGGTTTTTGACTTGGTTTGTGGCTTGGACTTAGAATGGCTTTTATTTGAGGTTGGGTGCTTCGCTTTGGAGGCTGGGGAAGAGGATTTTGATTTCTGGACAGCTGATTTTGACTTTTCTTTACCTTTACCACCTTTGTGACCTTTTTCCTTTGACCCTTTTTCCTTGGAACCCTTTTCCTTAGAACCTTTTTCCTTTGAATCACTGCTGTCGCTACTATCACTGCTATCACTACCATCACTATCATCCTTATCACCATGCTCTCCACCTTCATTTGAATCATTCTCCTTATCCTCATCAGAATTCTCCAAGTCACTGGCATCTGATTCATCCTCGCTGTCATCGCAGTCCTTGGTCACCTCATTCAAGGTCACCTCCCTTCCGAAGATCACCAACACCGTGGATTGTTGCAGGTGGTAGTAGATTTGTCCCCCAGCAACAGAATTATCAATCCCTTCATCTAAACTCCAGACAATCGTGGTAATACTGAAGAAGAACGCTGTTTCTGTTGTCTGGGACATTTGACTGAACACCAATTGCAAGAATTGATCATCTGCTTGATTGGTAACAGCAGGGTTAATGCGCAACATGGCGGAGATCACAATGAGGATAGCGTTGTTGTGGTTTATCTTCCTGCTTGGTGGGAAGCGGGAGTTTAACAGGGTGATACCCTTGGAGGTTGATGAGGTACCTTGGAAAATGTGCTTCAATGCCACTGTTATTCTTGTGTGGCGTACTGGAATAGAATTTTAAGGTTAGAGTTGTGATTAGAGTGATTGTAGAAGTTTGGTTATGTTGTGTGGGTTGTTACCTAGTAATGCGGAAATTTGCTCTTGGAAGTAGCTGATGGACATCATGAGGTTGCCCTCTTGCAGACCGAGGATCACCCGGATGCTGATGGAGAGTTCATCGTTGTTGTTGTAGTTCAGGGCGTAGTAGATTGTTGTGGTGAAGACTTGGGACGTGCGTTGGTCGAAGTTCTGGAGGAGGATGTAGAGGAATGTGAGGCGTTGGTTGTATTCGGCTGTGTTGCAAATGCAGGAAGGGTTTGGGGAGGTGGTTACTGATGGGTCAGTACCAATAGGTTCTTCGGTTACTGCTGGTTCATCAGTAACATTGGGTTCTTCAGTTACAACAGGTTCTTCGGTTTCTACAGGCTCATCTGTAACAGCTGGTTCGTCAGTGACTACAGGTTCATCGGTTACTGAAGGTTCACCAGTAACAGGTTCCTCTGTAACCACAGGTTCCTCAGTGACAGCAGGCTCCTCTGTTTCTACAGGTTCATCAGTAACAACAGGTTCTTCAGTTACCACAGGTTCATCAGTAACAGGCTCCTCTGTAACAACAGGTTCCTCTGTACTATCAGGATCTTCTGAACTATTAGGTTCCTCTGTGCTATTGGGTTCCTCGGAACTATTAGGTCCCTCAGTACTATTAGGTTCCTCTGACTATCAGGATCTTCTGTACTATTAGGTTCCTCTGTACTATTAGGTTCATCCGTAACCACAGGTTCGTCTGTCACAACAGGTTCATCAGTAACAACAGGTTCATCAGTAACTACAGGCCCATCAGTTCCAGGTTCCTCCGTACTTGGTCCAGGAGTAACAGGACACGTGGTAACACACGTAACCACATTCGGTTCCCCATCCTCAGCCTGCCTCCTCTGTCTCATCAACAATGGCGTTCCATCATCACCACGTACCAACTCAAACTGTTGCAAATCTAATAAAAACAACAAAAACAACCAAAAACATCACAACTCCATTCCCAAACCCATAATTATACTACTTTTACCTTCAGCACACACTGCTCCTAACAAAATGGCGGCCAAAACCACACCAACCGCTGTTACCACGCGGATCGCCATCTTGCAACACGATGATACTCATTCCACGCCACCAAAACTCTATATATACCATCACATTATCAAAACTATTCCCGTCATTACACAATCCTCAAATTCTCCGCATTTACATTCAACAATTCACGTCGCAAAACAATTTTGTAACCCACGTGCATATTTGCCTGTCATTTCAAGCGCTAAAACCCACATTCCACAACTTTCACGGCAAGCAGACAAAATTTTCCATACTTTACTCGCAAAACACACCAATTTCATGTAAATCCTTCAAAAAACATTCAAACATCGATAATAAACATAGTCTTTATTCCAAACGCAATGATAACATACTAAATACATAGAAAAATACATGATTCAATCACTATCGCCGAAAAGATCAGCCAACGGATCGCTTTTCGTGACGCTAGTCGCCATTTTACTTTTAGGCATAGTCTTAACCTGTTTTGAGGCGTTTACTTTGGCACTACTTGTTTTAACCTTAAAAATATCATCATCATCATCATCATTATCATCATCACCGAAAAGTGATATGTTTTTCTTTTCTGTTGATTGTTTCTTGACTGATTTGTGTTTTACAATTGAAGACGAACCGAATAAGTCGGAATCATCTTCATCATCACCAAATAAACTTTTGCTTACTACTTTTGAAGTGGTAGGTGTGACGACAGCTTTAGAAATAGGTTGTGTTTGGATGTCAGTTGGTAAAGTGTCAAAAACACGCACATTATCAACGTTTTTCTTTGCAAACAAATCATGCGGTTGAGTAGTTGATATTTTTGAGGTGGTAGAAGAGAACAAATCATCAGAATCTTGAAAGTCATCATCATCATCGAATAAACTTATCTTTTTTATCGGTTTTGTAACAGCTGCTGACGTTTGTGACGCATGCGCAGTTACAACATCAAATTTAGTTTGATTTTCTTGTGGAATATTTACTTCTTCTTCAAAAAGCGGTGGAGGTTTTATTTGTTCATCGTTATTATCATTATCATCATTGTTATCTTCAATTATCAATTGTTTTCTTGGTGTTGAAGATGATGATGTATTTTTTGTGAAAATATCTTCATTATCAAAGTCTACCGCATCATCAAAAAGTGATTTTGTTTTTGTGTGTGATTTTGTAACTAAAACATCATCAAAAATATCAGTGTCATCATCATCAAGAGTTTCTTCTTGAAGAATCGGAGGAGGATCTCGTTCTTTGTCAATGGACGGTAATATTTCACTTTCCACAGTTGGCAACACTGTTTGGTTGGTTGCAGTGCCACCATCCAACTGACTATTTTCTAGGTTAGCGTTAGTTTTAATTTCTGTACGCGTCTCGGTTACTTCTTCAGTTTTTTCTTCATCCTGCGAGTTTTGTGATGTAGCCAGTGCTGCTTTGCGTCCCTGACGAGTTGAAGGACGTCTCTTCACCGGAATCTTCACTCGAGTCTAGGTAATTACAAAATATTCACGTTTTACATAAAATTACTAAGGTTAAACAAAACTAACCTTCAAAACGCTCGGTAAAACATCCACATCGCCTGAATCCGCTTTAATTTCCTGTGAAACTATTACCGGTAAAGGTTTTTCCGGGATAACTTCATCTACTTTTTGATTATCTTCAATATTTTGTGGTATGACTTGCGTTTTTGGTACTTTTGCGCCTGGCATCAATGCATTCACATTGATATTGAGGTTATGTTTGAGTTTTCCTGGTAATTCTAGAAAAATCAATCATTATTAATCAATTTAAAGTGTAAAAACATAAAAATACATACTTTTCTCAGGAGAACTCTCACTTTTAGGTGATTCTTCAACATTTTTCACTTTCAACTCATCAACAACTTCTTTTTTACAGGAATAGCAGGAATTTCTTCATCCCAATCATCATCAGAGAGTAACGCAGGTGGTTTATCATCAAACAAACTAAACCTAGGCTTCACTACTGGTTTTACATCCGGTATATCAACAGAAACTTCATTGGAAGGTAAAAATTCATCACTTTTTTCATGTTTTTCAACGTTTTCGGTGGTTTTTGTGATATTTTCGGTAAAAATCACATCAGTATCAGCAAACAAATCAATATTTTTAGGTTTAGGCGTAGTTTTAGGTACAATAACTGAAGAAAACATATCATCTTCATCTTCTGATGATGATTCATCGAATAAATTCCGTGTTTTCTTCTTTTTTGTGCTACTTTCGACTGTTTTTGCTTCCTGTGGTTGAGATATCGTCGTAGAAGTCGTAGAAACAGGTTTAAACAATGGCGGAGGTACAGATACATCACCTTCATCAATTTTAACCGCTTGACTCTTTGGTTTCTCTGGTTTTTTGCTAATATTACTCGGCAGAAACAAATCGTCTTCAAACAGATCATCAGTGTCATCAAACAAAGACAAAACACGTTTTTCTGGTTTATTATCACTCTGTATAAGTGGAGGTGGTTGAATAATATTCTCTTCAATAGGTTTTTCTTCTTTTGTGGGTTTTTCAATGATTTTCTCACTTTTTTCGCTTTCATCTTCATCATCCGATGAATAAACCTGTCTTCTTGGCAGTACACTAACGCCACCTATCGGTTTACGCCTTGTTTCAACCTCAGACTTAACTAAAACCTCATCATCTTCATCTGTATCATCAAAAAGACTTCCAACTCTCTTCTGCGGGCTTTTATCAACTTTATTCGTACTTGATGATTGTATAGGCGGTGGTTTTATTGAAAACGCATCATCATCATCGTCATTCTCATCATCATCGAATAAATTCGGCACTTTTTTCGTTTCTTTCGATGAATTACCACCAATCGGCGGTGGTTTCTCTTGATAATCATCATCGTCATCATCAAATAGCCCACCACCGCCAGAAAACAACCCTGTGGTGATATCCGGAGGTAAATCAGGTAATAAACTACTATTCACAACTGGTTTGCGTTGTATAGGCCGTGTATTCACCTCCGGATCATTCAAAATGTCAACTGTAGAGGGCGCTGTGGGTGTAGTTAAGACATCACCTAGCTTCGCAGCCAGTTGTTCAGCGAATGTGGCGTTTGTAATCGGAGTCTTCGCCGAAACAGAGTTATCGTTACCATTTACTTCATCATAAGTATAATCCTGTGTTTCTAATCTACGACGATCAGCCACGGGTAAGTTACTCTCCGAGTCAGTATCGGAAAATTCATCTTCCACTCTCCCTCGGCCATTTTGTTTGATTTCGTCATCATTATCTGACTCTTCACTGGATTCAACCAATCCCGCATGCCATTTGGTGTGCCACTCGTCAGTCCCGATCACGTACGGTAACGGCCGATGTATATACGGATCTTTTTCTCGTAATACATAACTTAAACATAATTTTTTGAGGTTAAGTTTGGTTATTTTAGATTTTTTGTACTTACTTGCTACAATCAGTCTCATCACCCTCACTATCACTCTCCGGAATACTTATTTTATCATAGTATTTATCGATTACTTTTAATCCGTCAATAACAGCGGTTTTAACAGTTCTTGTTTCAACCTCAGACTTAACTAAAACCTCATCATCTTCATCTGTATCATCAAAAAGACTTCCAACTCTCTTCTGCGGGCTTTTATCAACTTTATTCGTAGTTGAGCCTTGTATAGGTGGTGGTTTTATTGAAAACGCATCATCATCATCGTCATTATCATCATCATCGAATAAATTCGGCACTTTTTTCGTTTCCTTCGCAGAATTACCACCAATCGGCGGTGGTTTCTCTTGATAATCATCGTCATCATCATCAAATAAACCACCACCGCCAGAAAACAACCCTGTGGTGATATCCGGAGGTAAATCAGGTAATAAATTACTATTCACAACAGGTTTGCGTTGTATAGGCCGAGTATTCACCTCCGGATCATTCAGAATATCAACTGTAGAGGGCGCTGTGGGTGTAGTCAAGACATCACCTAGCTTCGCAGCCAGTTGTTCAGCGAATGTCGCGTTTGTAATCGGAGTTTTCGCCGAAACCGAGTTATCATTCCCATTTACTTCATCATAAGTATAATCCTGTGTTTCCATTCTGCGTCTATCAGCCACGGGTAAGTTACTCTCCGAATCAGTATCGGAAAATTCATCTTCCACTCTCCCTCGGCCATTTTGTTTGATTTCGTCATCATTATCCGAATCTTCACTGGATTCAACCAATCCTGCATGCCATTTTGTGTGCCATTCGTCCGTTCCGATCACGTACGGTAACGGCCGATGGATATATGGATCTTTTTCTCGTAATACATAACTTCAACATAATTTTTTGAGGTTAAGTTTGGTTATTTTAGATTTTTTTAGATTCTTTGTACTTACTTGCTACAATCAGTCTCATCACCCTCACTATCACTCTCCGGAATACTTATTTTATCATAGTATTTATCGATTACTTTTAATCCGTCAATAACAGCGGTTTTTAACAGTTCTTTTTTCTTGTTTTCATCTAGTTTGACCTCTGTGGGGGTGACAATTGGCTGTGTGACAGTCTCATCATCCTCATACACTCTGCTTTCGATGAATTGCGTGTTCTGTAGGCCGAGGAATTGATTCTTTACCAAGTCTAATTGGATTTCGGTGCTGGAGAGGTCCTGCAGGAGGTTTTCCAGGTTGTTGTTGGTTTCATCTGCTTGTTTGAATAGGTTCTGTCAAAAAATGTCAAAAAATTTATATCTAAATGATGTTTTTTGTGGTTTTGATGTTTTTAATGGTAAAACAAACCTCTGCGAATTGTTCCATATGCTTTAAAAGGCCTACATTGCCTGCTAGCGACCAGTTATCGGCGTGATCGACGAGTTCCTGGCATGTCCATGCTTGATCACAGGACATTTTTGTGTTTACGCCTTGATTTGCTGGAATTTATGCTGAAAAGTGCGATTTTTATGCTTTGTGGATGTTTGATTGTTGTTTCTGCATCCGTGGGTGATTTAATTGGTGCAATTTGGTAAATATTTACCTTTACGCGGTTGTTTTTCAAGGTTTTCAGCAGGATTCATATGATTACAGCTGATTGTCAATCATTCCTGCTGACTGTCTAAAGGTAACTACACACAAACATTCAAAATGTTTTAATTTTTAAAAAAATCAACTTATATAACAAAATTTAACAACAAAACAACTCAATTTATTAATATTCATATATTTATTAGTTAAAAACATAGTTTTGATATGTTTTTCACTTAAAAACTTAAAATTTATTTCAATATTTTACGTTGCATTGTGTGACGATAGCTTTAGATTTTTATTTGAAGCCTGACAGGTGCTGCCATCTGCATGGTGCAAATGGCCGGCCGCGGTTGATTTTTGCATGTTGTCTCGTCCGTGTCGCCGTCCGATCCGCTTTCGATGGGTGGTTATCGCTGATTAAAGTTAATTAGATAATTGCAGTGGTGAGTGCGCGTCGTCTGCGGCCATCAGGCGTTGGCAGCTGATATCCGAAAATTTCGCGAACGCTTGCAACCGCGTTGTCAAGGTGATAACGAAAAAAATCACCGAACGCCTACTTTTCACACGCTGAAAATACAATACAATGCAGTAAATTTGCTGGTTATCAACAACTCGAAATCAAAATGTGTAAGTATCCTTTTTTAATACATGTACATTAGTTGTTGCGAATAAATTTACAACCGGTATCGGTTTTGAAGTAACATAACCGTGACTTTTACTTTTCGGTTGTTTGGTGTTACCATAGCAACGCACCGTTTGTGTGTCACTTTCCCATAGTATGCGTAAATCCCTGCGTTGTGATTGGTCAAACTGTCATATTTCAACTAACCACCATCTTTGCATCTCCATTTCAGCTCAAACTGAAGTGAACAAGTTACAACAGCACCTCGCACTGCTCAAAGACCAATACGCAAAACTCCAGGCGAAATACAATGACCTCGAGAAGAAATACTACAACATCTCCGCCGGGATGCAGGACACAGAAGACACATTCGCAGCGCGACTCCTCAAAACCGTCGCCACCGTGCATGACACAGCAACATTCAGCGACATAACCATAACTCTCGGTCAGGGCAAAGTCACACACGCACACAAACTGGTCCTCTGCGCACGCTCGGAACTCTTCGACGAGGCAGCCCTGCAACAATCACAACTCGACTGGTCCGAAGTCGACGCCGACGTGGGCACCATACTAATCCGCTGGTTATACACAGACGAGATCGGTTTCAGCGATGATGAAATCACACTGAAACTCATCCGCAAAGCGCATGAATTCCACCTCAACGGACTAGTCTCCGCCTGCGAGCAGAAACTCATCGCAAGCGTCGAGGTACGCACATGCGTCAAATTTTACTCCGTGGCGGAGGAAATCGAAGCTGAAGAGTTACGAGCGTATTGCTCAGCGTTAATCAGCGCACATTGGGATGACCTAGACCGTGGAGATTTTGAACATATGAGTGGTCCATTATTATACAAAATGTTAAAGAGTAAAACTCAGCTACCTCTGCATGCAGCTGTACGACTCCAACGTGAAGATGTCGTCTTTCTCTGCCTGGTCGAGAATGCATCCAGAGTAAGTACAAGTTGATATATTTATTTATAGTTTAATATTAATAGGAAAATACATATGAACACAATCATGCCGGTGTGAGGCGCGTGAGGTAGGCAACTTGTGTTACACAGATCGCCGCGACAGTAGCAGAACTCCGTGCGTGATGAGCGCTGCCCCTTGTCGTCGATGACAGAACAGCCGGTATCGTAGGGCTCTTCAATGGCGACCTTCAGTCGCCATTTGCCGTTCTCGAGGTCTTGATAATCGTATCGTTGTAAGGCGCAGTCGCGTTCGGTGCCGTTGATCGGGTGCGGGAGATTGACGCTGATGTCTTTCTTCATGCACATTGTGGAATAGGGACAGTCGATGACGTAGAGGTCAGAGTAGTCGAACGATGCGCACAGCCGGACGGTCTCGTTGGTGTGCGGCGACGGTTTTGTCATGGTGCATTTGTAGCATTTTAACGCCGAGACGAAATTATCTACGACAAACAATTAAATATAGTATGGTATAGAGAGTGTATTGATAGTGACTTCCGTGGCGGACTAAAATTGTTATCGTTGGGTGGCTTGGCTTGGACATGTTGATTAGGACATCCTCATTAATGTAATAGACGCGGTTTAAGATGGGAATTGTTGCTATTGTTAGGCGGGTTTTATTTCTTTTCTTTGTTAGGCGCCATTTTGGGTAAACAAATTGCGTGTTTCATAAAAGAAATGGTATTTTAAGTATCTAGTGTGCTAAGTGGTACTTTAACCACTGTGTAGACTGATTTTTTCTACTTTTACAATCATGGTATTTTATATGGTCTTGTTTTGCACCGTAGGTAAATGCGCATGCGCAAACTCCGCCCCATGACTAAAGTACTTTAGTCACGACCGTGATAAAAGTGCCACTTTTCGTGTTTCGTAACCGTGGAAAAAATGGGAGTAGAAATATTTATTTTACTTCGTTTATTTTTAATTTTTTTGCAATATAAAAATCAATGGCGCATGCGCTATGCTCCAATTGATTTGCGTTCGATACGAAATTGATTGCGAGGTGTATTGTACCATTGACAAAAATAGAAAGTAACTAAACACTAAATACAAAGAAAACGTCCTTGTTGTTTGTTACTCAGCGTAAATAATTCGAATTTAGTCCGTTTAAGGCACGTTTTCGTCATTCTACTACAAACATTCTTCTACTCGTACGAATATAATATACGACGCGACATTTGGTATGAAATATGAATGTTTTTTCTTTTTTTATTTCTTGCGTCCTAGTTTGTGTGCAATTTGTTGAGCAATTTAAACTCGACGAGATTAAGATTGCATGCTTGCATGGCTTGCATTTTCTTCACCATATAAAAAACAGCAAAGAAAAAGAAAAAGTTAGCTGAGAGAAGCATAAAGCACGTTAAAGTCATTCAACCCCGATGAAAACATGTTATTTATAGTTGTAATGCGTTCATCTGCGCTGAAAATGAGGGAAATGTTCATGTTTATAGTGTTTTATAAACAAAGAAAGGTGATTGTTTACTTTTCTTGTCGTATTTCAATTTAATTGGAATTGGAATTTGGTTTTTATTAACTTTGTTCTATTTTTATTTGTGCTTTAATTTAGTTTTTAATTTAATTTCATTAACTTTGGAATTTCGGTCGGGTTTCATTCATTTCCGTTTGCTTTTGTGGTTTAAGTTGCATTATTGCACTTTTATTGCGGAATTTAATTGAAAGTTTATGCGCGGTGCTTTTATTATTATTAACTTTTTACGTTGTGAGTTTATTTTTACTCTGGGTGCAAAGTAAAGTAAAGTAAAGAAGATAAACGAGGCAAAAACGTCGTGAAACGCGAACCACATCCATGTAGTTTTGCGGTATCAGCTAGTTTTGCGGAATGTGTATGTGTGTGTGTGTGTGTTAATTAATTAACTTAATAGCATTGCGAAACACAAACTATTAAGAAATTAGGGCATGAATTAACGATAAACTTTGTCGAATCGTCGAAAATTTCAGTTAGAAGTTGAAAAAACCTAAAAATTATTCATGCAGAAATTGTGTAAAATTGAAAAAATCGAGTATTTTGAGTAAATTTCAATCTTTTTCTTACTTTTTCTTCTTTTATCGCAATTAGTTAGTTTAATAATAGGTATTATTACTTTTTTCGTTTAGTAACAATTAAAAGATAATGTTTGTAATATTTCACATAATAACAATAATTTATATTTATTCATGCAGAAAATGTTTAAAACCGAAAAATAACGAGTTTTGGAGGAAATTTCACACTTTTTCCTTCATTTTTCTAACTTTTTTCGCAATCAGTTGGTTTAATATTACGTAATATTACTTTTTTCATTTAATAACAATTAAAAGAAGTAATATTACTTATTAAAACAATCATTTTAATTGTTTATACCCGCAGAAAATATTTAAAATCGAAAAAAAATCAAGTTTTAGCAAAAATTTCAAACTTTTTCATTCTCATTTGTTCTTTTATCGCAACCGGTTTGTTTCTCTTTGAGTTTGACCGGAATTTAATTTAGTATCTTGGGCACCTGTCTTCATCCAGCTTAAGGCAGTTATGCACCTAAAGACATTCCAATACCTAGTTTAGTTTGCGTTTAACCTTGACAACTTATTTTTCATTATTTTTCCCACAAATTACATCCTTTATTCTTTCAAGTACCTATTATTAACTTTTTCTTATAAAAAATCTTTTCAAGTCACTTATCACCTTTACAATTGTTGATTTTGAATACATTTCAAATGTTTTCCCGAGAAAATCATATCTTATCTCGTCAAGGTACCGCACCATTTTTATTATTTACATTGGGTAATGTTTTATACATGAAGCGCATACTTACAATCGATAACATTGACAATCATGAATAGGAATATCACAGTCGAAGGTTGAAATGTTCGCAATTCCATCTTTTTAAGTCTTTAAATCTAAATTAAATTTATATTTTGTTATATTTTTGGAATGTTGCTAGACTAATATCACTTGTTTTTAACTTTGTTTATATATTTTTAGATGATAAATTCTTTGTTGTTTTTGTTTTTTGTTTCGGTGTAACACAGATGTTACATCATGTTGTTTGTCATTGTTGGCGGCGCGGCGTTTTGTTGATGTTTACGCAGTCGCATGACAAAAATCGTGCGCGGTGTTGTTTGTTGGTCGCGCGACGCGATTATCGACTCGTCGCGATCAGCTGCGGACGCATACTAAAGTAAGCTAACCGACTGTGTACAGTCGGCGGGCTGAACGCAGGCAGGCGACACAAGTTGTGAATGTGAACAAAACACAGTAATGTAACGGGCGCGCACGATATGTGGTGAGGTGGAGATGGAGAGGCACAAATGGAGTCTCAATGGAGGAGTCTCTGACTCTGACTCTTTGGGAGACGGACTGTGACGTGCTGTGGAGAGCGGAGAGCAGTGGTCAGTCGTGCGTCGCAGGCGCAGAGAGTCGCGGATGAGGAAGGGTGCGAGAGGTGCGGGTGTGTTGGGAATAAATGAATGCGTAATTAACTGTTTATTCACAGCACAAGACCAAAATCGTTAAAATCGATTTTTGATTGATTTTTGAGTGTTTTAAATTAATTTGAAGGATTTTGGAGGAAAAATTGATCATTTTGAGTTAATTCCTTTGTTAATTGAGTTATTTTGGGGCGATTCATGTTTGTTTGGTGTTAATCTATGCATTTTTATATAGAAAACAAAGTTTCGTTAGTTACAGCGCTTATAACTTAAGAATGGATGGATGAATATTGATGATTTCGGGTTTTTTGGATTCTTCTGGGTTCATATTAGGAGAATAATTATTAAAATATGAAAAATTGTGATTTAAAGGGTGTTAAATAAGGGATGAAAGTTAATATGGAGATGCATTCGTATTTTTAGTTGATTAATTCACTCACAGAGGGCGCTCAATTGTTTAATTAGCTTTTCTCGACACATAAAGTCCAAAAAAAGTTAAAATTAATTACATTTTCACTAAAAAGTTAATCATTTTGAGTCCATTCTTGTGTAATTTTAATTAAAATCTATTCTGGGTGCGATTCGTGTTGGTTTCGTGACAATTTCGTGTATTTTGAAAGGCATGTAATTAAACAAACTTTATTTTTTCGATTTTTAACTTGTCAATTCATGAAATGCACTTATAATTAATGTTTGCACTTAAAAATACAGAACTGAACTTAAAAATAAATATTTGCACTTTGAAAAATGAATTCCACTTGAATAAAATGCTTTGCACTATGAAATTAATACTTTGCACTTATAAAACTTGCAGTATTAAGTACGTGCCGTACTCTTAGCCGGCCCCTTCTATCAACCGCCCTACAAATAATACCAAACAAGGTAGCCTACCTAACCACCACCCCCAACCCCCCGACCACCCCTACCCCCCGACCGCCCCACAAATAATACCAAACAAGGTACCCTACCTAACCACCACAAATTATAAAGTTTCAATTTAAAAAGTTGATTCAAAGCAAATTTAAGCTTAAACCTGAATATATAAGTTCATTGTATTAAAATATAAGTTATACAATCTATAGTGCATAATATGAATTTCTTAGTGCAAAGTATGAAAACTTAAGTGCGGCTGTTCAAGTGGATTGTATTTTAACTAAAGTGCATTTAATATATCCCCATTTTGAAATTCCGCTCTGGGTCATGGCCTAGTTGGCAGATATATTTTCGTTTTTTGAGATTTTAGGCGGTACCGTTATGAATTTCAGCGAGTGCTACTTTGCATATCAACGCAGAATGTTTTTTTTTATGTATTTATACCGTTAGTGTTCAGACTCAGTATTACGTACGTACTTAGAAAATACTCGTACGTATTTTAGTATTACGCATTTTACTACTGGTAACTACTGGTAACCAATTTGTTATTTTGCACTCTCGGCGTTAGGCACGTGTGCAATAAATATTAGTTTCATGTCCGAGATTGTTTATTGCTCCCATCACTTAGCTATCTTAACAAAAACTCACTCAAAATGTTATTTGAAAGGTTTTACTAAGAGTATTTCGTGTAACCTTTTTAGTTTTGATATATTTTCGCGAAGAGGTTTGTAATTTTAACTGAAAACAGTACGCGTCGACGTACGGTATTTTTTTGGTATAGTGTACCGAAATACCGGTATATGACGCAAAAAATACCGCTATACCGGTATTTCAGTATATTCTTAAATAAGTCGAAACTAGGAGTGTGAAATGCCGGTGTTAAAACCGGTTAACCGGTATTTTTTGCGTTAAATACCAGTATTTTTGGTATGATATCATTTTCGGTATATGTCGACGTACCAGTATCAATACCGGTATTTTCTTCGTCAAATACCGGTATTTTTTAATTCGCTTTCGTTTTTGGTATACAAACATCATTTAACAGCTCTTCCCTCGCATATTTCATGTATCTTTTAACTTTTTTCAATGTTTTCGCTCTGCGGTTTGTATTTTTAACTGAAACCAGATGCCTTGCAATTCGCAATGTTTTCAACCTCTTTATTACTCATTTCAGTGATATTTTTGCTTCTTTTTCTTCACTCTGCGCACTGTTTAAGTGCACTGCTTGTTAATTATAATTAAAAACCGGAAACAGATTGCGCTGGCGCTAAATTCCGCTGAATTCACCGCAACTATATGACTAAAAATATATTCTACTGTACTCGTAGTATGAATATTCCATGTACACATATGAGTACGAGTATACGTAATGTGTCACTCAGTCCTTCTACATAAATCGATTATTGTGAGATTATGGCGACGTGTGGGAGTGCGCTGTACGCTTGTTACCAAAATCGCATCTCACAACTCACAATGATGATGACTCACCGAAATAAATCGGCAAAATAAGAATCAACGCGGTGCTTTAGTAGAAAGTATATAATTGTGTACATCTGGTTGCATATTAACGACATAACCTTGTTTGAATACAGTTGGTGCGTGAATTAGTGTAGATTACTGTCGATTCGTGGCGCTGTGGTCGTATTCTTACTGTCAGCGCGCATGCGTCAACATTTCGAGTGTTAATTTGATCCAGAAAATAATTTTTGATGGGATTAGAGTGTATAATTTGTGCGATGAGTGTAAAATACCGGTATCGAAACCGGTTAACCGGTATTTTTTAAGTAAAAAGTACCGGTATTTTGATATATACAGGAAACTATCCTTAATAAAGATATACCGGTAGTTGATACAAAAAATACCGGTATTTCACACCAAAAAAATACCGGTATTTGATTTAAAAATATCGGTATTCCGGTATTTCACATTCTTACTTTTGACTCATTTCTATATATACTAAAATACCGGTATTTTTGCTTCAAATACCGATATTGAATAACAAAATATATCAAAATACCGGTATTACAATCAAAATTCACAATTTTTCTATATTTTTCCAGCTCTCCGATATTGTAAACGTCTGGTCACCGTCAGGTGAACTCCCCCTGGACTTAGCTCTCCGCGCAAAGAACGAAAGCATCACCAAAACCCTCGTCCAGCACAACGCAGACATCAACATCCGCGATCATGCCGGCGAAACACTCCTCCATCGCGCCGTGCGTCAAGAAGACGCATTCTCCGCACTATTCTTATTGGACGCTAACTGTGATGCCACCACAACAACACGCAACGAGAACGAAACCGCTTTACATCTGCTCGCCAACGCGCAGAATCTGGATGATCAGCTGACAATCGCCGAGAAACTCTTGAATAAAAACGTTAATATTAACGCGCAGAATAAACACGGATTGTAAGTAAATTATTTATTTCTATTTTTACTTTTTTCTACATTTTTTAAAATATTTGTGTTTAGTACTGCGTTGCACATAACAATCATGGCCGATAACAAAGGAATCTTCGATCTTCTACTGTCAAACGAACACCTCGACGCTAACCTAAAAACAAACGAAGACCACACACCGTTGTACTACGCATTGTTAAAGTACGAATCCGGAGAAGATTCCTACGCGCTTTGTTTGTTAAAACAAAAAGTACAAACAGACCCCCTATACACGAAAAACAACGATTCTTTACTACAAATATTACTACAAGATGGCGCCACTAATGCAGCGACGTTCCTAGTTGATCACGTCCATAACTACAACCATTGCAACACCCTAGGCGAAACATGCTTACACACAGCGTGTAAAAAGAACGCGCATGAATTCATCGCGAAAATGTTATCCCTAGGCGCCAATCCAAACATACTCACCACCAGTGAACGACGCGCTGCGTTACATTATTGTATCTTAGGTGATGCACTCGATGCAATTGATGCTGTAGTGCTATACAATCAACAAGATGGCGCTAGCGCTGCGGGTGTCAAAGCTGATTTTAATATACGTGATGCGGATGGTGAGACACCGATTAGTTTGGCGTTGAGTATGGGTAGGAAGCGATTGGTCGCGGTGTTAATTTCCGGCGGGGCGGATGTGAATGTGCGCAACGGGAAGGATTTCACGCTGCTGCATCAGGCTATTATGAAGGAGGATCCGGAGACTGCGTTGTTCTTATTGGAACATGGTGCGGATATAAATGCAATGTAAGAGATTGAATTTATTAATTTTTAGGTTATTTTTGTGTATTTTGATTGTTTTGTTTGCAGGACTTCGGATTATGAAAGTCCGTTGCAATTGGCGATACATTGTCGTCTAGGGGAAGTTGTCGATGCACTGTGTTCGAAAGGTGTGGATATGTCAGCCACAGACAGGTTAGGCAACTGTCCACTGTGGGCAGCGCTGGATTCCGGGCAGGATAACATCGCGAGTATCTTGGTACGTCATGGGGCGGATACGGATTGTTGGGGGAATGGGCCAGAGGGATGTCAACAGACCTTATTACACAGGTAAATTATATTTTTTGTTAAAATAGGTTTTTGAGGATATACTATAACATATGCAACCCAAAATGCATGTAATAAATGTTATTGATAATTTTATAGTCGTAGGCAACCCAAAATACACGCAATGAATATGTTTCTAGGGCTATAGATGAGAATAAAGAAGCAGTCGCCATTTTCCTCGTGCAAGCCGGTTGTGACTTGGATTCACCGCGCATGCCCGGCCCAAAAGGCGAAGGCGGTGATGAGGCGAAAGATAAAGCCTCATCGTTGCATTTATGTTGCCAATGGGGTTTGGATAGAGTTGTACAAGTATGTATAACCTTAAATTTTATTATATAAATGTATATTTTGTCTATGTTGGTTGTATTTTTAGACGTTAGTTGAACACCGCGCGAATGTAAACGCGCGTGATTGTGAAAATAAAACGCCGTTGCACTTGGCGATCGAAAATCAACATCCGGCGATTATCTCGCTATTGTTGAGCGTGCCCGAGATCGATTTGAGTCTGCGTGATAAATCGGGGCTGAGTCCGTTTGCGACTGCGTTGACTGTGCGCAATAACAAAGCTGCGCAGTCGATACTTGATAAAATGCCATCCGCTGCCGAGCAGGTAATATATTTATTTATTAGTTTAAAATTTAATTATAATGTTAATTAATATTTATTATTTGTGTTTAGTTTGATGCGAAAGGTCACAACTTTTTACACACCGCCATTAAGAAGGCTGATCTTGAAAGCGTGCTGTTTCTGCTGTCAATTCAAGTGGATGTCAATTCAAGAGTGCAAGATCCGACACTAACGCCACCTATACACCTAGCGGCGCGCTGTGGTAATGAAACCCTATTACGCAGTTTAATACTTGCAGGCGCACGGATAGAAGATAGAGATGTTCATAAGTAAGTTTTAATTTAAATTTCCTAACCTATAAAAATATATATTATATTTCAATTGTATTATTAGGCAAACCGCCTTACACGTCGCCGCAACCGCGGGTAACGCACCCGGAGTATTGGCGCTGTTACAAAACAACGCTGATTTCGACGCGGTTGATATGAACGGCGATAATGCGCTGCATGTGGCCGTACGTGAAGGTCATTTGAATGTTGTAAGTATAATATTATATTCATTTATGTATAGTAGGCAACACTCTATACACACTGTATATTTAGGTTCGTGTCTTATTGACTGAATCAACGATAGACGCCGAAGCAGTTAACCTGAAAGGCCGCAACCCGCTGCACGAGCTGTGCAAACACGGCAAAGACAACTCGGCCGCCATTTGCGAATTGTTCCTCGAGTGCATGTCGGACTACCCTATCAACAAAGCCGACGTTGACGGCAACACGCCATTACTACACGCGTATATGAAAGGTAATGGTAACTTATGTCGTGTATTAGTCAAGGCAAGCGCTAGCCTTGCGATGGAGAACCACGAACGTGTCACCATCTTCAACTATCAGGTAACACATATTATAATATAACCTCAAAAATAATTTTAAAAAATTTATTAATTTTATTTTATGTTAAGGTGGCAACCAAACAATTATTATATAGGTTACTCGATCAGCTCTCACAGCAAGTCCCATGGGCATCCACCGACATGTGCCAGGAATGCGGCGTAAGTTTCACGATCATGATCCGCAAGCACCATTGTCGACACTGCAGCCGCGTGCTGTGCTCGAAATGCTCGGATCAAGAAGTGCCGATTATTAAATTCGGCGAGAATAAACCCGTGCGCGTCTGCAAGGTGTGCTTCGACGTGCTGAAATCCGGCGTTGGGCCATAACCTCAATCCTGACCCTCCTCATAACCTATCATCATCATCATCATCATTATCATCAGCCAAAGGTAACAAACATTCCCATTAATAATAATAATCATAATAAAAATATGAAAAAGTTCAACTAAACACGCGTTTAGTTGTTAAATTTACTCTTTATATACAGTGTGTCCGCGCATAGACCTAACAGACGCATTGTATAATTTTTATATATTATATTAATTCAGATTAATAATATTACAAGTGTATATAAAGTGTTGAAGGTTATTTATTCATTCAAGCAGCGCTGGGGGTAATTTCACTAAGTTTATTTCCATCTACACATCATGACTTGCTTTTTACATATTTTTTTCTTTTAAATGAATTTGTGGTCTACTTAAGTTTAGGGAACAGTTTTGGTGTGACACAGTGGTCCACAGCATGTAGCATATCGAATAATTCCTCAACACAGGTCTCGGTGGTCTGGCTTCGGGAGCGCACGCGTTCATTGCACGCCTCGTACTTCTCCAGCAGTGGTTTGACGTGGTGATCGTCCATGCATTGCTCCTGGATTTTAAAAATTGTATTATATAATTGTGATTTAGGTTAGTTTAGGATTTTTGGGAATATTTTCGATTGGGTTGTACCTTGAGTGTGACTTGTGGGTCTACTAGCTCGTCATCGTCGGCGTTCACACGCGGGACAAGGCTAGTGAGCTTGGCGAAGAAGTTTTCGAACATTTTTGAGGGTTTTTCAGGTAGAGCTTCACTGTGATTGAAGTTGTAGGTTCGCAATTTGACTCTTTGGGAAATGACAGTGACTGATTTCATTCGGGTTGTCGACTTTACACGACAAAACACGACTGCGAATTATATACACATGGTTTTTGTGTTTTTTATGTAAAAATGTTTTATTTTTCTAGAATTTTATAATTATTTATAGAATTTTATGTGTATTTTACGTATATTTATTAATTTTATTTATTTAATATGTTTTTTACATTTATTTAAGTCAAAATACGTTGTTTTATGATTCAGAAACATTTTTTAAAATCTGACATATGTGGACACAGTGTATGTTTGCATTTGATGTTCCGTCTGTCATTTTTTAGCTGTTAAAAACCGACAGCCAAACACTGCACATACTGACACAAACACACACCAAACACACAAACGCGCTCGCGTTGTTCGCTCCGTTTTTTTTCCACCGCGCACAACAAGTCACACACCGCGGCCGCGTCCAAAACGAAAAGCGCGAAGTTGAATGAAAAACTCGCGCCCGCTGGCCGTTTTCTGCGCGATGCGCAGCACGCCGCGTCTCTGCTTGCGCGAACGACGCGCATTCGCCGCTTGTTACATCGAGTAAACAAACGGCAAACAAACCCTCTCCGGAAGGGTGCAAACACACCGGTCGGCGTGCATACGCTGCATTTTCCCAAAATTCATCCACCGCGCACACATTACACACCCCAGAGTGTGCGAAACCCGGTGAAAAACACAAATATCAAAACATAACCTAACTCACAATCGAAAACTCGTAGAATGCTGTATGATGCGAGTGCAGAGTTATGTTTATGAACCGAGTTGATCAACAATTATGTGAGTTACATTCAAGTTGTAATAATAAATAATAATTTCTTATGTTTTTTTTTGTTATTATAGGATGAACGGGACGATGGAGCGCCTGAATCCCAATCAGCAGGTGCTCAATGCAAAGCCAGCACAGCCAAAGAACTACAAGCTGATTTGCGACCCGAATCTGGTCAAAGGCGGCGTGAAACTCTATCGGTATGAAGGCGTCGTGCCGGGCGACCCATCATACGTCTCATCCACACCGCGCGATCCGCGAAATCCAATGCGGATATGGAATAGACTTGAAACTATAGAGTTACAGATACCTAGGTAGTATTCTACTTAAATTACAGGAAACTGTAATTTTTTATTATCGACATAACCTGTCATAATTTCATATTATATTATATTATCTTACAGGTTCCGGATAGATTCGAATTATGTTGGCACACCACCCCCTCTGGAGGTGTCCATCTTCCACCTCAATGATAACATTGACAAGCAGTTCCTCAAGGACATTGTGCAAAAGTTCGGCACTGTTGACGAGCTGCAGATTTTTTACCATCCTGTAACTAATAAACATCTCGGCCTGGGTAGAGTTGTGTATTCCACGGTGGATGAAGCGAGTTTATGCGTGGAGAAACTGAATAAGACTAGTGTTATGGGTAAGGTGTTGGATGTGATGTTAGACAGGTTTGGTGAGAAGGTACGTGCGAAAACCGAGGAGTTGACAGCGGAGAAAAAACCGCCACCTGTTGTCGAAAAAGTGAAGAAGGAAGAGAAAAAAGTTGAAGTAGTGGTGGAAAAACCACCGGTTATACCTCGCGATGAAGAAATTATCCCGCGTAATAAATACGATGATAAAGATTATAAAGATAGAGAGGATAGGGATAGGAGAAGGACGGATGATAGGCACCATCATAGGAAAGAGGATCGAGATAATCGGTATCATCGTAGTACTAGTGGGTATAAAGCGCCACCTGTGAGTGCGAATGATGTGTATCATGCGGATTATACGGATGGGTATGCTCCGCCCCCACCACCGAGCCAAGCATATCCACCACCCCCACCACAAACTGCTCCGATGTAAGTTAAATCACTTTTTTAATATTTTTCTTATTTTTTTTTTAAATAAATTTAATGTTTTTTGTAACCCTAGGTATGATTACAACATGATGCCGGGTTATACGCATCAGTATAACGCGTATACAATGGGTTCTTGGCCGCCGTTGCCCCGCCCCTGGCCGGAAATGCCCTGGGCCGAGGCGGAGAAACCTCAGCCACCGCCTGCGCAAACCAAATGGGATGCGAATCACACTGATGCGGGCGGCAAGCGGGAAAAGCGGCGGCATAAAAAGGAACGCAAGAAGGAACGCGAGCGAGAATATAAACAGGATAAAGACAGGGAGAAGGATAAAGATAAGGATAAGGATGCGAAAGGTGCAGAGGATTCGAAGACGTTGGATTTGGATACTAGGATAGCGATGCTGTTGAAGGGTAAGACGGCGAATGCGCCGTCGTTTCTTAGTTTTCCGGATTCCGATGAGGAGACGAAGAAAAGCCCGCATATTCCTACGTCAATCGACAGTGATGACGGTAATTTACATTTATTTATCTTTATTAGTGGTATTATTAGTGTTATTAGGTGTAAAAGTGAGGTTATTTGTGTTTTTTGTTTGTTTGTTTCACTTTCACGCGGAAACTACTTAAGTTATCAACTTGAAAGTTTGTAGATATATTTTTAGGAGTATTGCGAAGGATATAGGATAGTTTTCATTTAAAAATTCATAATAGTTTTTCTTAAAATGACAAAAAACATAAATAATTCACTTTTGGTTGATTTAACTTAAGTAATTTCTTAATTTTTGCCTATTTTTCGTATTATTATGCAATATGTTCTACAAATTTAACTTAATTCTTAAGATTTAAGTCTTGACGAAGAAGTTTTCTAACATTTTCGAAGGTTTTCTGGTAAAGTTTCGCTGCAATTGAAGTTGTAGGTTCACAAATTCACTCTTTGCAAATGACAGTGACAGTTGTCATTCGGGTTGTCGAATTTACCCGACAAAACCCGAATGAAACATTTTCGTGTTTTTTTTAATGCAAAATGTTTTATTTTTGCTCAAATTCATAAAATTTCATACGTGTTTCACATATAATCATACTTTTAATCATTTATTACTAATTATTAACTCTATTAACACTATTTCTTCGAATTTTAGATCATTCAAGCGTCTCCCTATCAGATCTCCCAATAAATCCCCCAGCACCAGATGTAGATATGCAACCAGTCGCACCACCAACCGAATCCCCACCCCTATCACCCTTCCCCTCCCCCTACGAAGACAAAGAAGCCTACCTGCAGGCATACCGTGATAACATTGAATACATGCGCAAGGAAGCCAAACGCCTCGCCGACGCCGACAAAATCGGCTCGGACATCTCCTCGAGCGAAGACGAACTCCTCACCGGCGGGCAGAACTACAGCCCCATCGCCGACTTTAAAGTCGAACCACTCAAATCCCAAGACGACGAAATGTCTCTCTCATCATTAAGCAGCAACGAGAAAATCGTCGAGACTATCGACGCGAATGGCGCGTATCAATACTACGGCGGATATCCAACCTACGGGACAGATTGGAGGCAAGCACAGTATCCATATGCAACGCACCCTGCACAGCAAATGTACATGTCGCAATATCCAATGGGACAATTCCCCTTCCACCATCAATACCAATCATTTCTACCACGGACAACTCCAGCGGCAGGGAAGGAAGACCCGCATGCAACTACAATCGCTGAGGTTGTTGAGCAAATCGCCCAGGAACTCAAACAAATCCTTAAAAAAGATTTCAATAAAAAAATGGTGGAAAACACAGCGTTTAAGAAGTTCGAAGCGTGGTGGGAGGAAGAATCCACACGGAAAAAACAAGATACACGCTTGGAAAAGAAAGAAGAACCCGTACAGAATGATCCACCTACTAAAGATAATATAAACTTTTTATTGGAAGCGAATCGTGATAGTTTCGATGGTCTCGGGCTGGGTTTACGCGCATCACTACCGAAAATGCCTAGTTTTAGGCGTAAGAAAATCCCCAGTCCGGTCCAATTGGATGAGGATTCACGAAAAGCCTCGGATAATGAGGAAATCGTACAGAATTCCGATGATGATACATCCACATCCACTTCACAACCTGCTAGTAGGAGTCTACGACGTGTTAGAAAGGCGAGTACATCGTCCTCGTCGAGTTATGTCACTTCATCATCAAGCTCTAGTGATGATGACTCATCAGACTCGGATTCGAGACATCATGTACGTCCTAAGGTGCGTAATAGACGGAAATCAAGGTCTGTTACACCTGAAGGACGAAAAACACCGATGCCAAGTGGTAATATTGACTTTTCACCGTTGGCTGACATGGATCTGGATGACATATCACGATCACCGATTGATGACGGTATAGAAGCGCGCTGTATTACCCCCGAACCTATGCAGATACAGGATGATGACACAATTACAACACCGATTAAAAATACTGATGATAAGAAGGAGAAGGAGAAGGAGAGTAAAAAGAAGAGTACGTTGGATAAGCTGCTGGACGGCGATAGTGATTTGAGTGATGATGAGCGTGAATATTTAGAGAGACGGCGACGGAATACTGAATGGATGGCGCAGATTGAACAAGAACGACTGGAGATGGAGCTAGAGGCGAAAAAACAAGAGTTGGAAGAGTTAAGTCGTGCGGAACGCATGAATACTGAAGTTAAAGATGATGTGGTTGTTAAAAAAGATAAAGACAAGAAAAAGAAGGGAGCTGTAACGTCAACTGCGAAAAAACAGAAAGAAGATGTAAGTAAAGTTGCCGATGCTAAGGCGGATGTTCCACAGGATGATATGGATCTGGAAAGTTCCGCCGTGGCGGCGCTGGCGTTGCTCGCAGCGCACAAAGATGACATAACAAAAACCCGCCGCGAGTCTTTCAATGGTGATCAAGACCAGGATAAAGATAAAGCGCATTCAAGGTTATCTGAGTCTTCGGATGTGTCAAGTCCGCGATCACAGGTCGCCATTGAGCATTCCTACTGCATGCTGCCAACGCCACCTGACAAAGAAAAAGAGAACCAAGGGCAGGAGCGTGATCACTTTGAGAGTGACAAAGAGGGGTTATTGCACGATCATGGCGGATATCTTGCGCCTGCGCCTCCAATTACCACAAAAGAAGATAAATCCAAGGATAAAAAGGATAAAGAAAAAGAAACCAAGCGCGCGAAAGCTGCTAAACCGCGTAAAAGTGGCAAGGATAGGAAATTCCAAGAGTTGCAGAACTTGTTCGATCAGCAGTCGTTTTTCGATCGACAGCCACAGACTGCGCCTGCGCCCAAGCCGATAAAATTCACCAAGAGGGATATTGCGACGGAAATGACGATATTGTACGAGTTTCTCACGAAAGGTATCGATGCGGAGGATATCGGGTATATGAAGAGTTCGTACGAAGCGCTGCTGGCTAATGACAGCATGGGTTATTGGTTGAATGACACGCATTGGGTGGATCACAGCGCGACGGATTTGAATGCGCTGCCATCGCGGAAGAGGAAACGCGATGATTGGAAGGTGCATGCGACGGGGTGTGCGAGAACTGAGGGATATTATAAAATTGCGCCGCAGGAGAAGGCAAAGTATAAGTATCATCATGCGAGGAGCATTACGACGACTTCGCCGGGTAATTTCCCTGTTGTCAAACAACAACAAGGTAGGCAACTTAATATACACGTTTATATTGACAGTTTGTTAACTTTGTTAATTTTTATTATTAGGATTATCACGTGAAGCCCGATCAAATCAACGGCGGTTACTCACAGCGTTTGGCATTGATACAGATTCAGATCTACTGAAGTTTAATCAATTGAAGTTTAGAAAGAAGAATATCAAATTCGCCAAGTCATCCATTCACGACTGGGGGTTATTCGCCATGGAGCCGATCGCAGCCGATGAGATGGTGATTGAGTACGTCGGTCAGCGAGTGCGCGCGACTTTAGCCGATGTCCGTGAGCGACAGTATGAGGCCATTGGAATTGGAAGTTCGTATCTTTTTAGAATTGATTTGGAGAGTATAATTGATGCGACGAAGGCTGGAAATCTAGCTAGGTTTATAAATCATAGTTGTAACGTAAGTATATGTTACTTTTTTATATAAAAAACATGTTTTTATTGCGATTTTTTGCATTTTTAGCCGAATTGTTATGCAAAAGTGATAACGATCGAATCGCAGAAGAAAATCGTGATTTATTCGAAGCAGGCGATCGGTGTCAATGAAGAAATCACCTACGACTACAAATTCCCGCTGGAAGATCAGAAGATTCCCTGTCTGTGCGGCGCCGCGACGTGTCGCGGAACGCTCAACTAGATATTAGCGATTAATTCATTTCGTTTATTTTTGTTTTGTTTGGCGATTTCAATTTGTGTACATATTATTGCATTCACAACGATTTTTATGATTGCTAGCATTAGTTTTAAACCGCATTGCGAAAAGAAGGATTTCATTCATGGTGCGTAAATGACGTGTTCACATGATTCATATTTTCTCTTGTACATAGTTTCATCGTCTTTTACTACTCAAGCGTAAGATATAAATAATTGTTTCTTTAAAAACACGTCTAATACTTGTCTAATACTGTCTGCGCATGCGTGTTAGACGCAGAGTTTCGAGAAAATCAATACTCGAAGGTCAGCATGTGTTTCCGCACGTCGTACGCACCCTGAGAGGCTGAATTCGTGGCGAACGCGAGTCTTTGTTGTCCGGTGCAACAAGCAAGTGTTGTTAAAATGGCGGAAGGTACATATGAGTACGAGTGTATGCGCGCGGAGCTCCTGGGCGTCGGCAAACCCGACTACGAGGAGTTTTTACAACGCAAACGCGAAGCTGAGGAGAATCGAAGGTTAGCGGCGGAGGTTGAGGAGGAAGCTGTGGAGGCAACCAATTTAGAAGTAAGATTTTTGATCAATCTTAAAGTTTTTATTAAATTTACTAATTTTTACTTTTCAAGATGGCTGAAGGTCAGGGAGAGACCTTGAAATCCACCGGCGGGAAGCTAGATGAACTTAATAGTATCCTAGCATCAACGCAGAAACGCCTTGACAGATTCAAAGTAAAGTTTACTATAGGCAACCCAAATAACACATTACTGTACATAACATAGCCTAATATAACATTTTTTTACTTTTTTTGTTTATTAGGTGCGTTGTGGTTCTGTAACAGAATTGATCAAAACAAAAATCGGTGGGTCTATCTCCGGTGAAGCTTCGGTTGGTGAAGATGCAGCGGCTTCTGCTACTCCTGCTGCACCCAATACAGAATTAGCTAGTGATGCGTCAGCTGTCATTCCGCCTGCGGGTGAACGACGTTCTGAGCTTGCGCGCGCCATGGACAATCACGTTGACAAATTGGATTCGTTGATTAACAAAGCTGAGCGCGCCGAAATGGCGCTTAACAATCAGAATAAGCAGATTAAATCGTTTCTTAAATAATTTCGTCACTTTTCCGAGCAAGATTTTGACTTTATATTCTAAAATTCTAAGCAAACAGACGACATAATCATGCATATACACACCTACGATACACCAAAACTATTTTCGTGAGGATTTAAGCTGAGTGCTTCCATTATGTGTACTACATTATTATGAAATTCGATTCGATTGTTTATTGTTTGCGTATTGCAACTTGTTGATCACTTAAATGTCTATGAATATTGTATAGGGATTGGTTGGTTGCATATGTTACACTTTTATGAAACTACACAACATGGCGGCGGACTATGACTACGTAAGTAAGGTTTAAATCGAGATTATTCGGAAACCAAGCGAGGTGGGCTAATAATTTCTTCACTAGTTTGTTTAATATTTAATTCTGCGTCTAATTATGTTTAAATTTAATGTTTTTCGGGTTTATTTTAAAAGTTATAAGCAATTTTACTTGAAATTCTTTTTTTGTTTATAACTTTTTATTTAAACATTTAATTAATGTACTTTTTCTACTATGTTGTGCAGAATTTAATTCCGCGTCGAGTGTTGAAGAAATTATTAGTCTACCACTAATAGTTTTTGAGTAATTAATTAAAAACAAGTAAAAAACTTGTTTTAAGTTGGTTTTGAGAGGGATATTTCCACAAATTCATCATAGAGTGACTAATTATTATAAAAAAAATGTTGTAACGCATGACAATATTCAAAAAATATGAAAAGCGGTTGTATAATGATACATATAAACAAATTAATTTAAACAATTTGTGCTATTGGTAGTGTAGTTCCACTAAAAGTAACCAGAAAGTTACCAAACTACGCAGACATAACCTACAATATTTGCAACCTCTTCATAAGATAAAAACTTAAAAAATCGAATAATTTCATACTATTTACGATAAATTAGAACAATGGCGGATAGATTAACACAATTACAAGATTGCATTAACCAGGTATTACGTTTTTAACAAGTTATTTAACTTTTAAAACATTTTTTTGAATTTTTACTTCTAGCAAGCTGAACACTTTTGTAACAGCATTGGAATTCTCCAACAATTCGCGTCACCGAGCAAATTCGGCAGCGGCGGATCACAAACTCCTCAACAACAATCACAGGAAGATTATGTGCAGTTATTCACAACGCTAATCGCACGATGTGCAAAAGATATTGATACTTTAATAGAATCACTTCCAAGTGAAGAAAACTCCACTGAATTACAACTAAAAAGCCTACAAGTCCTGGAAGGTGAGAATCAGGACGCTGCCGGGCGTTTAGAGAATATTGTACAGCATGGCCAGCAAATTTTGGAGAAAATTCAAGAAGCTTTGAGTGACATTGCACAGGCACAGCTTGATATGCAGAATATGAGCAAGTTGAATCTCCAGCAGGATGCAACACCAGCAACAACATCATCGTCGACATCGATTAGTACCCGGCAAGCATCATCAATAAATCTATAGAGTTATCGAAGAAATTAATTTAAGACATTTTGTAAGTATCTTTATATAAACAAGCAAAGAAAAAAATCCCCTAGATTTTTCAAACTTAGTTTAGGTTGGCAACACTCGCGGCCATTTTGACATTGATTCCAGTTTGAAATCCGAGCGAAAGTTAATTGCATCGTGTCAATGTCGCACGCGCGTGAATTCCCAACGTATCCAATCGCGTAAAACATGTGTGCATACATAATTAACGTGCACATCTGCTGATTTAAGTTTTGACTCTCTGTTAAAATAGAAGTAAAGAAATACTGACGTCACTCGAGGGCGTTTCGTTTGGTAATCGCAGGCAGACACATCGACCGGTGCCGAAGAAACGCGAGCATTGCGTAGCGCGCACACACCGACCGTGCGTGTGGTTGCGTGCGCCTGAGTCATCCGAGTCATCGTGTCGGCGGGCAGCAGGAGTACGCGCCGACTCAAACCGTACCGCGACCGCCGCAGTCCACGCAGTCACACACACACAGCCATCGAAGGTGTGCGAAACAGGAGTCTGCGAGGGGCAATCCTGCTGGATTTATTACTGGTGGCGCGATTTAGGTTGGTAGTACCGTGTGGTTGTGACTGCAACTCAACTCACAGGAGAGTCGCTCGGAAACGCAAAAGGGGCACGTTTCCGAATTTCCATCGGCGCGCACAGAGAGAAATCACCGCGATATTCGCTCCTTATCACTGGTTACACACTGGTTGATTAGTACTAGTAGTACCAGTGATACTCTGGTGGTATATACGGTCCGCGCGCGCGGCCTGCAAACGTGTGCGAATCTAGTCAGAAACAAAACACGAACGACGACTGCTCAACGCCACCAACATGCTCATCAAAGAATAGTAAGTCTATGAAATCACACGCATTGCTTGCATCCCATACAAAGTTCATTCTTTTATGCTGGTTCTTTGGTGCAGAGCGCAACCTAACCTTACTTTGCATAACCTTGAGATTAACTTGCACTTGTTTAACTCGCAAGACAAATTTTGGTGTGTTCTGGAAGAAGCGCTCTGCGTCATTCGCGTTATTGTTTTAAATTTAGACGTGTGCAATGCGAGAAAGCGTCGAATCGCGATTAATAATTAATGATTAGTCAGGCGTTTGATTTTTACAAATCGCGATTTGCGGTGGTCGGCAGTGGTCGACGCGTGTCGACCTTGAACGTCCCAGTGCTTACATTGTTACAGTTTTTAGTTAATTACGCGAAAACGCGGCCGGATAGAATGTTAATTCCTTCAAATATCGCTTTAGTATTAATTTTTACATAGTAAACATAAATATTTTCTATAAAATTTTGTTTAAATATAAAGTTATAAGCAAAAAATTAAAAAAAATTATAATTTTTTAGTTTTTTGTTTATAACTTTTAAGATAATTATGTTGACAGTATAAATTTAAGTTTATTTTATAGAGAATTTAATTCTCTAGAGATTATTGAAGGATTTATTACTTTTTCTCGTTTAGTTTGGCTGTAATTAATTAAAATGTTGTAAAAAGCAATATTTTATGATGTATGATCGTGTAGAGGTATTTTATTTATTTGTTTAGTACATATCGATAACGCTTTTTGGCGATATCACATTTTTATCACAATATTTGCGTACAGCACGTAGTATATCAAGTTTTTATCAATTCTCATTCGATTTAATCAGTGATAGTTAGCAACACGCAAGTGGCTCCCGACATTCCTAATTATTTCGCCATTTTCTTTATGATTATATGCTGCAATTGTTGTAAAATGTTACTAATTATGATACGATTTGTTTGTTTTGCAGTCGAGTCACCTTACCACTGACTGTCGAGGAGGTAATTATCATTTTTTATTTAAAAATTAAAATAAAATGTCATTTAATGACATATGTCAAATCATATGGGAAAAAACAAGATGGCGTATGGGGTACATTCCAATTGGACTGTCATTTTTTTAATTTTTAGTGTGTTTCATTTGGAAAAAGTCACTAAAGGAACATATTTTGTATTAAAAAAAAGTCCCTAGTGGAACTAGTTTTATTTCCAACTGGAATGTACTTATTTTATACATGCTACTGGAGCGCCCTCTACTTTGATTCATTCAACTTTCTGTTTTTAGTATCAAGTTGCGCAGCTGTATTCAGTTGCTGAAGCATCCAAGGATAACACCGGCGGCGGTGAAGGTATCGAAGTGCTGAAGAATGAGCCCTTCACCGATTACCCGCTGCTGGGCGGCAAGTACAAGGCCGGCCAGTACACGTACAAGATCTACCATCTTGCCAGCAAAGTGCCGTCGTTCATCCGCCTGATGGCGCCCAAAGGCAGCCTGGAGATTCACGAAGAGGCGTGGAATGCGTATCCCTATTGCAAGACTGTCATCACTGTAAGTATTATTCCACTTCAAACCAAACCAAATCCTTTATTTTCACTTCCTACTTATCCCCGAATAGAATCCTCGCTTTATGAAAAAGCGATTCTTCCTGATTATTGAAAGTTATCATGCGTCGAATGATCGCGGCGACGATGAAAATGTAAGTTTTACTAAATTTTCTCGTATTTTTTGTGTGCGCATGCGCAGAATCCAGGCTACATGAAGGATAACTTCGTCATATGCATCGAGAGTATGCACATAGGTGATCAGGGTGATCAAGAAAATGTAAGTTAGGCAACTTGTCACACAGATATTGGCGTTGTAATTATAATTTGTATTTTAATTTTTTGGTTAAATGTTTAGGTACATGAATTGACGCCGGATAAGCTGAAGCAGCGCGACGTCGTGCACATCGACATCGCCAACGATTCAGTCTCCAGCAACGACTACAAGCCCGACGAGGATCCGAGCAAGTTCAAGTCGGAGAAGACCGGCCGCGGCCCGCTCACGAGCAAGCAGTGGAAGAAGGAGGTGCAGCCGGTGATGACGTGCTACAAGCTCGTCACGTGCGAGTTCAAGTGGTTCGGCCTCCAGAATCGCGTCGAGAGCTTCATCCAGAAGCAAGAACGACGGTTATTTACTAATTTCCATAGGTAATAATAACATATTCTAAATTTTTAATTAAAAAAACAATGTTTAACATGTGAATTTAACATATTTTAGGCAAGTATTTTGTTGGATGGACCGCTGGCACGGCCTGACAATGGCGGACATTCGCGCCATCGAAGACAAAACGAAAGAGGACCTAGAAAAGCTGCGCAAGGAGGGCGAGGTGCGCGGCATGAAGGCCGACGACGCATAAGCAGTGTGCGCGGACGCGCCTGGAACGCCGCCATCTTGGACTTGTACACCTACCTAACTTACCGACATAGACGAATGCAACAGTTATCTATTCAAATTCAGCCACACACACACACACACAGAACATACACGCAACACACCAAACACAACCAAAAGACACTTGATATTTTATTTACTACGTTTTTATTATATGTTTGTGTTATATCGGAGTATTATTAACATGTTTTAACACAAACACACAACACACGTACACGACACACATTTTCGGTTTACTGAATGTTACGGGTCGTAGTACTACTAGTGCGAGGCGCGCTGCATAACTCTAAGTCTCTAACTGTCGTTATTTAGTTAATTTAGGGCAAATTCAAACGCGGAACGCTGTTAAAGTTTATGATTATTGTGAATGACGTGAACGTGAACAGTCCAGCACACGCCTGTATTCATTTCGCGTGTTAAAAACAGCCTAAAAACTTGATAGTTGTAAAACTTACACGCGGGGTGTGGTGTATGGGTAGGTTATAAATTTGATTGTCGATTGTCACTTATCAACACTACGATTACTGATAACAGTTACCATTTATTATGTCGACGATGACGATGATGCATTTACGGTCGAGTGTTGCAGCTGCAGCAGCGGCCAAACGTACAATTATTTTTAATTACGAGCTTACTGCGGCGAGACACAATTGTGTGTTGCCTACATATATTTATGTTGCGGCCATATTTGTTCATTTGTTCACGCATGGTCTCCGAGTATGAGTATTTTGCGGCAGTTGTTTGTTGTTTTTTTACACTTTCGCGTTGCGAATTGGGAATTATAAATGAAACATGGAAGAGTTTGCGCGCAGCGTGCATTTCTGACTAACTGTGCAGCGGATTGAAATACTAATCATTCACCCTGAAACAAATCACAAGCAATTTATTGTAAGAGCCGCAAGATGGCGGATGCGATGGGATTACAACGTGTTGACGCTAACGCTGATGATTTGGTTCTAATTTTGAACAAAAAAAACAATAACTAAACTTTAAATAGAATAGCGTTCGCACTTCTAAATTACAAAACAAGTGCACACCGATTATAATTAATGTAAAAATTAATCGTAAACCTTTAGGTAATCAAATCAGTTGAAAGAAAGTCAATAATTATTGTTTTATTTTCTAAAGTTGCTATTGTTATCACACGCCGATTACGTAGGAGTATGATGTACATATTTAGACACAAGTCGTCACACGTTGAAGCAGAAAACTAAACTCGTACCATTCTTCGATTCAACTTGATGTAAATATTATTTACAAGATAGATGTGAGACGAACAGTTTTAACATGCGTATTCTATCTGTCAAGTACAATAACACTTGCGAGCCACACACTTGCGCAAAAAAAAAACCGTTCATTATAAATGTTGTTAACTTATCGTAAAACTTGAGGGCGCGTAACACATGAACAACTTACAAACACAATCGATGACACGAGATGGTTATTTACATGTACATGATGTATGTATAAACTAATCGGTTAAGCGAGTGGGAGCGGCGCAGGATGTTCAGTCAGTAATTTAAAGAAAATCTTAGATGAAAAAAAAACATAATAACAAAGGAGTAGATGAAGTTTAAAGTAAAGTAATCTAGCTAGATATTGGCGCAGAGCATAAAACACAACCAGACACTTAAACAAACAGAAAATAACGTGAAATATGAGAAAATATAATGTTGCGAATTTAGATTTGTGTTGCAACATATTCAAATAGCGTCCTGTGAATACATCCCCTCCGTTTTTTAGTTTGTTTTCGTTTGTTAGGTTATGTTGATGCAAACATTGCAAGAGTGTGGTACATTTTCGGTTTATTTTCGTGATTATTTCGTTTGAAAACCATGCAAAGTTGTTGATTTTTACCACAAATCAAGCGAAAAATGGTAATTATTGCATTTCCAAGTGTTTTATGCCTTGTATACGTTTTAATTTATAATTTTTGTTATTTTTGTGTCTGTGTGATGGTTATGTTAGGATCCGAATATACCGGCGCCGAATTTCGGCGCTCCGCCGATGGGTACACCTCCAATGATGGGTTTCCCGCCGATGATGCCTCAGTTTAGTGTCCCGCCGCCGGGTTTCGGCGGTTTTGCAGCCGCACCACCCGCGAATCCTTCGGAACAATGGACTGAACACAAAGCACCTGATGGTCGTACTTATTATTACAATTCTGTGACTAAACAGAGTTCTTGGCAGAAACCAGACCCGCTTAAATCTGCATCTGAAGTATGTTGATAATTATTACCTGTAAATGTAGTTTAATTGATTTTTTTCTAGTTATTGTTGTCACAATGTCCATGGAAAGAGTACACAGCTGACAATGGAAAGATTTATTATCATAATATTAATACAGCAGAGTCCAGATGGGTTATTCCTCCGGAATTGGAGGAAATCAAGGCTAAGATTGCTACTGAAGAGGCTAAAACCAAGGATAATGTGGATTCACCCAGTCCTGCTGTTACAAATACTTCGGAAGTGAATTCACCAAGTTTAGGTTGGTTTAATATTAAAAAATTACTTTTTTAAAATGTTTTATTATTATTTTTGTTGGTTTATAGCATCTCCCGGGGGTAAATCTGCTTTGGAGGCAGCAATGGCCGCCACACTCGCCGCAATCTCCATCCCAACTCCCCCGCCGAAGATAGATGAAGATTCCAACATGTCTTCACACAGCCAGAACGACTCGAATAACACACGTAATAACACCCCGGAGCCGAAGATCTTCAAAGACAAAAAGAGGCGATGGAGGCCTTCAAAGAGATGCTCAAGGAAAACAACGTGCCATCGAACGCCACGTGGGATCAATGCGTGAAGATCATCAGTAATGATGCACGATATGAATCCTTCAAGCGTCTTAACGAACGCAAGCAGGTTTTCAACGCTTATAAAACACAAAAACAAAAAGATGAAAAAGAAGAAAGTCGGTTGAAGAGTAAAAAGGCGAAGGAGACACTTGAGGAGTTTCTCATGCATAGCGATCGCATTAATTCATCGACGAAATATTACAAATGCGATGAGATCTTTGCTGGGTTAGAGGTGTGGGACAGTGTAAACGACGCAGACAGGCGGGATATTTATGAGGATGTTGTGTTTGCGCTGGCGAAGCGCGAGAAGGAAGAGGCGAAGGTTTTAAAGAAGAGGAATATGAAGAAGTTGTCGGAGGTGTTGAATAATATGGCGGATATTCATTATGATACGACGTGGAGCGAGGCGCAGGCGATGCTGTTGGGGAACAGCACGTTTAAGAATGATGTTAATTTACTAGGTAAGTAAAATGGCCTTAAAAAGGACTTTAAACCATGCTTAAACTTGTAATAAAACCATAGGGTGATGAGTAGGAGTGGGGGAAGACTTATACAACACTCTTTCCCCCTCCACTTTTTGCGGGTTGTGTGCATTTTCATAGTTTTCTTATTTTTTCCTATTTTTTCTTAAGTAATTTGAAGTTAAATGACATTTTTAACAGTTTTTATTCATTTGTTACTAATTTTAATTGTTTTTATGTATGTTTAGCAATGGATAAAGAAGATGCATTGATAGTATTCGAAGATCACATCCGCCTGCTGGAGAAAGACGACGTCGAAGAAAAAGAGCAAGAAAAAAAGCGTCTCAAGCGACAGGCACGTAAAAATCGCGATCAGTTCCTCGTCCTCCTCGATTCCCTCCACGAAGAAGGCAAATTAACCTCGATGTCGCTCTGGATAGAATTATATCCAATTATTTCCGCAGACATTCGTTTCTCTGCCATGTTAGGTAAACGTAAATAATTCTCTCCTAATCATGTTTTCATTTTAATTATATTGTATTATCTTACTGCGCAGGACAAACCGGATCAACGCCTTTGGATTTATTCAAGTTCTACGTGGAGGATCTCAAGGCACGCTTCCATGACGAGAAGAAAATCATCAAAGAAATCCTCAAGGATAAAGAATTCGACGTGAAAGTCGACACGACGTTCGAGCAATTCGCCACGGTTGTCTGCGAGGATAAAAAATCAGCCACATTGGATGCGGGTAATGTAAAACTCACGTATAATTCTCTTCTGGAGAAGGCCGAGGTGAAGGAAAAGGAGCGTTTGAAGGAGGAGAATAAACGCTTTAAAAAGTTAGAGGCTGGGTTGAAGAATCGACTCAGAGAGTTGAATTTTAACTATGAGATGTCATGGGAAGAGGCAAGGGAGAAACTGGCGGATGAAGAGGAGTTTCAGGCGTTTGCGTCGGATTCGGAGCGGTGTAAGGTGTATAAAAGCTTCCAGCATGAGATGGAGGAGTCGTGCAGTCATCATCACTCGCGATCGAAGAAAAGCAAGAAGAGTAAGAAGAGCAAGAAGTACAAGTCGAGCAGTAATAGCGATAGTGAGACTGAAGGTGGATGTGGCGGTGGTGGTGGTGGGAAGAAGGAGAAGAAGAAACATCGGAGTGTTTCGCCACCGGTGCCGATGAGTGATGACAGCGCCAATGAAGAAGTGAAGAAGAAGAAGAGTAAGAAGAAGCATAAGAAAAAGGATAATTCGGTACGGTTATGATAATAAATTATAATTTGTGTGTTACTTTATTAATTTTGTTGTTTTTTGTTGATTATAGATGAGTCCAGAGGAAGGAAAGAAAAAATCAAGTCGAAGGATATCCGAGGATGCTTTGGCTAAGAGTAGTGAGCTTTCTGAATCGGAGTTGGAGAAGCAAAGGGCGCTTTTACTTGAACAGCTCAAGACTGAAAGTGACTAAAGTGGTTTTCTTAACTTGTTTTTGTATTAATTTAAATCTTGGACTTTTACTTCACTTTAAGTTGATTTTTTGAAGGAAATATGTGATTATATGATGAATACATACTTAATTATATAATTTACGCATTAGATTATGTTTATTTACGAAGAATTAATGCATAATTGTATAAATAAAAAGTAAACTTGTAGAATCTTACTTAAGTAATGATATATGTGGCGCCATCTATAATTTAAGTTTTAAGTTATGTGTAAAAATTGCTATTTGATTAGATAGGGTGGTGCATGCGCAGTTGCGTGTACGTGTGACACACGGACATGGCCACTTAAGTGCGTGACCATTCACTGACTCATACGCAATCGCTCACTGCCTCATATGCACGCTACACTTTTTGAAACACTTTGTACGTGTTTGCGGTACTATAAAGAATCTTCAGATGGCGCAGTGATGCATGTTTCGACTGAGAAATATTCCTGCGAGTGAAGGTCGGCGAGTCGGCGTGCAGTGTTGTTGTGATGCCGGCACGCAACTATTACTTCGTGCGATAAGTAATATTACTTAAATCGGTATTCGTGTTTCGTGTTGTAAATTCGGCAATTCGCGTTATATTTGATTGAAATTAGTGTTAAAAGACGGGTTTGGTCTTTTGCTATTTATTTATCGCGTGTGTAATCTACGTAATTATAAATTTTACGAGATTTGTTTATTTTTCGAGTTATTTTGTTATCGGTTGTCGGCGAACACCGGCCGGCCATGTTGTGTGATTGTGAATAATATTGCCGTTAATTTTGGACTTGTGCAACTATTTTGTCATCAGCAGAGAACTGGAATAATGGTCTACATGGTAAATATTCTAATATCCTAATATTTCAACATGGTACTAAATGGTTTTACATGGTTTAATTAATGTTTTGTTTCTTGTTTATTTCAGTATCTACTTGCCGTTGATTTGCGGAGTTCGATACACTGGTAAGTGAAATTTTTCATCTTTCATATTATCTGTTTGCTGTTTTAATTTAAAATTTAAATATTTAAATAGGTATACTTGTAATGTGTATTTTTATATTTGTCCGTAAACGTGGTCATTCGGCACGAGAATTGTATTTGGTGTTGAATACAATGCTGTTATCTGCGTTTGTGTATAAACAACTTTTTTATCGCATTTGGCGAGCTGAGATGCTACGCGTAAGATACCCGCGTGTCGTTGTTGCAATCCGCTCACGTCGCACGTTGCCGCATCTTAGTTTAGTTTTGATCGTAGTGTAGTTATCGTGAATATTGCAATTCGCACACACGGTCGCGTGCCATCGAAGCGTCGGCTTTATGCATTACATCAGTCTTATCATATCTTGAATTGTTGTGTGTCGATGCTGCATACTCGGTTTGTTGTTTCGGCGGATTAAATCGAATGCCGTGCCAAGATATACGCAACCGAAGGTTCACTTTTAGTACTTTTATCTGATAGAGAATCTTACAATCTTTCAAAATCAGCAATTTGTTGGTTGCTATCTCTTTTAGTTTCAAAGATATTAATTATCGAAAATCGCGGAAAAAATTATCAAGCACCACCCCCTTGGCAATATTTTCTTAAGAATTAAAATTTCATCCCATAGATTTCCATTTTAACTAGCCTATCTTATAAGGAATAGTCCGTAGAATATTTTCTGAGATTTGTTCATATTTATCTCTTCTAGTTTATTAGCGTATTGAAATTGTAGTTTTCTTGATATAACACGCGAACGCGGTGTCATAATAAGTTCGGAATAATTTTCCCAGATGCAGAATTTGATTTTGCATCTCCCTGTATTAAAAGTAATTGCGAGAAAATTCTGTAATGCCAGTTATGTTGATAGTTGTGTGTATACGCACTAGTACTCGTTGCGCTTGATATTGTGGTTTTTTTGATATAACACGCGAACGCGGTGTCATAATAAGTTCGGAATAATTTTCCCAGATGCAGAATTTGATTTTGTATCTCCCTGTATAGAAAGTTATCGCGAGAAAATTCCGTAACGCGAGTTATATTGATAGTTGTGTGCATACGCATAAGTACTCGTTGCGCTTGATATTGTGGTTTTTTTGATATAACACGCGAACGCGGTGTCATAATAAGTTCGGAATAATTTTCCCAGATGCAGAATTTATTTTTGTATCACCCTGTATTGAAATTTATTGCCAGAAAATTCCATAACGCGGGTGTACCTACATGTGTGTTGTACTGTCCACGTAGAATTTGTTTTTATATGCAAATGTTTTGCATTGTATTGTAGTTGTTCGTGATTTAATGTTTGCTTGCACCTGGTGTTGTGTGTTTAAATTAGTATACTCGTAAATAAACAGCGTTGAACAGTTGAAGAAGTTTAGGAGCACTTGTGCCAAGGAGTCTACCGCTGCCGTCGCAGAAATGTTAGAGATGCGCGTATTATAAGGCAAGTTTTACTTTCAGGAGATTTAAGAGCTGTCTATGATCTGCGACTTTAAATAAATGTATGTGGTTATAAATGTTGCTAATAAAACTTACTGTAATATTATATACTTCTTCATATTTCTTTCTGGTTTCCCCTTTGCCGTTTGCAGGATTGATGTCTTAAATCATATTCCATATAAATCTTAAGTACGTCGAGCGTGTACAATATATAGCTGTTGTTTACGTTGTGTTGTTGTTTTTAAAAAGTTGAATAAAGTAGAATCATAAATAGAAGAATCAAATAACAATGATAAAATCACTCGGTGGTCGAGTGGATACGTGCACCTGCTGGCATGCTAGTAGACACGGATCGAATCTCAGGTGTGGAAGGCATTTTTCTCAAATACGAAAATAACAGGTGTAATTTGGGTTGCATATATGAATTGCAACGAAATATAAGAGAAATTGCAATTCAAGTGAAGGCAATAAGAGAAGTAAGAAAGAGTAAGTCGTGGAACAGAGAAATTGGAGAAGTAGAAGAAAAGAATAGCAAGAGTAGAGGACAGAAGGAAGAGAACAGAGTAGAGAAGAGGAGGAGATAGAAGAAAGAGCCACAGGAGTGGATCAGATTTTTAAATTTTTTGGCACGTGTCGTTATAAGACAGTCTACGGTCGATCTCCCAGTGAGGCCTCCGGCGCTCGGTCGACGCCCACTGCTCGATTCGTCCATTGCCCCGGCCCATCCTACAGCTACGATGTCTCTGCGCTTCATCCCCGAAATTTCAGGCATATCAACAATTTTATGGTGGGGATCACCCCAGAGAGAGGGGGACTTTATAAATATGTAACTTTTTATAAGGTCTTGTTCAAATATTTAAGTTTTAAGTCGTCTCAAAGAGAGGCGACAATTTAAAAAAATATTCTGCCAAATTTCTGACCTGTACCTGAAATGAGTGGTAGCGAGCACACAAAAATCATGCGTTGCGTTACCTTTTAACAATTTTTATAGAGGGATCATCCCGAGAGAGGGAACTCTCTTAGAGACCTGTTCCTGAAATGATAGAAGGCGAACATACAAATCAAAGAAGTCAATATATCTTACTATTTATTTATTAACAATAGAATACAAGTTTAGATTTTACATGTCAACAGAATACATGTCGCCATATTGAAACCGGACTTACGACCTGCTAAGCAGCGCACATATAAGCAAGTAGCACTTCGTACAGTTCTATCGGAATAAGGAAATTAACAAATAGTTCATTTTCTACGTTAGTGAAAATGAAAACCAAATATACAGGGTGTTACAAATGAAAAATTTAATGAGAAAACAGAAAAACATTTTAACACTACAAATATCATTCGTTTTTCACCCGAGGCTCCGGGAAACTAATATACAGGGTGTTACAAAAAGAAAATTCAAAGGGCAATAAGGAAAACCATAAAAACAATAGTAAAAGCGAAATTTTCACGGACACAATGAAAAAAGAATATACAGGGTGTTTCAGAAAGGAAATCTCTAGTTGAAACAAAGAACACTCAAAAGTCACAAATACCGGGGATTTTCTACGTAATGTTAGAAAAACTAATATACTAGGTGTTACAAAAAGTAAACTTTAGAAACTACAAAGGGAGTTAATATTCACAACATGAAGAGGGGAATTTACAAATAAACAACAATATTTTAATATAAAATCCAATATTGCATATTGCATGCGTAAAGTAACCGACGGGTGAAGCATCATCATAAATTGAATGAAAATCCTGCGGAAAATATTCAAATCAGCTGACGGCAAGCGACGGCGCGTAGCTGTTACTGTTTTGTTTTATAAATATTAAGATGTACGGAGACTATGAAAACGAAAAACTATTCAACGTACAAGATTTTACTAGGTCAACAAGAAACTTCTTAATTTAATGATGCTAAGGAGTGCAAATTGATTAAAAACATTCACGTGTTCAGCGAAAAGATGGCAGAGCCGACGGCAAAATGAGCGTGGTCGGCGACAATTTTAATAATCTTCAGATACTTTTTTACTATTTATTTATTAGCAATAGAATACAAGTTTATATTTTACAAGTCAACAGAATACGTGCCGCCATATTGAAGCAGGACTTACGACCTGCATAGCCGCGCACATGCCATTAAGTACTGCTACATAAAGTTCTGCCGTAATAATGAAATTAGTAAAGAGTTTTTAGGTGATTGGAAACAAATATACAGGATGTTACAAAAGGAAAATTTAAATTTAATTTAAATGCAAAAAAAAAAACTTTCAACACTACAAACGCCGTTTCTCACTCGACAATCAGGGAAACTAATATACAGGGTGTTCCAGAAAGAAAATTCGAAGTGCAAACGGGACAATACTAAAAACCACAGTTAAAGCAAAATTTTCACGGGCACAAAGGAAAACATATATACAGGGTGTTCTAGAAAGAAAATCCCATCAATTAAAACAGAACACTCACAACTAAAGGTGATTTTCTACATGCTGTTAGGAAAACTAATATACAGGGTGTTTAAAAAAAACAGAAACTATTAAGGGAGTCAATATTCCCAATATGAAGAGGGAAATTTACAAATTAACAACAATATTTTAATATAAAATCAGAGATTTTACTCGACAATCATCGGACAATTGAGCAAAATGGTGCTACAAAATTAAAACACTTACATTTTAATATATTGCGAATATATATTTATTAATTGATGGTAGCATCAACTGTATAAAATAAGCGACGGGTAAAGCATCATCATAAATTGATAGAATATCCTGCGGTAAACATC